ATTGTTTTTTGGCAACACGCCGAGTGAAGAGCTCTTCCAGTTCCTTTTTTGGTTCGATGTTGTGGGGGAAGGTTCTTAAGTGCTGTTGGAAAGGGCTTTTCTTTTCCCGGGTGTTTTGGGGGCAGGATTTCTTGGTGTTGTTGGCGAAGTGGAATTTAGGCCGGCGGGCAGCGAGGCTATTGTTTTATACACAATACTAATGCCTTTCTGGATATATTTCTAGATCTACCTGCTGGCATCCATGGGCCTCGAGCTTCTCTTCTGGCTTGTCCCGCATTTCCTCGTTTCCGCAATCGCCGTCGCTTTTCTCGGATTCTTCCTGGGCCCGCTGTTCCCTGCCGTCGTGGTTGCTGCGATGAAGATTCTGCCGCAGCACATGCACATTAGCGCCGTCGGATTTGCGTCAGCCTTTGGGGGCGCCGGGGCGGCAATGTTTCCCTTTGTGGTCGGCGCCATGGCGCAAGCAAAAGGCGTTACGGTCCTGCAGCCGTTTATCCTCGCCATGTTGGGTCTGGATTTGGTGTTGTGGGTGCTTATTTCGCGGATTCCGAGGACGCATCATCAAGACTAGACCTCTCTTACTTTGCTCTGGCTTTTGCCTAGGCAGGGGGGAAGTCTTCCTTTATGTGCTCTTTCATATATACATTTCTTTTTGCGCTTCTTTGGAATAATACATTTTGGGCGTTCAAAGGGGATGGTTGATTTGTGAATAGAATTAGAGAGAGAGAGAGGGGAAATATAAATGGCGCTCGAACCCATAATTTATGCAAAAAATGTCATCGTGTATTTAATCTAGACATTTCAATATGAAAGAGATAAAAGATTAAATTAAAAAGGACATAAAAGTAAAATAAAATCTCAAATGCTTCTTTTTTGTGCTGGGAAACACACATCCCCCCGTCTCATGTATATTGCTCTCAGCTGCCACCGCCGCACCATTGCACCACCGCACCATCGCATCATCGTATCACCGCATCACCGCGCTTCATATTTGCCTCATTCGCCCACACTCCTCTTCTTGGGACAGAATACAATGTGAAAAAAAAAAGAACAAACATCCTCATGTCTAACGGCGTTCAAAGAGGATGAAAAAGATGTAAGAAAGCAAAAAACATCCACTCATATCGCAAAAGTGAAGAGGGCGAGGAAAGATAAAAAGGCACAGAAGCAAGTAGCGGGCCAGTCATCTTGTCATCCCACATCCGCAAATTGTTATCCGCCACTCACCACCAACATGGTTGATAAACACATCCGCATGCATTATCCCGTACATCTCATCTGCGCTTCCAGAACGAGGATGAATCATGAATCTCTTGCCGGCTTTCTCATGCCTTTTATGTGCTTAGCGACATCTGCAAAAAATTGATGAAGGCAATGAAGGGCGCGCCGCTAGAAAGCGAAAGAAACGCGCGGCTAGATGAGAGGTGACCCAGTATATTGAAACAGAGAGAAATGAAGAAGAAGTGAAAGAAATAAGTAAAGCTTGGAGCAAAGCTTGAAACACTCTATCAAGAGGGAGAACAGCTGGATTACCGACTCTGCAACACTCCATCGTCTTCCCACAAGCTGAATCGCGGTGGTTGTCGGGAGGTTTAGGGTCCCCTCGTATGAGCGCTTTTTCTCCCGTTCCAAGCAACCTTTGACGATGTGAGTACATGGCATCTCGCTTTCGCTGTAACAAAAACCGAACGTTATGGGTATATTGTATGGTTACAGAAAGGCCGATGCCTTCACACAAAATCGGCTGAATATGAGAAGCCTCGGAATTCTTCTTGCATCTCTTGCGAGAGGACTGCAGAAAGAGAAACTGTTAGTGACGGTGAAAAAGAAATCAAATGGATTTTGAGTGGGTCTCTTAGCATCAGGGCAGAAGGTGGACATACCGGACTGCACGGGGGTAAGAACAGGCGTGACGCTTGTGAATTCTTGGTCGAAATTGCTCGTATCGGTAGGATTAGAGATACGTGGTTGGAATGGTGCAGGGATACGTTTGTTATAAACGTCCTCCCAGTTAATATTCCGGAAAAATGCATGACTCATGATTTCTTGAGCATCCGTGGGACCGGATCCCAGTCGTAATTCGGGTTCTCTCGTGAGTAACTTCTGTAGGATCGATACCGAATCACGAGGCATGTGGATCGGGTACAGGGGCTCGTCCGCAAGAATTGCATCGTAGATTTCATCTTCGTCCTCGCCACGGAAGGGGGATTGTTGAAGCAACATCTGGTAGATGAGGACTCCAAATGCCCACCAGTCGACGGCACGTCCATATTTCTTATCCAGAAGAATCTGTCACAGCCACGTTAGGATAAATTGAGCAGTGACTAAATGAATTTAAATTGAATCACGTACCTCTGGTGCCATGAATTCGGGGGTACCACAGAAGGTACTTGTCGAGGCACCATACCACATATCTTCTTTACAAAGACCATAATCTGCAATCTTGATGTGACCGTCGAGGGTCAATAAGATATTGTCGAGCTTCAAGTCTCTGTATATGACTCCGTTCTCGTGGAAGTATTTTAATGCCAGGCATACCTCAGCCGCATAGAATCTGCGAATTGTCTCTATTAGTAAGTTGTGGTATGACGATGTTATTTTCAAACATACTGTGCGCGCTTCGTGCCAAACTGTCCACGTTGGATGTGCAACATCAAGTCTCCGCCGCTGATGTACTCCATAACAAAATATATTCTTGTTTCGGTTTGGAAACATGCGTGTAAATTCAGGAGGAACGGGTGCCTCTCCTTATTTGCAACCAGGAAGACTCGTTTTTCCGATTTCGTACTCTCAACTTCATCATTTTCAATGATAAACTCCTTTTTCAGTACCTTGATCGCATAAAGCTGCTTGGTGGCCTTGGTCTCAGCAAGCATGACCTTTCCGAAATTGCCTTTTCCAAGAACTGCGAGGAAATTGAAGTGGTCAAGGCCGATCCGCCGGCCAGTGCCAGGTGGAGGCACCTCTTTCCTTTCCACAAGTTGTTGCTGTGGAGGAGCCTGCTGTGTTGGTGGAACATTATAACTTTGTTTCGGAGGCACGTGAGGCGGCGGAGGCGGCATGGCCTGAGCCGGATATCCGCTAACAGCAGCATAAGCTGCTGGATCATAGGGCTGTTGCTGGGGTAGAGTTTGCGTCTGGCGGCCTTTTCCGTAGCCTTGATCGAGTTCAGAATGGGCATCCATAGGATAGCCTCCTGAGACCCGGCTGCCAGCGGCTGCTGAATAATCTGTGGATGATCGCTGATAAGATGGCGAGCCTTTTTGCGACGGGGTCCTCTTTCCGGCCAGTGCGGCTGCGGCTGCGGCAGCCGCAGACTGAGAAGACGAGGTTCGTGGATTGGTTGGACGCTGCTGAGCAGGTGATGGTGGCATTCCAACGTTGTATGAAAGTTTAGCGGCTTCAAGAGAAGCACCAGAGGGCGGCATGTAGGGTTGGGTTCTCTGCGCTTGTTCATACGACTGGTCTTGCCCATAAGACCGCCTCTGATCGAAGGTACTTTGACCGGGTTGTTCTTGGCCTGGGGGAGGGGCATAAGATGGCTGAGATGGTGGAGGGGGAGTAGGGCGCCCACCTGGTCTTAGCGTCCTTGAGCTCATGGACGAAACGGAATTCATTGAAGATGTAGTCTGGCGTTTCTTGGTAGTTCGAATCTCTCGAAGTATTTGGTTGGCCACCTCCATGGACATCCCACAAAAATCAGGGACCAAATGGGCGCATTGCGTATGACAAGTAAGACCACATTCTGGACACAATTAGCAGTGAGGCGAGAGAAAAGGACAAGGAGGAAACCTCACCTGTACACTTGCGACAGTTCTTTTTGCTTCCAAGAGGAAGAATATAGCCACAGTGACAGCACCAATTAGCTCCCATATTAGAGAAACCTTCAAAGCGATGCGGTATGCGGTGGTTTAACTTTTCTTCTTCGGGATCGGCTTCCGCATTCGACTTGCTGATGCATTTCACCACAACCTTTGAATAACACTTTTTATGGCAGGTATATTTGCAGTCAGCACACTGCATACCAGCGGCATATTTGAGAAAATCGCCACAAAGCGCGCAGCGCATAATGTTATAGAATTGCTGGGTGACGAATCGGTGACCGAAGGTCTCGTGGACCTCCTCTTTCCGCTGGCGAATAGCTCCCTTGCGGTTCAAGCCGAAATCTAATGGTCGACGATTGTTCAATTGTTTAACTGTGAGATGTTAGCAAAATGATTGAAATAAAATGATCATTCGACGAGTGCGCTGTATCATACCAAAACTCATACTCAGATGTATTTGGCCAACCGGCTCGAGCGCAAACCAAGCATCAATAGAGATTGGCGCTTGACCAGGACCAGCGGATACGTTGAAGGTCGGCGCTGGGTTGATTCCAGCAGAAGCAGGGGGGGCATGCGGTTGCCCAGGCGTCTGGCCATATTGAGAGTCCTGTCTTGACGCGCTTCCGCCGTCTTGCATTTTATCGGCCGAAACCCAACCAGAGTTGTTGAATTCCGTCTCAATCTTTTTCCGGCGCATTTCCTCTGCAATATCTGAGATTCTGATCCAGAGCATACCAATTGGCAGCGGATGATCCCCAGCCTTGTCGTACACGGTAAGCTCTATCTCATTTGCCTTATCGATATCGAGCTCGTGGACTTCGTCTGGCCACCGTCCCGTGCGGGTAGATTTGGTTCGGCCCTTGAATGCATCTTCGACTTTGATCATGACAAACGTCTCCGGGCCTCTGGCGAACCTTCCTGTCGCTGCATGATCCACATCCCTGATTGCATGTATACGGAGCGAAAGATGGCCAGTCAAGGGCTTGCGAAGGTTGGGGGTATTAATGCTATCATCTGAGATCGAGAATAAGTATGAACCCAGTCATGGAGAGAAGAAAAATGACATACCATCAGGAGCGTCGGTTGCGCTTTCAATATCAACGTGCAAGTCTTCGTACCGCTTGAGCGCTTGCTTGAGAAGTTGGATTTTCTGAGCGCTCTCAATGCGCCGTCCCTCGGCATCTGCTTTGCTCTTTTTGTCCCCTTCGATCTGGTACAGACGAACCATTTTCTCAATTCCTTCCTTGTATTGCTTCTCCACACTGAGTTTGAACTCAAGCTGAGAAAGCATGAGTTGAATGCGAGGACCGAGGTAAGGAGTATCGTATTTGATAAGATCTAAGCCCCGTCAGTCCTCATAGCTTGGCACAATGAATTTGCCTTGGGGATATCTTACCAAGCTTGCTGTAATTGGGCCTGGCCTTGGGTATTCCCACGGTTGGAGCCGGGGGCGTGAACGGCGGACGCGGAGGCATCATATGCCCCGTTCCCAGCTGACTACTGTATCCACCTGGGCCTGGGTCTCCGTAGTCCGCCGCATCAGTTCCAAAACTGCCACGGCCATCTATGGAAGAACCTTGTTGCCCTGGAGGGACGCCCCCTCTTGTCCCTCGTTGAGGTGACCCGCCGCTTGGTCCCGCATACTGACTGCCATCGGCACCAGAGGCTATGGACAAATTATCCATACTATGACCAAGCCTTCGCGACTGCAGTACTTTCAGTTGCCCCTCAAGGTAAGTGATATTTTTGTGTCCTTCATGGATCTGGGATTCCGCGCGCTGTTTGACGGCAGGATTGTTCGAAGAGTTGCGAACAGCATTGGCACCATTGATCAGGGCTTTCTCCCGCTCGATCTTGCGGTTGACATCGCCGATCAACCGCTCGTCATCCATATTTGCTCGCGGATCAAAACTTATTTCAGGATTTACGACAAGTTTCCACTATTCTTATCGATATAGGTCTCGCAGTGACGCGTTTTTATCCAGGAGGTCACTCAGTTGAAAACAATGAGCGATGTGGGGAATCTGAAACGCGGAATCAGACTGGCACGACTGCGATTACTTTGATGCCGTGATGGTACAAGCTCTGCTATCCTGTGGTCTTGGGTAGACAGATCCAAGAGGCGGGTGACCTAGCCGCGATTCTCGTGGCAGCCTTGCAGAGTGCGTGTGATCTCACGAGCTGATGCCGTCGATAGGTCCGGTTCTTCCCGCCACAAGTCTGTGAAGAGGAGCCGGCGTAGGGAATTTGGACACCGTACACCAGCTCCGTTCGAAAATTGATAAAATGAGCTGAAAGCAATCGTTGCCGATATCTCGTGGCGAGATTGAGGCTGTGATCAGTCTTGATTGAGGTGTTGGGTGTTGCCTGCGAAGTCGCCTAAGGTATGAAAGGCTCCGTTTTTGGCGGGGGGAGGGACCAAACTGGGTTTATCAACATGACAACAGCAGGATTCACCCGAGCGCCGCAATAAATAATAACAACACTGGGCCACACCCAAGTAAAGAACAACACATTTATTTTATTTTATTTTTATTTTCCTTCCAAAGCGTCTTCTTGTTTCTTCAATGGGAGTAGATCTATATCTTCTATCGCACGCTTCCGTATCCTCGTCATCCCATATTTAATTTTCTTTCTGCATACAATTTTTTTTTTTAAAAAGGTATCAATCTGAGGCTACAATCGAACAAGCAATGATACTCTTTCAACGGCGCCCTGCCAGCGAAAGACATTAATACACTCAGAATGGCTTCTCATGTCAAAATCCAGAATTGCAATGCTACAAATTGGATTTGATACATAATGTTTGTTTCTTTCAGTCTTGCGAAGAAGTATTCGATCAAAATCTTAACTCCTGTTCCGGTCAGCATGGACATGCTCCTTTAAGACTATCCTATGAAATGGGGTTCTTAATCTTTAACGGCTCTTTCGTAGGTGATTCGATGATCCAGCTAATCATTGTGAGTCTTGCACCAGGCGTTATGTAAATAGCTAAGAAACAACAATGCGAGAAGGATGGACAAATCCCAACCAACCAACTAACTTTTATTCTACACCTATGCATAACGATGGTATCCAAGAAGAAAAATAAAATCCATATGCTGAAACGCCCTTCAAAGAAATCTCTAAATGCTTGAAGGGTTCAGGTACTCTGAAATGGCATTTATCGCCCCCGAAAATTTGCTTGCTTCGATCAACATCATGTGTCCTTGCGGCCGAATACCCAAATCTTGGAAGACTCGTTTTGAATCGGAGACACCTTCCCCGGATTGATTTGTGTACTCAAATCCACCATGGCCCATGGCATGTTTTTGCAAGACCTCATCTTCAGGGTGGAAAAAGAAAATCTCGTTGCTATTCTTTGAGCCCTTCTTCTTCTTCTGGGGCCGGTCATCCTCCTGGTCAAGTTTCGACTCAACTTCAGTGTAAGTCTTCGAGATGATGAGGTAATGCGTGAAGTCATAAGGCTCTTTCTCTTCCAGAGCCCACGAGATTTCCTCGAGAAGCATCGAGTACATCGGCGGGACCACCTCCGAAGGAATGTTAATGAGGCGTTCGGTGAGGATCAATCCCACCCTTGCGTCTGAAGACGACAGCGCAGAAGAAATGTTCGAGAGGTTGGCATTGGCGGAAGACTTTTGTGCGAGATAATTCGTAAGATCTTTCACGACTGGTTTGTTCTTCTCGAATAATTAGCCGCAAATTACCAATTTTGTTGATCAGAATACCAAAAGTCTCACCTGATGCTCGTGAAGGTTGAGGACAGACAAAAAGGCATAGGGATCTGTCTCTTGCCCATCCACTTTGACTGTGCTGCCGAGTAAAGGCTGGGCAAGGATGAGATCTGTCAAGGCCGATAGATCGAACAACAGCGCGTCGTTGTCAAAGAGTTGACGCAATAGCGTCTTAATCCCATGGAAGTCATGGTCAGGATGAGGGTCGAACCACTCGAACTCGACATTGACCATCTCGGTATCCTGATTTTGTGTCAACAAGTGCCCGAGAGACTAGATGATGAATTGCATGTACCTCGTCGCTGCCGCTTTCATCGGAGTCGTTGCGAACTCGATCATCAGACCCAGCATCACGCATCTCCTCATCTTTGATCTGTTTCCTTTTCGCCATTTCTGAAATCGTTGCGCCGGATGCAAGAGGCCGTTGAGGAGTCTTGATCAGTGGCTTGGACTCAAAAACGAAATCTAAAAGTGGCTTGTGCTGCCCCTCGCTACCCGAGCCTTATCGGGACGCCCTATCGATAAAAAATGCATGAGTCCCTCAATCGTAAAAAAGTCTCGCCCTGCCAAATTATTTACCTACTGAAGCCCACCCCCTCCACCGCTCCTTGGGCTTTCGATCGCTCCTTTATATCTTATTTGCATCCGATCTCTTTGCGCGCAAGATATTCGAAATGGCGAACAACAAGGAACTGGCTGAGGAGCCGCACAAGAGCTTCGATACCATCCTCGTCTTGGACTTTGGGTTAGTCCCTTTATAACGTTTGACTCACAGTTGCATTGACAGATTGAAGATCGCAGTATTCGCATTTGATTACCAGACGTCTCCGTGAGCTCAATGTCTACTCTGAGATGCTGCCATGCACTCAAAAGCTTTCTGAGCTTTCTTGGAAGCCCAAGGGTATTATTCTTTCGGGCGGCCCCTACTCTGTCTACTGGGATGATGCGCCGCATGTTGACCCTGAGGCTTTCGAAATGGGAGTGCCAATTCTGGGTATCTGCTATGGTCTTCAGGAAATCGCTTGGCATCACGGAAAGAACGTGCTCGCAGGCGATAAGAGAGAATATGGACATGCAACTCTGAACATTCACGCTCACGAGGGCAAGTCATCCCACATCGACCAGCTGTTCCAGACGCTGGAAAAAGACATGGAAGTGTGGATGTCTCACGGAGATAAACTTTCTCACCTTCCTCCGTCATTTGTCACCATTGCTACTACTCCTAATGCACCATTCGCTGGTATTGCTCACGAAAACAAGCCCTACTACGGCATCCAATTTCACCCCGAGGTCACCCATACGCGGGGAGGAACTAAATTGTTGAAGAACTTCGCCGTTGGAGTGTGCAAAGCAAAGCAGGATTGGAGCATGGAGAAGTTTGTTGACAAGGAAATTGCTAGAATTCGGGCCATGGTTGGCGAAAAGGGCCAGGTCATTGGAGCCGTCAGTGGTGGTGTTGACTCAACTGTTGCGGCTAAGCTGATGAACGAAGCCATTGGCGACCGCTTTCATGCTGTCCTTGTCGACAACGGTGTGCTCCGTCTGGAGGAGTCTCAGACGGTAAAGGAGACGTTGACCAAGCACTTGGGAATCAACCTTACCGTGGTGGATGCAAGCGAACGTTTTCTGGGATTGTTGAAGGGAGTGAGCGACCCGGAAAAGAAGAGAAAGATCATTGGAAATACTTTTATTGAAGTTTTCCAGGAGACTGCAAAGAAGATTGCGGAGGATGCTCATGGTTCGTCTCGCCAAGGAGAGATTGAATGGCTTCTTCAGGGTACTCTCTATCCGGATGTCATTGAAAGTATTTCCTTCAAGGGCCCCAGTGCCACTATCAAGACTCACCACAATGTCGGTGGCTTGCTTGAGGGCATGCACCTTAAGCTCATCGAGCCTCTTCGGGAACTCTTCAAGGATGAGGTGCGCGCATTAGGCACCAACCTGGGCATCCCTGAGGACTTGGTATGGCGCCATCCTTTCCCGGGACCGGGACTTGCCATCCGCATTCTCGGCGAAGTCACCAAGGAGCAATTGAGAATAGCTCGTGAAGCGGACAAGATTTTCATCGAGGAGATCAGAGCTGCTGGATTGTACAACCAAATCAGCCAGGCTTTTGCGGCCGTGTTGCCTGTCAAAGCTGTTGGTGTCATGGGTGACAAACGTGTCCATGCTCAAGTTGTTGCTCTCAGGGCCGTTGAGACTACGGATTTCATGACGGCAGACTGGTTTCCATTCGACGGCCACTTTTTGAAGCGGGTTAGCCGAAGAATCGTCAATGAGGTTGATGGTGTCTGCCGTGTCCTCTACGATGGTAAGTGCATGCATGGTTCAAAAGAATTGTATTCAAATAGGTATCTAACAATGTGAACAGTGACCAGCAAACCCCCGGGAACGATTGAAATGGAGTAATTGAATAATGCAAAACTGTAGATAGAACATATATGGCGGGGGAGGGGCAGTTTCTTAAAAACGATGTTAGATTTCATTAGAATTTCTTAGCCAATTCCATTGTGTAAACCAAGTGGTGTACTAAGGACGGGCGGGTCATGTTTAATTTCCATGACAAGGACCGGCGTGACTGGGTCCGAGATGACCGTATACACTGTATGTGATCGAATGGCATTACGACATGCTATGGAAAAATTGGCTGCGTCACGTCAATTTTTGCTGCTGAAGTGGGTACTAGCATTAGCATGTGTGGGGTGCGACTTCACGTCAGAGTGTGACATCACTACCAAATCTGCCCCTCCAACGCTTTCATAAATTAGCCCGTCCGCTCCTCGAAGAAGCATTCCTTTAAACTTCATCAAATAATCAATCAATCGCTTCAAATACACACCCCAGAATCTTATCCAACCTTTTACTTCACTTTTCAAATCACATAAAACAAAATGTCTGCTGGAATGTCCAACGTCGGTGGTCGAGGCACCTACGAGGCCGGTGACCAGCGCAACGCGCCCGCCTCCGCTATCAAGACTGCGGAGAGATACGAGGAGGGCCAGGTCCACAGCCACAGCACCTTGGACTCCAGTAGGTTCCCAGATGAATCAATTATTGTTTCAAGATCAAGTAACTGACGCGTCGACTCTTGCAGAGGACGAGAGATCTATTGCCAACAAGCTCGCTAGCGAGTCAAAGGCAAGTTTGAGAATTCCTTTCAGTTTTTGGTAGCTCATACTAACTGTCCCCGCAGAGCGGTCCTGGAAAAGAGCCGAAAGAAGTTTCGGAGACCAAGAAGGACTCAACACTTCCTGTAAGTAAAATCCTCTTTGCCCAGTTCCACGTTATCTTTCATCCAAGTATGAGCTTGGCTGATCATTATATACAGGCCAGGAACCACGGCAACGAGCCCAGCAAGGGCGCCAAGATTGACCAGGAATTGAAGGAGGAGGAAGAAGCTGCCGTTTCTAAGAAGGGTGGCTTCGGCTCCAAGGCCCAATAAGCATTGACGATACGAAATTCTTTTTAAAAGCGATTTATGGCGTTTATGATGCATGATGCTCTTGCATTCAGTTTCAAAAGATATCCCTTTTGTGGCTGCCAGCAGGCCTATGTAAATATATCTCTAATCGGGAACCAAAAATTTTATTTCCCTTTTGACATATAATTCTCCTCACTAAGTAATCCCGGAAGGGTAATTCACATGTGAACTGTGTAATTGATATCGTAGAGTAAGAATAGTTTAGCATCGTAGATCTGGTTATGCTTCTGTTTCAATTGCGTCTTACGAGAGTCTGGAACTGTATTTATTGTGTAGCGCATCCAGAGAGGGAGGGCACAAGACACTACGCTAATGGATCATTGGGGTCACCGTACCAATACTCGGCGTCGAAGCTCCCAAACGCCTATCTAATCGTCGTCTGTTTAAGCACATGGGCGGTAGAGGCAGCTCCTATTTCAGTGTCCCCGCGATTTACGAGTTTGGTCTCTTGCTACCATGAATCATTGATCAGGATGTGCTGCGGATACACCAGAACCGTGTCGTTCTATCGAGTCTGAGATAGTGGAGGTGTATTCATGGTCCACCATTGACAGCACCACCGATCTACAATGGGCCAAGGATTCTCTCTAACGACACTGTCGGCGGGCTCCGCCAATATAGATGTTCCGGAGCTCTATGATTTGGCTTACGAGAAATCCCTGGGAACTGCTCGTTTTATGAAATCGATCCGAGCCCGTCATCATGATGGCTTGGTCTTCGTTAAAGTTGTGGTTAAGCCTTACTCGAGCATGAAGCTCGACCAATACGTGAAGGAGCTGCTACGTATGACTATCGACCTTTGGATTACTTCTGACTCCTGCTAACAACCTATACCAGGAGAGCGAAAGGCTCTTGCAGACATTCCTAACGCGTTAGGGTACGAGAGAATATTGGAAACAAGCGCAAATGGATATTTGGCCAGGCAGTATATTCATAGCTCGCTTTACGATCGGATGAGGTACGCGACTTTCTGTCTGGATGATTCAAGTCTCTGACGAGTACAGCACGAGGCCTTTTCTTGAAAATATTGAGAAGAGATGGCTGGCGTTTCAGTTACTTTGCGCCGTGCGAGATTGCCATGCCCGCGAAATATATCATGGCGATATTAAGACAGAGAACATTTTAGTTACCTCATGGAACTGGCTCTTCCTTTCTGACTTTTCATCATCTTTCAAACCAACATACCTTCCAGAGGATAATCCGGCGGACTTTTCATATTATTTTGACACATCAGGGAGGCGGACCTGCTATTTAGCACCCGAACGATTCTATTCCCCAGCAACCCAGAATGAAGAGAGAGGACCGGTCAATTGGGCTATGGATATATTTAGTGTTGGCTGTGTAATAGCAGAGCTCTTCCTTGAAGCACCGATATTCTCTCTGAGCCAGCTTTACAAATATCGGAAAGGAGAGTACGACCCGGAGCATGCGCATTTGAGAAAAATTGAGGATAGGGATATTCGAGAGCTGGTCTCTCATATGATTCAGATCGAGCCGGAATCAAGATTTCCTGCAGAGGAATACCTTAATTTCTGGCGCCGCAAAGCGTTCCCCGAGTATTTTTACAGCTTTTTGCATCAATACATGGGTCTTATCACCGATCCTTCATCTGGCCGTGCTCCGATCACTACCGGAATCACAAATCTGGGAGAAGCAGATGACAGAATCGACCGAGTTTTTTATGATTTTGACAAGATTTCCTACTTTCTAGGCTATGATACCCCAAACAAGCATTCTCCAAATACCTCGTCCAGCGTGTTGGGCTTTAATTTGATACCCGTGCATTTGGATATTCCAAACAATCGTCACCAGGCGTCAGCCACAAGTTTTCGTCCAGCCGAGGATGGCACACTTATTTTTCTGACATTAATCGTATCATCCTTGAGGAATACGGCAAGATCCACGGCGAAGATTCGGGCTTGTGATATACTTTTGGCGTTCGCCGAGCGTATCCCGGACGAGGCAAAGATTGATCGTGTCCTTCCATACGTTATGGCTCTGCTCAACGACCCGGCAGATATTGTCCAAATTGCCGCCCTCCGAACCGTGACCCAGCTGGTGAGCCCTTGCAGATATCTCGAGTACATTATTTCATACTAATGTAGGCTTAGATGGCTATGGTGTCTGTAGTTTCACCTATAAACGCATACGTTTTCCCGGAATATGTTCTTCCTCGGTTTCAGCCTTTTTACCCTGGAGCGACACCAAAAATGAAGCCTACAGTTCGTGCAACATACGCAGCTTGTTTAGCGACGCTTGCGAATACGTCCTCTAGGTTTTTGGATTTGGTTCAAGCGCTGAGAGCGGACGGCTCTTTACCCACAGCTGATCCCGAAGCGGAAGATAGTGTTGCTACGAATGCGGCCTATCAAAATCTGTTTGACGTCGCCCGTACCGACTTGGTAGACTACTTTGAGTCTCACACAAAAGCGCTTCTTACTGACAATGATCCCTCGGTGCGAAGAGCATTTCTTGGCTCTGTATCTAGCCTGTGCATTTTCTTTGGTAGTTTAAAGGCCAGCGACGTAATTCTCAGTCACCTCAACACGTATCTCAACGATAGAGACTGGATGTTGAAATGCACCTTTTTCAAAACGATCGTCGGCGTTGCAACAATTGTGGGAAGTTTCAGCTTGGAAGAATTTGTCTTGCCATTGATGGTGCAAGCACTCACAGATCCGGAAGAGTTTGTGGTCGAGAATGTGCTTCGCTCACTTGCTAGCATGGCAGAGCTTGGATTATTTCAGCGTTCGAAGACATGGGAGATTATCGGCATCGTCTGCAGGTTTATGATGCATCCGAATGCTTGGATCCGAGAAGCAGCAGCGCATTTCATTTCGTCTGCTACATCATTCCTCCCTGTTGCAGACAAGCATTGCATTATAGGGCCGCTCCTTCAGCCGTATTTTAAGACGCCAGTCACAGATTTCAATGAGCTTCTCCTCCTTGGTGTTCTCAAAAAGCCCCTCTCTCGAGGAGTCCTTGACCTGGCCGCATCTTGGGCTACTAAAGTCGAAAAGGGAGAATTCTGGAAGGACGGCCAGGCGCAGAGAATATTCGCATTCGGGGCAGTCGAAGATCCGTTCTTCGGTTCCTTCTCAAAGCACACCGGAAATAACGCTTTGAATAAGGTCTCAAAGAATGAGGAAGACGAACAATGGCTCACCCGGCTACGAAATATAGGTATGGCGCCCGAGGACGAATGGAAACTGCTGGCTTTGCGCGAATATATCTGGCGAATGGCGCCGAGGAAACCCAAAGAAGGAGCCGGCAACGCAGCTTCTCATCTCAATAATGTCATAACTTTGAAGCAACTCGAGATCACTCCACAAACAGTATTTTTCAACGAGAAACAATACCCTCTAACTCAGGCTGAACTCAGAACTCAGCGTACTCAGTCCCAGGGTGAAGGGGCGCCTCACACCATTGCGGATGCGCTTCTGGATGCATCGTCTACGATTGATAATCCTGGAAATCGCAGGAAGAGGCCACTTACTTCCAATGGAAGAGAAAGTTTAGAATTCGCGCCGCTTCTGGGGCCGGGCGACGTGGAAAGTGCAGCCATTGACTCGCCCACCTTACCGTCACCGTCTTCGCTCCCTCCTTCCCGCCCTGGCGAGCAGCAGGATATCTTACCGCTAGAGCCGGATGGAGATTCTCGCGTTAAAAGTTTACGGCCTTCTCAGGTGGCCGTAGAAGCCCAAGAGGAATCAATTGATAACGGAGAGGTGGCAGATGGCAGACCAACCAAGCATAATCACCACATGCGTCATCAGTCCAGTGCCATGAATCTCATGAATAGGGCGGATTTATCCAAGGCCTATGCAGAGACCAGTACGACTTCTACAAATGTCTTTGGGAAGGTGAATAGTGCCATGCCACGAGAGCCGTCGGTTCACAAATCAGAAAATACGCCGAAGGATCAGAAAAGCTCGGAAAGCGATTACTCGATCCGTTTCCGTGCTGCACACACTTATGATGGCAATGATCCAAGCGTTCTGAAACTGCTTGACTCTTTATACGTCGAAAATTATCCAGCCGACGTTGTGGAATTTGGCCCCATGGTAACCCCTATCAGCCGTCGACAACCTATAAAGAGGAGCAGTGGCAACACAGCAGAGCGTCCTTGGCGACCTGAAGGTACCCTGGTGGCCACCTTTGGCGAACATACGGGTCCAATAAATCGGGTTCTTGTAGCCGCTGACCATGCATTCTTCATTACGGGCTCAGATGATGGTACGGTTAAGGTTTGGGATACAGCAAGATTAGAGCGCAACCTTGCTCACCGTGCAAGACTGACTCACAAGCATGCGCCGGGCGCCAAAGTGAAATGTCTCGCTTTTGTTGAGAACACGCATAGTTTCATAAGTGGAGCGTCTGATGGGAGCATCCATGTAGTCAAAGTTGACTATAGTGCTGGTGCTACTGCCTCGAGATACGGGAAGTTGCGATTGCTCCGAGAATATACCCTCCCAAAAGGCGAATTTGCCCTATGGATGGAGCATTTCAAAGCCGAAACACACTCGGTTTTGCTAGTGGCCACGAACAAGTCGCGCATCTTGGCCCTGGAACTTCGGACCATGAAGGTTTTGTACTCCTTAGAGAATCCTGTTCATGATGGGATCCCTACCTGCTTCTGCCTCGATCGAAAGCATACTTGGCTCCTTCTTGGCACATCGCATGGTGTTTTGATCCTTTGGGATCTCCGATTCCAAATCAAATTGAAAGCTTGGGGGCTGGCGGGAGGCACAGCCATACATCGACTTTGTGTTCATCCTCTCAAAGGACGAGGAAAGTGGGTGTGTGTAGCTGGTGGAACGGGTCAAGAGGAAATAACTGTTTGGGATATTGAAAAGGCACAGTGTCGAGAGGTATATCGTACCGGTGGAAGCAAAGAGGGCTGGAAAGGCTATGAGCCTTGGAAGATAGAGGATGAGCGACCAGAGGGAATGCTTGGGCGGTTTGCGACCGCGTTGGAACCAAGCGGTAATGCAGGCATTGACAGAGGCGTTCGATCGCTCGTTGTTGGTCTGGATACCTCGGACGATGGTCGTGACTCTCGTTGTGGTTTCCTGATCACAGGTGGTTTCGATCGGAAGGTTAGGTACTGGGACATGACTCACGTTGAAGGCTCTTTGATCGTCAGTGGTCTAGACATTGATGAGCTGAAACCCACCTTCACCTCTTCTCATCCAACGGCCTCATTGACTGTCAACGCAGAGCGATTCCCGCAGCCTGCACCAACGGCACCAAATGCCGGAGTTGGAAATAAAACTTCAAGCAACACGGCCAAAAAGGTGACAGGTCGGCTTCCTCGCTCTACAGTGATATCATTGCAGCAGCAAAACCTTCTCAAATCGCATCTCGATATTATATTAGACGTTGCATTGCTGGAGTCTCCATATGGAATGATTATCTCGGTTGACAGGTCAGGCGTTATTTATGTATTTCAGTAATGGGCCTGGATGGAGGAGTCGAGCGGTTGCTAGAATATTACAATCAATGGCAGACCTTTTGGCCTTTTTGCTAAATTTAATCACATTAATCACTTTCAAAAACTTTGCTTGCAACTTATTTCTACCAATGGTTCAGCCTGGGTTGGTCTATGCAGTTGTGGCTAGTTAAAGTTTTCCCTAATGTAGTTAAGTGCGCCAACCCCAGGTTCACATCGGTAGAGGTAAATTGAGCCTCAACTCAATATCATCAAAATACTCGCCATTAAGAACCCAGCCCGTAATTCCGTCCGATTTCACACAACAGAGACTCATTATCCGACTTTCTCTGTCTCTCGTCGCTCCACAAGACTTCTCTATCGACTACGATTCCTTTCCGAATTCCATCTTCGTCCTTTTCGCCATGAGGTTGACCGCCGACCTCATCCAATCTTCTCTCTCCTACCTGAACCCCGTCAAAGAACGAGAATTAGATCTGCGAGGTGCGTTTCCATGCTGAAAAGAGCAGATACACTACATCTTGGGACGAGCATCATTGATATCGACCGTGTGCGTTTGAGGAATATATAGGGCACAAAATTCCAGCGATAGAAAACCTCGGTGTCGCAAGAGTAATTATCACCCTTTCCCCCCAACTTCTTAATTGCTCCTAGGTCTTCCACATCGTTGTCGCTTTTCTCTTTGCTGACCCGTTTTTCCCTTTTCCAATTAACTGCAGGACCAAGATGCAATCGATTTTACCGATAACGACATTGGCACGTTAGGAAACTTTCCTCTCAACCCGCGCCTTCGAACGCTGCTCCTTGCGCGAAACCGCATCTCCCACATCTCACCGACCCTCGCAGGCTCTATCCCGAACCTCACCAATCTAGTCCTGACGAGTAACCGGCTCACTGAGCTGGCCGATTTGGATCCTTTGGGCAACTTCCCGCGACTCACACATTTGGTGCTGATGGAGAATCCAGTCGCTCGCAATGAGGTAGGGAGCTTTTGCATTTCCCTTGTATCCTATCTCTCTGGCATTTTTTAGTTCATTGCGCTGCGCCGCGCTATAGCGCCGTGGCTTTCACTCTTCCAAGCGTTGAGCCCCATCAGGCTCTAAATTCATCTCATAAATGCAAGCCGACATGCTAACGTATCCGCGCGGCTAGAACTACCGGTACTGGATCGTTTGGAGATGCCCATCCGTCCGTTTCCTCGACTATCAAAAGGTGAAAGACCCAGAGCGCAAAAAGGCCGCTGAGCTATTCGGCACCGTTGAAGAGCCCTCTGCCCTGGCCTCCAAGGTTTGTCTACCATCCTCCTTCTTTCATTTTCTTCCCCCCTTTTTTATGATCTCTGTTTTACGCCGCATATCTTCTATGCTTCCATTTCAGAGACCCGGCCCAAGAATATCTTGTTCAGATCCACATCCTTTGCATCTGAAACAAAGCTGACATAATATCCCCAAAAGATCATGGGTATCAAATCGCGCACTTTCGACGTGCCCGGCGTCTCTTCACCGGCCGATCTTAGTGGCGGCGCGGAAGGCGGAGGACGCGGATATCGTGTCCGACTAACGGAGAAGGAAAGAAAGCGTGTCGAAGAAATGATCCGCAATGCGAAGAGCTTGGCTGAGATTACGCGGTTAGAAAAGGAGCTGAATGAAGGAAGAATACCCGGAGGGGCGTTTGGCGGCGATGTAATGGAGGAATGAGAGAAAACATCTTCTAGGCATTTTCTTTCTAGCATCTCATCTTTTCTTTTTAAGGCCTTCTACGATTCCTATGTGACCTGGGAGAAGCTTCCCTTGCGACAGGTCACTTCCTGCCGTGGTCACTTTATCGGTTGATTCTTGTTTCAGGATTGGATGAATCACTTGGGAAGGTTACAGTTTCATAAAACGTCTAGAAATGGGGCGGGTCTGTACGATATTGTTTTTTTAAAAAGTTGACTTCAAAGACAAAACCGCTAAACCGAGAACCAGCGTCGTAACAAAAAGACTTTTTTGATTTGTGCGCTATGTCATTATCTACTAGTCCCACATGATGCATATCGGCTTAGCATGAAATCCCATCTCCCTTTCACGTCTAAGCGTCATAAATCCCATCTGCTGTTGAAGAGAATCGAGCTAAAAAAGAAAAGCAGAACGAGTAAACACCGGACAAAAACGAGATTGATTCTCCGACATCATGAATCGCAGAGCTGAATGAGCCGAGGTATGGAAGCGCTCCGTCTAACGGAGGTGACGGCGCATATTATAAATATGTTCGCTCTAATCGAAGGGAGCGAGGTAGGACCGAGTGGCGGGTATTGAAGAATGTAGGATAGTACAGAACGATGTAGAAATATCCATTCCGAAAAAGGAGGTTCTGACTAGGTGACCAGTCGAACAACGTAATGTCGTGAGAACAAATTTGCTAATAGCCTCATTAACCAAGCAGTTCGACATCTAAGCCAATGGCACGCATGAACAAATTGACATTGCTGAGTCGCTGACTGGCCATATCAGCAGGCAGAGTCTTGCTCTGCAAGACAGTATCCAAAACTCGATCCCTAGAGAATGACGTTAATCGAAGATCTTAAGAGCGGAGAGAATGGTAGACAATCAGGGAGACTCACTTTACAGCAATTACGAGGCGTTGCTGTTGCTCTGGGCTGGCGCCGATACCTGCTGCGGCTAAGAACTGCCATACGTACATATCTTCGCTGGAGTGTACAGACACTGGGAAGATGGAGCCGAGAACAGGCTCAATGATATCAAATAGACGATTGTAGAGTACCGTCCTAAAAATTATTAGAAAAATATTCTCGCAAAAGCCTTTTTCTTTTTCAGTGGACATACCATTGTTCCCATTCTTGCTCGTTGACGTTTCCAGCCTGCTTGACCAATTCCGCACGGGAAATGAGCATTGTCAAAATGCCAACGCCAACCTTGGTGTAGGCGACTGATTGTATGTTGACGCCGTCGATGACAAGACCAAGGAGACCAGTGACAATGCTCAGAGGGGCTTCATTAACGTAACCAAATAAGCATGGCATTACGGCCTGGCAGAATAATTCGACCTCTTCCCGAACAGCTACAGGCAGTTGCTGCTCGTTTGGTTGTAGATGAGCCCCACGGACCACATCAAGCACATCAAGGTGAACAACAACCATGGTGAGAACAGTAACCCGTTGTTCCTGATCTAGGTGACGGAAGATGCGCGGAATCGCCTTTTTGCCTTTTCCATGCGACAGGAATGCAATAAAGGGATGAGGTGTTGGTGAGCTGAGTCTATTAGCGTTTGAATAGGGCGGAAACGAGTAAAAGTAAAACCTACTTCGGCACAATCGGCTCCATAACCTTAAGCTCCTTCCAAAGAGTCTGGTTCAAGTCGACCATTTCGCGTCTCCATTCGAGATGTTCTTGAACCGAAGCAGCATCACTTTCTTCGGTTGGAGGAGGAGGCATCTGTCGTTCATGGTCCTCAAGCTTCATCAAGGTCGAGTAAACGCTCTCAATGCCGCGGAGAATACTCTTCCGATCATTCGCAGAGACATTGATAGACTTCTTATCGGCATTTACGCGGCTTGATGCGTCTGAGCTCTCTTGCCGTTTGATATTGAGAAGTGGCTTTGGTGTCTTTGCGTTACTAAACGAGATCTTTCCCAGACTGCCTTCAATGACAAGCTGCTTGTTTTTCGGCTTGAGTTTAGCAGCTTCGACAGCTCGCTGCACTTGTTGTTCCATACGTTGCATATGATTGTCTCCGCCCCGATGGTGTCGCCTGCCTCCAGGACCGCCATGCCGACCGCCCGTTTGGAAAAGGTAGGTTTGAGCAAAGTGACCCAATGGTTGGTTAGGGTTCTGTCTCGGTCCTCCGCGAATCTGGTTGTGGACCTGGTAATAAAAGTCCTCTGAGAGAGCCGCATCAGAGCCCGGTTCATTCAGCCCACCTGTGGCCGTGACCAATTGCTGCAATTGAATCCGAGTGATGAAGTTCTTGTCCTGAGGTGTCATCAATCCATTATCCTTTGAAAGCAGGAAGATCTTGTGGTTCCGCTTCGCACGCTTGGCATCTTCAATCAGGAATGCAGCACGCTCTTCCTCGGAGAGTTGAAGAAGTTGCTGAGGGTTTGTAATGACAGGCGCCCCCGGAAAGCCTCCAGCTGCGGCAGGAGAACCGAATTGCCTGGGGTAAGGCGCTGGCTGCACCGGTTGGCGGTTCGGGTTCTGCAAAATCTGGCGAGGCTGAGGGGAGCCGCGGTGTCCAGAAAATTGAGCGGGAATGGGCTGCGGCCGTTGCAAAATCTGAGGGGGATGCGCAGCAAAGTTTGGTACATCAGTCGGAGTTGGCTGCGAGAAGCGGGGGTCGACTCCGACTTGATTCGGCGCAGGTGGTTTCACAGGGAACCCGGCCACGTTAGAGACCTGGGCTTGCAGGGCAGCTGGGATCGACTGCTGCTGCGGAGGCGCGGTCGCTTGGGCCAATGCCTGGGCTTGTGCCACCGAAAAGGGTGGATAGGATGGCGGAACAGGGGCAGGAGCTTGAGCAGCCTTGGGCTTGGGCTTCTGAGTGCGCATCGCGGCCTCCACCTCCTCCAAGCTCATGATCTTTTTCGGCAGCGCTTGAGCAGCGCTTGTCTGAGTGGGAGGTGCAATAAAAGTCTGCTGCTGAATTGTTTCCGGCGCCTGTTGCTTTGAACCTACTCCCCACAGATCGGCGCTGGCCTGCAAGTCCGGAATCTGATACTTTTCGTAGCCAGTCCTTTTTGGAGCCTTGGGCTGAGCGAACTTGGGCGCCGGCTGATGCCGAGTATAACGGAGCTGTTCTTCATGGATAGCATCCGATACTTTAGCGGTTTGGCCAAAGAAATCGAAATCCTTCCCTACAGCAGGCGCCTCCAACCCAGAAGAACCGAAAGTATCATCGTTGAAGGTATCATCAGTCTCGTCGAGCTGATCGCCAAGCCCATCGTACGTGTCCTCAAATTCGAGGCTACAAGATAGTACGCATTAGTGGCACAGATACTACCCAGACCGCAGTGTAGTACTCACGCTTCATCGTCACCTCCGGCACCTCCACGATGAGAAAAGCCTGCAAAGGGATCAGGTGCTTCTCCGAAGCCTGGCGCTTCCCTTGGGTGACCCCTATCCCTTGGAAGGGTGGTGTCGAAGCCAAAGAAAGACATTGCGACCTCGAGCTTGATCCAAAGCTCCACTGAAAGCTGAAGCTAGAATGTAGACCGTTGTTGCCTATGCAAAGTAGATCGATTCAGATCTGGCAGGTAAAAGGACGAAAAATCTCGGTGAAATATCTATAGATGTGCGATAGGAGCACACGTCGAAGACGAATGATAGAACTGCATGGAATTGTCAGCCAATGCAAGTGATGCAAGATTGGGGCAGCACTCACGATCAACGATCCACCTCACAAGATGAAAGTGAACAGATGAGGATTACCAAATGACGCAAGAGTAGATAACTGATAAGCACACAGTCAGTTGAAGCTGAAAGGTTCAAAGACCTCCCATCCAACCTCAGCGTACTTTAGCTGGCCTTTGGTACTGCGTATGGTGGGGACCATCTATTGAAGAGTCGGAGATGAATCGATCCATCATTGATGCGTGCTAGCTGCCGTGAACTGCAGTACCCAGTGACGCAGTTTTGCAAAGCTGCACTGATGACGTGAACGGTTCTCCGTATGTATATGCATTATTGGTACGTAACCTCCGCCGTATATTTGCACAGTTGGTTTGCTTTGCACCACGCAACTTCCATTAATAGCGGAATTACGGGGTAGCGCGCGAATCAGGAACAAGCACTTCCCCTAAGTTTAATCCCATTTGCCGCTGTAGGGGTATTGCGCGTCGATCTCCGCAGCCAAAGTAAGGGCGAATTGACACCCTTTTGTGCACCCCTCTGTATTTTCGCGTTTCCCTTTTGAAAGGGACAAATGTGCATACATCTTTTGACTCGCTGTTCATCTACGTCGAGGTTTTGATTTGAGTGGAGACAGGCTCACTCAGCCTTCAGTTATTGTCAATATCCTTTCAATTCCTAGTCTGGTCGTGTTCCCCACGGCTCCTGATCCGGACCGTTGTTAGGAGCTACTCTAGTTGTGCTGCACCCCACAACCCAACGGCTTAGACCTAAGGGACAGATCATTTCAATTTCGCAACCTCCTTGATATCATATCCATACCAGAAGCCAAGGTGTGCGTTCAAGAAGCTTTGCTCCGCCGGCGGGCAAATAACAAGGGCCTCTCATCGTCACAAGAGAGAGCAGATCCACCCAGCTTAGCCTCAGGGGCAGAAACCGGAAAGGGAGACAGCGGAGAGGGTTCGAAAGACACAATGGCTTCAGGTTCAGGGAGATATCTGCGATACCTCTTGGTGACATTTTTCGTATGTTTGCGCTTTTTTCCAGGCCTAGGCTGAAGTGCACCAAAGCTGACTTTCCATTTCACAGATCTTTGCAGTCCTTTATTTCATTTCCTCGTCGTCGAAGCCACGAGAGCACTTGCAAACCGCTAGTGACATTATCAGAGAGCAGAATGAAAAATGGAGAGGTTACTATGATCAAACGACCGCACCTAGTGCAGGTGCGACTGAAGGACATCACCCCAAGGCATCCTCTCAGCCAGCTCCACCCACAAGCCCTAACACGGTGGCCGGCCTACCTAATGCCGCTGCTGATGGGCCAAGAATGAATGCCACCTTTGTGACTCTTGCACGTAATTCGGATATCTGGGAGATCGCCCGGTCGATTCGCCAAGTGGAGGACAGGTTCAATCACCGCTACAACTATGATTGGGTCTTCCTCAACGACATGCCGTTCGACGACACTTTTATCAATATCACTACTTCACTCGTTTCTGGAAAAACCAAATATGGAGAGATTGAAAAGGAGCACTGGTCTTTCCCTGATTTCATCGACCAGGACAAGGCCAAAAAGGTCCGCGAAGACATGGCTGCGCGCAAGATTATCTACGGCGACTCTGTCAGCTACAGACACATGTGTCGGTTTGAGTCTGGCTTCTTTTTCCGTCAGCCTCTGATGAACGAATACGAGTGGTATTGGCGCGTTGAGCCCAGCATTGAACTCTTCTGCGACGTCCACTATGATCCCTTCAAATATATGGCGGACCACAAAAAGAAGTACAGTTTCGTGCTCAGTCTTTATGAATACGCCGAGACTGTTCCTACTCTGTGGGATAGCGTCAAGAAGTTCATGAAGACTCATCCTGAGCACATTGCGCAGGACAATTCTCTTGCCTTTTTGAGTGATGACGGCGGCGACAGCTACAACCACTGCCATTTCGTACGCTTCTTCCCGTGCCAATCCATTAGTTCTGCGTGTACTAATTCCTCTTTAGTGGTCGAACTTCGAAATTGGAAACCTCAACTGGCTTCGGTCTCCGGCGTACTTGGACTTCTTCGAGTCTCTTGACCGGGATGGTGGTTTCTTCTATGAACGCTGGGGAGACGCCCCAGTGCACTCCATTGCTGCTGGCCTCCTCTTGCAGAAGGAAGAGATCCACTTCTTCAACGACATTGCCTATTACCACGTTCCCTTTACACACTGTCCGACAGGAGAACAGACCAGACTTGACCTTAAGTGCCACTGTAATCCCAAGGACAATTTCGACTGGAAAGGATATTCTTGTAAGTTCAGTCCAGATCTGATCCTCCGCTCTCCTTCCTCGTCGATCCTCATCATTCAATTACCGCCGTCGTACTGACCATTACATTGCAGGCACTTCAAGATGGTTCGACATCAACGGTCTCAAGAAACCAGACGGCTACGAAGCCGAGATGGATTAACGCTCTACGCTCATCATCATCAACATCACTTTGCTAGTCTGTCTTCTCATCGTATTTGGAAGCTTCTTAGAGTATCAGACTGAAGTCTTTCCTACCGTCCAGTCTAACAGGCATATCCCCCCTGTTAGTCCTGGTTTTCTTTTGGAGTCTATGCTGATTATCTCACGCAATGGCGTCTTTGGGGTTGTCGAGGTATATTGTATCTTTTTCCTGGCTTAATATGGCCAAGAAACAGGGTGCCCTTTTCTGCATCTTATTGCATTTTTCTTGCCGTTCAATTTCACTTTGAGAAAACACAAGAATATCAAATCATGTATGGCTAGTTGACATTGCGATTTGCCATCGGGGACATGTATTCGGAGCTTCTCACATGTATGAAGGGTCTAAAAAGGGTTTCTTTTTCAATTTATTCCCTTGTTCTTTTTTATATTACTTTTTACTCGGTGATATTTCTCATTTATTTTCAATTTATATTCGATATTTACTCCCTTCACATGTTCCCTCTTAAACGTGCCTGAATTATTAATGGGCATGGAGGCATGAGCTGATTTGAGACATTGAATAACATTGCTACCGGAGAATGATGCTTTCTAGTAACCCATAAATGCCATTTATTTCCAAACAGAAAGAGAGGCTATCTATGAGTAGGATTCGTTAGGTGAACTAGTCTTATTCCATTTGTCTTCAACGCGAAAATCAAGTTGAGAAAGTACGTGAATCCATAACAACGCCATATGCCCATGTCTCGCCATGAAATAACAAAGGTGGTTTTTGTAATCATGCGACTGCTGTCGTCATGGTCGAGCGTCCGGTATAAAATGCCCCAAAAATTAAAGAGAAATGCTGCTATGTACGACAAAATTCACGAAGCGAAAAATTGATACAGGTATGTCGAGATGAGGATCTTGTGGCTGGAGGCGCTTAAGAAGACTTGGGCTTCTTCGTTCCGTATTTTGATCGACTGGTCATACGGTTGCCAACGCCACCCTATTTGTAAAGAAAAAATTGGAGAATTAGCATATCATGACTCATTGTATGAAGACGAAGGTATGGATTGCTTGTCCAAAAAAAAAGAAAGAAAAGAAAGAGAATGGTGATATGGGGGGTTGGATTCAAAACTTACAAGATCCATGGCGCCACGGACAAGATGGTATCGCACACCGGGACAGTCCTGGCTACGACCGCCTCGGACAAGAACGACGGAGTGCTGCTGGACGTTGTGGCCTATATTTTTTGCGAGATGTGGATTAGTTTCTGCTTTTTATATTGTATTGCAGTTTTCAAGAAGAGCTGAGACTGCATTGCTTTCTGGTCGAAACAAGATTCGAAGGGCCAATGGATGTTCAAAGGTCCAACAAAATCAAACAGCTTCCCCACCCCCCCGCAAACAAAAAAACAACTCACCTTCTCCGGGAATATAGCACGTCACGACTCTTCCACTGGACAATCGGACTCTTGCGGTTTTTCGCTCAGCCGAATTGGGCTTCTTGGGCTTGGTAATGCCGACTTTGAGACACACGCCCTTCATTTCAGGTCGGTCGACGAGCGCGGGAGAGACGGGCTTGCGGGCGCGCTGCGCAACACGACATCCTCGGAGAACTTGGTTGTATGTGGCGAAGAGAGAATTGCTGGTCGAAAAGGAACAAGTAACAGAAGGAGAAGGGAGCGCTCGCTGCGCTGCCGCAGCTGGTCCTCGTCCGATGAGCGAGCTGAATGGCGAAAGGGAGAGGAGCCGCGGCTGGGTAAAAAGTCGGAAAGCCATGATTATTTGGCGGCAACCGTGGAAGGTTTCAATTGCCAGATGTCAGAAAGGATTGGAATTGTTGGCAATTGAATTCGGGCGACACCGTACGGGAGTTGGGAAATGTGCGAAGGGTGTTTGGACGTGGTGATAGCCATGGCCAATGCATCAGACATGGGAAAGTTTCCGAGTCGGAAATATTGCGGTCACGTGGCCACGTATTTGGGGTTTGATGCCACGACCGCGTCCCCAACCGCGACAACGAAATTCAGATTTTGAAGAGGTTAAATAATCACTTTATTCGTGTGTCTGAATTCGCCAAAATTCGACGTATGATTCATAATATTTATAGTCACAAGATATGCAAAAATTCGTATGTATAGAGTTTCCTCAGTTACGGCTCATAGCTTCGTCTCCCACTCGTATATCCCAGGATATCTTCCAATTTGAACATCGAAAAAAAGGGGAACATTGTCCAAAACGAAACAAACTACTTCTGACCTTTATACCTTGTTGCCACCGTGTCTCACAGCCTCAACACCAGCAGCGGCCACGCTCTTCACGTCCGTCTTACCAGAGCTGCAACGAAGAATAAGTCATTAGAATTTGGCCACAACGCAAAGGTAAATGGTATTTTGAACTTACTAGATCGCCTGGACGTTCTCGAGAATGGTGTTCCAGTCCTCAAAGAGAGTGAAGGGCACGCCCTCACGCTCACAGTATGTCACCAAGTCTGTAACAAGGGATTAACAATTCTTGTCTGGTAATCGGAGTAAAGGGGACATACCATGGCCCTTCTTGGCAAACAAAAGGTCCGTCTCACGAGCTGCCGACAGGTCCGAGACACCGTCACCAGCGTAGAAAAGAGTGGGCCGCTTGTCCGCGGGCAGATTGGCATACGGCCGGATGGCAAGGGACTTGTCGTGGCCGAAGGAGCTGAAACGATGTCAGCGGCGTGCCTACAAAAAATTGGAGATTTCACCGGCGGGGATTTACCTGTCGTCGTGATATTCAATCTCCCAAGCAGCCTCCTTGTTTTCCCAATCTTCGGGGATCTTTCCGTCAATCTTCCGAGGCTTCACGTCGTTGCTGATGATCTGGATCTTGGCGGCATCGGGGCCGACCAAGTGCTCAAGGAGAGCGCGGATGATTGGGACCATGCCGGAGGAGAGGACTACAACGGGGACGTTGTGCTCAAGAGCCCACTTGTAGAAGTCGTTAAAGTGGGGGTCCAACTTGATGTTGTCGACTAATGTCTGCACGCATTCGTTGAAAGGGTGCTTGATGCTGTCAAGCATCTCCTTGAATGCATCTCTACAGTAAAAAAGAGCTCCATGTTAGCAACGGAGACCCCGGACCGGGCGGATCGGGCGGCTGTCAACGAACCTGAAGGTCTCCCTGTTCTCCAGCACCTCAATGTTGCCTTTTCGGCGGAGCTCAGGTCCAAAACCAAGGTTGTCGGTCTTGAAAAAGTCAGCTTCATTTGCTACCAGACAAAATATAATTTCGGGCGCGTACTAAGTAGTCATTGCCTTAAAATCGCGCAGTTAGCAAACAAACAAGGATCCATAACGACACCCGTGAGGGATGATGGCAACTTCACTTACTGTCCTTCATAGTAATAGTACCGTCAAAGTCCGTGAAGAAAATGAACTTTGGGTTGGACTTCAAGGCGGGGAGCTGGTCTGCCGACATCTTGGGCAATTTGTGTATATGGAAACGGAAGTGACGAGATGGAAAGGAGTGGGAAGAGCTTAGATTATAGCTCAGTAGGTTGCGACGGTTGTTGGGGAAGGGTTGGGGGACAAATAATAAGATGCGTTTGGCAAGTCAATTGTTGACCAGAACAATTGAGCTGTTTTGTGTATGAGGGGAAAAGAATAAGTGAAAATGAGGGGCAACGTGGGTGGCAGGTGAACGAGGGCCAGTTAAGTAGTAGTTGGCCCTGTCATGCTGCGATCGATTTACGCCATGGGCTGGGGTTCATCATGGTGGGGTACAGGCGACGAGACCGGCCCCTCCAGCTTTCCCTCAGTCTCCTGAAGGTTGACTGACGAGGGGCCGCCCAGAACCGCCAAAAACAGACCGGGAACAGTGCAAGCGTTGGTTCCCTCGGTCCAGCTTGCGTTTGCTCATGATGGCCCATACCGCTCTTGTGATTGGCTCAAGCCACCAAAAGACCACTCTGACGCAAACTGTCAAGATGGACTTTTCGACTTGACAGACATGGCTCATTATTGTACTACTCCGTAGAGGAAAGCAAAGGAAAATTTCGAGCCCGCTAAAAATGTGTCACCAAATCATCCCATTACTTCGCCTTATTTATGATTCTCTGGGCAAGCAGCATAATCTGGCCCAAGATGTAAGGCACATCGCACCACCCAAGGCACCCCACGGGCATCCAACGCCAAAAGCCGCATTCGCCCTTTGTACCTGCCGCATCGTATTCTGCAGTGACGTGACTTTCTCGTCAAATTGAGAACATCATTTCTTCAGTCGTGACCGGTATACCCCCACGTTGTTCTTCCACCAAGTGCAGATGATTCGTCTCACTGCAATTGCTGCGGTGGTATACTCGCCCTTAGATTCGTATATTTTAACTTCAAAGTATGTTTCACAGAATAGGAGAAACCCATCGCATCCGTCGCAGTCAGCGTGGGACAAGTGTTACCACCCCCGTTCGGCCGCGCCCGTTGTCATTCGCGTGCCTGGAACAAAATGGCGCTACCGGCGGGCAATCGGAGCCGGATCGCTCAATGTGGCCCATGCGCCATTCTGCCGAATCTCGTGCGCTGTACCTCTGTAGTTACCTACCTAGAACCGGGGGAATGCTGCAAATGGTCGAAAACAGTCGCACCGTCAAAAGACAGCGATGAGGCCATTGCTCAGGCACGTAGCAAAGCCTACGTTCGAATCCCTCATTACAAAGACCCTTCCAAAGTCTCTACCAAGACTGAACGCATATTTTCCCCGACCACAACATGTAACGCCGACCGCCTGCCTCCAATGTCAATTCCGGATCCAGTTGAGATATTACAGCGAGAACCGGAGCTCCTCTGACCGGGAATCCTCACAAGCCGCCCAAGATGAGGTTAAACTTTCCAATGTAGGGGCAACCGCGAAGCCTTCTTCGAAGCCATCAGAGCCTGAAATACCAAGCGCAAGTTTGGCCTCAAACGCCACGTCTGATGCATTTACAACGGCCTACGCCCAGACTCAACCGCCCAGAAAAGATCTGCCCTCGGAAGAAGAGGGACGACGATGGCAGCTTTCAAAGAAGTTCTCCCATGTCATGGACAACCTTCAGACGAACATATTTTTAGCTGGCAAGACATTGAATGATCTTACGGGCTATTCGGGCATTGAGGCCCTCAAAAAAGAGATTGAGCACCAAGGTATGCTTCCAATCAGCATCAACTTGGCTATGCCAGTCAAACATAACTAAACCAACACCGCAGAACAACGTGTTCGTGATGCTCGACGATCTGTGCATGATTCAAAAGATGCATATTCCGCCGCCATTGCCCGCCGATCTGCCTCTCAGCGAGAGGTCAACGAGTTGCTGCAGCGCAAGCACGCCTGGTCCGCTCAGGACCTGGAACGGTTTACCGAACTGTACCGATCCGATCATACAAACGAGCAGACAGAGCTCGCGACTCAGCAAGCACTCACTGCCGCTGAGCAAGTCGCCGAAGAAGCCGCTGTTCAGCTAAGCCGCAGCATCCTGGCCCGGTACCACGAGGAGCAGATCTGGAGCGACAAGATCCGACGGATGAGTACCTGGGGTACTTGGGGCCTTATGGGCGTCAACGTGCTACTCTTCCTCGTCTTCCAGATTGGCGTGGAGCCATGGCGACGGAAAAGACTAGTGAAAGGCTTTGAAGAAAAGGTCATGGAGGCGATTGAGCGTGAAAGCAGCGTCCTCGCTGCCCCCAAGGCCCAGTCTGATTCCAATGCCCCCAACACGGTGGTTTCTCCATCACAAGAACAAGCCGAACAGCCCTTTGTCCTGACGGACGGGACGCAGAGCGAGCCAACGCCCGGAGACTCTGCCAAGGTCGAGCAACCTGCTGCTACTGCTACGGCCGATGCCTTTGCCCCTGTCCCTGAAGCTGAGGTTCCGCTTGCATCAGAATCTTCTGGGTCTGAGCTTGAAAATCAATCTCGACTTGGGGAAGAGCTACCCCTACTAAAGTCAATCAAGGACAAGGCAATGGTTCCCGTCCAGTATGCTGACCGATTTCTACGTGATATTTTCAGTCAGAAAGAGGTCCAGCTTCGTAAAGTCGATGTGACTACCATTGCACTAGAGGGTACCGTCGCAGGTGCGGCGTTCGTGGGAGCTATGATAATGCTGCTCCGACATACATGATTGTCCTTGTTTTGATTGGTCTGCTGCTGTTTTCCCAGCGTGTGTGATCTGCAAGCATTAAAGACGGCATCTAGCATATCTTTGTACAATAGTGTAGAGCCTTTCTTTGGGTGTATTATAACCAGCTAGCAAAAGCTATTTCAATCAAAGGATTAGATTTCACTGGATGGACCGTTACAAGTAACGAATATACGAACATGCATCTGTAGCATCTGAAGCATGGTCAAGTCACTGTGAATCAATATCAAGTGGACAAAAGAGTATGCTAAAAGTTCAAAGTGTATGAAAGGCTATGGTACAAATCTACAGCGAACTACTCAACACTTGGACAATTGATAGGCGGCAGTGGCTTGGATATCGGCCTCCCCATCCAGGGTCCTCTTCTTGTACAGCTGGAAACCAGGACCTAATGTCACCTTTCTAGAGAAAAAATAAACCAAAGAAAATTTCTGGGACGAGGATTGCTTTAACCGATGACGATGGAGGTCTCCGAGGGGAAGTCGTACTCGGGGATCTCCAAGTTCAAGGGGGCGGGACCCTTGCGGACACGGCCAGAAATGTCGTAGTGGGAACCGTGACAAGGGCAGAACCAACCACCGAAGTCACCAGCCTCACCGATGGGGACACAACCCAAGTGAGTGCAGACACCTAATAAATTTACCTGGTTAGACGAATGCACAGAAGATTATTTTTTTCCTGAATATACGAACCAAGCATGACGAGCCACTCAGGCTTCTTCGCACGGGCGGAGTCGGGCTGGGGGTCACGGAAAGACTCCCACTTGGCATCCTCGGCCTCCTTGATCTCATCGGCGGTACGGTGACGGATGAAAACGGGCTTTCCACGCCACTTGATAATGACCTGATAGGGGTTTACGTGTAAGTTGATAGAACTTGATAAGAGCCTACTAGGAGAAGACTCACGTTCTTGCCCTCGGGGATAGCGCTGAGGTCGAGCTCGACCTTGGCCTGGGCCAGGACATCGGCAGAGGCAGACATGTTGACAAGGAAGTCTACAGAGGCAGTGTCATTAGAAAATTTATCCTCCAAGATCGCGCAATAAGGGCAATGCCTTGTTTCAATGGCAATGCATCTTCTTCGGGGTTGTTTGAGACCTACCCTGAACGGTGGCCTTGGCTCCAACACCAGTCAACATGCCCATGGTGCCGACCATGAAGTACTGGAAGACCTTGTTGGAGGTCTCGCCCTTGCTGCTCTTGTAGCTGGCAAAGCTGGGGATCTTGGTGGAAGAAGTCTCGCCGCGGAAGGGGCTGTCGAAAGAGGACGTCGCCTGGTCGGCTTTACCACGTCTCTGCGCAGCCATTGAGGTGGCGGCAATGGGAGCCAGCCGCTGCCGTGCGCAAGTGCGCAGGAGGGCACTAGATCTTGACGTGAGAGCAGACATCCTGGCGGTTTGGGGGGCTGATGCTGTACAATCGATCGTCCTCGGGAGTTGATGGAAATGGCGGCAAGGTTTGAGAGTAGAGAGTCTGCCAAGCATGAGGTAAGCAAGTAGGCGTCGCTTATGATTGGTCAATTCCTTCCCGACAATATTGCCTGACGAGGCAATCTACCACTTTATCCCCTCAGACTCGTCAACCAAAAATAACAAATTTGATAATAGATCATAATCATATTGTACTGAGCGACGGTGCATTGAAAATCAATTTATGCTTTCTAGGTTGCGTCGATGAAGCGTGCTTATTCTGCCAATAGCCTTCATATCTCCTTGAGTGCCAGTAGGATGAATCGCTCACTTTACACTTATCAGCGAATCATAATCGGGGAATTTCCGTGCCAGTAATAATCACAATCTTCATATGAAATTTCACAGAGCACGGTATTTATTAAATGAATATACACAGCTAAAATGCAAGGTATCAAATTATCCGAAAAACGCTAATTTCATACTTTTGAACCGACTGCGCCATTGCCGTTGGACCTGCGAATACACCACCAGCGCCTTAAACCTGAACCAGTTTGTACATTTTTGTGCAATCATATTTATTCCACCATAGCGTCCTCATCAGGGTTACTCGCCAGGATGCCACTTTCTCGAGAACCGCGAATCTCCATTTTCATGTTGTCTCTCTGAGGAATCGTTGCATCACTATCGACGGACTCCTCATATCCAGCTCCGTCCAGTCCCAAGCGGCCAACTTGGCTTCGATCCAGGGCCGCCTGACTGGACTCAGATATGTTTCCATTGCTAGGATCGAATTTCTTCTCCTTTAATTGCTTGTAAGGAATCGTTTTCGGCACGACATCTGAAAGAAATTCGAGGTTATCGATGCGGGCGACAGCGTTTGCTACACGTCCAACGTTAGTACTTATATTCTCAATTAGTAAAGGCAAATTTTTACCAATGTCTTTGTACTGTATATTCCGTCGAGGCTTCCTTTCTGACTTTACAACATTGTGCGCCTGCTCCGCCAAATACTGAATAAACATTTGCTGGTATCACTTAGCACAAGCTCATCGTGTAGTCGATAGTTGAAGGTATCGTACCGTTGCAATAGTGATGGTAAAAGCAGCATTGTTTGAGCAGTTGTGGATATCATCGTCCACGTGTATAATTCGTTTTATGCGCGCAACTGCATGTAACGTCAATGGTCATTGCCTATCCATTGTATGCGTCGCCAGGATTTCTTACGGGGCAAAGAGACTTGGCCGGTCACCTCCTCCGACGAAGAGGTGGCAAGATTCTTGTTACTCATTTGGGGGAGTCTTCTTTGAAATAATCCAAGGAGCCGGCAAGCTGGTAATCTTCTGCAAGTACCACGAGAGATATAACTTGTCTCCTCGGGGTTCTCAAATTGTTTGTCGCGTGGAAACGCGAACGAGACTACAAGTCGACACGTAGCGCTTTGCGCCTGCAGCACGGATGAGTATGATGAAAGCTTTTATCTGAAGTCCTGGACATACTGAATATGATCACGGTCTTTTCTGATCTCAAATTTGTGAGACAGACTCCACCATTTCACATTGCTCTCATTGTTCTATGGCAAGACCATTAGACCGCGTGCCGGCAAGTTCCGCACCGCTGTTGATATCACGGCCGATAATGAGCTCTCACAAGGGTCACCTGGCTACTGCGTGCTTCTACTGAGGTCCGCTGGCCATGCGTGCTTTCTAATGTGATGAACTCCAGCGCCGTGTCTTCTCGGTCGCATCCATTGCGCCCGTCAAATCCCAGGTCCGTATCAACTCATTCGCGGTCCCGGCGTCTCTCCGCACTCTCGGATGCCGAACTTGGCCAGAATGGCGACGCAAGCAGGACTGGAGCAGCTCATCAGATAACTGAAGAGATAGCTGAGATCAAAAAATATGAGGTACATCCGTGCAAAGAATGTCGAGGAATCCAGTCGCTAATTTCGTGACAAGGACTTTACAACAATAGGTACGAGTGGTCGCATCCAAGGATCTAGAATTTCGAAAATCGCTGAGCATAAGTTTAGATTGGGTTCAGGATGCTGCTCGTGAGCAGCTAAGAAGAAGGGCGAAGCGGAAAAGCAATGTTAATGTCTTTCAGAGAGGAGATCAAGATGGCTGGAGGTCTAAACTTTGGGAGTCTTATGACGCCGGGCAAGCGTGGATCGTTGTCAGCCTGATTGGTAGGTTAATTCTACTAGAGTCTTGTTCGTGCAATTTAACAGATTGTCAGGTGTCGTTATTGGGTTGAATGCTGCATTTTTGAATATTGTCACGGAATGGTTATCTGACATCAAGCTTGGCTATTGCACCACCGGCTTTTATCTCAATGAGAATTTCTGTTGCTGGGGTGCGGAAAATGGTACGATTACCCCGTTCTAATAGTATCTGTATACGTCCACGGATGCAAGTAACAGGTCCCCATGTCAAAGCTTCTGTACTGAATGTATCTAGGTTGTCCTGAATGGCACCGATGGAGCAATTTTTCGCCCGTCAACTATACGATATACATTCTGTTTTCGGTGCGTATTTAATTTCCGCTTGGGGGCTCAGCAATTGCTGAAAATATCTTAGGCATTATTTGCGTTCATGGCGGCTCGCCTCGTTAAATCTTTTGCGCCCTACGCTGCAGGTTCGGGTATCTCAGAGATCAAATGCATCATCGCCGGCTTTGTCATGAAGGGATTTCTCGGTTTTCCAACGTTGCTCATCAAATCCATCGGCTTACCGCTTGCGATTGCGTCTGGACTTTCTGTCGGAAAAGAGGGCCCAAGTGTGCATTACGCGGTCTGTACTGGCAACGTTATTTCGAGATTCTTTGATAAGTATAGACGCAATGCTGCAAAAACAAGGGAGATCCTTAGTGCTTGTGCAGCTGCGGGAGTTGCGGTTGCTTTCGGCAGTCCAATTGGTGGGGTATTATTCTCACTAGAGGTAAGCGGGGAATTCTTTCTTGAAGTGAGGCAATTCAGCTTACCCTAAGGGCGTAGGAAATGTCCTCGTATTTTCCACTGAAGACTATATGGCGCAGTTATTTTTGTGCGCTGGTGGCTACCGTTGTTCTGGCTGTAAGTCTAGTTTGGTAACGAAAACTGCTGCACAGTTTAAGCTAAATCGATACCAAGGCTATGAATCCGTTCCGTACCGGCCAGTTGGTAATGTTTCAAGTCAAATATGACCGTTCGTGGCACTTTTTTGAAATCATATTTTACATTGTCATCGGCGCATTTGGTGGACTATATGGTGCCTTTGTCATCAAGTGGAATCTGCGCGCTCAGGCTTTCCGGAAGAAGTATCTTGCCAGTTATCCGATCATAGAGGCAGTCTTTCTTGCTGCCTTGACCGCGATTGTTTGTTATCCAAACAAATTCCTGCGAATTGATATGACCGAGAATATGGAAATTCTCTTTTTAGAGTGTGAAGGCGGCCATGATTACGATGGCCTCTGCGAGTAAGGACGCTTTACTCTGATTCCACTACAATCGCTGACCTATCTCAGGCGCAAGAATCGATGGTGGATGGTATTTCTGCTTGCCATTGCCACTATACTTCGCATCCTTCTCGTCATCATCTCGTATGGATGCAAAGTACCTGCGGGTATTTTTGTCCCTTCTATGGCGATAGGCGCCTCCTTTGGTCGAATGGTTGGCATCCTTGTGCAGGCATTGCATGAATCCTTCCCTCATGCGAAATTCTTTGCTTCCTGCCAACCGGACGTGCCTTGTATCACTCCTGGAACATATGCTTTCTTAGGGGCTGCGGCTGCGTTAAGTGGCATCATGCATATTACGGTGTCAGTTGTTGTAATAATGTTTGAACTTACCGGAGCTCTGACGTATATCCTTCCCACAATGGTGAGTGATCTTCCTTCCTTGCCAAGGCCTCAATTAACTTGGGATTATCCAGATCGTCGTAGGTGTCACCAAGGCAGTTGGCGAACGCTTTGGAAAAGGCGGTATTGCAGATCGAATGATCTGGTTCAATGGATTTCCTTTCCTGGACAATAAGGAGGAGCATACATTTGGTGTGCCGGTCTCGCAAGTTATGACAACTGACATCTCGATAATCCCCTCTTCGGACCTAGAGCTGCAAGATCTCGAGAAGCTGTTTCTTGACAACAGTTTTCAAGGCTACCCAATTGTTGAAGACTCCAATTCGCGGGCCTTGGTTGGATATATTGGACGCACCGAGCTACGCTATGCAATTGATAGAATCAAGCGCGAACGCTACGTTCCACCAAATGCAAAATGCTTCTTTACGGCTTTACCATCAGTGGATTTTCCATCTGCGGAAGCAAGACCGGTCACCTTTGATGATATTGGGCCTACATCAGACCTAACATCAATTGACTTCAGCCAATTCATCGATCCGACCCCACTAGCAATACACCCTCGTCTGCCGCTGGAAACAGTGATGGAGCTATTCAAAAAGCTAGGCCCTCGGGTAATTCTTATTGAATATCGGGGGAAGCTGACGGGTCTAGTAACTGTGAAAGATTGCCTCAAGTATCAGTTCAAGGTCGAGGCTCATGAGAATCCCAGGGACAATTCAGCTTTGGAAGAAGGTCAAGCAAAAGCCTGGGCCGCTTTGTTGAGCTCGGCACGCTGGTTGGGACGAATACTTGATACGGTTTCTGGTGGCAGATTTGGGCGAAAAGGAGAAACTAACATTGCGCTTGGCTTTCGAACGGCTGCTCCTCAACCGGTGCGCAGGCCCTCGTTGTCGACGACAAGGGATGAGCCCGATCAGACAGCTGCAGACAATGGGCTCGAACTAGAGAACCGTTAAAGATTTAATTCCCATTCATGATTTATGTCTAGATTTCGAATTACAATTTGCCATCCAATATTTATCTAATTACATATAGAGTCCGATAATGCATTCGGAAAGTGTCCAATCAGGGGATATCACATTGCCACTCTAGCAAATCTAGGCATTCGGTGTTTCATCAAGTATTACACTTTGTCCAAAGTAAGGTATTTTCAAATGGTACCACAGCAATGCCCTTCCAACCACTAGGAATCAGCTGCGAGCTGCATGGCTACCGTCTCCAATGTTTCCCCCGTCTTCAAACTCGACTGCTTCCGCAAGAAGCTCTTCCTCCTCTTCCCTCAAAACATCGTCTCCCTGGCCCGACTCATCTAATACCACCGAGGGCTTGTTCACTTCAGCTTCTTCTCTCCCGCCAATGATGACATTGCCCGCTACAAGCAACGCAGCTCCTACCCACCATAATGGCGGCAGGGATTCGGAAAAGATTAAGAGACCTAACATGGCAGTAATCATGAAATTTGCAGAAGTGTTAATGATAGACACCTGAGTCGTGGAGGTGCCTCTTGTCAGAGCAGCTGTGAATAATGCCCACATCTAGAATTGGAATCGATCAGTATGTTATTTAATGAAAGAATCAAAACCGCGATACTACTAACAATGCCGTTGAACACAAGATTCAACCCGAAAAATGTCTGAGGAGCCAGTGGTTAGTCTCTGTCAAAACATGTAATACCTAAATCAGTGCCTCAACTTACTGCGCGGATAACGAATTCGACCACAAGATTATCACGATCCAGCCCAAGGCCCGTTGCAATGGCACCCGCCCACGTTTTTGTCAATTCAGTTGTAGTTCTGCATCAAACAATGGGGGAAAGTATGTTAGCAACTATTTTTTCCCCTCCTGTTTTCAAATACCACATCATGTAGGATTTTGTAGTTCACGAAGGGGGAGGGCATTACAATTTAGCAAAGACACCATTAAAGGCGGCGCAAGCGCCACTGGCAACTGCCAGGAGTAGCCATTGCGTTTTTCTATTGACAGAATCCGTCCCTGGCATGTTCTGGATATTGATTTGGTCTTTTCGATCAGTCGAAACAAGGGGTTCTTGTTCAGGGTCCACAACTGCAGTCTTGTATGGAGTCATGGGGTTGGCGTCAGCGCGGCTCTGGCGGAGCCGGGATCTTGCTTGGCCCTCTCCCCTTTGAACCAGCGGGCGGGCGGACGAAGTCGCCATGGGGGTACGGAGTAGCTTAAGGTGTTTAGATCTTACACTATTTTTCGGGCCTTGTGGTTACCTTTGCTTAAGGCAACAGGGTAGCAGGGTAGCACGCGAAAGGCCGGCTTAGTAAATGCCAAGGAGCACTATGCCGCCACAAAAGAAAGAACCGCTATGCGCATGCTGATGGATTTCGTCGGTACTAACATTATTTTCTCAGATGTATAGTTTATGTGCGTATGATGATGAATACTAATTTCAAGATTTTTGATGTTTGCATTGCTGCATACTGTCAGGTTGTATCTAGATATTCGACTTCATTGTGGTATCTTTCAAGACGTATATCATCGTATCACTCTCTCAGTCAAGAGTATCGCATACGCCCCACGCCGCAAACGCCCAGAAATGCAAAGGCACAAAGGCCCATAACGATCAATTTTACGCAAGCACGAATGAAAGATCTAATCTCTTGGTGAGGTATTCTCAAGATCCCATGCATAACGAAAGGAGGGCATAGCGCCACTCAGGCTTCTCCAGGGCGCTTGCTATTGCAGCTCACAATCTTGACCTTGTCCGCATGAACCTGCTGCTGATTATCCAGCTTGAAGTTCACATCCTTGATCAGGAAAGTCCAAACTTCGTCGCAGAAACGGTAGGTATCAAGATGGCCCTTTTGATGTCGAGAGCATATTAGCTCACTTCCTTGCCGCTACATATGGAAAAGGGCAGGGTAGTGATATCTACCTTGAAGCTCAATCTTGCCTTGACCTTGTCAGCAAGGACCTCAGTAATGCTTCGATCGAAATTCGCGAGAATCTTCATGGCCAACTGAGGCTCCATCCGCCGTGCACTGATAAGATCGTCTAGCGTATCGGTGAGAGCTAGCCCGATGCTAATCGGACCAGGAATGTCAGAGTGAGCTCAGAGAAGACTTGGGAGCGCTCTCTTCATACCTGCTACGGCGATAGAGCTCATAATAGGCAGATCCGCTCATCTTGAAGGTGTCAATGAGAAGACAAGGGCTTTGATGATGAGAGATGGTGGTCACCAGGTGGTCATAGTTGAAGGCGACCCTTGGCGCTGACTAAGCAAGATAGGCGGAACAGGCGCCTTGACGAGTGATGCAGCCCGGTCCGAGGAGCTTCAAGAGGTATCGAATCTCAACTCTCAGAAAGCAGACCTCCTGCCCGCCAACAGCTCGACGAGGGAAGCACCGCCGTCACGATGAGTCTTTCTTACGGTGTAGGCGGCGCAACTGCAGCGCTTGCTGTAGTTGGAGCTTGTAAGCTGCGCCTCTAGCATGCAGTAGGATTTCGGATTAACCAGTGGACCAGATATGCTGTTTACAGGCGACGGAGAGGCCTTCAACGTAAGACCCTTCATATTCATTGTTCCATGTCTAAGCTGACCTATATCCTAGGTCGGTCAATTCCTCGAGACTGTATCACCTTATGCCTGGGCGGATCTCGGCATTGGCCTATGTATGGGTCTGTCGGTCGTTGGAGCTGCATGGTGCGAGGAAGCTCAACCTTGCTTTTTAAATGCTCGTGTAGCTGATGTTATTCTAGGGGAATCTTCATCACTGGCTCCTCCATCCTTGGTGGTGGTGTCAAGGCTCCGCGGATTCGAACCAAGAACTTGATCTCCATTATTTTCTGCGAAGTTGTCGCCATCTACGGAGTTATTATGTCGATCGTCTTCTCCGCGAAATTAAATCCGGTTTCTTCTGACGCTATTTACTCTGGAAGCAATTTCTACACTGGCTATGCTCTGTTTTGGGCAGGTATCACCGTCGGAATGTGCAACCTTATTTGCGGCGTGTCTGTTGGCATCAATGGAAGCAGCGCCGCTTTGGCAGATGCTGCGGACCCGAGTTTGTACGTGGCTCTGGACTTGCTTCCCTATACATCACTAATTTCCATCTTTTAGATTCGTCAAAATTCTCGTTATTGAGATTTTCAGTTCCGTCCTCGGGCTTTTCGGACTGATCATAGGGCTTCTTGTCTCTTCAAAGGCAGCAGAATTTTCGTGAGCGCTGCTCACACCACGAGTAATTGGGAGATGGACGAAGAAAATGATTGCACAGTTATGATGTAGTCGAATACATAGCGATTTGGTGGCGTTCTGGTAGATACTATATAAATCTCCATGAGATGACCCTCAGAGGTTCAGCCTAGTGCTGCCCAGATATCCAATCACCTTCACCGTTGTACATTTCTCAAGTAGTTATATCATTTTATTATGCGGCAATTTAGAAATATGTATGAAAAATACAGTCATGAATCGAGAAAAGGCATCTGTTTTACATTGTAAAGCCGTGATTTATTTTGGGGTGACGTTGTAATCATAGATAAGCCCAGAGGGTATATAGCGTGCCGAATATGATGACATCCAACAGTTATCGCTTGGACCCTTTACTTCATAGTATACACAATTCAGAATTTATATCCAATGGCGTCTTCAATGCTCAAAGCTGCAATTCTTATTGTCTCAGACACGGCTGCAAATGATCCTGCCACAGATGCGTGCGGCAATACGCTAAAAGACGTGTTTAATTCCGAGGGTTCCCAGCAGTGGGATGTGGTTGAAACGAGAATCGTTCCTGATGATGTACTCGAGATTCAGCGTGCAGTAACTCAATGGGCCGACAAGGAGACAGCAAATCTAATTGTGACCTCCGGAGGAACAGGATTTGCAATTAAAGACAAGACGCCTGAGGTAGATACAATTTTCCCTGCCAATCGCGGGTATCATGAAATCATCCACTCACGCTTTATAGGCCATTGAGCCACTCCTGCACAAAAATGCCCCGGGACTTGTGTGAGTGCTCATGAATGCTTCGATGGAATTAAACTAATGATGATGCATTGTTTAAGCCATGGAATGCTTGCTGCGTCTTTGTCCGTAACTCCATGTGAGAATCACACCAGCCTAGATCATGTATAAGCTCTTTGATGGCTGACTCACTAGCTTAGTTGCATTGATGTCAAGGCCTATTGCTGGAGTACGCAATAAGTCCTTGATACTTACCTTGCCAGGTTCTCCAAAGGGAGCAAAGGAAAATCTTCAGGCTATTCTGAAGCTCCTGCCTCATGCCTGTACCCAGGCAGCAGGTGCAAATTCGAGGGCATTGCACGCTGGCGGTGTCAAGAAGCTTGAAAAGGAGGCGGGCATTGAATCTGATAACAAATCGGCAGTTGGAGGTAATACGCATCATCATCATCACCATCATGACCATGGGCATGGGCACGGTCATGGAAAACACGGGGGACACGCCATTCCAGTTCCTCACACCAATGCTGAATCTCGGCCCAAATCAAACGACCCCAGTCAAGGAGCAAGCCACCGTAATCGGGCTTCGCCTTGGACGATGCTTTCTGTTGAAGATGCTTTAAAGCTAATAAAAGAATTCACGCCGGCGTTCAAAACCACCCGTGTCCCTGTGAACAGCAACTTGATTGGCGCTGTGCTCGCTGAAGATGTCAAGGCTGCCGAAGCCGTTCCTGCATTCAGAGCTAGCATCGTGGATGGCTATGCTGTGATTGCTACAGAGAGCAAGCCTAACACCAAAGGTGTATTTCCAGTCGCTTCCATCTCACACGCTGCGCCTGGAGAAATTCCAGACTTGAAGAAAGGCCAGATTACCAGAATTACAACGGGAGCACCGTTGCCACCGGGAGCCACTTCTGTGGTCATGGTGGAAGATACTGTCCTAAAATCCACGACAGAAGACGGCACCGAAGAGAAAGAAGTTGAGATCCTTACAGATGATATCAAACCTGGCGAAAATGTAAGAGAAGTCGGCAGTGATATTCAAGCTGGCGAGACAATCTTGTCCAAGGGCGACGAAATCAGCGCTGTTGGAGGTGAACTGGGCTTGCTTGCGTCAGTTGGCGTCTCTGAGGTTACTATATACCAAAAGCCGGTTGTGGGTGTGCTCAGTACAGGTGATGAGATTATACAGCATGATCGGCCTGGCGGGTTAAGGCTTGGAGAGGTTAGGGATTGTAACAGGCCAACTATAATGGCTGCAGTCTCAGGCTGGGGATTTGAGGTTCTTGATCTAGGAATTGCTCGAGACAAGTATGTGCCCCAGTACAGGTCAGGTGTCTCTGGCTGTATGCTAACTATCTGTTGTCTAGACCAGGTGCACTTGAGGAGACTCTCAGAGACGCTCTACGAAAGGTAGATGTCATTATCACGACTGGTGGGGTTTCTATGGGAGAGCTCGATCTTCTCAAACCTACTATTGAACGTTCCCTTGGCGGAACAATCCACTTTGGCCGAGTTGCAATGAAGCCGGGAAAGCCCACCACATTTGCTACAGTTCCATTCAAGGACAACAATGGAGAACGTCAGAGCAAAGTCATTTTCTCCCTTCCTGGTAATCCCGCATCGGCTGTGGTCACGTTTCACCTTTTTGTTCTTCCCTCGCTGCATCAATCCTCGGGCATCTCGCCTGCTGGTCTGCCTGCAGTAACCGTGGTGCTCGATCACGATGTCAGGCTGGATCCCCAGCGGGCAGAATACCACCGAGCCATAGTTACTGGAAAGGCAGATGGTTTACTTCACGCAAGCAGCACAGGAAACCAAAGAAGCTCTCGGGTGGGCAGTTTGAAGAGTGCCAATGCATTGCTCTGTCTACCTGCAGGCAAAGCCGGTCCTCCAAGCTTTTCGAAAGGTCAAACCATTAAAGCTCTACTCATGAGCCAGATTTCAAGTGGCTGAGTCTGCTCTTCTTTGGGAACGAGCTCATAGGAGTACATTATCACCGTTATAGACTCTTCAAAATCAATTTTTAGACTCCGAATGGTATTAGTTGCAAAGTCTGCTCTCCGAGATCAATTTAGACCAATGGGAGATTTCTGTGTCTAATCCAGACATAGCTCCTGCTTGACGTTGTTTTGTGACTTTTTTATGGTGACGTGCAGGAGCTTTACAATTCGTCTCCGGTCTACGAGTAGGCTAAGAAACCCCACGCGACAACCATCCCATTCGCTAGATTCCCGCCCAAAGAACAACCAGCTCTAGGTAAACATTTGGTTATCATTTTGCCCCAAGACACCTTTTCAACCCACGAACAAAACCCCGCATCTATTTTCGACAGCTTACAATTGTCGCACAACCTCCATAGCATCATCGCAAACACCTCTCTCCCCACTTACTCATTAAACCTGAATCAAAAATGGTCCGCCTCAAAAACCGCTACCTCCTCGTGCAATTCCTCTACCCATCGACGGACAGCGCATCCAAACCAAGCAAAGATGTCCCGGCCTTGGTCGAATTCCACCAACCTTCTCCGCCGACATTGACCGCTGCTGTTCTTGCCCGCGCAATACGAGCCGAGACTGGATATCTGTTTGGGGATTACGGCGCTGGCATGACGTCCGGGAGTTTAGTAGGTATGTTTTGCGCCTCATCTGCCTCTTTGTCCTGCTTTTTTTTTTTCCTTTTCGAAGCTTCTTCCTTATTTTGGGTCGAAAAGCAGCCATATTACAACACTGCTGTGGGGATTCTAATGCTAATTTTGTCTTCGTTCTGACAGTGAAATATCTCTCCCCCGCAACCTCTACTGCAATCATCCGCGTCACTCGAGCACATTATCGACTGGTCTGGGCCGCGCTGTCATTCATGACCAGCGTGCCCGGCTCGGGCAAACCCTGCGTGGTGCATGTGGTGAAGGTCTCAGGAACGATACGCAAAGCCGAAGAAGAAGCCATTCGGCGCGCAAGAAACATGGTGTTAAGAGCGAAAAAACAGAATCAGTCGGGTTTCAACCTCGATCTTTTGACGGAGAGTATACCCGGAAGTGGTGATGCCGGGAAGGAAAGTAGGATTGATCCTGCTGCTGGAGTAATGGATTTGGACGATGAGGATGAGGATGAGGAAGGTATAGGTGCGGGTGATAGTACGGATGAGGATTGAAGCTGCATAAAACATGGTGTGTTTGGGGATATGCTTTGTGGCAAGGGCGGCGCGAGGATAAGGAGTTTTGGTTCATTTGGTGGGGCATTTTGGGTTGCATTTCCGGCGTTGATTTCCAGGGATGGTTGAGTCTCTGAGCTTGAAATCGAGGATATACCCAATAGAAAGATATTGATTGGTTTTCTTTTGGCGTCTCAGCTTGTCTAGAGATGCTCAACGCTGAATATTATATTTATTATTTAAAAGGCATCAGAATAGGAGAAAAACCATGAGGGGAAGTACAGTATGCTTCCAAATGGAGGATATAACTGGATCTTTTATTCTTCTACACGGTCATCAATATCTCCTAACGCCATCGTACAGGGCGAACGCCAGCATCGGCCCCAAAGCGAAGCTAGTACTACAAGGGAAAAAAAAAACTGAAAATATTTCAAATCGTTTGACCACTCCCTCCCAAAATAAGTTCTTATTTGGCGCCTTTGGCCTTTGCTTCTGACTCGCTAAGTTCTCTCACAAAGACCTTGACCACTCCCTCTGAGATATCATCCTTGCCATCCTCAAATCCAGGACTGACGGCCACAGCGAGGTATTTGCCGTCATCGGAGAAGGCAAGAGCAGCGATACTCGACGGGTACCGCTGGTACTGCCTGATACGTCTCTTGGCAACGCCATCCCACAGGGCGACAAAGCCGTCGCCGCCACCGGAAGCAAAGGTGCCATGAACAGGATGGAAGGCAAGTGCGTTGACGGGGTACACAACGTCGACCCCATTCTCTGCAACTTGTCTGTGGCATTTGAATGCGTATTTGCGGGCCTGGGAGTCCGGGCTAGGATCGAACCACTCAACAGCAATACGGCCTTCGATGCTGCTGCTGGCGTACCCGTCGTCCTTGGGCATGCACGCTACAGCGCGAGTCATGAATTTCAATGAACTCTCTCTGCGCTGTAGGGGCTCGAGATCAACAACATTCGGTGGGGCCTCGGATGCCTGCGAGGTGAGGAGCGCTAGTGAGCGGATATCGTAAATGTGAAGGGCACGCGATGCCATAGCCACGACCAGTTTCGTCGGCGTGATAGATAGCGAGAATGGCTTGCTAGGCAGGTTGATTGTAGCGGGCACATGCGGCATCTTGGTCGGGTGGTGGACGTGCAGCGTCGAGTCCCATGAGGCGGAGATAACGGTCGAGGTTTCCCGGCTGTATACGACGGACTTGACGCCGGCTTCGTGCGAACTGAGCACTGATTGCTCGCCTGTCTCGAGGTTTATTCTATTGTACACATAAAAGAGTCAGACTTCAATTTGGGTCCGGTCCTGCAATCCGTGTTACACTGGCTTGACAGAGTGATGCCCACCTTCTCACGTCCCAGTCAAGTCCTGCGCTGAACGCCTCGTTCTCGTCTGCGCCCCAGCAGACGTCAAGCACAGGAGCCCGATGCTCATACTTCCGTAACAGTTGCCCATCAGGCTTGACGGAAGTATCGTATAAGTAGACGTTCCTGTCCCATGACGAGACAAGCATGCGATTTGAAGCACCAGGAGCGAACTTGACCGCCGAGATGGCGTCAGTTGGGGGGGTAGAAAGCTCGAATTGTGCTGCAGAGGCATGTCAGTCAGACAGCACTAAATCTCTTCAATAGTTGATCAATCACTTACAGCTCATGTTGAACGTGAAGTAGTTCCAATGTGGAGTCGAGAAAGGTAGACAAACGTTTGTTGATGCTGGATCGGCGGGCGGGCGCACGGGCTGTAAGTTGCTTTGCGGTGTGAGTTCTTGGCGCGGATCATTTGTTTTCTGCCGGTATCCATCCCACCACTCCGCCCTATCCCAAGCCTCACGTCAAACACCCCACCAGCAGCCAATATGCCGTTTGCACAGGTCTGGCATTCCCCATGTACTGCGCTTGAAGACTTTGGAAGTTTGTGCTGACTAGACCAAAGCTTGTCATAGGTCCCCCGGGCTCAGGAAAGTCCACTTACTGCGATGGAAGTACGTTGCGCCGCTGCCCCATGACGCCATTTGTCCGAGACATAGGATATCCTCCCAGAGCTCTTGTTACTCTACACTCATGAAAGATGGACCCAAAAGAAAAAACACTAGATGACACATGTAGCTAATACTTTTGTCCCACTTCCAGTGCAACAATTCATGTCCGCAATTGGCCGCAAATGCTCCGTCGTCAATCTCGACCCAGCTAACGACCACACCTCATACCCCTGCGCGCTCGATGTGCGGGACCTAGTCACACTGGACGAGATTATGGAAGAGGAGAATCTCGGTCCCAATGGAGGCATTCTATATGCGCTAGAAGAGTTGGAGCATAATATGGAGTGGTTAGAGCAAGGCCTAAGCAAACTTGGAGGTAAGCATCCGCCTTGCAATCCAACCGTGCATCATCAGCCTGCCAGTGCCACATTCCAGTATATGCTCAATATACGCCTTTACACTTCTGCTTCTCCGCTGATGCTTAGAATATAATTACATGCTAATACTTTTATTTTCGTCAATACAGAAGACTACGTTCTCTTCGATTGTCCCGGCCAAGTCGAGCTCTTCACGCACCACTCGTCTCTCCGCAACATTTTCTTCCGGATACAAAAGCTTGGATACAGAGTATGTCTCTCTACGTTCCCTCTTCTTCCCTTTACTACCTCTACACCCTTACCAAACCTCCTTCCTTGCCTATTTTCCCTTCTCCATGTTAGCATTTATGCTGATCCTTCTTCTCAACCAATAGCTAGTCGCAATACACCTCACCGACTCCTACTCTCTAACTCTCCCCTCACTGTACATTTCCACACTACTTCTCTCTCTCCGAGCCATGCTTCAGATGGACCTACCCCACCTCAACGTCCTCACCAAGATCGACAAACTCGCCAGCTACGCTCCTTTGCCATTCAATCTCGACTTTTACGCCGAAGTGCAAGACCTGAACTATCTCCTTCCTCATCTTGACGCTGAAATCGCAAGTCGAATGGGTGGCGGATCCGCAGCCCACGCAACCAACACTGGTGAAGCCAACACTAGTACAGACACGAACAGCGATACCACACCTGCATCGAAATTTTCTGGCCTGAACCGGGCGATTATCGAGCTCATTGAAGATTTCGGACTCGTTGGATTCGAAACGCTCGCCGTCGAAGACAAGCGCAGCATGATGACGCTGCTACACGCCATCGATCGGGCAGGCGGGTATGCATTTGGCGCAGCCGAAGGCGCAAACGATACAGTCTGGCAAGTCGCCATGCGCGAGGGCAGGACGACCATGGATATTCGGGATGTGCAAGAACGCTGGATCGATCGCCGCGAGGAGTTTGACGAGTTGGAGCGAAGACAGTGGGAGGAAGAGGCAAAAGCGAGAGATGAAGCGATTCGTGCTGCTGCAGGTGATGCTGCAGCAGGAACGGGTACGGGTACGGGTATGGATACGGGTGCTGATGCTGGACCCACCGACGAGATGGAGGAGTGGGAAAACATGGATGCCTTGCCGCCGCAGGGTGATAGCGGTGTCAAGGTTATTCGAAAAAATACGTGAGATTTTTAATATATCATCTATGCGCATAACTGGAAGGAAATGAAGACTGGGTCAAATTAAAGCATTGTTATGGTTCGGCGTTGGGGAAGGAGGGTTTGCCTTGAGACGTCACATTTTCTGGTTCTATACATTCTGGGATAGCGTTTTCATCATTGTACAAAGAGGTTGATACGAAGAAATATATTCAGATAATTTGGCGGTCAAAAATATCTATGCGGAGAAATCATCACTTTGTACTTGTGGCGCTGAAAAAAATTGGGGGTACTCGAAGAAAAGCGCGCTCTAAAGAAGTTCATTTCAAACCATTCCTGCTCGCATGCATGCCAGTGATTGAGGGTGAAACTAAAAGGGACTATACGACCGGACGCTGAATAACTTGAAAAGACAAGAAGGAGGCGTTTTTAGACATTGACCGAAAGATGCAATCTAAAGGCACCAGGCGAAACCAATAACAGCGGCCAAGACAAGGGCAGGGAGCTTAACGTCGTTCATGCCAGCGGCGTTCTCGCCGCCAGCAGCACTGGGAGTGCCTGAAGCCGAGGAGGTTGTGGCGGTCTTGGAGTTAGAGTTCGCGGTGCCAGTAGGCTTTGTGCTCGAGGTTGCCGTGGACATGGTGGAAGTAGAGCTAGAGCCAGAGCTCGAGGTGGAGGAAGTGGCAGCGGAGCTGCTCGAAGATCCGCTGCTCTTCTCACCCGAGGGGTGGTTGCTCTGGTCGCTTGGAAGGGGACTGATAGCAAGGTTGTTGAGCTTGCTTCCGTTGGAACCATAGACGGTCTGGCTGGGGCTAGTCTGCTGGACGTCGACGAGCTTTCCCTGGTTAGGGTTCTGGATGCCGTTGTCAATGAGGTCCTGGCCACCCGGGGGCACCTGGGGGAGGGTGAAGTCAGTGCTGAAGGAGGACGAGGTGATCAGGTCCGCTGAGCAAGTAGGCGGGTTGAGGGCGGTTGCAGTGTTGTTGCTCGACTCGAGGAGGGTCACGTTGAGCTTGTTGAACTGGCTCTGCAGGTTGTCAAAGTCGGTGCGAAGATTGACACTGCCGTCATTGTTGATGACGACGAGACCGTAGTCGGATGGTTCCTGAGAGTACTCGTACACCAAACCTCCGCTGAGAACGGTCATCTGGGGTCCGTAGAGGGCCTGAACTTCATCAAAGACACGAGGCTTGACTTGGTTGCAGCCATACTCGGAGAAGAAGACGGGGACAGTGGTGCTAGCAAACATCTCGACAAGGGTATTGTAACCGGCGCTCTCGAAAGTAGCATCACCGCCGCACCACGAGTATGAGTTGAGACCTTTTCGTTCGAGCATTAGTCAAGGAGGTTCTGTGGGGGTGAGGGGGAGGGGAAAGAAATCGTATAAGACCAGAGCACGGGGTTGCGCACCGAAAAAGTCAGAGCGAGACATGTTGTTGTCATCACCGCTAATGGAACATTGCAGATAGGCCCAAGTGTCTTGCAGAATATCCCGCACATCAGCGGCGGAGTATCCAACGGGAATGGCACGATCGCAGTGCTTGGCAATGTAGTTCTTCATGTCTCTTTGGACGGCCTGGTGAAGCAATTAGCGCACATGATTGTTTGAAACCCTCAAGGGGTCGAGAATGATGCCTTACTCTAATGTACTGAGGAACGTTCTGTGCGTTGGAGTCGTCATTGATGACTTCATTTCCGGCGAAGAATCCCAGAGTGTTGGGGTAGTTCTTGAAAGCCTCGATGACAGAAAAGACTCGCTGCAGATAACCAGAGTAGTAGGAGGTCCAAGGCTGGTCCCTGTTCAAGCTCTGACCGACCAAGGGTGAGTTGACGTCAAGGATCATGTAAATTCCAACCGAGTTGAAAATGCTGGCGCATTCATCGTGGTTGATGGTGGGGTCGACATTGTAAACACGGATGGTGTTGACCTGGTGCAGCCGATCCGTCAGTAGGTTGTATTTTCTTATCAGAAGGACAGAGCACTAACGCCCAGATTCTGCATGATAGCGGCATCTCGCAAGCAGACCTTTCCGTCGCTCAGAGGGTCACTGCCGGGGTTGTAGCCAGAAGCACCACCAGGTTGGTAACTAGAGGAAAATTGAGCGAGTGAGTTATATTTAATGTTGGGTATCGGCGCAACTCACGCAACACCAATGATCTCAAATCGGTCACCACTTTGACTATTGACAAAGTCGGAGCCCTTCACAATAACAGGCTGCACAGCAGCCGCAAGGCTTGCGAAAAGAGCAACGAAAAGAGCGAGGATGACACGCTGCGACTGACAGCCGTGTTAGTATTCAAGTACACGGGAAATCTCCACAGCAAAAGTGCGCGCAAAGGAATTATATACCATTTTGAAAGAGGACAAAAGCGGGAAATCACAAAACGAATGTAGGCGACGTCGACAGCAACTGGTAAAAGCTGGTAAAAAGAAAAACAGCAAAAAGCTGACCCCGAACGAATGAGGGGTACCGAGCAGAGAAGCGCAAGATCACGAGTGAATGTCAAAGAGGACTGTACAGCAGTGAAAGGAAATCAAAGCCAAAGGCGGGTGGTTGGCCCTTTTGGGTGACAAGAGGGAATCGGGACGGCTAGCGATGCATCTCTGGTGCCGTCTCCGCTTCTTTCACGGATCCATGGCTCTAACAGCAGTAAGTGGGTATGGCTCATCCTGAATGCCTCCAAAGAAACATGGGACGATAGCGGTAGAGCTGGTGGACAGCTGTAACGCTGATTGGAGTTGGGCCGGAGAGCGAACCTCATTTGGCGCGGAAAGCACGTCCCAACTATTTGACACTATCTAAATCATGAAAGATGGATTTGAACTAGGTAGGTAGGTGGTAGGGTTGAAGGGGAGATGAGGGGCAAGGGAACGAGACAGCGCATGGGAGATTATTGGTGGACCTTTATTTTTGATTTCCTTTTTGCCCGAAAAGCCTCCCGAGCGCCAAATCCATGTGGCTCCAGTTCTTTTTTGTCTCCTTTTTGCCTCCATACGGAGTTACGTTAGTCGAATGGCCAGGGTTTCCCCTCGGCCGCTAAACGATAGTTATGACATTTAACCGAAGCCATCAGATCCATAATTTCCTCATCCCTTAAGCCCCCCGTTGCCCCTTCCCTTGTTCATTCTTCCTTCCCCTCGTTCCTCCCTCGCAAGTGCTGCATGTCTTCTTCGGCATGAAATAAAATGTGGGTAAGTTTGACGCCAAAACATTGTGACGGGTGGGTTCGTCTTGGCATGACAGAACTGTAATTCCACCTTTTTACCTTTTTTTCGCTTAGAATCTCTTCGCCTGAATGACCTCATCATCAATTTCCATCATCGTCTACGTCGTGAATTATCATATTTGAAATGTTATCTCGTACCAGAATTGAATATGCTTGAGGAGTGAAACTGAATTCGATCAATCTCTGTTCAATGTTTCGTTGAATGGAAACCCCTCAAGGCATGCAATACCAACCTGAATATATCAAGGTTACTTGACAGGGACGAAACACTACCCCTAACGCGCTTGAGTCGTTCAGTCGTTTCATATATTTCTATAACCTCCACGCTTCTTCCTACTGTAAAGCCGCTGTCCATGGTGAGTGGATTGGGTTCACAGGCCCAATCTTCTAGCATCTACGTCACAGAGTCGGTATGTGTCCCCGCGAGGGATTGCACTGTAAATGAGCACTCCGCAGATCATCAGTAGAAGGAGCGTCTCGGAGATTCAGCTACCCCATCCCAATAGCCTTCATCGTAGTATACTGAACCAGGCCCGCTTTGGCGTTCAATTAGTGTTCCCATTACTCCCTCTAGGCATCAGACTAAAAGGGTACTCTAATCACATGACCAACCTCTTGGAAATGCAAGGAGAACTGATCTCTAATCTATACAGAGTACTGCATTCATATATCGGTAGACGAATAGTAAAATCAGAGCAACTTTTCCATTGCAGGCTCAAGATATTTATATCAGTCACGGTCCGGGTCCCGAATATTGGTCGAGCTGCTAGGTGAATGTGAATCTGGACAAAACATATCAAATTCAAGAGGACCTGTCACACGCCATATCTATTTAAATCTCTTGAGACAAGATTGCCGATAAAGACGCATGAGTCGCTCGTTGACTAAGCAAGAATACACGGAAGAAAGAAAGAAAGGAAAAGAAAAAGACCCCTAGTAAAACACGATTCCGCAAGCTCGGTCGAATCGGCCAAAGAAACCCGCGTGTCCTTGCACCAAGATAGGTAAGACACCATGATGCAAAATCGTCTGGTTATGTACAAAACTATACAATAGTGGAGATGATGCTGTCGTGAGAAGATATGATAGAGTTGCAAGGTGAAAGTGTCGCGCGGTAAGCGTCTGTCAGTGCCACGATCGAATCGGACAATTGAATGAGCCGTACGTCACATCTTACTCGACACCAGCGCCGCTGTCGGAGCCAGCGAAGAAAGATTCTCCTTTAAATTCCGGGTCTGCTGCAATCATCTCCGCGAGAATGCCAAGAATGTGCTGCGGCAAGAATTAGCGGTCCTGCAATTCAAAAATCACACGCGACAGCAGTTCGACTCCTAACGTACCTTGGGCACCGTCTTGTCGTAGATGTTGATGAGATCCTTGGGCTGGGGATAGACCTTCAGGGCCTTGTAGAAGCACAATGCAGCCTCAATGGGATCCGAGCCTGCAATTGTCAGTTTAATTACTGTCATCACCCTTGATTTCACCACCTACCATCCTGGCAGCGGGCTTCTCCAGTTGCGACCTCGTTCATGAAGAAAGCCTCCTTCTCCTCGACATTGGCCGGGTAGCCCTCTTCATTGGCCTCCTTCATGACAGATTTGATGGTTTCCTTCTCTCGTGCCGTGTGCGCCTCGGCTTCCTCCTTCTGGGCCTTGGCTTGCTTCTTGGATTCGCGCTTCAAAGCTTTGCGGAATTCGGGGTCCGTGCGGCGCTTGTGATCAAAGTAAAATGCATAGGCTGATATACCGTGGCATGTTAGCTTTCAAGATGATTGGAATGACGTAGGTAGGCGTTTCAATTTTGAATATCATCACATACCCAAGAAACCGGTGACGGCGGTTCCAACCGAGGCAGCGACAATGGTGGAGGTTCTCATTTTGGTCCAAAACTAAAATAACTCGATTGGAAGAAAGACTTTTTCGTATTTGATGAAATACACAAAAATACCGGGTGAAGGAGATGCGCCTGTGATCCAAACGAACTGTTTGTGAGGATGGTGTTTGAAGAGGTTCGGAAATATTTTGCGAGTCCGAACTTGGGCGAGATGTGGCTGAGGCATGAACTACGGTCGGCTTTAGCTTCCGCGACCGCCATACACGTTCGCTCCAGCCTGGCACCAACGGCACCTATAGAGAGCTTCGGGTCGCTCCTACCAACCAGGAACGAAGGTACAGTCTATCCCTACAGCTCGACAACCGCGTTGCCTTATCACCAATTCGATTTATGAGATTCATAACTGTCTCCTTGGACTGGACTACTTCCAATTATCCAGCATTATGGAAGAGAGACTCGAGAAGAGAGGAATCTCATTGCGCAAAAAGCGCTCTATGAGACCCAAGATCAGTGCTCCGCGGCAGATCTCGTCACCTATTCCGAATAACCAGGCCACGCTTGCACCCCCGAACCCAGCCAGCAGGACACTTTTGGATGTGCCTCGCGAACGACCGCAGCCTGGAGGAAGAACTGCCGACTTAGTGAAGCGTAGATATTCCACGCGCTTTTCTCAGCTGCCTCCCGACTTCGATGCTGCGAAGCCCGTGGTTCCCTCGATACCAACCCAATATGCAGCTTCGTCTTCCCAGACCAAAATCGGAGCTTCCACTGGTGGACAGAAGATTGTTGTTGATTTGAATGCTTTGAGGGACCCGAATTTGCATCCTGAGAAGTGTATGCCTATGCTTTGTTGCTCCACATTGTTTTCAAGGATTTGAGCTTACTTTCGGTCAGATGTCGCGGCTCTACTTTCTGAAGCTTCGGAACAAGATATCCGTGAATATGAGAACAATCTTAGAAAGGCCAAGAACAGAACCTCGGCCGATCTACAGCAAAATGTTTTCCAGAACCGAACTCAGTTCATCAAGATCAGTAAAGAAGCCGAGAAACTCAAAGACGAGATGCGAACCCTGCGTAACCTGATGTCTGAACTTACGGGCGCAATGGGCCAAACTACTGCAGCGACAGATGCATCGCAGTCATCGAGTGATATGGTGGCATCACGCAAGCTTGCCAATAGGAGCTCTGTCGCTAACCTTGAGGCCTTGTGGAGTACTCAGCTCCAAACACTCTGGAAAACAGTCAGGGGTTCGCAAAAGTTCTTGCCTGCTGCTCCCGGTCGTCACATTGTGCGCGAGTCAAATAATTGGATTGAACTTGATGCTGCAACATGGAAACCAAGGCGCGAGGTTTCATTTTGTTTGCTCAATGACCACTTGCTCGTGGCTTCAAGGAGGAAGAGGCATTTTGAGTCTCGTTCCTCACGATCAGAAACCTCTGGACCGAAAAAGCAGCAAATCCAATCTGAGCTGGTTGCAGAGAGATGCTGGCAACTGCAAGATATTGACATGCTAGATCTATCATCTCCGGCGGATCTCCCAGCTTCCCAAGGGCCGCGGCGAGATTGGGAGACTGTGACTAATGCCATCTCCGTCCGTGTCGGTCAAGAGTCTTTTACATTCAGATACGGTAAAAATGAGAGTGATGAGAAGATGGCTCTTATTTCTGCGTTTCGAAAAACTGCTGAAAACTTACGCCGGACTTTGCGCGCAGAAAACAAGGATAGTGGTAGAGGGAGAGAATCCTTCAATTATTTCACCGCTCACGAGCCGGGCCTTCTTAAGCATGCCGATATGGTTGAGAGCTTATCCACCAGCTCGTCAAAAGGTAGCCTGAATGTGCTAGTGGATGTAGATGGGAAGCAGCAAAACCTTCGTTGGGTTGAGGGTCAAATTGATGAACTTGACGTTGACATTGCACTTCAAAGGCTCGACGAGGCAGTTGCAAGGGTGGAAAAGTTGAGAGGACTGACCAAAGGTCTAAAAGGAAATTCCATGGCTCAAGATCTCATCGCATTCAAAATCGATGAAAGAGCCTCCAAACTTTCCACGCTTGTTATCCGACAGTTGGTTGATACGCACTCGTGTGCGACTGTCACCAAAAAGCACGTAGACTGGCTTGTGCGGCTTGGGTTCGAAGATCGAGCAAGGGAAGCCTATCTGGATGCCAGGAGTTCTGTCATCCGCAAGCGAATAAGGTATGTAATCAAAACCTTACTACAGCAAATCATTTATTGACTTGAGTACAGACAATGCATTTTCGAGGGAGATCTCCACTCGTACATATACCAGATTTCATTTGTTTACTTCACCATCATTAAAAATACCGTCTCCATCTATCAAAGCTGTTTTCCTCCTTTGATGATGTCTGCCTGTGTTAAGTGGGCAAAAGAGCATCTTGATGGATTGAACGCCATCCTAAGACGTCAGCTTAGCGGTGTTGATCCTCAAAGTTCGGTTTGGTCGGAATGCATGAACCAAGCCCGGCAACAAGCAATGATATTGAGCGAAATTGGTCTAGATTTCAAAGATTTGGTAGGAAATGGCCTGAATGATCTGTCTGATGGAAAGGCTGGTACAGAAAGCTCCGTGGTTGGATTGGGCTTGTCATGAAGATTGTCTTATAAGATTGGGTTGCCTACCCTCGAAACGAAGAAAATATTGGGTAATTATAGTCATTTATCTACTGAAATGGACTTTCTCTTTGAAACTGTAGTTCTTACCTTTCTGAAATTGCCCAATTTTTTTTTTTTCTTTTTCGCAAAATCAATTGTGCGATTGCTTTGGCTTTTAAGTTTGGAAACCCCCTTCCCCCTTGTGCTCGCGTGCTCCTCAGGAACGCGGTGAGGCGAGGCTTGTTTGTTCCCTACCCAAGTGGTTTCCCTCGCTTGAGCCACAAGTTGCGCCGCCGCACGACCCGACCGATGCTTGCTTCGAGGAGCCCCAACATCGATACCTGAATCCAGTACTTGGTCCCGCACCCAAAGAAAGAGGACCGCATCATTCCCCCGCTACCATCCAGATCCACTGAAGTTCTGGTGTCATTGCTGCCTCAGATACCCCACGCGCTTCTTGCAGGTAGTCCGCCCTTCCGTTTTTGCGAGTTCTGCACGTCTCCGCCCTGTCTGGAGCATCTCCGGGACTGATCCAACCTATCGGTCTTTGAGCAGACTTCACCGCGTTGTCGTCATCCCTACTACACGGCGACAAAGACTTAGACTCGTCTTGATCTATTCTAGATTTTCGAATTTCCATCAGCGGATAGAAGATGGACACCAATATGGAAGATGTGGGGAAGCTCCCTGAACCTCATCAGCTGTCCCCTGTGACGCAAGAGCCGGCGTCGGTCGGTACTGTTGACGGCTGGATCGAGAACTTGATGGATTGCAAACAGCTGAGTGAGACTGATGTGCAGAGATTGTGTGATAAAGTAGGTGCCATGCTGCTGAAGCCAGAATGGGCTTCGTCCGGACCATACGTGGCGGGTGGGATGCTAATTGCTGTCGATTTCAGGCTCGAGAAGTGTTGCAGGAAGAATCCAATGTGCAGCCAGTGGTGAGTAAAGTCTGACAATGTTCCATCGCTTTTAAATCGACTAACAAATGAGCAGAAATGTCCCGTCACAGTTTGCGGAGATATACATGGTCAATTCCATGACCTGATGGAGCTATTTAAGATCGGCGGTCCCAACCCTGACACAAACTATCTTTTCATGGGTATGAGTGACTTTCCTTTCCTCAAGGTGCAGGATATTTTGCTGAGATACTCTTCAAAGGCGACTACGTTGATCGTGGATATTACTCGGTCGAGACCGTGACTCTCCTGGTAGCGTTGAAGATCCGCTATCCTCAGCGTATCACCATCCTCCGCGGAAACCACGAGTCCCGTCAAATTACACAGGTATATGGATTCTACGACGAGTGCCTGCGAAAATATGGAAACGCAAACGTCTGGAAATTCTTTACCGACCTCTTCGACTACCTGCCCCTCACTGCTCTCATCGATAATCAAATTTTCTGTCTTCATGGAGGTTTGTCTCCGAGTATTGATACCCTCGATAACATTCGATCCTTGGATCGCATACAGGAGGTGCCTCACGAAGGGCCCATGTGCGACCTGTTATGGTCGGACCCAGATGACAGGTGTGGATGGGGAATTTCTCCAAGAGGTGCTGGATACACATTTGGGCAGGACATTTCGGAGGCTTTCAATCACAACAATGGCTTAACGCTGGTCGCAAGAGCCCATCAGCTGGTCATGGAAGGATATAATTGGTCTCAGGACCGAAATGTTGTCACGATATTTTCTGGTGGGTTAACCCTCTTGACCGTTTCAAACTGGCTTTTTATAGGCTAACTGGCATGACAGCCCCCAATTATTGTTACCGGTGTGGCAATCAAGCAGCTATCATGGAGATCGACGAGCATCTCAAATACACATTGTAAGTTTTTTTTTCCCCCCCCCCTTCCCTTGGTCTCCTCGGGATGTGTCCGTGTGTTCCGTCTTTCTAACGTGTTACTAGCCTGCAATTCGATCCTTGCCCTAGAGCCGGCGAGCCTATGGTTTCCCGACGGACTCCTGACTACTTCCTTTAGACGTTTCTGTCTTTTTCTATTTTCTTCATTCTTCAGTCTGTACATACTCAGCAGGCTAAGAAGATTTTTATGCCAAAATCATTTCATCGAATTGCGGCTAGCGTGCTGCCCTGTCAAGACCATCTGTGAGAAGAGTCGTTGCATTCGACCTTGAAGCCAAGGGTTATCAGGCATGGGAGGATTTGAGGCCTGGATACAAGAAATGTCCTTAATGAGAAAAAACCTAAATCCATTTTATCATCGTTATGCTGCTGGTTGTCGATGCTTGTTCTTGGCGAAGAGTTGTTGGTTTGCAGCCTGACATGGAAGAAAATACAATGACTGTGTTCTGTTTCAAGACTTGTCCGCCCTGCTTCCAGCGCCGTTGTGTATTATTGTATCAATATCATAATTTATCTTTTTTAGACCGCTTCTGTTCAGATGTCGATGTGTTTCAGAGACAGATGGCTCTCAATGGCAGAATGGAAATCGAGTGGAATGGAACAACACGAGGGTAATGGTGATTGATCGCTCATAATTCTTCGTAAATTGCAATCGAAAGTGTTTTAGTGGATTGATTGTTTAATCCATCTAATCTATACTATCATTTTTCGTAGAAGATGACAATTAACGGATTCAGTTGCAAAATCGATTGGTGGGAATGAAAATACATGGAAAAAAAAAAGGAAGCAATTTAATTCCTCGACAGAATATCACAAAATTAGTTTTATAAAAAAAAAACTCTTCATTTAATAATATGATCCATAGGGGTAATTCAATCATCTCAATCCTCTAAACAACATTATTTTGACATGACCATCAAAGCCATATCTTTTGTTCCGAATTGCCTCCAAAGCTCACCAAGGCTCAATGTGTTGGCGGCAGCGGAGTTTAGGCGCGTTGGCATGACTAATGATGGGACTTGTCGACCAAACAAGGAACGCCACCAAATTTGGACGCCAAGAGGCGTCAACATTATGACGTCACTCGAAAGCTTCCCATTGCTCATAGATGTGCAAAGTACCCGACACCTAAACAGAGACAGGGAGAGGTACCAGATGGTCATTTTCCACACAATATGTCTAATGAGGAGGACTTAGACACTGATGTAAGGTACTAAGATGGGTAGATGTACTTTTTGATATGTTCCGCCGCAGGAGCTGGATCCGATCAGCGAATACGTTACCAGACGCTGGCATAGATATATGCAGTGCCTGTAGGTACCGGAGGTAGGCCGTAGGTGTCGTGGTGTTGAACACGCAATTCATAAAACGGTAGAGTAATGATCATCAGTATGGCTACAGATAGAGGAGCGTTTATTTAGGAGGATGATGAATGGAGAGGGTAGGAGTTATCAGGACTAGAGGAGCTCCCAACGAGGAGCTTCATATGAAAAATCTCAGGATATGTCTCTTCTACATTATCTAGTATGACAACATTGAATCTTAAATAATCATCATCACTGTAAATATCGTCTTCAAAGCGTAAGGAAACTTGGGATTATAACGAATGCGCAATAAGAGCTATCAGTCACAAGCCAAGGGAGCTTGCTATGGGTAAGGCAAGAGTGGAAGCACAGAATCCAACATACAACAGCTTGTCTCCAAAACCACAAGGATTACCTCGGTTCTAAGAAAAGGGAATAATGGAAAAACAGAAGTGACAGAATCCCCTCGGAGAACTAAAGTATATTACTGGAGGGAAAAGTTGCTGCACTCCGTAATCCCCCCCACCCGGCTAATAGACTTCCTCGTTCCCCCAGTTCCCACACGTTAGGTCCTCAGTCCCAGCCAACCAATCCCATACAAGACGTAGTAAATTATATCAGAAGGAAGACGTGACCGGTGCTCCCTGCAGTGCCGTCATAACCTACTACCTACCTAACCTACCACTACCAAGCTAGCTACTAACTCAACTTCTTCAATAATAACCTAACCTACATCCATTCTTCCCTCTTTCTTCCTCTTCTCTCTATTCTTCTCGTCACGCATTCCTTCACGACATAATCAAAACGTATTCTTTGCAAAAAGCCACAGTCTTTTTGCTTCCGTGACCAATTCCATCCCAATTACCTCCCATCAGCTCAATTGTGTCCCTGCATAACAACCGTTCACAATGGCCCCGCTCATGCTTCGACGTATCGCTCAGACCCAGGCTCTCCGCCTTCCCACTGCCGTTTCGGTCGCTCGGCCGTTCTCGCAGACTGCCAATGTGCGAGCCCTCAAGGAGAGCCATACCAGTAAGTCTTACCACTTTCTTTTCGTCCTTTGCAGTTGCCTTTGTTACGGGACGAATATGCCAACTGTCGTCATCGTTTTGTCATACATTATGATGATGAAAAGGAAGGAAACGGAAGCTGTTTGTCATTGAACACGATGCGCGAGACTCCATGCACTCCACAACTGCATGATCTCGCCTTTTTTGTTTCCGAGAGCAAAGTTTACATCTCGGTGTCGTGGAGTGATCGGTTTGAAGCGGTTGAAACCAAACTGACGTTACGCGGATGCATTGGCTGACATGTATCTACTCTACAATACAGATCAAGAGGGCCGGGGCGAGCAAGTTGAGAAGAGCAAGCAAGAGGGCTTGAAGAAGCAAGAAGAGGGCAAGGGCTACTGGCATGACGATTTGGCCAGCGAAAGCGAGTCAGCTGTACGTCTCTTCTGTTCCTCAATTTCTGATACTCCCCTCCAAATAACGCTACCCCCGATCTTTATAGAAGAGCAGGGCAGGCATACAAAAAAATGCGGAACAGATACTGACATGACAAATTACAGGTCAAGGCTGACCGCGGCGAGATCGACGCTACCAGCGAAGCTCTCAAGAAGCTGCAAAAGGAGACTGAGAAGATTGCCCACAAGGCCGACGCCGGAAAGTCGCAGTAAAGAAAAAGGCTTGTAGCAGCACGATATGACAAGTATTATACCAAACTATAATTTTTTTCAAGCAGCAGCGGATACCTGCTTTGGGGAAAGCTGGAAAGCGGGGGAAGGCGAGCACCGCGTGCTAGGATAAGGTTTTTATACGAATGATGCTTATGTGTATTATCTGTCATATATTTCAAGTTCACTTTCTACGGGATATTTATACCTGCATCTCAATCAAATCCATTTCTTCAAACCCGCCTCTGAAAATCCATTTCTTTAGATCAACAGATTAAGTGGACGTCAAATGATATGCGAAACGCAAGAGGGGTTGATACTGGTCAGAAACCCCGGACATGCTTGATTGGTATTAAAATTAAAGAAGCCAAACGCCTGCCTTGATAGAGAGGCTTTAAGCTCTCAAAGAAAGTGTATATATATAAGAGTGATTCGAAAATAAAAAGAGAAAAAGCTCATCCATCCAAAATACCCATTGACCCCATATAGCAAAGATGATCCCTTCAGCCGATGCGCGACGCGTGCCCAAGTACCCCACCCCACGTTTACTTTAATATTATAATGAGCAAAATCAAAATGATGATGAGAATTAATATAATCGTCATTTGCACATGATCCTTTGCCTTGCGTGCAACATAGCCAAGCCGATTCTTCGCCGTATCAAGCCGGCCCTGATGCCGATCAACTTGATCCTCGACCTCATCCAGGAGCGCCACATGACTATCCAGCTCGTCGCCAATCTGGATACTGAGCTCCCTCTGGCGACCGATACTTTCTCCCAGGCGGTCCAGCTGATCGTCCTGGTCACGCAGCACGCGGGTATGGTAGGCGTGAATCTGCTGATTGTCAAGGTGGCTCTGGTCGGGCGGGGCATCTGGGTCATCGCGATAAGGAAACAGCGCGGCGCGATTGGCTTCGTCTGCAGCATCATCATCATCATCACCACCAGCTGCAGGAGAGTCTGTGAAGCGGACAGACTTGGCCAAGTTGCCACCACTGCCAGATGTCGAGCGCTTGAAGGAGGATGAAGGGACCCGGGCGCCGGCGGGGCGCTTGGGCCTCTGTTTTGCGTGGGAAAAGTCCTCGGCCAGAGCCGGATCGTTGGGTTCGGAAATGGACGATTTGCGTGCAGGCGCGACGCCGTGGAATTGGGACATCAAGTCCTCGTATTGTTCGCGGAGTCGTGTTTCTTGGTCTTGCCATGATTCGGCAGTTCTGTTTTTGTGGTGTTAGTATGTGGTAATGATTACATCGCCAAGTGCCCTTTTTTTTATATTTCCGTTCTCAACAAGAAAGATAATGATGATGAAGCGATATAGCTAGGAAGGGATTGGAGGACGTGGTAAAGGGGAAGAATGCGATCACATTGGGGGAAAAAGGGTGGTGGTTGATTAAACGTACGGATCGTCGTGGTCGACAAGCTCGATGCGTTTAGCTTCTACTGCTTCGAGACCTTCTCGGAAAGAATCTAATGATCGGGATATTTGCCCATCTTGTGTGTTTGGCTCGAGATTTAACGATATGGCTCGCTGTCGTTCGAGTAATGAGAGTTTGATATGATCAGCAAGCAGGAACAGCTGCGACGGATTGGCCATGATTGGAACGTCGGGTCTGGGGAAAAGCTCCCGGGGGACCAATAGCTTCAAGAAAGTAGTTAGAGATCCAGACGAAGGATGATGTAAGACGTGTGTTGATCTTTCTGGTTGAGAGATAGTGTAACGAAAGCCTGTAGCTCTTCTTTTTCTTTTTCTTTTTAACAAAAGAATGTAAGGTATTTAACAAAACAAAATTCGAGTCATATATTGGAGATCAATGGCACTGGTGGAAGAAGCAAAGGCGTCGACCTGCAACTGAGGGGGCTCGGGTGCACCAGCGGATGCAGCTGTGCCGGAGGTCGGTCGGGCCTTAGGAGGCCCATTAATAGACCCTGGAACGTTACGCATCTGGCAATCAATCGGCATCTCGTTTGTCTTCTCTCGGCTACCGTACATTGCAACGCTTTGTCTTTATAGTCTGCCGTACAAAAGTGGGATTTGAATCCGGGGATGGAGGATGAGCTACGGCTCACACACTTAAAGGGCACGAGGGAAGTCATGCAGGCAACGCTTTGTAGAAGAGCTTTTCTTATTTCTACAGCATCACAATAGGTGACAAGCAAGTATGATGCTACTATTCAGGGTAGATGAATGAAACATGCCCGCTGAATGAAAAGAATTAAACTCCGTAGTGACACCCTTCACCATTAAAAAGCCAATGAAACCACGCAACTCCAAGCCCAGTGGATCCGCGAGTAAAATGAATGAGATATGCGCTATGAACGACAAAGGTGTCATAAGATGGTGAAAATGCTAAATGACCATGGCTGACTGCTCTTGGAAACCTCGGGTCAAGCTGAGAGTGCAATTGACTGTGCAAAAGAGAACAGCATGCAATTTCTCTCCATATTTACAGAGAACAAAGCGGGGTATCGTGAAGAGTAAGTAGGCTTTATTTGAGGCCCAGTAACTTCTTGGAATTCTCGTAGACGACATAAGTCTGATAGGTGTCAGCCTTCACTATACAGTCATTGGAGAACTTCGAGGTTGAACGACTTACGATTGAGACTGCTGGAGCCACCTTGAGGAGATTAGGGGTAATGCCCTTGAAAAGACCCCGGAATCCTTCATTGCTGATAGTTCTTCTTGTGACGTCCATAATTCCAGTGTATCTTGGGGGGTGGATGGTCGTGCCCTGTGTCTGCAAACGGGTGCGGAGAAGGTTAAGTGGATAAACAGTGGATGCACCCAAGGCTCCGCTGAATGCACCGATTCCTGCAGTGACAACGCTGCTTGGATGAACGTCATCCTCATGGCAGCCACGGACACGAGCGTTGTGAGAGATTATCAAACGCTTTAAATATTCGAAAGTGCCCAAGTCGATCGCAGCATAAGGGAACATGCCGAATAAACCCATTGGAAGACCGCGATAGAAAGTGTGCAGGCCGCCTGCCGACCACATCTGCTTTGCAGTCGCAATCAATAGCCGATTACCATGAAGACCGCCTTCGACTGTTTCGCATTGCATGCGGCTAACTTCGATTAGATAAGGCAAGAGGCTAAAATGAAGGAATACTTACAATTTCAAAGTATCAATGGGATATACGAACAACCTTGGAATAGTCAGTGACGATTACAATCGCAGAACTCTACTCCAAGACCACGTACTGAGAGACCATGCCACCTAAGCCGCCAGCTACAAACTTTGACACGGGACGAATCTGCTGCGGATCGCTATGACCTTCAAGTCTCGCCAGAGCTCGTTTCGCACCCTAGATGGTCAGGAAAAGAACGGAAACTCAACTCGAGAGGAGTATTACCTCATATGAGCCGAATTTAATCGCCGATTCAGGCATAATCTTCAAGACATTGAGACCGTTACCTGTCGCCTTGTCAATATATGGCTTTCACATTGTCCATAAACGGAGCTGACCAGCAAATAGAGACCGCATCCCACCGGCTTTCCACAGCTCTTTCATCGCTCCTATCAACGGGCGTGCCGCCTTTTTCGCCGCTTCGGCCGTGGCACCCTCCTTAACTGCCTTGACCGCTTCACTTTTGGCGCCGGTTTGCGCGATAAGGTACACCTTTAGACGGTCTAAAGGTGCCGTCACCGAACGAGAAATTGCACCCGCGATGCCACCGGCTAGGAAGTAGCCTGGGTTAGGCAAGATACTTGTCAGTATTGGTTCGCACAAATCCAGCAGGATCCAATCAATCAGAGGTGCCGGTAGAGTGGGCAGATGCTCAGCATCTGGATCCCATGGTTGAGGCACCGCCACTGGGGCTACGTCCTCAATAATCTCATGCTGCGGCGGCTGAAATAATGGCGCGAAAGGTTCTTTAACTTGAACGGGTTGACTTCGGGGCGAAGCGATGCTTTTCAGGGCGTCAAAAAAAGTGGTGGGGAATCTTTTACCTAGCCCCTCTATTGTCTCATCGCTGACAGCCACATCGCCTTCAGGATTCATAAGTACGGTGGACGAGTAGTATGTAAGGACAGCCTTAAGGCCCGGCGAATTGACAGGGATGAACAGGAGGAAATTTCTAAGCCAAAAAATATCAATCAAAGTGAACCTGTCTTGCTCATTGATGTTTCACTTACCGCCATTCATCAAAACTGATCACACCGTCATGATTGGTGTCAACTTCAGCAAAGAATTGATCGAGCTTGGCTTTCGATACGGTGAGACCGGCTTTTGTAAAGGCGGTAGATAGTTCTTCCTTGTCTAGTTTTCCGTCTCTGTCGCGGTCAATGCTGTTGAAAAGACCACGAAGTTGGTTTTCCGTAGTTTCAACAAAAGTACGAAATTCTGTGCAGAGACTTAGCCAAATCTCCAAGCATAGCAATTGACTGGAGAATACCATCATATTCAATTTTGCCGTCACCATTAGTGTCCACTGCTTCCAAAACTTCACGCAGAAGATGGTCGGCGTTCTTCAGTGCTGTAAGAGAGATGTTAGCCAACATTCACAGCTTCGGGGGAGTTCACCTACGATGATCCATCTTCCTCAACCCTTTTCTAAGGCCGTTCAGGTCTAACTGGCCTTCCTTGCGAGTATCTAAGATCCGCCATAGCCCTTCGACCCTCGCGTCCAGCGAGGTCTCCTTGTCGCTGGCCATGTTTCAGGGTTTGAGGGCTACTTGATTTCCGGGCATTCCGGGTCTGCCCATGTGGAGACGACTGGAGAAGGTTAAGAAACCAACAAGACGAAAGAATGCTGATTCAACAACAGGATCGAGTGAGTTCAGCAACACAATTGTCTGTGATCGGTGATGTTTGACCTCAGATTGTACCGATCAAATCAATAAAGTCGATAAAGCTGAAGCCGGGCGTCACTAAGCGAGCTTGTATTGAACGCTTCGGCTGTGGGGTCGTGCACCGCCATATGTCATCAGAGCCACAATTTCCAAATGAAGCAATATCAGACTCCAGCCATGTCACTGACACCGCGATAAGGGAGTCTGGTGATTGGACACACTGCTAATTATATACTTTACGACGCCCCTTTCCCTCAGCATAATATATATGTCGCCTACGCTATGCCTAGATTTCTACGATGATATATCCATAGTGAACTGTTGCGTTAACGAGCGGTTCATGCCATGAGCAATCATTCTAGCCTTCTGGTAGCTGAGCCTTTTGTCACAACAAAACTTTGAAAGAAATGGCTGGGAACTTTTGGACTTCTACGCAGCACCTCCATTGGCAGTTTTCAAAACCGGGTTTAGCTGAAATAAGGAGAAAATTGGAGCAGGAGGATCGAGCGCTGGTGCAACAATATCCACTTCCAGATCGAAGGCTGTTGAGTATTTATTTCTACCATCGTATGTACTAAGACCTCTAAATCCCAGTAAACTCCGGCTAAAATTGTGCGAGAAATTGGAAAGTTGGGCAAGCGCCTGACAATCCGTCAGCAAGCACTTGCCACTGCTCAGGTCTATATTCGGAGGTTCTACACGAAAGTAGAAATCAGACGGACAAATCCGTACCTAGTCCTAGTAACGGCACTCTATTTAGCCTGCAAGATGGAGGAATGTCCGCAGCATATACGACTTGTCGTAGCAGAGGCGCGGAACATATGGCCTGGTAAGTTGGCCGTAATCCAGCATACCCTCTCAATTCTCGTGTTCCCGCATTGTATCTACATGGTACAAGTTCCAATGGCTGACGGACTTTGTTAGATTTCATCTCCTCAGATACTTCAAAGTTGGGAGAATGCGAGTTCTTTCTCATCTCGGAAATGCGCTCTCAGCTGATAATTCACCAACCATACCGTACTTTACTAACATTGCACAGCAGCTTTTCTATGACCCAGGACGAGATTAACCTGGCTTGGTCCGTAATCAATGACCACTACCTTACAGATCTGCCTCTGCTTTATCCTCCTCATGTCATCGCTGTAGCAGCAATATTCCTTGCTGTGGTGCTAAAACCAGCTCAGGCTAGCTTGCATGGTAGCAATGGCTCTGCAGCGGCACCAACAAGCATAGCTCAGGCCATGACTGGTACGCCAAACAGATACGCACAACAATTTCCAGCCACGAATACGCAGCAGATTGGCTCTTCGGGAGCTGCCCCACAAAACAAGGTACAATACCTTGTCAACTGGCTGGCCGAAAGCGACGTTGACATGGAGGCTGTCATTGACTGTACTCAAGAGATTATTTCTCTATACGAGGTATGGGAGCAGTATAATGACAAGGTCTGCAAAGAACAAATCACACGGTTTGTGAAAGCAAGAGGGCTGGACAAGTAGGATGAAACGATTGTTTAACATAAAATGATTCTGGATATTTTTATCACCTGATGCAAGCGTTAAAATGAAGGCATGGATAGGCGTCAGAATGGATCGCATAGCGTTTTTTTTTTTTTTTTTTTTGGATTATTGACAGCATCGGCAATTGTTGGCCTACGCTCGGCGTTTTGGTTTGTCTTATAGAAGCCTTGGTTTACATCAGGTCGCGCTTGGAGTCACAGAATCCGGCTAATCCGGCTCTGTCATCATGGAATTTATTTCCATGAGGTAGTGAGCACAGAAGCGCATTTAGCAGGAGTCTTCCCACGTATAGAATATTCGTATAATCTGCATGTAACTGTAAAATACTAAACAAAATAAAATTACCAGATCAGTAACAACGCTCCTCGGTCAGCATGCAATGTTAATCAATCGAACCATGCAAGCTAAATCCGAGACGCAATCATCGTGACTAACTTATACATAAGGTATGCATCGCAGAATAATTGTAGTTAATATAGCCGGTCTTTCCCATACCTTACTCTACTTGCCCCCCTTTTTCATCATTGTTCTTCTTCTCTGACTGGGTTTTTAGCAGGCCCGACCGATATTCCTATGAGGATCCGGTAGATGCGAATTTGGTAGGCTTCCAAAAGTTTGTACGGTATCTTTCGGGCAATCAAATCCAGCAAAGAAGAACAGGTATGCCATTCACCGCATACACGATACCATTATTTCCTTAGTGCTCGCCATTGACCTCGTTCACATTTGGCACTCTAGGTAACTATGCATCAGCATGCTACAAGATTGGGAAGGCGGGTCCCCCATGCTAGACCGTGGAGGTACTATTAATGAACGAGCTTCCATCTCCGTACAGGTACGCTAACAATAATAATGCCGCAGGGGCGATACGCCGAGCATCCGGGTTCTTCTCCGTTGCCTGTCTTGTGTTCATCGCACCAGCCTTAGGAACAGGAAAGTTAAGAAGTTTACCCGAACAACGGACAGCAACCTAGCAGCTGGCGGGGTCGGCGCGGACTTGAGCTTCGGCACTACGGAATATACCTAGGAGACTTGGGGTGCTTGGGGAGGACCGAGTCTGGCCCGCCGGCTCAGCAGTGTCCGAGACAAGTGCACAAGCGTCACTGACTATCAGCCAGGAGTCAGAGAGGAGCAGCCTGCACGAAATCTACTGGGACAAGCTGTTCAGGAGAACAACAAACAACGCCCCGACATCAAGAGTGATCTTGAACTGCTTTAGCTTGTTACAAGTCCAGAGCATGAATGCATCATGCATGCGGTAGTGACTGCGCTTGAGCCCAGCCTCAAAGGGACTCCAACCGCCATCACACTCCAGCCGTCGCAACCGCCTAGCTCTGCCTGCGGGCGTACATCTAGGTCAGACCAGTGTCCACAGATGAAACATTACCAACATGATCTATGGGGCGAATCTTTGAGTACAGTAAAATACAGTACCTAAATGCTAAGAATTCTTGGGCCCTCTACTACCGTCATCGAATGCTATACCTGTCCTCGCACGGGATTTTGCGGGAACCCACGTCAACGCTGGTCTTCAAATTGGGGAGGTTTTAGGTCCTCAATTCTGGCCCGGTGAAAGTCTAATCGAGAGGATCAGCATGGATGGCGCCTCCGCCAGCAATCAACCGCACACTTTCAGAGATGAAAGAGCTCAAACAGTAACAACTACAATGACGGGTCCCCCCTTACACTCATCTCGAGGAGCACGAGGGGCAGGCAGAGAATAATGATACAGGAAGCAAAATTGGATTCTTCATTACCGGGCAAATAATTTATCGCTCACCGATAGTCTTCTTACCAACCTGACAATTTCCGGAGCTAGCTGGCATTTCCCAAATTGGAGTTGACGATCTAATGGACCTGGTTGTTGTCCGCACTAAGCAAGGTACGACGGAGGACAACGGATGGCCTCGCGGATTAACTAGCTTAACTGCCCAGTTCTTCCTGGATGATCTGCTTATCTAACTTTTGAAGTTGCCAAGCGGAACTACGACAATGGCTTGCTGGTAGAGTGGGTGAAAGCCATATTGTAGCATGTTCACAGGGCCTCCCGGCCGGGAAGGAAAAACGACGGGAGACCAATAAGGGGTCCCGTGCGAAGGGGGGTTGAGGTGTTTTGAAAAGGAGGGGGGAGGAGGGAGGATGAGGGACGAGGAGTGTTGTTTGTGGTGGACACACGGACCTTTCTCGAAACCCCCAAACCTTCCCGGGGGAGCTGGGGGGAAATCAATCACATGGGCTATGCCCGCCTCCCTCTTGCCACCGTAATAATTGGGCTAGACCTGCGCCAATCATGATGATAGCAGGGGCATCATCCAATGAGCTGATCGACCAATGACGAAGCTTTTGGACCTCTGAGCCCCTGCCCTAGCGCTAAGAACTAAAACCTTACTGGTTCCGGATAAGCACTTTTCCAGGAATGGAAACTATCGAGGCATTGTCGGCAGCAATTTTGGGGCAATCGAAGTGTCCCCATAAGGTGGCCACCCATTTCTGTCTTCTCGTTCTCCATTCCTTTGCTCGTTCCACTTGATTCGCCTAACACCAAACAATCGGACGCCTAACATCATTTCATACTGTCTGCTGCCGAGAGCTAGGGTAGATTCTATCCTTAATTAACATCGGACTGTCTATACTATCCCGCCCTCGACCCTTCTTTCGCCTTTCCAACTCCCACCTTCCACACACAATCCCACACCTCCCCCCCCCCGCCTACGCATCCTCGATCCCAATCAGCTTTCGACTCAACTTGATAGAAATCTCCGATTCCTTCACATAAGACGCCGAAACATCATTCACTCTCTCGGCATCATTCGACAAGCACTACCTGTGTTTACTTTGAATTGATCTCGATTTTGTGCGGTGCTTCGCTTCGACGTTGCTCGCTCAAACATCTCGTCACATTCCAGACGCACCGGCCAATTTCAGCTCTGTTGTGTTTGTCTGACCCGCAGGGCGACTCGCACGTTTCGCATCTCCATTGCTCATTCTGACTATTTTCCGACGGCAAAACTGGTCGTCGTTAAGTCTGCACTTGCCTTGATCATCGTTTGTTAGCAGAAGACATGTCGGCCTTTTACTTTGGAGCGCAGAACCACCTTGTGGGCAACCCATCGCACGCTCATAGCCACCACGGCGGTCGTTCGCGACGAGCTCCCCGTCTGCCAGCCTCGCAAAACTCTCATAAGCAGTTCCGAGCTGTGCGCAATGTGAAGGAGATTGCGGAGACTCCTTCGGTGACTGCTTTCCGAGCTCGCTTCGAGGCTGGCCGTTCGTTCGACCTCGATGACGACCTTGAGTTTTGTCCCGGTTTGTTGACCGAAGACGACGTAAGTCTGCCCGTCAGACTAGAAGTGCTGCAGCGAGAAGAAAAAGAGGAGCAACGCAGCTAATGTTTGAGGGATTCCAGTTGCAATCAATTCATTCGGCATCCTCTGATCGCTCGTCGCTCTCGAGCGGCTCGCCCGACTCTTCGCCATTGCAGCACCAGATCCAGCCGACGCAGCAAGTGACTCCGACCATCTCTTTGTCGACCGCTTCCTCTCCCTTTATCCCTACCGCCTACCAACCGACGGCGGCTCAGATGAAACTTCATCAACCCGCTGCTGTGCGCACGCGCAACGCGATCCCAATCGTCAACCCCACCACTGGCATGCGTGTAGCCAGCCCACCTTTGTCGGTTTCGCCGGCGAGAATGCAGCAGCACGGCCTTGGACGCCGCTGGTAGACGAATTCTCCGATTCCCCACCACAACTGGGAAGTCGGAACAGTTCTTCTCTGCCTGCATCGCTGCGTCTAGCATCTCCGAATCGAACCGACCAACATTTTAAAACGATTTTCCGATCACCGCGTCGACATTCTCTTTTGTGTTCATTTTTCTCACGATAAATATACCTGAATACCGTGGATTAATTTAATCTTCCTTTGTTCACCAAAATTATTCAAGACGATTTTCCTGTACAAAGAAACGACCTTTTCTTCATCGGTTACTTCTTTAAGCGACGGCGCTGCGATAAACGAAATCACTATATATTCATTCGGCAAAAACCTTTTTTTGGCATCGGTGTCCAATTCTGGGGAGTTTATAACATTTGCAACTTGCGCAGGCGAGATGCATGGAGAAACTTGTTCGATACCTTTTGATTCGGGAGGGAAACTAAAAACGGAACTTTATATACCATAACGACAATATTTCGCTTTTGGGGGGTTTTTCTTTTCTTGGTTGGAAGCATCATGACGTCGCATATAAAGCCGGGATTCATTATTCATCTTTGATATATGTTTGTTTTTATATCTGCCTCGCATGTGTGCGTGTTGTATCGCATCGCACAGTTTTAGCACAGTGTTCTTCTGTCATTCTGCTTCTCTGGTTGGGAGGCTGCGGTGTTGGTTTCATCATCTCAAACAAGAAGATTGTCATTTATTGTCATCTCATCATCATCTTCTCGGGAAAAGATCTCCTTTGTCCCTTGTTCAGTAGGGGGGGGGGGTTTTGCTCGGGTTGCTCGGAAATTGTTGTGCTTTTTATTTCCGCTTCGAGAGACATTAGGTCGTGTCGGCGCGGCGTTGTTGCTGTTGCTTGATTTTGGTTATTTTGGGTGACGCGAAACTCCTTGACTTGGCGGTTGCGGTTACGGTTGGGCTTTTTCTGGACTACACTGGACTGGACTGAACTGGACTGGATGTGTCGGTGTTGTCTCTTGTCTCTCGGGCGTGGAGTTGCAAATGCATATATACTATTTTTCTTGTTTCCCTTTTTTACTTCTTGCTAACATTATACTATCTTCACTTTTTCGTTCTTTTGTTTTAAATATCTTATCTTCTTCTTTACTTTATAAAAATCAGAGGACAAATGATGATTTATATTTCAGACTTTAAACCTATTTGATCGTCTATCTTTCATAGTTGGGATATCTATCGTCGTCAACAGTCTAACAACGACATTGATACTAGTCACTGCAATGCACAATGATGATGAATGACAACTTCAATGGCTATAACTTATGATAGGTATTGATGGTCATGATGAAAGCAAAAATGCTAACTGATGATTGCAATGACAAGAATTGATAGATACTAATCACGATGATGATATATCAAAAGGAAACAGACGACAAATAAAAGAAGGAAATGATATCATATAACTAATATCCACCGCCACCGCCGCCGCTGCCACCGTACCCGTAACTCTGACCGCCCCAGTGCGCTTGCCCTGGCCCCCCTGGCCCTCCTGGTCCTCCTGGCCTTCCTGGTGGTGGCGGGGCCTGTTGATACGGGTACGCTGGAGGCTGGCTGTCGTATGATCCGTACGCAGGCTGGTCGTACCCCCCTGATGATGATGATGGTGCAGGGACGGGAGGAGCGCCGGGAGGTGCAGCACCATATGGATCATACGGACGATCGCCGTACGCCGCTTGTTGCGGTGGGTAAGCCTCGCCTGGAGGATAAGATCCGGGTGGATAAGACTGAGGATCGTAGGATTGAGGCGGGTAAGATCCGGGAGGATGAGAATCATAAGGCTGAGGAGGACAAGATCCGGGGGGATAAGGAGACTGGGACTGAGGGGGATAAGGAGACTGAGACTGAGACTGAGGGAAATAAGGAGGCGGCGTGGGAGCAGCATAGCCGGGGTACGGACTGGCGTGGCCCGATGATGCAGAAGCGGAGACGGACTCGGGACCAGGGCCAGGACCAGATCCAAGACCAGAAGGATTAGAAAAAGTAGGAGGAACAGAAAGGCCAGATGGATCAGAAGGACCAGAAGTTGGATCGTCCCGGAACAATTGGCCGCCAGGAATGGATTGGCGCCAATCACCGCCACCGCCACCGCTACCGCTGCCGCTGCCGCCACCGGTGAAAGATGAGAAGAGAGAAGAAAAAGCCGAAGGTTTGGTACTTTCAGAGCCAGGTCCAGATCCAGGTCCAACTCCGTGACTATGACCGCCGTGGCCATGGCCATGGCCCTGACCCTGACCAGCGCCTACAGCAGTGAGATTGTGGCCCTCGCGAACGCTCTCGGAGCTGAGAATGTCATTGAGGCGCTGGCCGCGATGGGGCTGGGCGTGGGCCCAGCGCTGCACGACATCGAACATGGTCTTGTGGATCTCCAGATGCTGATCGCGGAGGGCGGGATGGTGAAAGACGCGAATGACATCGTCGAGGACCTGATCCACGGGCACGTCGGGGTGTTCCCACGCGTAAATGACGCGGGGCGCGACGTACTGGAGGATAGCAGAGGCGACCTGACCGGCGGGCTCGTTGAGGATGTTTGCGAAATGGTCCTTGGACAGCATCGAGTGGGTGGGGTCCGAGCAGTGCGGGTCCGTCCAGACTTCGTACTGGTGCTTGCCGCTGGAGTCGATGACGGCCGAGGAGCCCGTCTTGAGCTGTTTCGAGACGGCTTCGATAATGGGCCGAATGTACGGCGCGAGGAGGGAGAGGACAAACAAGGTCAAAGTCTCGGTGATTTTCTCAATCAGCGCTTCGAGACCGGGGATCTTCTCAATGATGCCGGATATCTTCTTGACGACCTTGTCGCGGAACTCGAGGATCGGGTAGATTTGCGCGGCCGTCTTCAGCGGGTCAAAGTTCGGACTCATCCCCGGTATGCCGGGTCCGGGAGGACCCCCCGTGGAGCCAGGAGGGGCGGGGAAGGATGTTTGCACGGCATTGGGATCTGCTGCTCGCGACATGCCCCCGTAGTATTCGCCGCCAGCGCCAGCGCGGTTGGATTGCTCTTGCGCGTCGGAGTCGGCTTGTAGGCGTGCTGCTTCGGCGCAGAGCCCGCTGGTGCCGGGGATCTGAGAGAGGAGGGAGGTGAAGAAGGAGGCCTCCTGGCCTGGGTTGTTGCCAAAGCTACGTGCGCCTGCGCCTGACGACGACCCGTGTGATTTCTGCTGTGCTTCGTTCAGGGCAATGTCCATTTCGTTTACCTCGGTCTGGGCAAAGTGGTCGTTGGCCTCGCCGAGGACAGAGTGGAGAAAGTCAACACCGCCAAAGGTGCCCGTGACAAGTGGGAAGATCCTCTTATGGCCGATCTGGATCTCTGTTGCTGCTCCAACATGGGGGAAGACATTCGTAAAGCCTAGCTCACGAAGCGCTAGCTCGGTATAGTTTGTATGCGCGCCAAAATCTTCCAGCGTGTGCAGGCCTTGACCGAGGCACCGTAAAGCTTCACACAGATCTGCCTCTTTTCCCTTGACGCCGCGTGGGCCGTTGGTATAGACTCTTCCAAAATGAATGCTGCGCGCAAAGCTGTGCTTAACGTATCCGGAGCTCGTAGCCCATCCTCCGCTCTCATTGGCAATGTAGTTTTTCATGCCAGTTCGAGGATCAATAGCTAGTTCTTCGGGACTGACCGGTCCGCGCAGCCGCGAGTCGTACTGGCGCGCGTCGACATTATCGGCATAGTCCTTGGGGTTGTCAATGTGTTCTTCAGGGCGATAGACACCGAGTCTTTCCTCGGTGACCTCGAATTCTGCCGTAGCATATCCAAAAGACATGAAGCCCAGGATCCAGACTAGGATGCGCAAAGTGCCGGCCTGAACGCCCTTGAGAGTGCCGACATCCACTGCCTGAGAGTAGTCTCGCAGCCAGTTGCCAAAGTAGGCGCGAGAGATCATGAGGCTGGTCCATTTGTGGTGCTTGATGAAAGCCACTTTTTTCAGCATATCTTCAATGTCTCCATGGCGCCAGTTCTGTCCTTCGATTTTCGAAATGGACGCAATGTTTCCCGCTCCAAAGGCGGCCGCAGGTGAGGGAAGAATCACAAGCAACAGCGCGGCCACAATGACCAGCCACGTGAGTCTTGAAGCCATGCTGCAAGGTGAGAAAGGTCCAAGAAAAGATATTTTGACCTTGTAATCTGCTCTTTAGACGTGCGACAGTACGTCTTTAGTCTCCGGGGGTGTGACAGAACGTCTTTCTAGTCTCCAGAGGTGCAACAGTACGTGTCTATGCGCTCTCACCTCGTCCGTCCAAAATATTGTCAAATCTCCCCGCTTCACAGAAGAGAAACAATGGCGGGGTAATCGTGCTAGTAAACCACAGCGCACAAGTGCTCCGTACCCGCGATGCGAAAAGAAAGAAACAAAATCAGCGAGACAGAGCGTGCTTGCAGTCCCGAGGATTTTCAAGTCTCCAGAAATCAACGAAATTGAAATACAAACGAGGTTAAAGTCCACCTTCTCGTTGCCCAGTCGTCTAAGTTTAGAACTGTACCCTAACTTACCTAAAGTTGTTGACGGAGTTCGCGCGACACCGCCTCCGCTACGTCAGCTCAGCTCAGCTCAGCCCCCAGCTCCGTCTCTTAGTTAAACTCTGATCTGATCTAATCAGATCACGCAGATACATGTCCAGAACTGCAAAGGGACAGTCACTTTCGATAAACACAGTCTAGGTGGCCCTTTTCTCCTCTTTCGGCGCGATTTTCCAGAGTGACGACAAATAATGTATCGTTGTTGTCGTCAGAGGTGCCGAGTAGGCGTCAGGCGTCATGATCTTGGCGTCAGGGTCTTGGCGCAAGAAACGAGCTTTCCAACACCGCCAGGCCCACAACGAGGAAAAACAATGGAGAGAAATCGAGCAAGGTGGGGCCTATCACAGTAAATTATATATATGACTTATGACAAAGAGATTGATTATTCCGTACAGAGGTACTTCGTACTTTGTAACATACATTCATCCGTTATCAAGTGAATAGACCCTCTCACTGTCAAGCTGGACTAAGTAGTAGCATAAACACCATGTAATACGACCCTTCACTTTCCTCGCCAGTAACTACCTTGGTCCTTACTTATACTATTGAGTAAGTGAATGTGAGAGGCAACGAGGTAAAAAGATGGTTATAAAACAGCGTGAACCATGTGAAACGACATCAAACAACATATACACAAAACAACATAATTTATAAAATTTGGCCCTTTGGCCCTCCTTTTCATATGACACTCCGAATCTACTTGTCGTCCTCCAAGCAAGACAGGAGTTGAGCCAACGAGCTCATGAAAGAGATATGTTAAAAATTTACAGAAAAATTAGACACTATTTCGGGAAGGATTGAGCATCTCGAAAAACTCATGTATGATCCCCAATACCCAATATGCTCTTTGAGAAAGTCTAAACACAAGCACGAAATAGGTCTGGAAAGGATCCAAAAAAAAAAAAAAAAGCCACACAGCTCCCCTAGAAGCTCTCAAATGACAAAAAGAGATCCCCAATCGAACCAGAGAAGATTCTTTTACTAGAAGGAATAACTAGACTGTACAAATTGGAAAGGGGATTTGGCCTACTCCGAACTCGATCAGCGGGCGCTGAAGGCAAAGCACGGCAATGGCATCGCTGGGTACTTGAAAGTCTTTCTAATATTGCAGATGCTGCAGAGCGAGACAGTGTTAAAGAGCTCTTAAACCTGCAAATGTCAAAGGAGCAACCTGTTGATTATGCAGTCGAAGTGGAGAAGCTGATCTACAAAAAAGACAAGGATCATGATGGACCAGTAAATCTCAAGGAGGCCAACAAAGGGCAAGAAGAAGAGGAAGTCTGGCCTGCAAAGCAGGCTTGACTGAGCAGAGATTAGATTTGGCAGATTAGCAGTATCAATTGCTTATGCTACTAGGAGATTAAATTCATTAACCAATGTTGAATCTCGAGAAAACCAAGACCATCTCTCATGATATTGCCACCATTTGCTACGTCTTCATCTCTGTAAGCAGGAGTGCTTATGGGAAGCTGCTAGGATGGGGCATCATCTCGCCCTAACGTACTCAATACGCGTAGAACCTGAGGGGGTTGGAAGGTCCAAGAAGATGGACAAGACCAAGGACAAGACATGGATACCAACAAGCTTCTTGCTTTTTAAGAATGCAACTGTGGTCATTGATTGAACATATTGACATTCAATAGTCACACAATAATTATGAAAGACACTCGAAGAGACCAATGCCATCTTCACTTATCCCCACGGCATCAAATACATTGGTACGCCAGCGTGGAAGACACAAATCCCCACCAGCCACGTGCACAAGCTGGAAAAGGGCCAAGCTCGACGCCAAGGAGATTGCTGCATATCACGACGAGGGCGTAACTCTGCCAGGCAATAGTATACTTCTCCCAGGCAACGCATGACCGTGAATCGAATATTTGGTTGTAAGATATATACCTTTGTACGTAGCTTGCAAGATCAGATAATGCGTCCACTTAAGGTAAATACCTCCCGTAGTGTCCAACTTACACATTACGAAGATATAATACTCCACCATGTAGCCTATCGTGTCCAACACATATAGCAGGGTTGGGTAAAGGTGGCTAAGGGCTTAGCTGGGGATTTGTCGTAGCTGACAAGAGTAGTACTGCACACTACCTAAGAATTAAAACATATATTGGAGCATGACTCTTGGATTAAACATTCAGTGCTGTCACAACACATCCAACATCTTAAAGAAGATACTGAAAAGATAAAATGTCCACACATTTCGCGTGGGAAATATATTCATTTAAGCAATTTATACCATTCGAAAAGAAAAAAAGGAAAAAAAGGAAAAAAAGAAAAAGGAAAAAGGAAAGAAATGGAAATGGACATGGAAAAAGAATAAAAGAAACTCCGTCCTTGCTCTCAGGCGATGAGACGATTTTCGACTGGCATCCTGCCAGCCATCGTTGGAGTCTCAAGAAAAGTTCTAATTTAAAAAAAAAAAAAAAAAAAAGTATGCTACATGCTATGCTATGGGTTTCGTGAAAAACAAATCAACGAGAACACGATCTCCCCACTTCATGTCTCGTCGACTAGGGAAAGGTGTCCCCTGCGAGAAAAAGAAAAAAGTATGTATCGACTGGGTTATAATGCAGATGAGGACTAATGTACCTGCCTCTGGACGGGCACTGGGGGGAAAAAGCATGTAAAAGAAATGAAAAAAATTCACAAGAAAAAAAAAGAGTAGAGAAAAGGGGCTTTACTGTCCACCAAGAGTTCTAAGCTTCTCTTGCTCTTCAGTCGTCAAAGCGCCAAACATTTCCTGGAAGCCGGGTTTGCTTGCCTCTTCCTGGAAAAAGGCAAGCAGATAAGCCTGGGTCTCGTCGTCTCGCTGACGGAAGCTAGGGCTGTCGGCATACGCCATGAGATCTGTAGTATCAGATTTGACAATCAGCAAATGTTCAATGACTGTAAAAGAGAGAGATAAGATTTAAAAGGAGTACTCACCCTGTCTCGTCGCCATAGAGCTGAGGTCAAGAGCATTGGGAACATCCTCCCAGTCGCCGTCGTCGCTGCCCTCTTCGGCAAGCTCAGCAGCCAGGGCAGGATCAATAGCACGCGGGGTATTGCCGCTGGCACTCGACAGCTCCTCGACCAAAAGCTTGAGAATCTTGAGCGGCACCGACACGACAGTATACTGATCAGGATTGAGGCGAGCCTTTGACCGAGTCATGATTCTGTCACTCTTGGGAATGATGAGGTCACCCTGAACCATTGTCTGGGACAGTCTATGGTCATTCAGACTATAGAGGCGTGACAGAGCAATTACACTGCAACAAATTAGCAAAAGAGTTTATGGCACAGTAAAGTCCAAAGGCACATACTTTTGACGAATCTCATCGTATCCGGCAAAGTTGACAGAGTTCTCCAGCCACTTGGACATGACAATCTGCAGACCGCTACCAGAACCGACCTGCAACTGGGCCAGAAAATCGACAACATCCTTTGCGCTCACAAGCGACAATCGTGCAAAGACAAGGATCAAAGACTGGATAAACTGAGCCTGCGTGGCAGTGCTCAATCGCACAGTGACCGCCTGAAGTAGCTGAGGAAGATAAGGACCGAGTTTATCGGCGCCAGCCTTCTCGACCAACTCCGCAGCCAGTCCACCAACTTCTGCTGCCGCATTGTCATCGACAGAGGGGTTCAAGAGACGGTCAACAATGACCAATGCTACCTCGAGGCCAAGCTTGCCCGACTCGGGATCTTGCCACTCAAAAAATTGCTTAGGGTCGTGGTCGATCATGTGTTGGACGGCATCAGTCGCCGGACGGAGCAGCTCGGCATCATCCGAAGAAATGAGCAGGCGGTTAAGTTTGGGCATCACCGTTCCGACGAAACCTTGGGGCAATGGTTCGGGCCCGTGCTCTGCAAGGATAGCCAGGAGCTCTGCGGCAAGCTGGGCAATTGTCAGCTTGTGAGTTACGACATCATACTTGTACGGGAAAGCATGAAAAGGGTTCAGGAGACGATTATGAAAAAAGTCCCCTCCTGATTCCGGACACTTACGTTAGTCAGGGCAGACTCTTCAGTCAGATTACCGACATCGAAAGCACCAGTCAATGATGGCAAGACCTTTTCACAAAGGCCTGTGTAAGCCTCACGACCAAGAGCAGACATGGCTCCGGCAATATCCTCAAAGGTCTCGTTCACAAGCATGGTCAACTGAAAGTTGTTCGCGCCATGACTGGCAATGGTAAAGAGAAGTTCCAAAGCGGTAGATCCTTGAGCCACGCAGATTCGTGTATCGAGCATGATAACATCGCGGAGAGTCTCGACAAGGGTGACCATGAGGTCGTCGCTCTCCGCAAAATCATCAAGGTCTTTTGATGCGAGGAAGTTTGAGATGGCGGATGCGATTGGTCCCTGCATCGGTTGAGTAATGCTGGCGGGAAGTGACTGCAGATAATCTTGCAGGGCCCGGATGCAAGACACCTGAACAACTTCCGCCGAGTCGTCCGAAATTGCCCTTAGAGACTCCTCCATAAAACCGGCAGCAACCTGGTGCAATGTCTCGCCGCCGGTGCGAGTAAGGCTGCCCGCCACCAAGAAACCTCTGGCACGAAGGAAGAAGTCCTCTGTCACAAACGTATCAGCCTAGAGCCCTTATCAATTTCCGAGGGATTTGTCTTCTCACCTTGGCGCATCGCGAATTTGACAAACTCAGTGTAGCCATGAGCGAGCTCGGGGTTGATCTTCTGCTCGACATCACTAAAGTCTCCTAGAAGCTGGTTCAAGATGTAGAGCGCAGCTTCTTTGAGTTTCCAGCTACATGAGATTCGTAAGAATTAGTCGCCAAGCTCACCAATGGATTCTCAATCAATCAAATCACGGCGTTCAACTGGAACTTACCCTGCTGTAGACTGGAAGAGGGTCCGCGTGTATGCAAGCAGTCCCTCAATGGCGAGCGACTTGAGCCATTCTCCCAACTTGATGATCAAGTCTCCACACGCAGTTCGGGGCGTATAGTTTGCAGTAACACTCGTCTCCTCGGACAAAAAGACGTTGACGTCGATATCCCAGAGGCCCTCTTCTTCAGTGGTGATTTGGGCATAAGCTACTGCTAATTTCATCACCTCGACCAACCAGCTGCCCTCTTGTGTAGCCGAGTGGTTCTGAAGCTGCGTCTCCAATTCTTGACGCACAGGTGGGGCCCGAAGACAAGCCTGCATAAAGTCTAACTCTTCAAGCACGAGGAAGTCAAGAGTATAAGGCAAGCCATCAGCGTCCTCTAGACGGCCTTGACGCTCGTTCTCAATGTACATCTCATGATACGGTGCCTGAAGTGATGAGAGTTCTTGCCAGGTAACTGAAAAGACCACGGGACTCTGCGGAGAAAGCAGGCCTGGGAACAAGGTACGAATCTTCATAAATGTCTGCCACAGCGGATTAGAGAGTGCTCCCAACCCGAGCCTCACTTTTTTCTTGCCAATCAAATACATACCTTGACAACCTGAAGCTTGAGGGCAATCAAACCTCTCCATTCGGCTTGTGTGCCATCCTCCTTGTGCTCTTCCTCCTCGCTCGGCATGGTAGGCAGAGGCTTCCTCATAATGTCCAAAAAGAAGGGCGACCAGGCATGCAATGCCTCCTCTGCAAACGCCTTGACTTCTGCCTTGTGATCCTCCATGACCATTTCCAGCATATCGAACGACGATCTGAAAATCGAGACCGCCATTGCCCGTAATATCGTCTTCCTTGAGTCGTTGGAAGCCACATCGAAAATGACCTGGACCAAATCTCTTGCCACGGCGAAGAATTGATCCTCATTGAGTCCGTCTTCGACGAGATCGGCGAGCACCCGGAGCGCGCCGTGCAGCTGGGAGTCGGTGCTCACTGGAATCAGGGCGAGCAGACGAGGTAACAGGTCCGGCCACTGGTCGGGGAAATCGGCACTGGCGATTTTGCTGACAACATAACTGGCTGCAGTCTTGACCTTTCTATCGCTGTCTTCGCTAGTGGCGAGCTCGAGGAGCGCCGTCCGCAGATGCTGCTTGTTGGCATCGCTGATGAGGATGAGGCCCTTGAATTCTTCGAAAATGGGAGACCAGGACGACGTGACAAAGGTCTTCAAGGTCAAGAGCGCAGATTGGCGGAGATTGAGAGGAACAGAGGTGTGTGATGCTACTGAGACCAAAGCTTTGGGAAAGGCTTCACTAGGGTAGAGTTGCTCAAGCTGGAACTCCGCCTGCTTCCGGGGCGCCTCGGCCGGCAATTGGGTCTCGGCAAGCAGGTTGAGCAGCTGCTGTTCCATCGTGGACCAAGAAAAAATCTTCGTTGAAACAATGCAGAGACAAGGATGGCGGAAGCTGATTGGAGCGGCGTGTGGTGTGGAACTTGGATAATTCCTCTCTCGGGTCTCAGGTAAAGTTGTTTAGCTGTACGACAAAAAGGTTAGAGACGAGAAAGACGAAAAAGAAAAGTATTTGGTGACGAACGATTTAGTACAGTATAATTTTTTTTGGGATTCCTTGAACCTCTTTCGAGTCTCCAGTCTCGTCGGATTCCGAAAATAATGCGTAAAAGACGCGTCTTGTGTCTTATTTGAGGGTCCTCGTGGGGCTGAACAAGGGTCCAGTTTATAACTTAATCAATTGGCACAAAAATCTCGAGGGGACCTGAGCAGTGACAATTGTACAAGTATCAAGTAACAAAGTCACCCTCCAATAGCTGTAACTTTCCTCTTTCGGACATTTCTCCCGCGTATGACAGAAGGCGGTGAGAGCGATAGCCCCGCGAATAATATTGCCCCGCCATCTCTAACTGTAAGCTACCTACCTACCTAGGTTTATCCCTTTTGTTAGCAGCTTCACCAGGTGCCAATACGACATATATGGTCAGCACTCCGACCATATATTTCATTCATTTCTACCTCACATTTCAATTAAAACAATGATATGATTACGCACATAAGTCTCCATTTGTCATGGCCGGCGTGCTCGATACCTATCAAGGCCTCGTATCGACATTTGGCTCTTTTCTGACTGTATCCATCCACACCATTCTCTATGAGCGCGCCATCTACCCAACGAACACGTTCATTACTGCGCGCAAGTACAATTATCCAGTTAGACAGAACCGGCACCCGAAAGTGTGCAAATGGATTCAAGATGCTGTTGCTGCTGTCGAAGCAGAAATGCTCAAGGTACGGTCATCATGCACCCGCCTCACATATTATACTTATACCTATACCTATACATATACCTTTTTCTTTTCTTTTCTTTTTTCTTTTTTTCTTTTTCTTTTTTTCTTTTTTTTTTTTTTGGAGAATTGAACACAGTACCAACGCATAAGCAGTAGGCAACCGTCGCACGAGTCGCCGTACTCATCCTCTCACCTGACTCTGTCCCACTAGAGCGCTTCATGTTTGACGTCTCCGGCTTTCCCAGCGTGCCTGCCAGTGAGACATTGACGCCATTTGCTCCTCCAGGCACTTCAGCTCCCGAGGCGACAGAAAACCGCGAGTCGCCAGACTTGGGTTCTGAGCACCGCCCAGATATATCCCCTGCCATATCCACCATCGACCTGGAAGAGCAATTCCGGGGCGTAATGAGCCGACTCGCCTTTTGCGGGAGCTCTCTAGGACCGCTGCCCGAAGGATGTACATTTACAGTATGCATTGAGTTAAAAGACGAAGCCGATGCACCAATCGGACATCCGCAGCCGTGGATCCCATCGCAGCCATCGTTGCAGAGATCAAGGCAATCCGGATCTCGACCCGGTGCTATGGCCGACGAGGCTTCTCTAGAAAAGGAGGGAGTAGTAAAAAGGAAAGAGAGCGGACGAGGGTCCACGACAGACACCCTTGCTCAAAAGTCTGAAGAAAAGACATCTCCTCACCCAAGCTCCGAATCATCTACCGTGCGCACAGGCAGCGACCTGGGAGGCGTCCGATCGACACCTCTCCGTAGCGTCGCCGCCGGCGAACTCTCGTTGGAAATGTGGATTGAGGAAGCAAAAGGCAAGATGCAATTGCGAAACAATACTAAATCAGCTGAGGGCGGATAATTAGACGCATCTTCAACAAAAGCTTATATACCCTCTCTCCACCCTCTCCACCCTTCCAATCCAACAGCATCAAATTGCATGCCTAAAAAACGAATATAAAAAGCAAAACACTTTCCCCAAAACTCACTCATTTTTTAAAAAATATCTAACACAATGTCTCATCCAATCTCAAACGCTTACATTTCACACTCTTAGGGGTAAAAAAAAGGGTACTTTTTCGATTCGGGCGCCCTGGACGACCAATGAGTTATGCGTATTCGCCCCCAATCAGCGGGGGGAAAAGGAAAAGACGACAAACGCTCAAGTAGATGCAGCACCGATCAAGCAAGGGGGAAAATAAAAATAAAAATAAACATTTGGCAGGAGAAGGGGGGCGTCTAAATGCAGGAAAGAGGAGAGAAAGTGAGGAGTGCGAAAAAAACAAAGGAGGTAACAGACCAGACAGAAGACCCAAATCTATATTCCTCCTCGCTTGGACTATGATTGAAAGGAAGGAATAAGTCTCAAACGCCCTTTTTTTCGCTTGACATGGCAACAAGGTGTAGTCGAGAACTCCCACAGAAAAGAGATGAGTAGAAAGAGGCAATGAGTATCAAAGAGAGGGAGAGAGAGGGAAATGGGGTAGAAGCTTTTTGACACAACGCAACTTGTTGAAACGGACAGAAGACGGGAGAAAAAAAAAAAAAGAATGCCAACTGTCATGTCCAAATGCAATGAAAATTATTCCCCTCGTAACTGTGCACGCAAGCCTGCATTTTCCCGCTTCAGTCTCATGTTTTCTCTTACTGCCCTCGTCCTTTCCTCCTGAGCCTCTTTCAGCTGTCTTCTCATTTCTTCCTCGCCTTCGCCGCCGCGGACGCTCTTGAGCACTTTGACTAATTCCTCGTTGAACTTGTCATAGAGGGCCTCGTTCTCAGCGTTGGCTTCGCGGTATAGCTCGTCCAGCTTCTTTGCTTTTTTCTCTGAAATGGTCATTGATGTGTCCACGTCTTGTCTGGTTGCTTCGTTTGAGTTTTTGAGGCCCGTCAATGTTTCTGCAAGCTTTAACTCAAGCGCAGTGATTTGGCTGCTGAGATGAGTGAGCTCAAGGTTAAAGAGCGAACGAGGTGTAGATGTGCTCTGCGGAGAGCGCGACGTTAATGCAGACATTTCCGCGCCAATCTTGGAGAGTTCCGCCTGGAGCGACTCTTCGGCGCCCTGGATGGCTTTTTGTTCGCTTTGTAGACGTTCACGGAGCTAGGGGAAACGGATAATGTTAGCGTGTTTGGCTCCTCTACTTTTTCGGACTGTTTTCTCGCATATACCTTTTGCGGGCTTTGCATCCGCAGTTTCTGGGGAGACGAGGAAGAGGACTTTTGGTGCGGCAAGGGCGGCCTTGATGGCGAAGCAGGCACCTTCTGTGGGGAGGAAGAAGGTCGTTGCTGTGGAGAAGTAGGCAACTTCTTCGGTGTCATTGTTTGGGCGACAATACTCGTTCGCGTATTCGCTCGATCTCGATATGTTCCTTTCAATGTGGGAATCCCTGATATCGTGTCATGGCGCTTTCTCAATCCCCGAGGAGACGGCGAGGCGGTTGCGTCCTCGGAGCCAATGTTATGAGCTCTTTCAGTCAGGGTCGTCTTCACTGGGGAAGAATATCCTCGGCCTCGGCCTACTGTCTGATCTTGAGGAGGAAGGCCGGGTAGAGCCGAAGTATTCTCCTTTCGATCTTGCGCTACGAGTTCTTTGGGCATATCGAATCGAAAGTCCAAGGCGCCGGTATGGGACAGAGGTCGATTCCGGATAGAATCTGTCGATCGTTTCAAAGGAGTTGTCTCTTTTGATTCAGACCATACGGGTGAAGTGTCGGAACCGTGGAGCGATCTTAGGTCCGACAGGGAGCTACGACGCTTCCTCCTGTATTTTGGTGATTGATGGTCGGCGGCGACTCCCTCTCCAATCATCTCCAAGGATGCATTGGTACTTGAGCTCCCTGGTCGACCATCAAAACTGAATGCAGAAAACAGATTCGGGCGATCTCGAGAAGATGGTCGGCCAGAAATGGTCATGCGACCATCAAGGTCGCTTGATTTCGACCGGGACAAAGGATTCTTAGTAGGGCTGGGACTGCTGGGTACGCTGCCTGCTGCAGCTCCCCGCGATGTCTTACCCAGGTTCCGCCAAACCGAATTACCCTTGGGTTCCGCTTCCGACTTGCTTCTTTCCCGGGTCAAGGTTCCAAAGCCAAATCTCTTGCGGAGAGATGTGTCGGATCCAACAGATCCAATCTGTCCCGATTTCATCCGTCTTGCAGAATCCATGGACCCGCTAATGGAACCATCCTTGTCCGCACTTGAGATATTATCACTATAGAGGATCTCTACATCCTCTCCAAGACGGTCAAGAAGTGTAATATATTCGTAAGCGTTCCCATCTGGGACTAACACCTCTGCAAATGTCGCCGTCAAGGCGCCGCAATCACCGTCATTCCCGGCACCATCAAGTAAATCGGCAAACAATCGAATAATGAGTTTGAACGCCCTCTGATTTTGTGGTGCCAGTTCACTGAGCTTCTCCTTGAAATAGGCCGCAAAGTCTTTGGGTAGCAACGTTTCTGACTTGTCTTGGAGTGAGCTCCATGTGGAGCGTTCCATTACTGCACCGAAACGCTCTTTCCATGCAACAGTAAGAAACTTTTCAAACGCGGAGAACAAGACATCGACTGAGACTTCTGCGGCTTGTTGATGTCGTGTGGGATCCTCTAATAGGGAATTATAAATTTCATTCACCTCAAGCTCATCTGCGGCAGCACGATTCCGCAAAACCTTTCCAACCACGTTACCTTTGCGGCAATGCAGTGCAAGAACATAAGTTGCTAGGGTATCTTCCAAGTTCTGAACTGGGTCTGTCGACTCCTCAGCGTTGCTGGTCTGAACCATCGTAATCTTTGTGCCAGTATCCTCGCTGTATGCCTTTCTGTGACTGTTCACCCGTGACGGCGGTCGCGGAGGGGGTAATTTTGTTGTCGATGTCATCATCAAGGAGCTGGGCAAGCCAGCCCGAGATGTGCTGAGATTCTCCCTTACAGAACCCCCTCCAAGGAAATTGGATAGCATCTTCACCGGCGAAGTAGGCCGGAACAAGCGTGGGCGATATTGATCTCCCTCGAAGATTATAGTCAAGTTGTCTAAAATTCGATTGTGGAAAGAAAGGAGGAATGGCGTGAGCGAAGGGTTGCCAATCGTGTTGGCTTCCAGGAGGAAGTTTTCGACTACTCAATCATCAGCATAAGTTTTCGTTGAAATATCAAGTTGCGACATACCCCTTCGAGTAAAGGCCGGCATGAAGCCATCTGGGCTCACTGTCTCAAATGAATAACTGTCATCGGCACCAGTGATCTCTAGATCACAAAGACCGTCTTCTCTGATCATTACCGATGCAACAATTTCCGAGTGATTCATACCGGATCTAGCAGTTTCGGCTTCTCGTGGGTTGTTCACAATCAATGTGATGCTTGCAGGCAAAGACAAATTGGCTTTTGTTCGAGTGCTCCTCTGCTCAAAGACCGCCGTACACATGGAGAGACCAGCTGCCGGATCCTTGAGAGACCGGAAGCCCCATTTCCTGTTTTCACGTTCAGCTTCGGTGAAACGACCTTCGATCCGAGCTTTAACGAAATCTTCCGACCAGCGAGCAACCCTGTCTTCGTAAGAGCCAGAGAGCCGGAAGAGCCGTACGTCTGCGGTACCCCTGGGCAAATGGTTCCATTTCAGAGCGCTCGATTCCATAGAGAGCGGAGCGCATCTCATCCACACGCAGCGGCCGTCAGAAGTCTCAGTAAAACGCAAGGCGTCAAGTCCAATGGAACCGGCAAAGACTAGATCCGGAGACGATCGCTTCTCGTCGATTGCCGCAGCAACAGATGCAGCTATCGTCACCGTCGTCGGTCTGTCGGCTTCAGCCAAGACGCCACGTGCTGAGATGGCGCTTTCGTTTGCCTTGCGTACCAACACTAAACAGCTCGAGAAGAGGAGAAACAAGCCTGCTTCTTGGTCATCAGCAGCCACATCATAACGGAAAGGAGCCGGAATCTCGGTATAATCAGCTGCGGTGATGAGCCGCCCGCGTGGCTGCAGCGAAGGGGGCCATGAAGAGATTAGATTTCGTAAGCGTGAGACAACCTGCGACTGCTCATCCGTCGACGAAGATTCCAATGAACAAATGTCCGTTATAATGTCACGTGCCTTTAGCAGACGTTTCAGAGCCGGGTGTGTTGCAGGCAAGAGCGTGGTCATGTTATCAATGAACAGACTATAACGTGGAAGACGCTGTACGGGTTCAATCAGCAGCGATCTGAGACGTTGTTCGCCCGTTTGCTGTACTCGTTTCGAAAAACTCGATCCAACGTCTTTTGTAAAGCCGCTGAGGATGACTGGAAACTTGGTGCTGGCACGCATATAATCCGAATAGCATGCGCGGAACTTGGGGAACCATTCTAGCAACAATTTGGAGAATGCCAGAGTGCCCGTCGGGTCGTGATCACGCGAGTGCCTTGCCGCTTCAGAGGCCGGAGTCTCGGTGGTATCGGTTTGCATATCCTCAACAGCGCCGACGGCAGTTTCATCCAAACTGATGCGGATTGCCTCAAGGAAGCCATTATTGAGTTCAAAGATTTCGTCTAAGCTTGGAGGAAAGAGGTCTGCCAAGGCTTTCTCGTTCGGGCTCGTGCTAACTGCCGATTTGTTGCGAGCTTTCTGACGAAAGTCATCGGCAACGTTTACCAAGAGATCATACACTTTGCTGACATATCTTTCCTCCGTGTCGACCAACTCACACATTTCTCTCCGCAGGGCTTCTTTTTGATTCTTCAGAAGAGACTTGCTCCGTCCAATTGCTGTCGGTTTCGAAGGCGCCCGGCGCATTTTGGAGGTGGGAAGAAAAGCAGGAGAGCCGAATAAGCTCACCAGGGGGCCGCATTGGCCATATCGCTCCTGCGTATTGTTTTCATCCCCAGGGAGATCAACATCCTGGGCCTCTTCGGCTGTTGAGGCGCGCTCTGCAATCGAACCGGCGGGAAGAACCAGGTCGACGTCGATCCATGATAAGAATTGCTCTGCCAGAGCCGCCTGCACTTCCTCAATCACCGTCAAAGTGTCCTCGACCTTCTCTAGCCGACTTGCTAATTCACCAATATGGGCTTCGCGGAACAGGGTACGACCGATGCTCTCATTCCCCGATGACAAGGAGCTCAGCCAGGCGTGTTTGACGGGCTGCGGGGTATCCCTAAAGTATCTTGCCAAGCTCACCGCCAACCCTCGGCAGACTTCATCTCCCTGTTGATCGCGAGGAAGGTGATGTACGGACGCGTAGAGAGGGGAATTGGGAGACACAGTCAAACGCGGATAGGAACGCAAGCCGGCGGCGGTGAAGACATGGGCCTGAATGTGCGACGTGTTGAGGGTGGCATTGGCCGAGGTAGCAGGCCCATAGAGAACCAGGACAGGAGAATTGGAGAGCAAAGGTTCAGTGGTATAGTACGCTGTCAGCGTGTCGGGCGACAGTGCGCCCGGCGGACGAGTTAGGACAACCATGCTGTAGGTGGCGGATCGCGCTGGCGCATGTGATCATAAGAGGGTATATTCAAAGGAGTTGAGTCGTGGCGAGATCCAGGGATCGATTGCTCTCAATGAGCGCCATAAGTGGGGCGAGAAGCTATCATGGGAACAAGTACGTGTGGCTTTCTAGATAGGTAGGTTGGTGGGTAAAGGTTGGAAAGTCAAATGGCGAGATAGAGAGCGTAGTTGAGCGAAAAGCTATCGAGGTGGGTTGAAGGGGGGGGAGTGATGGCGCAAAAGGGAGATGTAAACAAAGATGCAGGTGCAGAGTCGCTCTTTCCTGATCGGAGGGGCAGCAGTAGGTAGGTACTATAGGTAAGGTAGGTTCATACGCGAACCGGTACAAAAGTTACCACTACGGTGCAGATTCACGGTTACCATGCCTTTCTGTGTGACATGGTTGTATACCACGGTCGGGGAGAGAAAGAGCGGCAGAGAGGGAGAGAGAGAGATTTGAGGAAGAGGGTTTCCGTTGAGATGGGGCTCGACCGCAGCAGGGAAAATGCACCTCACCCGCGCTATTGAAAAAGGGTTCTCATGGCGCTTACGATTTCAAGCTAAATTTCAAAAGGACCCTCGTCTCTGCCTTAAATGGAAATGCCCAACTCATGAAAGAGAGTGGAAGAGGGACGACACAAATTGGGGGGGGATGGAGGTTGATGGATCGCCCTAAGGTCCGTGATAGAGACAGCGTGCGCTGGTTAACTCAGGGGTCTAATAATTGCCAACGCGTCATTGGGCCGGTTAGGCCGACAGAGATCTGTGCAACAGCAATTCGAGCTTACCAGAGTGCTGTAGAATCAAAATACAAAAGCTTCCAGGAAACAAAAGTTAGGGTAAGTACATAAGGTAAGCTGGGCTTTACAATATGAACTCAATTACGCAGCTGAATTGAACACACCTACCTACTCTGGTAGTGTCCGCTCCTGGCCAGGATGACATGAATATTACCATGGTACATTATCATACCTACTCCCCTCGTCCGATCTTCGGTATTTGAATCCTCGCGTGCTTCGGTGGTTCCGATGGGCCACAACTGAGCTAGCCGGTTCCTTGTTTTCCCAACTCATAGCCGAACCCTGAAAGGCAAATCATAAACAATTCCGATGCGACTCCGATGAATTCTCTGTACTCTGATATTATTTGCCTCTTTCGCCTACAACCATTGTATACAGCGACGTTAAGTTACCTTTTACTATGCAATGGTTTAGAGTAAATCCTTGTTAAAAGTACTCCGTAACCCGGATAATTGTTATTGATCTGTGAGTTAAAGCAGCGAGAACGGAATCAGCAGTCAGCCACACGTACTCTAGCCGATGAGCAGAGTTAGCGGCAGATGCTGGGGGAGGCACAGATCCTTGATCAACCGCCGTCGTCTGCCGCCCATTGGTGGCTTGAGAAGAGGCCGTCGTCTTTCAGGTCGACGCTATCCAACTCTCCTCTCTCAATTCTTGGACACGATGCTGGGCCTGATTTTGCTTGGTGCAGACTTGTGCCGGCTCCGCCTTGGTGGGCCATTCTCACCATGGAATTTCCCCTTCGGTACGACTCGAAATACAGCATTTTCTGATCCAATTTCCTCGTAGTATGAGTACCTTGTAGTAGTAGCGTCTCTGCCCTGCGCCATTACATGACTTTTGGCTCATGTTCAACAGCTAAAGTTGGTCTAGCTCACATGTGGCAGAGATGCACAAAATTAACTCAATGTAGTGCATCCGTACATAATCTCCTACAAACTACTGACATAGGCTCGACATTGGGCATTCTGACAAACATGAGTAGCACACCGCCCATCTGCCCAATGGGAGAGTTAGGCATGGATATGGAATTTAGGTTATTTTCTTCTATTTCTCGAGATGACATGCGCCAATTGATGATGCTCAGATGTTTTTCCACATCTCCGTTGTTAGACAGAATATTCTAGTCATATTCAGACGTGTTTCTACCAACTGCTGCAAAACGGGTTATATGGTAGGTTTCTCGGCTACCCACGCGAGTCTTCAACCTGCTGGATGACTGACCTACAGGTCCTAAGGAACCTCTCGGCTAGACACGGCGGCTCGTCAAGTTTCCATTTATCTGGATTAGGAAAGACCATGGCCAGTCAACGCGACGAAAAGCAAACTCGCGTCGGTTTACCTACAGACGTGTTGGATACGCAGTCAGATCCATCAACATATTAGACTTGAAGAAAACGACGACATGGAGGCCCCAGATCATCCAGCGATCCCCTTCGCATTCTGCCATGATCAAAAAAACTTTCGCCTGCTGGAGTTGCCTCCGGATCTGCTGAACGTGGTGACCAGCGCTGATCCTCCTGTGTACGATTTCACCTTTTCAAAATCCATGTCTTTGAATCTCAAAAGGATTGCTGCTGACTATCGCAAAGTTTGCGAATTAAATCTAGCGAATCAGCTCCGGCGCATGCAGTATTATGCACAGACAATCTCGCATACCAAATCCGCCAAGTGCAGTCCTCGAATTCGATCTTTCTGACCAAGCCTGCCAAAGACAATCACTCCAATGATGCCGCCTCCAGCTTGGACTCCCACCTGTCCGCAATAGCGACATGCAAGTCGACTTTGGAACTGCACCCTGTCAGTGGTTCCGCTATCCCACATCTCAAGCAATGCCTTCCGCTCTATTTCAGCAACGAAGACGGATCACGACCGACGCCAGTTGAGGGAAGAAGCAAAAGAGATGTATTCAGCAACATTCCGCTGGCTGACCAAGAAAGTGAACGCTCTTGGGTAGAGCTTATGGCATTTGAATTGGATGGAGTCAGCTTGAGACCAAATGCCGAGGAATTGAGGAGCGTATGGAAGGCTATTCGTACAGCTGCAGACAGCCAAGGATTTGACCTGAGTCAGCAATTTCTGGCAAGAGATGCGTGGAAGGAGGCCGAAGAAGACGGTTGTCCTAGAGAACTCGTGCATGCGTTGTTACGGAAGTTGTCCGGTAACGGCAGTCAAATCGAAACTGACTGTAGGTGATGTAAAGAATACATCTATTTGGACAATTACTAATGCTTTGGGACCCTAGGGATGCAACTAGATCGAGTCAAATTCGTGAGGTGGACTGGTGCCATGGTGTTGGACCGTGAGCGGGACAGGATTCCAGGAGGGGTGTCAATCACCGCCTTTATGGAAGCATGGAAAGACGAACTTCCAGAGTCGTGGAGAGCACATGCCTCACTTGATCTGCTCAAGGTACATTTGACTATCCTAACATGATGCTACGAATCAATGCTGACAAAAAGGCACCAGGGAGCATATAGCCAACCAACTCCATCGACAATTGTAATCACAGACGATTATGATGCAATTGAAGCGCCAGCGCCTTCTGAAAGTACGAATAATCTGTCGGGAAAAGCGTCGCTACGTTCACGAAAGTGGCACGAAAAATTCAAGAATGCTCGTCGCTGAAGACGTCCATTTGGTTCCGAAATCCGCAGATTGGTTGAATACAAGGAACTTGCGACCCAGGGCAATCGTGGGAAATGGTGTTGTGACTATGTCCGCCCAAAGCAGGCTCCGGTTTGAATGCTTTAACACCACCCATATTTTTCGTTGCCGACCCAGACGAGATTCTTTGGGTATTCCTTGACTCCGTCCAGACCATTTCCATACCACATCAAACTGGTAATACTTTCACTCTCGCGGTCAATGACCTCTGCTGAAGGGAGGATGCGCCTTGTTGCGCGCACCACGAGATCCGTCGGATTCCAGATATTTACCTCTTTCATATTCCACTTGTTCGCCTCGTCCTGCGCCATCAGGAGCAAGGCAACGATTGCTTCCTCGAGATGGCTACTGTCGGCTGTGGATTGTCGACCATCGACGCCATCGACGACACCGTGGTGGTGGGACACGGCAAGATCATTGCACGAAGCAAGGACATGCTCCTCTGCAACGATGCGCAAGATCTGCATTACGTTTCCGCCATCCTCTACGTCGTCCTTGCTCGCCCAGGTGCGTGTCCAGATGCACCAGACTCTCTTGCCTGGCTCGTCGCCTACAATGGCGCCCTTGATGGCCGGGTCTCTCTTGAAGAGTTCCTCGGCAATAAACTCCTCCCTCGAATGATGCCATTGCATGGTATCCACATCCGGCACCAGTGCAACGTGGACTTTGCCGGGAACGGAGGCCTTGGCGGTCAAGTATCTCCGAATCAAACGCTCGTCTGCCTCGCATAGTTCCGCCAAGTCGTTGGCATAAAGCGGTCGCGCAAGCCCACGAACTTTTGCGTGTCCATTTGCCGCACCGCCGTTTGCTGCACCTGCACCTGCACCTGCTGCCGCAGGAGGAAGCGCAATATGGGTTGAATCAAACGGATGCCAGCCGTGCTTTGCATAGAATTTCTATAACATCAATATACCCGTTAAATCTTGAAAACCTTCCTCAATATAGAGATTTCCCCCCCACCCCGGTGTTGTGAGGATAAGATGTAGTGTAAAGACAAAACATACCTTTCCAATATCCGAAAACAAGACGGTAAACGCACACTTGCCGCTCTCGCCATGATGCGTCGTCAACTTCCGCGCCAACTCGTCCATCATCCGGCTCGAATACCCATGGCCCCGCAGGTGCGGCTGGCAAAACACACTTCCCACCCCCTGCGCCACCACGTCCTCGACCTTGTTGTCGTGCGCCACCAGCGCCCGTTTGCGCAGCGTCTCGCAACTACTCAGTACCGTTCGCGCTTTGGTCTGTGTCGATGTCCCTGTTGTATCTGATGTTTTAGCCTCTGCTTTTGTATTTGCTTTTGTATTTGTTTGTGTATTTGTGTTTATGGTTCCTATGTTGGTTCCATTGTTTGGTGTAGTATTTGTATGGCCATTTTCGTCTGGGGTTATATTTCCATTTGAAGTTGTGGTTGTAGTTGATGTAGTGTTTGGGGCTATATTTCCATTTGGGATGGCAATTGGGGTAGTTGATGTAGAGGTAGTGGGTTCTTTTGTGTTTGAAGAGGTGGTATTCGTTGCAGGGACAGCCTCACCCGTCTTTTCATCCTCAATCGTCGCCGTCTGAGGCTCCTCCTCCCCATCCACCAACACCCAGTACGTCATGGCCCCGTGCCGCGTCAACGGCTGCGTCGCCAGATGTTCTTCGCGCCGACAGTATGCGTCCATGCTCAGCGCGCCCCGCCAATACGCCCCGTTGGCGCGCCATGTCAGGAGTTTCTCCCCTTCCGTGGGGTGCACGAGTTTGAGCGAGGGCGAGTCGCGCTTTGGGAGATTTAGGCCTTGCTGCGTCGTCGTATTTGACATGGTTGCGATTGTTGTTGTTGTAGGTGTAGGGTGTTGAAGGGTGTTGTGTGAGAGATGGTTGTTGTGGTAAGGGTATAAAGGATGGGTTGGGTTTGTAGGACGGTAGGATAGTAGGACGGTAGGATAGTAGGACGGTAGGATAGGATAGTAGGATAAGAGGGATCTAGTGCTTGAGTAAAGGCCCGGGGAGACAGGTGGGGAGTGAAATGCAGTAAATATATACAGCAGTAGGACTGTAGGAATGAAGGGACTCAGATCAGGTTCGGATAAGATAAAAGATAAAGGATAACCATGATAAGTCCTTAGTTGGAGGGGTAGGGGAAGGGGAGGACGGAGAGGGTATTTATCGGCATAAGGTATTGTTTACGTGCGGAATAACTGCGCTACGATACAAAGGATAATAGGTAAACCCTATCCTGTGCAAAAGACAGTAAGTTAGCTGTCCTCGTACTCCGCAGGCGCATCGTGGGGCAGGATCACAATGACGGAGAACAGAGATGGTGATTCCCCAATAGTTTATGCTTCGCCTCGTGACTCATAGACCGCAGACTTGTGTCAGTGTCAGTGTCACTTATCGTGTGGTCCTGCCTTTGGAGGTAAAGCGTCAGCCTGAATCGTGATGGTTTGTGATCATTTCCAGAAAAACACTGCCAGAACAAGTGGGGGAAGATGTTCATGAACCCAAGGGACAAGGGGACCCGAACGGAGGTTTACGATCGGGACGTGGCCCTAAGATGATAGTGTGGATCATCCCTACAAGTCGCAAGGTTTTGAAGGTTTTGCAAGGGCTGCTTGGGCGTTTCCGGGTGTAACTATAACTAATTGGGGGGTCAAACTACGGTAGGTTACTGCCAGGTTGAGTTAGAAGTATAACTGTATTATACTTGCCGATCTGAGATGTTTGAGGCGTGCAGCCCATCAAATCATTGGGTATATTGTATTACAATACAGAGGGCTATAGGTAGATGGTCAGTGCGGAACAGGCCCTCCATCTTGTCCGGCAAAAAAGTTACCAGAGTTACGTTATAGCCACGAGGCTTATGCCGTTGGTGGGGATGGACGCCGTACGCCGTAGGTTGGTGGTGGGCGATGAGATCCGAGGACAGCCGTTGACAGCCGTAGGCTATGCGTAGTATCCATACACTTACTGGTTTGAAGTCGGGCTCTATCAAGTTAGAGAGGTCACGTAAATTTCAAGGTTTTTGAATCTTTGTGCACTGTTGTATTCAATAATGCCCGATGACGAGTGGATTGCTAGACCATGCGGCGGAATTACTACCGTGGTATAAGTCTGTACACAGGGTACTATACACGATCCACGCCCTATGTCAACGGATACCGAGGGGCTTAGACGGGAATTATGTGGGGCAAGTACTCGATATACTCCGTAGGTGTACTCGGTACAGTGCTTGAGTCTTCTGTAGTTGAGTTACCTAGTATGGAGTAGACAGTGTTATGGATAAACAAAAGGAACCAGGGCCGGAGAAAAGGAATATTGGTATGAGATGATTGGATATCTGCATGACTCAAGCTCGAATGCACGACAACACGACAGCATATTACCCGATACAGTAATATGCTGTTTGATGATAGACAGACCTCGGACCCTGATCGACGGTGACTCAGATGCCCTTGTTCCCATGTCCATTTCATTGAATGATAGTCTGTATAGCTATCTAGGGAAATCGACTTGCTTTGAAATATACGTTGGCTGTACTACGTACTCCTTACCTCCGTACGTTATCATGCATTATCTTATAGTTGTACATGTAAATCCTCAGTCCAGTGGGCGAGGATGGCGGGGGCGATAAGGATTTAGTTATGAGTATCGTGGTACTGCGGCATACCGAGAGACTGCCTGTACGAAGTAGAATTACGGAGTAGGAAAAGCATCCGCTGTGCTCAGCGTGCTCGGTGACCAGAGTCCAGACAGCTATCATGCGGACCGAATGACAAAAGAGGCATGTAGACAGGCAGGGCAAATATCCCGAACTTATTCCGAGAGTTTAGTGGCCCCAAAGCCGCGAGTTGCTTCTTGTGACGTTTATACGATTCGCATGAATACTCGGAACAAATAATGAATGCGGACTGGACAGGACAGGGCGATGCATTTGCCGCTACGGAGTAAATGTCGGGCATATACCGTACTGTGTCTCCACACGGTTGTCCCGAGGCGTGTACATACCTCATTCACAATTCCACAGTGCATGCACACCCAAGGTACTCTGTAGGTAGGTAGGTGGTGGATATTGAAATTCAGCTCCATGGTAGTTACATGAGGTCCGGACTATAAGATATGTGGTTGTCATGCGCGAACAACATGCATACGATACTGCATAATCTAGTAATAATATAGACTGTATACGTATTGCATAGTGTAAAGATTATGGTGTATATGGATAGCGTACGTCTGTGTGGTGCATCACATGAACAGCATCGTCATGCGGGAACAAACATTGCAAAGCGACTACGAGGTGTAGTCCGTATTGAGAGGGTCTGTTCTTCAAGATGAACGGGCAAGGTAGACTCCAGGGCCATGGCTACAAAGTACCTACAAAGTCGGTGCTTGCAACGCCATCAGTTCTCTCAACTTTATAGAGCAGTGATAGAAATATTTCTCGCAGGGTGTTTGTGTGGTTGGAAATTTGGTTTGGGCTGGATCCAGAGATATATTTGAGACACTTGGATCGAGAACTACGTGGATAGAAAATAAGATACCTTGAATTGAAGATAAAATTTGCAAGGCCAATATAAACGAAAAATTTAAATCTATGGCGACAATTCATGCAAGTGCTCTACCACGTCAAGAGCATTGAAGAAAGGTTTTTTTTGTTCGTCCGATCCACTATTGCTACAACAACATGCTAATCTCGGCCCTTTACTGCCACACCGTTTAATGACCATGACCGTCGTCTTCTGCTCGCTGCTCTGGATCGAGCTTGATCAAGGTATCTATCCGCATAATGGCAATGCAAGCCTCGACCGCACTCTTCAGTTGCTTGACCTTGGACATGCTAGGCTCAAGCACGCCGGCCTTGAGCTCATCGACGACCTTGCCCTTGGCGAGATCGAGTCCATAGTTCTTGTAATTCTTCTTCTTGGCAATCGTCTTTTCGTCCTGCGATGCATCGCCCTCTTGCGTGCGCTGAGACAAGGCATGGCGGGAACGCAGCTGGGCAACGAGCTCTGACGAGTCCTTGGCGGCGTTGACGGCCAGCGTCTTGGGGATAACCAGCAGAGACTGCGCAAAGGCGCCAATGGCCAATTGCTCGCGCGAGCCGACCGTGCCGGCAAACTCCTCGAGGTAAATGTGCAGAGCTGTCTCGACGGCTCCTCCGCCAGGAACAATGCTGCCGCTTTCGAGGGTCCGCTTGACGGCGCATAGGGAGTCGTGCACAGACCGCTCCATTTCGTCGAGTTGGTATTCGTTGGAACCGCGGAGGATGATGGATGCCGAGGTATGCACCTTGGTGCCCTTGACAAGAATACATTCGTCGTCGGAAATCTTCTCTTGCACAACTTCCTCTGCGTGGCCGAGAAGCGAGGGCTCGAAGCGCTCGTCGCCGTTCAGATCGGACAGAGTACTGACGAGAGTGGCGCCCGTGGACTTGGCAATACGTCGGAGGTCTTCCTTTTTGCAGCGGCGCACAGCCATGGCGCCACGCTCGACAAAGGCCTTGAGTACCATGTCGTCGATGCCTTTGGTCGTGAGGACGACATTAGCACCGCTCTTGAGAATCAAGTCGACTCGCTCGAGGACGATGCCGGCCTCGCGTTCCCGAATCTGCTCAAGCTGCTGCGGGTCTTCGACAGTGATTTGCACGCCCAACTTCATGCGCTCTTTTTGTAAATTCATGTCCAGACAGGCAATTTTTGCGTCGGTAATGCGGGTCTTCATGGCCTGCGAGGCCACGGTGCAGTTAAGGGCGTATCCACGGACGAGAACGGATTCAGTGGCGCTCTTGCCGTGAGCCTTGAGCAGGTTGACGGCTTTGACGGGGTATTTGATTTCGTTCCGGTTGTTGGCGGACTTGACGGATTGGATGGCATCGACGACCATGTTGGAGAAGAAATCGCTGTCGGCGCCAATGATCTTCGACGACATGGATGTCTTGGCAATGGAGATGAGGGATTCGCGGCCCAGGTTCTCGACCTTGGTGGCAACATTTTCTTGCATGTATTTTACTGCTTCTCGTAGGGCGAGACGGTAGCCGGTGATGATGGTCGTCGGGTGGATACGGTTCTTCATCAGCTCGTTGCCGCGGCGGAGAAGCTCGGAGGCGATTAGGACAACAGAGGTGGTGCCGTCACCAACCTAGGAGATTGTTAGTTGGTGTTACTCATCTTTTTTACGATGAGAATAAGGGTTTTAAATGGGGAAAAGAGCTGTAGACAGCTGACGCTGGTGGTAACCAACCTCCTGATCTTGCTGCTGTGCCAGGTCGACTAATATCTTGCCGGCGGGATGTTCAACGTCCAGCAAAGTCAATATCGTAGCTCCATCATTCGTCACGGTAACATCCTAATTGCAAAAGTAAGCTTCTCATCCGTAGGCTTCTTCTTTCTCCGGATATCTTACACCAATGTCGTCCACCATCATCTTGTCCAGTCCCGAGGGACCAAACGATGTCTTGATCACATTTGCAATGGCTTGTGTGGCCAGAACTATTCAAGAATTTTTTAGCTTCAAAACCCTTTCACGCTCGTCTGTATATCTCTCCAATTTTGCATACCGTTCTGGTCCCGGACGTCTGCTCCGCTAATCTTCTGACCTCCTAAAACTGACATATTTCGTTAGTAATAAGTAATAGATACAGAATTTGCTTGGCATCTTCTACTCACAGAGAGTTCCGCTGTTGCGGGGCTGCTCGAAAAGGGCCGCCATGATGAATGAACAATGGGGGCGAGGAAGCAGAGATCAGTTGAATGGAGATGAGTAGAGCTCGCCGCCTTGCTCTTTAGTGATTTTAGGCCAAAATGGAAACTTGAGGCGGTTCGCGAAGTTGAGTGACAAGCGACGCGACGGAACATTGGAGCCTCCGACTCGTCTCGTCTTGGTCTCTCTCGTCTCCCCCACGCAAAAAGTTACACAGAGGGAGACAGAAAGCCCTTGACTCAGGCTGTTCCTCCCTTGCCCCACTAACAACAATTTCCCCTCCATTTGCACCGCGACAACAATTCCCCTCTGCAGCAACAATTTTGCTGGTCGCGTGTGCGCATACGCTATAGTCCACTGAACCTCTATTTTTGTTTTTCCCCCGAAAAGCTGCTCATCTCCCGTTATGGCTTCCGAGAATAAAGCCACTGTGGAGACCGCCGCCATCACGGAGGGCGTCCAGAACTTGCAGACTCCCTCTGCAGATGGCCCCTCCAAGAGCGCCTTGAAGAAGGCCGCCAAGCAGGAGAAAATGGCTGCTGAGAAGGCCGACAAGGCTCTCAAGCATGCCACGACAACTCAGGCCAAGAAGATTTTGAAGAATCAGCCCAAGGCCAAGGAGGGTAAAGACACCAAGGACGATGAGAAGAAAATTACTGTTGGCAAGGACGAAGACTTTGCTGGCTGGTATCAGCAGGTCTTGACCAAGGGAGACATGCTCGATTACTACGATGTCGCTGGTTGCTATATCCTCAAGGTGCGATCCTTCCCCAGGCTTTGATGCTTCACCGCCAATTTTTATTATGTTCAATACGCCTAATGTATTTTGCAGCCTACTTCATTCTTCATCTGGGAGAGTATCCAAAATTGGTTCAACGAGAAGATCAAGAAGATGGGCGTCCGAAATTGCTACTTCCCCATGTTTGTCTCTTCCAGAGTGCTCGAGCGTGAGAAGGATCATATTGAGGGTTTCGCACCTGAGGTCGCTTGGGTTACCAAGGCGTAAGCGCATTGGCTTTTTCTCTTTAGACATGCCCGGTGTGATGATAGCTAATTTCTTGATAGCGGCAAGAGCAATCTCGAGGAGCCCGTCGCAATCCGTCCCACCTCCGAGACCGTCATGTACCCCTACTACGCCAAATGGATTCGCAGCCATCGTGACCTCCCTCTGAGACTGAACCAGTGGAACTCGGTCGTGCGATGGGAATTCAAGCACCCTCAACCTTTCCTCCGTACGAGAGAATTCTTGTGGCAAGAAGGTCATACCGCCCATTTGACCGAGGAGGGAGCCGCTGAGGAAGTCCTGCAGATTCTTGAGTGGTACGCGGGCGTCTATGAGGAACTTCTCGCGGTTCCTGTTATCCGTGGCCGTAAGACGGACAAGGAGCGGTTTGCCGGCGGTCTGTACACTACTACCGTTGAAGGTTACATTCCTACGACCGGCCGTGGTATCCAGGGTGGTACCAGCCACTGCTTGGGACAGAACTTTAGTAAAATGTTCAACATTACCGTTGAGGATCCCAACACCAAGGACGGCGAAAAGGGTCCCCCGCTATTCGTCTGGCAGAACTCGTGGGGCCTGTCTACCCGTACTATTGGTGTCATGACCATGATCCACGGTGACAACAGGGGCTTAGTCCTTCCCCCTCGTGTCGTCGAGATCCAGGTGGTGATTGTGCCGGTCGGAATCACCAACAAGCTGAGCGAGGATGAGAAGAAGAAGCTCTATGAGGAGACTCGCGTTTTAGGCGATAAACTCCGCGCCGTGGGCGTCCGCGTCGAGGTCGACGACCGTGACAGCTACTCCCCCGGCTGGAAATTCAACCAGTGGGAGCTCAAGGGCACCCCGCTCCGCCTTGAGTTTGGTCCTGGCGAAGCCAAGGGTGGTTTCGTTACCACTTCTCGTCGTGATATTCCTGGAAAGGATGGTAAGGGATCAATTGCTCTCTCCGACCTCGAGAAGGAGGTCCCTGCGCTCCTCGAGACGATCCAGGGCGACTTGTACAAGCGCGCCAAGGACGCGTTTGACTCTCACGTCATTCAGGTTACGGACTGGAAGGATTTCGTTCCTGCGCTCAACAACAAGAACGTTTGCTTGATCCCCCACTGTTTGACCGAAGAGTGCGAGGACCAGGTCAAGGACCTCAGTGCCCGCAAGGACGAGGGCGACAACGTTGCAGAAGATGCTCGTGCCCCGTCGATGGGTGCTAAGAGTTTGTGCATTCCGTTCCAGCAGCCCGAGGGTGTTGTCAAGGGTGAAACGAAATGCACCAACCCGCAATGCTCGAGAACTGCTGAGGCCTGGTGCTTGTTTGGCCGTAAGTCATCCACGTGCAACGTATGTTTTGTTTGAGAGCACTAGCTAACAACTTATACAGGCAGCTACTAAGCTTGTGTCAATCTATTGAAAGGATGTATGCATGACGACCAGCATGATGATGATTGGTGAGAAGCGGCGCAGATAGAAGGCATGGGGCTCTGGGGGAGTTAGAGCGCCAACGCATTTACGATATTTCTTTTCTTATTTTAGCCAATCAATTCTCGAAGGCTAGATGTGAGCTACGAATGATAGCTTTTAGAATGCAATTTTTCTGAAACAAAGACGATTTTGGGCCTTGAGATTTTTCTTTGTCTACGGAGTATGCGGAAGCTTTGCGGAAGTCTGCGGAAGAATAAAACATGGATGCTTCGGAGATTATAGTGATTACTAATGAGAGAAACGCGGGACGAGCTCCCCCTTTAAGCCGAATGAGGTAACGGTAAAACAACAGCCACAGCAACCCCAGTCAACTTAGGGCTACTGACATCATGAGCCGGTCCCATGCCAAATTGTTCTCCATGGCAATTTGCTATTCGGTCGAAACGCTTACAGAGTAGTTATCGGATTTAAGATGCCTTATGCCTTGTAGACGGAAAGCATCCCCGCATTGAAAACATACATGACTTAGGGTTATTTGGTACATCCTTGCCGCTCTGACTGTCAATTCCCGTGTCTGCTCCCCCAGCCATTCCAAGTGCGTCATTGCTTTGAGCTATGGTTCTTTATTATAGAAGAGCCGCGATAACCCGCTCGATGCTGTACACCGTGTCAGCATCAGAAGAAAAGTCGTGATACTGTGAGTGCCTCGATTGAGATTCCAATAGCCAACGACTATCTTCTTTACGCGGTGTCGTTTGCAATCAACGCGAAATGTCGACTGGTATCGCGGAGACCAACCCTAACGCCTGTCAGGGTGGGATGAATGCTCCACGAGCAGAGTCCGAAGATACTCTGCACCACGACAATGAAGCTAAAGAAGAAACCGACGGCCTAAGCAGCCATCACCCGACGGAAGGAGATCATGAAAAGGGCAGAAACCAGCCTCCGAAGCCAGTGGGATTCTGGGACAAACGGCTCAATCATGTGCGAAAGGAGATTTTCCTGAAATGGAGCTTGACCAGTAAGATATACTACTGCCGTCTATATATCTAACCAGTCTATCAACTCACTCTTCCATAGCTCTCATATTGTGCACGTTAATCCTGACAGTATTATCTCTATGTATGTTCATCGTCTTACCGACATTGTGTAATATCACAGTTACACTGACTTCTGACAGACTGGGGCGTTCTCTTCCACGTCGACCAAAACCTTTCCTCATTGGCCATTTACGTGGCCGACTTTGATGGCCAGATACCGCCGTATAACAATGGCGAGACTCCCATAGTCGGACCTGCCATTGTGCAGCTCATGCAAAGAACTTTGCAAGAATCGCCAGTGCATCTAGGCTATGTCAGCCTCCCGCCGTCTCACTTTTCCTACGATCCGATGAACGTGCGGCGGGAAGTATACAATTTCAATGCATGGGCAGCTGTTATCGTCAATCCAAACGCCACGGCAATGCTTCGATCAGCCGTTCAAAACGGCAACTCGTCATATGACCCACTTGGAGCATGCCAGGTTATCTTCACAGACTCTCGAGATGATACTGTTTGGTATGATTTCGTGTACCCTCTTCTCAGCGAGTTCATGACCGAAGCCACCTCTATGGTCGGCGGAATGTGGACTCAACAAGTCCTCCAAAACGCGTCCAATCCCACCGCTTTGGCCAACATCCAGAAAGTTCCACAGGCACTTAGTCCTGCCATTGGGTTCTCCATGTTCAATCTCCGTCCTTTTGTGCCTTTTGTTGCCATTCCTGCCGTCACGATTGGATTGATTTGTACGTATTCTTCCTCTGATCCCTATCTTCTTGCACCCTCTTCCTTTGCCTTTTCCTTGTCATTCTTATTTTAATTTTTGGTTTCATCAAAATAGACAGCTAACCATACTCGGCAGATCTAATCATCCTCTCCTTCTTCTCCTTCTCCTTCTACCTCCCCATACACAAGCATTTCCTGCAACCAGAGGGCCACCCGCCGCTGAAGCTCTACCAGATGATTATCTGGCGCTACGTCGCCACCATGGCAGCGTACTTTTGCATGTCTCTTGCGTATTCCCTGATCTCTCTCGCCTTCCAAATCCCCTTCTCGAACAAGAGCGGGCCCGAGACCGAAATGGCCATGCACGCAAATGCTTACGGTAAAGGCACTTTTGTAGTCTACTGGATGCTCAATTTCGTCGGCATGGCTGCGCTGGGTCTTGCGTGCGAGAACGTCGCCATGCTCATTGGCCAGCCGTGGACTGCCTTCTGGCTCATCTTCTGGGTCATCAGTAATGTCTCTACCGCTTTTTATAATATCAGTATCGCCCCGAGATTTTATTACTGGGGCTTTGCATGGCCTCTACATAACAGTACGTCCCCTCTCTCCCTTTCCCTCTCTTCCCTTTCTCCTTCTTCCCTTTCCCCCCTTCTTTTCTTCTTCTTCTTCTTCTCCCCTCCTTCCTTTCCCTTCTACTTCTTCCCTTTCTTCCCACCTTTCACCCCTTCCGCCCTTCTTTTCTTGTGAATCCCAGCTAACATGCACCTACCAGTCGTCGAAGCAAGCCGCCAGATCATCTTCGATTTACATTCCCGGATCGGCCTCAACTTCGGCGTCCTTTTCACTTGGGTTGCCCTCAACACGGCCTTTTTCCCGCTCTGCTGTATCTTTATGGGCTGGAAACACAGAAAAGGCATACATGAATATTATGCTTGACTTCTTTATGCTCTTGCGCCGCTGCTTTTCTGTCTTTCTCTACACGTACATATGTATATGCTTCTTCTTTCTATACGTACATATTGTTCATGTATCTAATACCTAGCCCTCGATTTCATTGCTTTTAATTAGGATACGGGATATGCGATATGCGATGTAATTAATATTGTCTCAGAAAGCGCGCAAAATTTGACAGTTGACTTATGCTGCTATGCACATGTAATTTTACGTTAAACATATCTCGGTACTACTGCTACTTATTTCATTTTTTCTTGCTCTGGAAAGTTTGCTCTCAAAGGCTACTTAAAGCGTTTCAATATAATCTGATTTAAGTCACTTTCACATTCACATTCAAATTCAATTCCCTTCAATTGAAACGCATGAGATATTCTACCGATGTAGTAGAATTGCGTAATGAGTAATGACCTATCGATTGTCCATTCGACAATTCCTTTCAACGCCCAGTAAAGATTAACAGGATTAGCCTGTTAGAGTCCGACGAAAACTAAAAAAAATAAAAAAAAAAAAAACAGAAACAAAGGCCCCATAAGCAAGTAAAACGATGAATGATAAACAATGAAGCAAAACCGAGAAATGATAAAGCGATGAAGCCAACATGAATGTCATAAACGTGTGTCCCAGTAACCTGGTAGCGTTGGGAGAAATAATATCCTGATTCCTGATATCAAGCGTGTAACAGTCGTAATAATTGGGACAATAGTGTATGCTGAGCTTTCAAAGTACAACACAGGAAGAGAGAATTCTGGTATTCGCGATTTGCGATTCCGATAAGACATGATTCCGAAGATGAAACAACTCCGAGCCAGAAATAAAACTCCGAGGGTAACAAAGAAGCGTAAACTCCGAAGAGAACCGAAATCGCAAATCAAATCAAATCTGTCCGGCGCAACGAGGTCGATGACTTGAAGCTTTCAACAGGAAGGGCCAGCCTTCGCAAGTGAGCGCTCGTCGAGGAGGCACAGAATTACATCTTGAAGAAAATAAAACAGAAGAAGGTGAGAGGGAAGACAAAAACAAATCCTAAGCATCCTCATCATACTTTCTCTTCTTTCCCCGTCGGTCGGGAAACACATCTTGGATATCGACGAGGTAATTGCGCGCCGTAATGACGAGAATTGCCACTGTAAAGGCATTCCACACGTCGTGATCCCTGTCGCCGAAATCGATCATCCAGAGATTTCTGGCTTCGGCCCCGGGGTCTGCATTTGCCCCGTCGAAGCTGGTCAACATGCAAAGGGTATACGAGACGTATATTCCCCACAGAGTAGGCGGAGGGTGGACGTTCCCCTCCGCGCTCGGATGAAGCCGCAAAGTGTTGCGGTATTTTGCAGCAAGCTTCCGGAAGTGCCCATAGGCTTTCTCCCCGTCCTCCAGCGCGAGTCCCCTGTCCTTGCTGCACATGATGAAGAGGTTTGGGATGATCCGCTTGTGATCGACTTGACCGTCCTCGTGGGACCATTTGATGAAAGCCTCAAGCTCGCGCTGCATGAGCTTATTGGTATCCCCGCCTGTCTGGCGGCAATCGCGGACACGAGGTCCAAGCGTCATGAGATTTTGGAGCGCCTTGCATGCTGCTTCCCAGTTAGTTTTCACTTTGAACACTGCTCTAGGTGAAAAGGGGAGGGGGGATGGGTAGTGAAAGAGAGTAAAACGGAAAATGGAGAAGCGATCTCTCAGATCTCTCAGGGTTCATTCTTCAGGATAATCAGGGGAAACAAGGTACCTCTCAAATCCTTTCCAGAAAGCGAATTGATGAAGGCCTCCGCTTCTCCTTCTGCCCCCTCTTGGGCGAACAAATTTTCCGGGACGGTCTCAAAATCCATCTTCCAGCTTGCTGGAAGCAGTGGTTCAAAACCACGCATCGCGATCTTGGTATGGAGCTTTCTTTCGTCGGCAGTGCAATTAACGGTGACGTTCTCGGCGAGTTCTCTGCGCTTCCTCAACTCTTCTTCGAAATCCCATACGCGCTCAGCGGGCTGCGTGTTTTCGTCTTCATAGGCGGCCTCTTCTTCTGTAAGTGGCTCTCCGTTTTCGCCATATCCCCCGTTTTGGTCGCTGTAATTGCTGGCTCTATCACTGGATGAGGTAGGTGAAGGGGGGCTATCATCTGACAGGTCCATCAGATCAGGGTCTTCTTGATCGGTCAAGCTGCGATCCTCGACAGTTGGGCGTTGAGAGCTTCCAGAACTCGCTCGAGATGAAGAATATCTTGAGCTGCTCTTACTGATTCTGCTACCTCTGACGCTGAGTGGATCAGATGTTGAGTTAGTCCTTCTGCCGCTTAGGCTGCCACGCCCTGAAGCAATTGGGCTCGAGCTCTGCACCCATTCTGCGGTTCGCGCACTGGGGCTCAAAGAGCGGCGGTCCAAATTTCGCTGGCGAAGTGAACGTCGGGTTCTGGACGAGGCGGAAGACACGTTCGATCTGGCAGATCTGGCAGATCTCGCGGATCTCGCAAGGGCTTGGCCCACGGCGATGGCATCTGCAGTCTCAACGACAGGAGTCCCATACCAGTAAGCGACGAATCGTGCCTTGAGACGAGCGAAGAACGACATTTTGAAAATGTGGAAAGAAGCGAGGAGACAAAATTTGGGGTGTGAGGATTCGAGGAAAGAATTCAGGAACAGCTAGATGGCTGGCTGAGACGGAAGGTTTCCGGTTCGGAAGACGAGTAACAGAGGGTAAATGCTTCTGAGGAAGTCAAGTAAACTCTGAAATAAAAGGTCGAGAAGGGAAGAAAGACTTTTGGAAAGTACGAATGAGAGAAGTTGAAGGAAAGAAGCTGGTCATAAATTCTTAGTTCACGATGAGTGGCAAGAGAATTTATCAGGAAGGAGAAATGCTCAGATCAGCTGCCGAGCGAGAGAGAGAAGAAAAGGCAGTGGCTGGGAGCATTGTCTATTATTACTAAATCAATAACCAGTCAGAATTCGAAAATAAGCAGTCAGTGAATTTTTTTAATTGAGGCATCCAGAAGTTATTGACCCAATGGTACGTCAAGGACGACCATTCTTTATTGTGCAGTCTCATTGTTCCCAATTGATCGAGGTCACGACAAATCGTCCAAGGCTTTCTAATTCATCAAGCATCACAATGTATAGAACAATAAAGGATAGCCTCGCTATGGACGTGTCGTATTCCCTCGATGATTGCATTCAAAACAACAAAGAAAACATGCAACGTTGGTTGATCTAATTTACTTGCGGCAGGAACCATATGGGGTAGATCGGTCTAACCCGTTTTAGGTTTCTTATCTAAGTCGATCTTATCTACCGGGAGCTTCGACCACTGTGGTGGGCTGGCCAACCTGGGGGAGCAAAGATCGGGGTAGGGTTGGATATCAATAGTACCCTCAAAAGAAGACTCTAATCTGTCATTGAGACGAAAATGCAATTGTAAACTCTAGAGGTTTGAGAATGGTAATCATTCTTAAGGACAAGTTTTGTCCCGATGGCCTTTGAGTAATGCTTGTCAATGCTTGTAAGTACGAAACCTGCAGTTTGATTTCCTTAGTGAAATAAAAAATTGAATGAAGCAAATTGATTCACAAATTAGCTTGTGCAATAAAGTTCGAATATGATATCAAAATTCCGAGATCTGAATAATAAGACCAAGGACAGTCAACTTGATAGAACCAAACTGAAGGCAGAAGCCGCTTTCGGAGATAGATACAGATACTACGCCACACTGTGGCGCATGCACGGGACGAGCTCTCTCAGCCTCACCAACTGTTATTGACCCAGTTAACCCTGTTCTGCTCACGCCGACAACAACACCAATTGAACCACCAACGCTGGCTGTCTGCGACAGCAATAATTGCCTTGGTCTCATTCGTGTGCCGCTGCCTTCAGAGGGTCTGACGGCATATGGCGGGCTCCAATGACCCCAATGGCTCCCCGCCTGCCAGTGGTGGAGGGGAAGATGAACCTATCCTGGGAACTGCCTTGACAGTATGTCTGGGAGGCCTGATATACGTTTATCCAACAGCTGACACTTGAAATAGGCGCGCAACATAGAGGCTTTCGGGCGCAAAGTCACCACTACCGCTGGCCATTTCCTCGGCGATCCTCACAGTACCGCTCACTACCAAAATGCCATTACCGAAATACACCGAGAGTTAAGGCATCCAAATATTCAGCGACAAGTCTACCACTTTTCACAAACAACACCTTCCGAGATTGTTCGCTCTCGATTATATACCTCAGAGATACACCATCGCGCGCTTGCATATCTTCCAGATGAATTGCTCACGAATATACCCGAAGATGACAATTCGTATTCCCTTTTCCAAGGATTTGAGGCTACATTACCGGACATGGACGCAAGTCACCACAAGAGGCATGGACGGCATCACTCACGAGGGCGGAAATTATTGTCCAGCGCAGATGCCGAGAAAGAAGGACAGCCGAAGCTTGAGAAGCTCAAAAGCGAAAAGGGCAGTCTCGGCCACCGATTAGAGATGATGGCAATTAGAAAGAACATGTGCAGCGCAGAGATACGCGAGATTGACAACAAGATTGCCAATCTCAATACTATGCGCAAAATTGTATTAGATCGGTTAGCATCGCTTGAACAAGAGGAATCAAGCATTGAGCATGACAGTAGGTCTTGGGCGGCAAACCCGGGTCATGAAACGCGATTTCGCTAACATTGATTTCTTAGTTGTTGATGTTGGGAATAGACTTGAGGATCTTGAGGAGGAAATGGAGGATGCTGCTGCGCTTGCGCAGCCCGCACAAAGTCCTAAGGCTGAGGCGGTCGAGGAGGCCACCCCTTCTGGTTCGCCAGACATGGAAGCTTCATTCATGTCCGCCTCTATTTACGAGAAGATTCCCTCGCCCAAGGCGAAGAGGAGGAAAAATATTAGTAGGTCAGCCGGAAGTCAGGGTTATGAACCTTTCTAACCGCAGCTCTAGGACGGATATCAATGCCTATTCTTCACGAGCATTTCGAGCCGGGCTCGAATCTGAAGGAAATCCAAGCACACAACGATATCATTACTGCCCTGGACTATGATGTGCCTTTTGGGACTATGGTGACAGCAGCACTGGACGATACTGTCCGTGTCTGGGATCTTAGTGCTGGGAGGTGCATGGGAATGCTGGAAGGCCACCATGGTATGTCGAAGTCATGCAGTGCATGCAAGACCAGTTTCTAATTGTCCGCAATAGCATCTGTCCGATGTTTGCAGGTCGAGGATAATATCGTAGCCACTGGCTCGATGGATGCGACAATCCGACTATGGGATCTCAGTCGCGCAGACTATGCGCCGCAGGACAACCGTATCAATAAAGGTGGCGAGGAGGAAGACGATGAGGACGCCCTAGGTTTTGAGCATCCTGACGATGCTCCCATTCCGCCACCATCCTCCAGCATGCAGGATTGCCCTCTCTTCTCCCTTGAAGCGCACGTGGATGAGGTCACGGCGCTGCATTTCCGGGGCGACACTCTCGTGTCTGGCTCTGCCGACAAGACCATTCGTCAATGGGATCTTGAGAAGGGCCGCTGCGTTCAGACACTAGACGTCCTTTGGGCGGCCGCGCAAGCTTCATCAACAATACAACCTAGCAGCGGGCCATGGCGTCAGACTGGTCGTCTGCCTGATGCTTCTGCTGACTTTGTCGGCGCACTCCAATGCTTCGACGCTGCACTGGCATGTGGTACAGCTGATGGGATGGTCCGCCTTTGGGATCTGCGAAGCGGTCAAGTTCACCGCAGCTTGGTCGGTCATACGGGACCAGTCACGTGCCTGCAATTCGACGATGTCCACTTGGTAACGGGAAGTTTGGATCGTAGCATCCGGGTACGCAGCTTCTCTCTCGTCTATCATCTTCTTCTGTTTTACATTCACATGACATTAACTAACTGGACTTTCTCAGATCTGGGATCTTCGCACAGGATCCATCTTTGATGCGTACGCTTACGACAAGCCGGTGACCGATATGATGTTTGACACGCGCCGCATCGTGGCTGCCGCTGGAGAAAATGTGGTCAAGGTCTACGACAAGACGGACGGTCGACACTGGGATTGTGGCGCTGGAGTCGACGCCGAGGAAGAAGGTACTCGCCCAGCCATGGTGGAGCGAGTGCGCATCAAGGACGGCTACCTGACAGAGGGTCGCAAGGACGGTATTGTCGGGATTTGGGCGTGTTGAGAAACTCACTCTCCACTTTATTTTGCATGATTGTGATAAACACAATTTTGGGGGTTCAAGGTATCAACAAAAAGGCATTAAATGTACATTAAAGTACAACAACAGCAACAGTAGTAACAGACTGGACTTCTAGAGCTGGTCTGGCGATGATGGGCATTTCAGCCGGCGTTGAATGGAGGAGCATGTATCACTAGTTCAAGTTTGCCATTGTCATAAGAGCAACCTATATCAGCGCGGGAGCGAGTGAGCGATCAGGCAGAGGATAGACGTTTTGTCGTCTCACGATGGACGATGGTGATACTCTAACGGTGCTTGTGTCCTTTCCTGATTGGGACGGTGTAATTTCCTTACTGCAGGGGCCACCCTCATCGTTCTTTCCGAATTGAGTCAGCATCATCGGAGAAAGAACCGGAACATCGACGTACTCTCAGATGCACAGCTGACGATTGTCGAGACATTTCCCTTTCATCAAAATTTCTACTGTATGAGAGAGACATGAAAGTCATCATTACTCCAGTTATCTCATAGCGATGCTACACTTAATGGTCGATGCGAGCAAAGCTAAATGATATTAGGTTTTTGGTCTCGGATGTGGGTAGAGGGGGAAGGAGCTAATGAGAATTAGTTATGCCCACCCACTGTACCTGAGGGATTCCCACGGTTCGTCGCCTGTCTGTCCGTCCTTCGAACCATCCGTTGTTTCTCACTAAGACCTGGTCAAAGCTTCTTTCCACTCACGCGAAACCGTTCCTTAGCACTGCACTCTACATTACCGATCGCTTCCTTTCTGCGTTTCTTCGTTGTACTGGTTAGATTTTCATTCTCTGACGCTGAATCCTTCCAGAGTCACCGTCAGTAGCGCTTGGTGCGACTCCAGACAGCTTCTTGTCGTGGGCAACCCAGGCCTCGACAACTCACTCAGGGGCATCATCTGCTGTGGATCAACCTCGCGTGGGACGGCACGAGGCCTTTTGGGGAAAGGCGCCCCCAGCCAACGTGCTCGACGACGGCGGCGATAATGATGACAACAACAACAGCGGCAGCGGCGAGCATGTCAATTCCTCTTCTCGACGGCTGCGAATGTGTGTCTACTGAAGGCACGGAAGAGACTACACTAAAGCAATTCGAGATGCATCAAGCACGTGGAACAAGCGATGCGAACAAGCACACCCGTCATTCCTCGCCTCCGAGAACCAGGTCTACGGCTTCGAAAAGGTCACGGTCATCGCGTTCACTCATAAAATCGGCCTTACTATTCTCGCTCGTGGCGTCGGCTACTCCTACGGCGAATGCAGCAGCTCAATGTGTATCACTCTCGGGGTCACAAATATGTCCGGCTTTCAATGTCTCGTCTATTTCGACCGACTCGTCGCTTGTCGCACAATTGTACGTTGGGAGATTCGGCAAGAGGATCAATCAACTGACATTGTTTGTTGTAGTCCGTTTCTGGCTTTTGTTTCCGATACAGGCTCTTTTGATCAGCAGTTGAAGCAGTACATTACGACAAATTATGCGCAGCAGAAGTGGGTGTCTAACCTTCCCACAAAAGAAGAGAGCAAGTTTGGTTGCTAAATCGATATTAGATACCAGCAACTTCTAGGTTGCTCCACGGTTGATTTGAAGAATACAAGCATGCTCTATGCCAGGTATACGGCAAGTACGCTTTGTAACGCGATCATTCAAAATTCAAAAACGCCATGCTCATTGTCGGATTCGGACTCGAGACCTCTGTGTGCCGATACATGTGTGAGTGGCCGCATTTCATGGCTTCCTCCAAAAATTTCTCTGAAGTGCTTATATTCGAATAGGCTCAATTTGCCATGAGCGAGCAAGAGATTATTTCAAGCCCTGCGACATGTGGCACGCCAGGATCCAATGCCAATGATCAGATACGAGCCGACTTCACCAACTGTGCCCTACCAGCGAATTCTCTCTCGGGACAATGCATTACTGGAGTTCAAAATGAAAACGACGATTGCGGATATTCGACGAACCTCAACGGTCTTTGTTCCTACTGTGCCGCGAGTTCGCCAAACGCTACAGATTCCTGTTGTGCCAATTCCAATGTTAGCCATCGTTGCAGCAATGTGCATCTTCCGAGCACAACCTCGATGCCGCCGCTCTTTGGGACGACAACTACAACTGCGACTGTCCAGCCGACCAATGCAAGCTCTTCTGCGTCGGCAGCTGCGGCCGGCAAGCACTCCAAATCCGGTCTTTCTGGAGGCCAAATTGCCGGCATTGTCATTGGTTCAGTGCTGGGGGCAGCGCTCCTCTTGGGATTGTTAATCTTCTGCTGCATGTGGCGCCGAAAGCGTGGAAGCGAGCAAAGCAATGTCTTCAACCAGCCATCAACAGCACGACGTCCCACTGAAGCCATGGCATACAATCCGGTTCCTAGTGAAACCCCGAATGATTTCCCGCAAGGCTTCGAGCCTCTGCCTGGAGCTCGGGTCGCAAGAATGTCCGCGCTAGAGGCCCCATCGACTGATAGCCCTCAACGGCAGAGACCATCCATACGAGGCGAATTTTCCAATTCGGAAAGGCACTACCAAGAACGCTCCTCGTCTGATTATTATGGCGACAGTCCTGGTTCTATTGGTGTGCCTCGAGGGCCAATACCAGCTGGCAAACGAAACGGTTCACTCTCGAGTGGATCGTTTCTTGGCCGAGGCGAAGAAGTCACGTCACCGGAATCTAATAGCAATGGGCAGTATTCTTCTCCCGAAGGCGTGGCGAGCGCGCAGTCTGAGCAGCTTTCTTCATTCAAAGATTATTACTCGCAAGACGAAATCCATACCAATGACAAGGTGGCCGTTCTCTGGGCGTACTCTCCCCGCGCTCCTGACGAATTTGAACTCGAGCGAGGTGACATGCTCAAAATCGTGGGCATCTGGGATGATGGATGGGCCACTGGTGTGCGCCTCAGCGAGCGAGCTGAAGAGTGGGACGCAAGTCGGAAAATTCTCCGGGACTCGGGAGTCTCAAATGTCACTGGACAAGTTGAGTCGTCACCGGCCGCTGGAAGTGAGATTCGTGCATTCCCCCTCGTCTGCGTCTGTCTGCCAGAGCACTGGAAGAAGACTCTTGAAGCTGATATATCAACCGACACTGGCTCGTCTGGTGGACCGCTGCCTATTCTTGGCCAGGGTCACGTCTGATTCTTTTGTGGGGGCTTTTCTATGCCTTGAGAAGAAACACTTTCTGCTCATGCAGCCACGATAAGATTGCCTTCTCCAATACGGATCAGTCATTACGGTTTTATGGCGTACGACTACTTTTGCATTGTTCTACGTCAAGCTCTCGATAGGCCTTTTACATGGCACCAGGAAAAAGTCTAAGCACATTCAATCCGGCATGAGAGAAGAATCCGCACCCATGGCTCCGACATCACGAGGTACTGATACCGATGCCGGTTACTGTATTCGTTACGCGCCACGCACATTTTATTTCGGATTGCATTTTATTCCTCTAACATCTTTTTTTTTCTTTCTTTATATTCGCCGCGTCTGGCCGCATTCTCTCCGCGCGAACTCGAACGGACATGTTCACTACTTTGATGCTCTCTATGATACCCTGCATTTTTTCCCTAACCTTTTCTTGCCCATATCTTTTTTTTTTTTTTTTCTCAAACATTTTATTCACTTTGGCCTCACCGCTATTAGGATTGCTCATTTGCTCGGCATTGATACAGCTACACGTATAGAAGTATAATACGCGTATACATTTCATTTCTGCATCTTATATTCAAGCTTGTTCGTTTCTCAATGCTGGTGCGTGGTGCACCAATCAATCGCATTTACTTAATGGTTCCGCCGCATATATATCTACGCTTGCTTGGGGCTTTATTGCTGGAGTTTGGTTTTACTTATTTCAATTTCGCAGTACTAGCAGATCCAAGAGCTTTTTTTCGCATTTTTAGCTTCTCTCTCTCCTTTTACTTGGTTGGGGGAAGGGGAAAGGGTGTGGGTGTGGTTGGCCCCCTTTTTAATTTTTTCGGCTCCTCTCAAGGATTATCAAACCATGGATCATGGAATAGATTAATTAGATTTTCTTTTTCTGAGATTGTAGGTTGTATCGGGATTCGGGAGGTTTATTATTTTTTATCATCGTTGTCAAAATGGAATAAAACGCATCTTTTGTCATGCCAGGGAGCCAGTGTTACTTTGTGTCTTTTCACTTTTCAAGTCCTGTCGTAGAAGCCAATCCAGAGTCGATAATGTTAGATTATTTTCTTTATTTTATTTTTATTTTATTTTTCATTTCAGCTATTTCTTTAACCAGAACGCTACGGAGTATTCTCTTACGGCAGATAACCCATATATATATTAGATGAATAGGAAGATATTTTTATTGATTGACCGGTCGATTGAATGAGTGTGAGCTAGCTACAACAGAAGAATTAAAAAAAAAGCCAGGAATAATGATACGATTGGGATGGGAGCGGCGGAGACTAAGGGGTGGGTTTATTGAGCCTTGGGCGTGATGGGCTATAAAAATGTTAGTCTAAACGGTTTTTAAGGTTATGCGCGAAAGCAATGTGGTAATATGGCAAGGAAAATGAAAATAAAAATTGAAAAGGGTGAAATGAATAGCTGGCAATGGGATAATACCTTTGGATCGTCGACATAGTCCATATGCGTGGCAAGACCAATAAATCCGACGTCCTTGGCGGTATACGCGGCCTTATGAGAGCCCCCGAGACTCAAAAACGTATGTGGGAACCCGGGATCAAACGGACTGGCTTCTTCAATCTCGTTGATCTCTTCTTCGGACAGCACGATGCCCAGCGCTTCGATATTGCCCTTGAGATGCTTGATGTTGCGCCCGCCCACAATGGGAAACACGTAGGGCGTCTTGTGCATGACATAGGCCAGCGCAATGCTTGTTATGGCAGTTCCCTTGCGCTCGGCAATCTTTTCGAGCGCGGCGGAAATGGCCTTGTCCTTGTCCGTCAATGGATACATTTTGCGGCCCTCGGGGTCCTTTTGTTGCTCGGCGGACTTGAAGTTGCCGCCGCCCAAGGCGCGCCAGGGCGCAAGTGCCATCCCCTCGGCGCGACACATGGGGATGATTTCCCGCTCAAAGTCGCGCACTGCGGCGTTCCATTGCCCTTGGTACACACTGAAGGGGGTAAGGCCGTGATTGCGTGCGTCTGAGACGGGATGTTAGCATGATAGTTGGATTGGACAGGAGGAGAGAGGAAAAAAAGGGGGGGAATCGTACATTCGTTGGCTTTGCTGACGATCCAGGCGGGAGTGTCGCTGATTCCGAGATATAGCACTTTACCTGCCTTGACGAAGGCGTCGAGAGCTTGCATGACTTCGGGAATAGACGTGGCATAGTCCCACCAGTGGACGTACAGCTGACATCGGTATTAGTCTAATAATTTATAGTACTTGAACAAATTTGCAAACGACGTGGGAGAAGAAAAGTGTCTTTTGAGAGACTAGAACTGCAATGACATACCAAGTCGATATAATCAGTCTGGAGCTTCCTCAAGCTGTCGTGCAGAGAGATGTGCAGGCTCTTCTTCGAGTTACCGACTGTCGTGCTCATGCTCTCCGTGTGCTTGTGCGCCGTCCGGTACGCAGTGCTGTATTTGGTCGCAATGACGAATTGGTTCCGGACGCCGCGCTCTTTCATCCACTCGCCGAGCCATTGCTCGGATTCTTCGGACTGGTAGTTGTTGGCACTGTATGGTCGTACATTTCAGCATATCAGCTCTCAGCCATACTGAGCGCGTTTGTGAGATGGAGCTCATAGATACTAAAGCATAGTAAAAATTCTGGGATGCAAATAACAGTAATACGTACGTGTCGATAAAGTTACCGCCCTGCTCGTAGAAATAGTCGAGAATCTCAAAGGACGTCTTCTTGTCACATTTGCCCATGAAATCCTGCCTGTTGTCCTCAATTGTCAGCTACCGCCGTGTTATCGTGAATCTCCAGGACCAATCCATTGGGGAATTGTAATTGGATTGAGGTCCCAGTCGTAGATTGTGTATACATACCATGCATCGCCAAAGTTCATGGCACCGAGGCAGAGCGGGCTGACTCGGACCTATTTGAAAGATACCTTAGTATCAATGCACCAGAAACTAACAGAAGAACACATCTCAACGGGAGGTAAGGAAGAAGACGTACACCGGCAGTTGGAGCAAGGATTCTATGCCGGCCCAAAAGGCTCTTGGGCTCAGGCGCAGGTTGGAAGAAGGAAGACATTGTTGAATTGTTTAATTATTGACAAAAGAACAAATTGGAAGAGCTTTCAAGATCAATTCGAAGAATCAATTGAGCTGTGCAAAGGTGAAGAGAAGCTGTATGAAGCTACGTGAGATGGAGCTCTGGATTTTCAACTCGTTCCCTAGGACAGGAAGGGGGGTTTATATATTCCTCTCTCGTCCCTCTTTGAGAAGAAGAGGGGTTTCGAAATCAGCACTGGATCAGCTCCATTATCCACACGAAGGAAATCTCATTATTAACCAACCCGCCATGGCGCGAGGGACCAACAAACACTCCACTTCATGTCCCGCCCCGAATTCAGGGTCCTTGCGTGGCTTGTCGTCATCGATAAATAGATGCAATCGGTCAGCGTGGAACGGAACAGAAGTTAGTAAAAGTGGCATCACATAAGCCATGGACGTAGCAGGACTAATTCGAGTGGTTATAGTACTAATCAAAATACCGAGGAAAGGGTTCAATAAGATCGGGACACTGAATGTGCAGTTCCCCAGTGTTGTCATGTCCGCATCACCTTTGTGTGCCATATGCCGGATTGGGTCTAGACTTTGTTGCCTGGAAAATGGCGGCGGGGGGAGCTTGATCGTGTCCCGATGATGATGATTCTGATAGCTTCACACGCAGCTATTCCCTATTGACACATCCTACCGTGTTAAAATAGCAGAGATTAGCGTTTGTGGAAATTAAAACAGGAGTTGATTAATGACTTTAGGCAAGCACGAGATCAATGTCTTTTGGAAAAACATTACGTCTTGATTCTTCTTACGTACTGTGGTACTGAACATGCGGGGGGTACCATTTTGGATTGGAATTCGGCCGCATCGACCGCATCGACGGTAAAGATGGCACCGGTGCGGACTACTTTTTTAAGATGTCGGCCGCTTGCCTAAACAAGCTAGCGACATGGCACCCTGCAGCTACCGTGCGGCCGCACCTGCATGAGTGCACTTTGGCAACGTCAACTCTTGAACACGCGTGCATACGATTCTTACAGTTGGCTGTCAGAATAGCATGATATTGTCAGACTATAGCTTATGAGAGATGCACGCATAAAGAATTTGAGCCGTGGGGTGGCTCATCGAGGTGACTCAACTAGCATGGTTGACCTTGACCACTCAGAAATGTGGTTTGTTTACATGGCATGCTGTAGGCGTACCAAAGCTACATTGTCTGTAATATACGCCAAGTCAAAAGCTCAAAACTATTCTTCTAGCTGCTATTTTCAAGACCAAACATGTCATTTGATGCGGTCGTCCAATTAATACGCGGGACTTAACCCCGCTGCCGCCCCGGGTGGTCCGCACCCCACATGTTGCCGATCGCGTGGATTGTGTTGTATAATATGACTAACAAATGTAAAAACACAATATAAGTGCCATATGACTATAAACTCCTCTAGCAAAAGAAAATATAAAGCAGTAGCGGGGAAAAAGAAAGATAAGAGAAGCCTCAAAAATATACTCGTAGGCCAGAAAGACAAAAGAGTTCACACGCCCCGGAACGTGGTCCAACTCTACCTGTTCTCTTGAGTATGCTCATCGCCCGATTGGAGTCAGTGGCGCATGAGGTATGTACACAGTAAAAATGTTTCACTGAGCATACACTATAGCCCCGAGCTTTTACTCTGTCGGTTTACGGGCCTTTGGTAGAGTAAACCAAGTGCCCTCCATGACCACGAACAGCGCAATTGCAACAGGGTGCAACACGAATGTGCCCACGGCTTGAGCCAGCAAACCGGTCGTGAAGGGAGCCAAGGCACCACCGGAGCTCCCCATCGCGGAGACAAAGGAGAGTGCTGGCATTTGCACCCGCTTTGAGAGCAAGCGCGAGAAGACTGCCGTAGCACAGGGAAAGACTGGACCCAAAAGGAGTCCAACAATGGACACAGCGACTATTCAGGTACGTTAGCCGCTCTGCCTTCTTGCATCCGACAAGATATTGGTATTGATATAAAAAGGAAAATGAACATACCGGCGTCTCCGATAACATTTGGAAGGAACCAAACGAGGAGCTGGAAGGCCAAGGCTCCGCCAACAATACCAAATACTGCATTCCGCTCGCCAATCCGATGGCAGGGATGGCTGAGCAAGAATCGCCCAAGAGTAATGCCAGCCCAGAAGCCCGAAGTGACATAACCGACCTCGCTCGGATCTCCATGACGGTAGGTGATGAGGAAAGAGATGACCCAGCCGGAGATGGACACTTCAGCTCCTTGGTAGGCGAAGATAAAGAGTGCTGCCAGCAGCGTGATCTTGTTCTTGAGCGCTTCTTTGAGGATCTGTAATTTGGATGGTTCCCCAGCTTCAGCTGCAGCCTGTCGACTCGCCGTTCGCTCGAGTGACGAAAGGAGCCGCTCGGGGAGATCATTCTCAAAGCTCCAGAAAGACCAAGCAGCAAAGATGAGGTTGAAGAAGGCGATACCAAGGCAAATTGAATACACACGGGACCATAGGATTCCCCGAGATACCATAGCCGTCGTCATGAGAGGGCCAATGGTACCACCAATCCCATATGCGCCATGCATAGCCCCGAGAGCCATGGTAGCATTAGCCAAATTCGCGCAGAAGACATTGTCAAGAGCAAGGTTCATCGCCATTCCTAAGCCGAGAAACAAGAAGCTGTACCATGTTTAGTACACTGACGAAGATTTCTTGAACAGGCGCTCGCAACTTACGCCAAGACAACGACCGGGAAAGGGGGAGTGCAAAGAATCAAAATGTATCCCAAGACCATTAGCAACTGACCAGCAATCATGGTCTTGGCTCGGCCTATACGGTCTTGCAAGGCAGTCGTATAGAACGCCGCCATGATAAAACCCAGTGCATTGGTCACGAAAATAAGTGATACCACGGCATAACCGATTGAATAGTGTCTGGTACATCGCGTTAGATCCGCCTCCTAAATTAAAATGAAACAGAAACAACAAACTTACTTTTCCATATAACTGCACAGCAAAGCAACAGCCGGTCAGTCATATTCACGTCAGGAGTTCGAAGTCAGATTGCTTACGGAATAATTGCTCCGGGCACTGGCAAAAGGTCAGTCTTACGTCCGCGTATCTTGCAAAACACTTTACCCACTGGAGTCATTCAAACCATCACCGAAATTGATCAAACAACAGCATAGAACGCGCCATTTATTCATTGGGGGACTGGGGCGTAGTCAGCATCCAATTACAAAGTCTTACAGCACCCTGTGCGCATGGGGGCCAACAAACTTGGAAAAGCTCTGGATGAGGTTTATTTCATGATGGCCACCACTGGGAGAACCACCCTGGAGCTGCGGAGTGCCCACTGAATTCGTCTCGAGATCATCAGGACGGGGCGTTTGAGTGCCACTGAGCGGTTCACTTTTGGGACCAGTATACTGGACTCCCCAGCTCATTTCGTCCAACTCAACCACATCTGGAGCTTTGTTCCGGTGAACGACCGCGGGAGGGTTTCTAATGTGAGGAGCAGATTCAACCTCGATCATCGATCCCAACGTCTGAGCCATTGTGTCTAAGACGGAACAAACGCAAAGGAAAACCAAATAATTCTTTTTCTTTAGTCTATTGAAGCTTCTTCATGAGATGTTCAAATGCTGCAAATCAGAGATGAAATCGACCAGCGCAATATTCTTGGAGAGTTTCCTCAGTTATGTATCTTCAGATTGACACAAACAATGTCAGTAAGTGTTGAAGCAGCGTCAAGTGTTTTTTCCACGATAGCGTGGCAACATTTGTCATCCATCCAAAAATTATAGCCACGATAGCCTTTGACCTCATAGGACGAGACGGTGTCCGACAAGGTTCCCCAACCTGAACCTCCTTGAGACAAGATTGCCCCGACTTCCCCGCCATCCGCCATCAAAATGTGGGAGGGACGGAACCGTCTCCGCTATGCCTCATTGGGCAATCGCCGCCAAAACTTTTCTTACGTAATAAATGACATAAGCATGAATTGCCGAGAGCGGTGAACCTCAATTCTGATAGGTCTGGGAATTGCACATCGAGCATGTCACTTTTCCCTACGCATTTATTTTTTTTTTTGGAGCGATCTAATTGTTGAATACAGCATTTTCTAGACAACTCGATTTCATCTTTGACTTTTGCTTTCGTCACTTTACTTCCTACCATCATGCCTCGTCCTAAGCGTAATGTTTTGGCTGCAGCACAAGAGTCGTTCGAGCCGCCAGTAGAACTGACTGAAGGTCAACACATCGCACGCGTGGTCAAAATCAACGGCAACAACCTCTACCTCGCCGAGCTTCCCTCGAAAAAGCAATTGCTAGTTGAATTGCCTTCACGTTTTCGTTCCACCGTGTGGATCAGGCGCGGCGGATACGTGCTTGTGGACACCAATGCTTTTGCAGATCGGGAAAACAAATTAGACGGAGAAATTGCGGCCGTGATTCGAAACGACAAGGAATGGAGGAAGATGAATTACTGGTATGCGAGTATCTATATACTTTATCCTACCTTCTCGTTCTAACATCTATAATTTGGCGCGAAAGGCCGCAGGAATTTGCAAAGAAATCTTCGTACTTGGAGGAGAGTGACGAGGACGAATCTACCGTCGGCAAACTGCCGCCCAGCGATGACGAGGACGATGCATGAGCTATTTATCTAGATCCGATTTCTGCGCCCCACCAGCATTCCCCATGAGCCTACCTGGAATATCACTGGCCCTTGCGTTCTTCAGACGGGACACTTCGCTTCTGAGCTTTCTCTCTCGTTCCCCACCACACGCCGTTGACAGTCACGGCAAGAGCACCTACGACGATTTTGGAACTTATATCAGTACTGGGATAAACGTTCCAGGCCCACTCCTGCGCAGCCCAAAGTGCGTACTGCAACACCGGATGGTATCCGGCCTTCCAAGCAAGGAATGGTGTAGCCCAGGCAATCAATGAATAGAATTGATAATGGAGGGATCGAGCAAAGAGCATGCCGATTGCATTGGCAGTTAGGATTGTGGTGAGTATGAAGTCCGGAGTGATTTGAGAGGAAATTGCTGCCTCTTCAATTAAAGGAGGTGTCCTGAGAAGCACTTGAACGGCCCGGGAAGCAGAATATCCCAGCGGCTTTGTCCAGCGTGTACTGATGAAGATGAGGAGAACCACCACATGAGCGAGCAGTAGAGCCGTGGAAAATTTCTTCGATAGAAAGGTCTCTTCTCCAATAAACCTCCAATTGACAGTCCACTTGAACAAAAATTGCCTGCTGAATTCAAATGCACGTGACAAGTAGCCCCAGGGATTAGTGCCGATAAAAGGCATGGCCAGAGCCAACTGTACCAAAAACGTTAGCAACGTGCTGCTGTGGGTGCATGATGCACTTCTCACCTGCACATTCAACATGATTTGTGCCTGATTTAATGCCCTTTTTGTAAAAATGCCCTGGAACAAGATCAACCCAATGGCAGGAAGAGCCAAAAGGAGGCTCATTTTAGTGCCCAGACCCAATGCATAAACGATTGAGCCAATGGTCCATTGTCGTTTTTGATAAGCGTAGATGGCCAGAAACAATGCCGCCACAGCCCAGCAATCATTAAAAAGTCTGAGCAAGAAAATACTGTGCAGCCTTTTGGACAGCACCAGCAGAGGAAAGATGTAAGGGGGAGCCTGGCAATTGGTAAGATATGAGATACGGGAGAGTGACGTCAATTGGATAGTTGGTCTGCCCGTACCTTTGCCATACGATAACATGCCATGACCAATGCTAATGCAAGCAGGTAAAGAATCGCGAATAATGACTGAGCAAGTAGGATATTCTGTCCATAATTGGTCAAATGATAGAGTGCAGAATAGATGTAGACGTGCGCGGCCGGATAGACTAATGGGCCTGTTCCGCCGCGGATTTTTAGATAATCGCGCTCTCCATTAAGATAGAGCTCTACTTGCTCCATATAGGCCTTCCAATCAATTTCTGTATCTAGGATCTGCAAATCAGCGGGATATTTCCTATACATTGAAAAAGCAATATAGCCGGACAGGCATACAGGGTATCTTCCATATGACCAATGCACATAATGCCGCATCAGTTGCTAGCAATAAAGGCGATATCCATCTTGTATGCTTCGGGTTGGTGGCAATGTCTATACCACGATTGATGAGATCCATCATTTACTGATATTTGACTTGTCAAAATGAAAAGGTCAAATATATAGCAGATGTTGAGTATCTCAAATGGCACGACATGTCAACATCGCCGCAACGGCCGCTATCACAAGCTGGCCGATTGACCGAGGATTGTCTGTTTTTGGCTTAGCGTCAGGTGCCACTTCGCTCAGGGCGTGCGGCAAGTTCCGGATTTGAGGGAGCAAGGGTCAGGAGATCATCCGACCAATCAGATCACCTAAAGAAGCATGATCAACCCCTCCATTCCAACAACCCCAGATCCCGCCGCATTTCTTATTGCCTTTGCGCCTCGGTCTCCGATCCACAGTTTCAACCTCAGCTTCACACTCTTCTCTCGATGGATTCATTGCGCCGCACTCAAGTAGCTCATCAGACATAGCTGACTCTATTCGGTCGACATGTCATCTGCTGACCGACGCCGCTCGTCGGTCGCTGCGAACGCGAACCCCGCAATCAGCGCAATGGAAGGAATCGAACAGTCAACGCGGCCGACCATATCAACAATACCGAGTCTTTCCTCTTCTCCAGTCAACGAGAGTCCACGGTCCGATACACCTGCTGATGCATCCACAATCACAGCGACTGCGATCGCCTTTGATCTTCGTTCCTTGGACTACGTTGCCGAAGTAGATGATAATCTCATTTGCCCGATATGCCGGTGCCCTTTCGTCAATCCTCTGCGGCTGAGCTGCGATCATATATTCTGTCAGGAATGCGTTGACACTGCTCTTGCGAACCAAGCTTCTGAATCCCGGACATGTCCATCGTGTCGATCACCAGTCTTGTCCCGGTCTGGGCAACCGGTACCGAGAGCGCTTCGGCATATGGTGGACGAGCTCCTCGTCAGATGCCCGCACGAGGAGGATGGCTGCACAAAGATCACCTCAAGAAGCGAAATGCAGCATCATGTGGAGAAGTACTGCGACTATACAGAAGTGGATTGTCCCGCGGAGGAATGCCGACAGCAGGTTCAACGACGAAACCTCGGCCGAGGATGTCTTCACAGCACCATCCCTTGCAATGACTGCGGTGCAGACGTGATGGAGCGAGATATCGAGGTAAAATCTAGAATAACCTTTTTCCTTATCTGGCGAAACTAATGCATCTCTCTAGAAACACCGCGAACAGACTTGTCGTCGAAAGACTGCAACTTGTCCTGATTGCAGTCTAGAATTCTCCCACCAAGAACTCAAAGCCCATCGCCCCGAATGTCCCGAGGCCATCATACCATGCTCAGGCTCGCCCTACGGGTGCACATATGTCTCAAAGCGTGCCGCTCTGCAACCACACGTTTCATCCTGCCCTATTGCATCCATGGCGCCATTCCTCAAGTCTCAAAACGATCGCATCGACGCACAACACTCCATGATTAAGAATCTTCAACGCCGCAACGATATACTCGAAGGCGGTCTCACCTCGATCCAAGCCATGCTCTGCACCAGCACCTTTGACAGCGTCGGCGTCGACTCGACCACCTTGCTTGCCTCTGCATCCTCTCCGCTCTCACCACCACCTGCGAGCTCTAGCGCTACCGCGGGATCGGCGTCAACTTCAACTTTGACTTCAGTTCCAAATCAACCAAACCCAGATCCTGCCGACCTTCCACCCTTCAACTCCGCTATCCATCATCTTCTATCCCTCCACGAATCTCTCAGACAAGAAGTCGACCGCGTCTCCGCAGCCGTGTCTGAACTCGACGCACGGTCTAGCATGATGATTATGAACGAAAGCCTCCGCAACAAGGAAGACATTACCCATACCAACGCCGCGCTCAATTCCATGCGCATGCAACTCCACTGGCTCCTCAGCGCGCGTTTGCAGATGCAATCCCGCATGGCAGCCGCCGCGGCAGCAGCGGCAAATTCTCCTGCTGGCTCGACTGCGGCAACCAGTCCGCCCAATCGCTCGAGAGATATGGGTGTCGGCACCAGTGGCGCAGCAGTTGCAAGTGCCTTTGGACTGCCCCCGCCGTTGAGGCGTATGAGTGGTATGTTCCCCCTCTCACCCTCATCACTGTTCTCTTTTATTTCCTTTCTCTTTTCTTTCAACTTTCCCTTTCTTTGCTCATCACTCTTGCCGATCGTTTTCACCTTTTCCCCTTAAGTTGATGTTAAACTAACGCATTCCGCCAACGATAGATGGTTCGCGACAAGATACGAAACTATAATCACCTCGCCTACTCAATCCTGAAATCCTACTCTTTTCAACTTTCACTTCATCTTCACTTTTCACTTTCTCTTCTGTCTGCTGTCTCACCTGACTTGGCCTCACTGGGACGGTTGAGGGGAGGGGTGGATGGGAAGGGGGCCTGAAGCCCCGTTGTATTATTCCTCAACGCCTACGGTTATTCCTAGCAGCAGAATCATGAGCTGTATTACTTGAGGTGTTTGGGCGCGCTCGGACGAAAGAGCGTTTTTCGTTTTTCGTTTTTCGTTTTTCGTTTTGGTCGATGTTTCACCGGGTGTTTCTTTCAGAGACCCTATTTGAGCCTGTCGTTGCTTTTCTCTTTACTTTTATTTTCGTCTCATTTCATTTCCTTGTTTTGTTTTACTTTCAATTTTTTTTAGTTTGTTTCTAAATTTTTTTTTTTTTTGTTTTTTATTTTTATTTTTATTTTTTGTTGGTGGTGGTGGTGGTGGTTGTTGATGTTGTTGTTGGTATCTGCTGTATATTCGTTTTTGGCATCTCTGCTGTATATACCCCTAAGAGCTATTGGCTCATGCTTTTCTTTTCTTTTTTTTCTAATATTAGCTGCTAATCCAAAGCCACTTAGCTACAGTATGACGTTTCGGAATGGGCTTCTATTGTGACATAAACATAGTAGTTCGTGTACTTTGTAGGGTTATACAATAATATAACCTAGGTATTTATGGCCCTGATGTATATATTTACAGATCCTGGATCCCTATTGCCCGTTCCATTTTTTCTACCTTCTTTTTTCTACTATGTAGTATATACCTTGTACATTGAAATAAAAAGCAAACAGCAAAGGTAGTGTATATACTGAACAGCGCGGCTAACAATCTACCGGACAAGACACGGACATTACCGGACAACAACCTTGTCGTGCCGCTCCCGGCCTTGTCTGTCTGGCGGGATGTGTATCTTTTTATACCGGACCTGCCAGCGCACCTGTGGGACTTGCGAAGCGGCAGACACAGACACAGACACAGACACAGACCTCTGAGACTGAGTCTGCGACTCAGACTGAGAATGAGAGAGATTATGAGGATGAAAAGGGTAATGGGAACGAGGATGAGACGGGGGAAAAGAACGAGAAAGGGTATAAATGCTAAAATTCAGCGTCGGGAGGGCGATAATGGGACACGTATGCGCCGGATCGTCAACCATTTCGCCAGAGCCTTCTGCATGACGAGAATCTGAGGAATCCCTTGATTCCACCGAATCAGGCGCTGTAGACGCAGATGATACAGAAGGAGATGGACGGTAAAGTGAAACGGGAGAGCCGTAGCGTTTACCGCCCCACGCTAGCACAGGCAGCGTCCATCTTACTTTGCCAGGAGCAGCCGCGGCTAGGAGCTGGTCCAACTGCTTGACTTTTTTCGGAGAAACATGCTGCTCTAGCCATTTTCGAAAGGGGTGCAGATCTTGTGGGTTGAGCGGTCTGATGATGACGTCTCGGTCGGTGGGATTCGACACGCGGATCCAGACCCGGCCGTCCCAGAGATGCCAGGGTGCGGCTTCGATGTCGTGATCAGTATTAGTGGCGGGAGAAGAAGAAGGGGAGCGGGCGTGTTGTGGTTTTCGCTTTTTGTGGTGGTGCTGGGGTGGGTTTGAGTTGGAAGTGGAAATGTTGCCGGGAGTGTTTTCAATGTCGCCGTGGTGTGCTAGGCCTTTGGTCTTCTTACTTGGTCTTCTTTTGCTAGCTTGACTTTGGCCGAGATGTTCCGGGTTCAGGGCCGGAGTAGGTGCGGCGGTGGACTCTGGCTGCTGAGATTCTGGAGGATGAGAGTTGTGAGGCAGCAGGGTGAGATGGGTCTGATGGAATTGGCGTCGTTGCTGGTGGTGAAGAGGAGAGGAGGTGGATGAGGAAGATGTTGGCCCGTAGGGTGGAGTGGGTTGGGTATATGGATATGATTGTCCGCTTTGTTGAGAGAGACGCGGCGGCGGTTTAGGTGGAGTAGATGGGTACATGTCTTGGCTTTCTACTCGGGTAAGCCGACGCTTTGCTGCTTGTCGTTTTCCTTTCAAAGAGGGACCTGGCGATTCAGTTGCAATCTTCTGCTGTTTGGGTCTCAATGAGTTTGGAGGAATAGTAATCTCTGGCCCAGGAGAAGCCTTGATATACGGCTGCCTGGTCAGCATCCATACGTATTTATCGTCCAAATAAGTCCCCTTCTGGAATGACGTCTCCGCGGAAGCGTGTGATTCCCCCTCCGCGGGCATGTGCACAGGGGAAAAGATGCGTTGGAAATGGATCCCGCATGCAGTGAATGAGGTATGAGGTAACAGATCTCTGTCCGCTTCGTTGAATTCTGGATCCTGAATGTCGGGGAAAATGTTGTGCACTATTGTGCGTAGACGAGGAAGTTCAATGGTCTCTTGCGGGCTGACCAGCTCCATGGCGCGCCGGAGCATCCGTGCCCCTTTCTGGGTCATCTTTTGAATGTGTGCCTGGAGGTATTGCTCGGGGATACGCTTGGTGCCGTGAAGCTTCTTCTGAAATCTGACGACAACACCGCCTGAGCGAACGTCGAGTAGTGTGATCTCGTTTGCTCGCCAAGCCAATTCTGCTCGGCTTTCCAGATCATGCGTGCGCTCTTGCCACCGCCTTGAGAGCCGGATGACTGACTCGGCTTGGAGAGCTTTAGGGAGTTGGCGCTGCTGTAGAAGATATCGGACCGCGTTGCGTTCTGTGAGCGTGCGGTCAAAGTTGGTCACGTCTTCTTCCCAGACTGTCTTCGCGGCTTCGCATGTCGCAATGAGTTGGTCTTTGGTAAAATTCAGAAGCGGTCGGTGGATAGTAATGCCGCCTCGTTCAACGAGAATTGCGCCGTTAGGTCGCGATGAGCCTGTGGAAGTGTATTGACTATTCCCATCCGTCGGGGCGTTTCTGGTGTAATAATCGGCTTCTAAGTCATCTTCTGCGCTTTCTTTTTCCTTTGCAGAAACGGCGCCCTGTCCCTTGCGGAATGTGTTTGTTTTTCTGATTGAAAATTGCGGCTCCCACCCTCCGCTCTGGTGTATCCCATGCATACCGTAACACTCGGGAATATCAGAAGACGCTATCATTCCGGCTAACCCACCACCGCCGTGGCCACGGGAGATTTTCATAAGGATCGTCTCGGCTTGGTCTTCTGCATGATGACCGAGCAGGATCGAGGGAACGCCATGCGCTCTGCATGCTTCGCCGAGTGCCTTGTATCGTAGAGTTCGTGCTTGGGATTCGAAGTTGGGTAGCTGTGACGGAAAGACGCCTTTGGGCCAATTGAGCGTCAGGACAGAGCCGCGAATTCCTATACCGTAATGCAAATTAGTCTATATCTGTACTTATTTCCTTTCCGTCAAGCTTCAATCCAATTCTAATCCTACCAAATCCGGCATGACAGCTTCGATCACTTACCCATCTTGCGAACTCGCTCCAGCACCCGTTGTGCCTCTTCCTTGCTCCCTTCTCTCGCGCCATGATCTACCACAAAGGCAGTAAATCTAAAGTCGGGAACTTGCGTCGACGACTGATGTTTGGCTAGTTGTCTGCATAACGTTGCCAAGGCCATGGAATCAACTCCGCCGCTGACCGCAATAGCTAAAATAACAGAAATCAGTGAACTCAGCTCTATAAAAGATTGAGAGCAATGAAAGATAAACTGTAAAACTCACCTAATTTTGCATGGGCACCACCCGCACGCCCCTCAGGGCGAGACCATACAGCCTTTAGAGCATTGTAGAATGTCGCGACGTTTATGGGCAGCGCCTTTTGCGGCAGCGGGCCCTTGACGGGCATCATGGTCGTGGCAGCATTGGTTGGCAGAATTAAAGAAAGGAGTGCAAACTGGACCGATATGTCCTGTCCGTAAATATAGCATGCAGCCGTAAAGATGTGTGAAATCTATAGGGTGGGGAAATTGTGCCGTTGGGCTGGAGGGAGCATGGACTCTTGAGAGGACCCTTGACCTGAATGATGTCGATGTCGCCAATTCGGAGTCACATCGGAGCTAAACAACCACCACCACATTTCTCCCTGTCAACAATCTTGCTTTTACAACTCTCACTTACAAGAATTGACACATCATCTCTTTGCGTTCTGTACTGGGTTGATCTCGGAGGAGATACATTTCAGCAATTGGACAGCCATCGCCCAAGATGGCCTCCCCTTCCGGGAATGTCACCATCGAGTCACCATTTGCTCGCGCTCTCGTGGTAAGCCAGAATTCTTTCTCTCTATTTACCACGCCCTTTCCTCTTGCACTCTATATCATACTTCCAGCTTGTTGTAGTCGCATCTGATGCTCAAATTCTCTCTACCGGGAATCAACACCAATCATTCCAAATCTGGCGTCATATATTTAATCGCGACAAAATTCCCGCACTAACTCCGGTTTCTCTCCGCAAACAGGCAGGCGGCATCGCAGGCACCACCGTGGACCTCTCTCTCTTTCCAATCGATACTTTGAAGACGCGACTTCAATCTTCCAAAGGATTTGCTGCGTCAGGCGGTTTCCGCGGTGTATACCGGGGCGTGGGGTCCGCCGTGGTGGGGTCCGCACCGGGGGCCGCACTTTTCTTCGTGACGTACGAGACAAGCAAGCGACTGCTGAAGCAGGCGCGAGAAGCAGACGAAAACCTTGCTGGAGGGGCTGGGCTCGGGACACTGAAAACATGGGCAGGGCCAGTAGAACACATGATATCCGCAAGTTTAGGTGAAGTCGCCGCATGCGCCGTGCGGGTACCGACAGAAGTCATCAAGCAGCGAGCGCAAGCAGTGCAGCACCCGTCGTCGCTCGAGGCATTGAAACACATTCTGACCCAAAGGAGCTCCATCGGACTGGGTGGCGTCTGGCGGGAATTGTATCGAGGCTGGAACGTGACAGTCATGCGGGAGGTGCCTTTTACCGTGATTCAGTTCCCGCTGTGGGAGGGGATGAAAGAGGCATGGAGGCAGCGGAACCGGACGGGCCTGGAAGATGATGTACCGGCTTCACTGGGAACGCTTGGGAGGACACGCCCTGATGAGGCGGTGTCTGCCGCAGCAAGTGGTGTCTTTGGCTCAATAGCGGGCGCGGTTGCGGCCGGTGTGACCACGCCTCTGGATGTGCTGAAGACAAGGCTGATGCTGTCGACGGCGCGGAGGCAAAAGGTTTGGCCTATGGTGACGCAAATCATGCGCGAGTCGGGCCCCCGAGCATTCTTCGCGGGCATTGGACCCCGTGTATTCTGGATCTCCGCTGGCGGAGCAATTTTCCTGGGTAGCTACCAATGGGCTTATAATACATTTGGAGGACAGACCGGTCGTCGTCACTAAGGTTTCATGAGAGAACAGGACCTTTTATCTTGTAAATGTTTGTTTTTTTCCGATTAAATTGTAGATATATTTGTATATAGAGCTGGGAGGGTCAAAGGGGACTGCATATAGACACAGCCACACTGAATGAATCACAGCATACACCAAAGGAAGGGCTCGTATCCAGATGCTTTGTATTAAAAGATATATACATTCTAGATACAGCTGATGGACGCCATTGCGTCTCTCGCCTTTATATAGAGAGAATATATACACATTCTATTACCCGCACAGACCAAGAATTGGTAGAGAAGATGCTTGAAAGAATGGTATCCAACATTGTCAAACATGGCGTTGACGAAAGAACACAAAACAGACACAAGTTCTACTGCATGTTCATAGTCGCATCCAGATGTCAAGGGGATCGACCGATCGCCTTCTTTCCGTTGGCTTTGTAGTAGAGAACAATGTCACCTCCACCTTTCCACACGTAAGTTCGAAGAGTTGCGAGGGTCATAGTTGGCAGGACGACCTGGTGACAGAATGAGAATGCAATCTAAGGAGTTTTGAGACAATCGAACGTGGGACTTACTTGGTTCTGACAATAAAGCTCCAGGTACTCCTCAGGTTTCAGAGCGTCAGGATCTGGCTTTTCTGGCTGCGGTTCGATGCGCTCTGCTACGTATCCAAGGATTTTCCTGGCCCGCAGCATTCTATTTGCATTCAATCGCGTGTTGCTGCTGTTCTTGTCAATACCACTCTTCTTCGTATTTTCTGTCTATCCATCGGGAGAAGAGTTACGAATAGGGATTGCAATTCTTACCCGTCTTCGCCAGCTACGCTTGGCAAGAGGTCCTGATAAGGATACAAGACAAAGGAAATTTTCGGCATGTCTTTGACCGGAATTTGATTCTATAAGTTGCATCAATATAAATCTGCTCGCAGAGTCGGATAATTTAGAAATACATACCCGAATTAAGAGATCTCCTAGCCACATTGGCGCCAGCTTCTCTATTGCATCAGCTTCCTTGCCAACCGAAGCGACAGTGCCCCGAAATAAATCGGCCACACCACCTAGGTCAGGGTGTTCCTCCTGAATAATAACAGTTGTCTCCGGAGGCGGCTTTAATACCGGCGTCTCGTTGGGGAGGCTGGGAAGGATTCCCACAGCTAGAGGCCCTTCTTCCTGCGCCTGTACTGCATCTTGGTACCCGTACCTAATCTTCTGCACCACGCCAAAGAAATTGTCTTCTACCGATTTTTCCTCGCTTCCCGATGACTTTGCGTCCGAGTCCTCCGATTTTTCATCGACGGGAGCAGGCTTTGGCGCCTCCGCCGGCGCTGGTTTCGGGTTCTTTTTGGTGCTAAAGGACATGCGAAATTTCTTCGAGAAGCGAGATCCTCCTTCTTTGGCTGGTGTTCCCTTCTCACCATCTTGGGGCGAAAGAGGAGCGTTCTCGTCCAAAGTGCCCTCGCCGCCCTTTGCTGAACTTCCCCCTGGTGTAACAGGAGGATTGGCCACGGGCCCGGCGGAAAAATAATCTGTAGGCTTTTCCATAGACGCAGTTGACTGGCTATGATGAGAGACTCTCTTCTCAAGATCAGAACCTTCCTCAGCCATAGCTGGTAGAGTGTTGTCTTTGTGTGCCGCATTTTGCGTGTGCATCATTGGTTGGATGTTGGGTGTAGCAAGCCCGATTGACAGGCCGGGAGTCACAGCCGGTCGGGAGTAGCCATTGGCTTGAGGAGTGAGTGCCGAGCTAGGTCCAGGTTTGTGTGCCTGCCAACCATTCATGCTTGCCGGTGGAAGCTCAATAGAGGGAGGGGCATTCCTACGCCAGGGCCCCTCTGAACGGCCGCTGCCTTCGTTCAAGGCTGCGCGGTATGTGCCATCACGCTTTATCTCTTCGTCGATAAGATTGGCAAAGAGATATCGTAGCACCCATTTTCCAAGGTTGACTAAAAGGCAACGGGTCAGCTTCTTGTAAAAAAGTAGCAATTGTCGAGGTAGATTGAGGGTATCGTGAAGGAATTATAAATGACCAAAGGAGAGAAGCTTACTTCGCTGATCTTCTCGAAATTCAATCTGCTGGTCCAAATTCAGCTCATCGGCATAGACCTCGGCATCAAAACAATAGTTTTCCGTGAGGATACATGTCAGGCGACCAGTCCTCGTGTCCACCGCGCACCAATTGGCGACTGATTCTGTGGTATTCACCTCCGGTGCCACATCTTCCAAATGCCGCTTACCAAACGATTTGATGCAGACACACTGAAATAAGCAATTAGCCATAGCCAAATTTGTGTTGTGACAAGTTCACGAACCTTTACCAAATCCCACATCATGACCTCTCCAGTGGTGTCAAGTGTAAGCACCCTTCGACGATCATTCAACATGACATGCTTTATCAATCCATGCTGACCTTCAATGCAGTCAATCGGTAGTTGGTACAAAGGTGTTCCGGTCACAAAGCTCTCCTCCTCGTACGTTTCAGAGCCCCGTCGGATACTAGCAGCGGAATAAACTGTAGCAGCTTCGCTGTCGCGATGATGCTTCGAAGGAAAGGGAAAGGTCGCTGTATTTGACAAGCGGAGCAAACAGCTCATGGGTATCTGCTTTTTAGAGGCATCATTTCCGGTTGATGGATTGGAAGGACCAGATAGAGAGAAGCGGGAACGTGACGCAATACTCGAGTGACGTCGATGGGACATATTTTCTGGGAGCTGGACATCCACATCGGTATCCACATCACTCCAGCGATTGATACTCGAGCTCGATGTCGCGGTCCATATAGAATCATCCGACGCAACAACTTTGTTGATGCCCTCATGCTCCTGGCAAACTGCTATACACATGCCGTCGCTGCACTCAGCTACACGACGCGAGTCTGTCTTTGCAATGAGCCCCGATCGGTCACCCGAATAGAAGACGGAAAGATGAGGGTGATCAGAATAAAGAGACCACACGCTATCGTTGTGCATCGTGAGTGTGTGCATGCATCTCCCTGCCGTCACCGACCAGACCTTCACCGTCTGATCAGAGGACGCAGACATGATAGTCCCGCCATCTTCGCTAATCAGGATATCTCGAACATTATCGGTATGCCCGACAAAGTTTGTGATGCGGCGGCCTGACCTTGGATCCCAAACTCGAACAATGCTTTCAGGCCCACCGCAGGCCAGGATGGTGTCGCGCGCGCTGAGAGCATAAACTGAACCTTTCGCACTTGCCTCACCTTCGCCTACGTTGATTTGAAGCCTTTCCCCACCACCAGCAAGATCCCACAAACACACTTTCTTGTCTAGTGCTCCTGAAGCGACCCAGTCTGCTCGAGGGCCGGGGGAGGCTAAACACTTGACGTAATCACTGTGTAGCCCAATGGTCTGCGGAAGCTGCCCGTCCTCGGCATCCGGTCGCCACAGTTTTACTGTGATATCAGATGAAGCTGACACCAAGGCAGAATTGTTCTGCGTTAAGACAATGTCATTAACCCAATGCGTGTGTGCTTGCGCTTGCGTTCTGAGGGAAGCCGACGGATTGCTCGGCGTTGACCGGGCGAGGTTCCCGGACTCAGGGTCATCATGTGGTCCGCCAGGAGCGCTGACGTCCCACGCACAAATGACTCCATCGCGTCCACCTGAGTACCTGATTGAGCGGGTCAGCTGAAATTCTGGAAGGATCAGTGTCAATCCACTCCGGATCGGAGCCTGGGCGCCCAAAAGCCATCCACATACAAGATGGAACGCTGCTTATCGACTGCTAATCCATTGACGCCTAGCAGGTGCCCGCCGGTCGAACGCGCGAGCGGTAACACTGCAAATTGACTTCTATTAGCTGGCCATTGACGCGGACATGAGATAGCAAGAGGATCGAGCAAGCTTCTTAGCGGTATTCCTCACGCAAGGGATCGTCACGAACCGTAGCTGATCCGCTGGCGGGCCTTGCGCGCCATGCGGTCGTCATTCGGACAGGCAATATGAACTCTTTAAATTGTCCGAGGACCCAGCAGACGGCGCTCCACACTCGTGTTTCCAAACTCAAACAATCGTAAGAGGTTGAAATGACCAGTGTGGGGAAATTGTCTCAACTCACACCGGGATCTAGGCACACACGAGTGCTCGCAACGCCTCACAAGCTGAATCTCCGACGGGCGCTAGCCGTCCCGCCACGGGTACCGTCAGGTGTTCTCATGTACTACGCAGGATAGGTAATCAAGAAAGGGCGCGCAACCTTTTTCTGATTGGGATTGGGATTGGGCGATTCCAGACACAATGCTCCGATTGAAATGCGGCTTGGCTTCCAGTTCGCTCTCTTTGGGCGATCTGTCAAAACATGTCTTTCCCTCGTGGCATGAACCGTTGGAAATGCGACCGCTAAGTGACATAATTTACCCCATGCCGATCACGAGTCTCGTGCCCCTTAACGAGCATGTCACTAAGGCAAGGTACGACCGCTATACACAATAGAGGCTACACAGAGATGCACTCACTGTCTCATTCAAACAGGGTTGTTGCATCTTTTTAGCCCTATGAAATCTTGAAACCAATGGGCCTACCTTTAGTTGATATATACTGTTCCTTGGGTTGTATTGCATGTGAATTGGAGCTTGCTGGAACGGATGGTACCTTGGTTACGCTAATCAGGAGCTAATGACGGAATTGCTTACTGCAGAAGAGCGCTCACTCATAGCAGATTTGTGACTGCTTTGTGCATTGCTCTTGAAACCGTAAGCCCAAGGAGGAAGCTGCAAAGCTGCAGATATATTTCATCAAAGGGAATGCCGATTCTATTCGCTCCTGCGGGGGCTCCAGAGTCAAAGAGTCAAGAGTTATACACGTTGACGAAATCCCAATTGGGAAAGAGCCGCCGTGCCGCGCCGTCGGATTGTCGGCAGAGGAAAGAGCGAGCGAGTGGAGGAGAGCTAACTTACCTGGCTACCAGAGAGGGCTTTGTAGCTGGGCATAATTATCATATCTTATCAATGTGAATCTAATCGATCAATTAATTCATGCTAATTCGTCAACATACGGAGTACGCGACCTTCCCGAGACACGCTTTCACTTCTGGCTCCCCCCAAGTAGCATTTAGGGATATTTATCAACAAACCCCAGCATTAACTCCAGACACTCTCTTTGATCGTCTTTTTGACCGTCAACTTTCGCGATCGCTCCTCCAATCGCTTTCGACCATTATTGACAGGTCTTTCGTTATCCGTCATGAACTAATTTTCTCTTGTGTTTGAAGTGTAACGTTAGCAATGATGGAGGACCCGTTGCTTTCTCCAGGGGCTGTCGGGACAGCACCTGTCAGCCCCTACGTGACATTTGACTCCACGCAGGTGGTTGAATATCTTACACAGCAACTCATCCTCACTCTCGGCGCCTCAAGGGACGATTTAGAGTCGTCAGGAAGTCTTTTGTCGACTGAGAGGCACCCCGATACCATTCAGCGATGTCAGCGTTTTGCTTCAGAAGCTCAAAGGGTCATCTACATACAGAAAGATGTCTCCTCAATCGAAAACGAAGGGACCTTGGCTGAGTCTACGGGTGAGTTTCTGACTGCTACCAAAATTTCCCCGTAAGGGTTGAGCTTATTTGAGCCATAGGTCCAGCCAAATACGTGTACATACTCTCTACGGAACCATCCTTTCGCTCCACTACCTTCGCAACCCTCGCCTTGATGAAGAGTGCGCAGCCGCTAGATCCGACGATATCAGTTTCTTCTCAACTCCAGATCATGAACCTTCCCGGGCCGGCCTCATTCAGCGAGACTTCTGCTGGACAGACTTCATCCTCCTTGCCGTTCGAAATAATGCACTCGATTGTGCATTTGGGATTAGTCCCGTACTTCGACGCATCGACAAGAGGAAAAGAAACGACGGCTGTGGCAAGGCAAAGAACTGATGCCGACGTGAAAACGGGCATCCCCGGCACAAAGAAGAAGATGACGGAGTTTGAGCTTGCTCTTTTGCAGCTGCAGCAGAACACCGAGATCCCAGAATTGTCCTTGTCTTTGCACCCTATCATTCAGGCCGCGCTGGAGGAAGCTCAGGCTCGCAACGTCAAAGTCTCTGTGGATTTCGTTCCTTCGGCCTTACTGAGTGATAGCACCTTTTTGAACAGCTTACAGTCTACGGTGAATGGATGGATCAAATCAATACAGTCAATCACGAGGCTCTCGCGGGATGCAGAAAGTGGGACGGCAACCCAGGAAAGGGACTTTTGGCTCTCAATGGAGACGGCACTAGAGGGCATTGAGCATCAACTTCGCAGCGAAGGCGTTCAATTGACTCTAGAAATCCTCCGTCTGGCCAAGCGATTTCAGGCCACAGTTAGTTTCAGTGCGGACACCGGGCTGAAAGAAGCAACCGAAACTGTCCAGCGATACAATCAATTAATGCGAGATTTTCCACTCGAAGAGCTTCCCTCAGCCACATCCCTAGAGAAGGTTCAGGATGCGCTCAATCAGATCTTTGGTCATTTGAACAAGAAACTACGCGTCTCGCCGTACCCGGTCAAGCGAGCTTTACTTCTAGTTGAAGCCATCTCTGGTGACCTTGATACCAAATTGCGCGAGCTCCTGCAAGGCCGGCCATTGATGCACATGGAGTTTGACGATTTCCGGGCTCTCATGGATGTCGCCGACGCTATGTGGCGTGCTTGGGACGAGAACGTCAAAGAATTTACCAATGTTGCTCGTGAAGTTACTCGGAGGAGAAATGATAGGTTCATTCCCATTAAAATCTCACCCCGCCATCAGAAGCTGCAGGACAGACTGAGTTACGTTATCACCTTTCGGTCCAATCATGAACAGCTTCAGCGAACGATCAAAAAGGTTTTGGGATCGGGCCAGTCTGAAATCGATGTCTTGAGCGGAAAGGCTGCAGATGGACCCGTCATTGTCGAGGAAATTGGCCATGTGGATGCCATCAATGAAGTCAAGGAAGCTTACGCTGCGCTCTGGGATGTTGATGTGCTCGACACTACTGAAGAAGGGACCAAAATTTGGGCCCAGGCCGAGATCACTTATAATGAACGGACATCGCGCGTGGAGAACTCCATTATTGCCCGTCTACGGGATCGTCTGGCCACAACCAAGAACGCAAATGAAATGTTTCGAGTATTTTCAAAGTTCAACGCGCTTTTTGTGAGACCCAAAATTCGTGGAGCCATTGCAGAATATCAATCGGCACTCATTGCCGAAGTCAAAAAGGACATCAACTCCTTGCATGAGCGCTTTAAACAGCAATACGGCCATTCTGAAGCCCATATCATGGCCCAACTAAGGGATTTGCCACCTGTTGCAGGCGCCATTATCTGGGCTCAGCAGATTGAGAGACAACTGGACGCGTACATGAAGAAGGTTGAAGATGTGCTTGGTAAAGACTGGGCCTTGCATGCAGAGGGACAGAAACTGCAAAACGACAGCGACATGTTCCGGAAGAAATTGGACACTCGACCTGTTTTTGAAGCCTGGCTTCACGATGTTAACAGGCGAAACATTTCCATAACAGGCCGCCTCTTTACCGTTTCGAAAAATCGATCTGCGGGCAATGCTCTTGAACTGGCGGTGAACTTCGATCCTCAGGTCATTACACTTTTTAAAGAGGTCCGAAATCTTCTCTGGCGCAACTTCACCGTGCCACACGCTATCAATAATAGCGCAAGAGAAGCAAAACGCGTCTATCCTTTTGCACAGAGCTTGATAGAGACTGTACGCACTTTCAACCAAACGAGCCGTGCCATTGGAGAGATGTCCGATGTTTCCATGCTTCTATTTGGTTATCAAAATGAGGTTCATAATCTAATCTCCAAGGGTCTGCCCTTAAAATGGGAATCATTTGTTCATTCTTACGAAATGCACATCCGCAAGCCTTCCTACCTCCAAGGCGGCGCGCAGAGCTCCGGCAGAAGAGAAAGTAGACATGTCCAGTTCGTCCGAGAATTTGCAACTGCGGTCTCTGTTCTCCAGAGCAAGACCAGCATGCTGTCTTCAATCAATGAGTCTGTTCAGAAGGCGCTCGCTGATTTGCGCGTTTGTCCATACGAAGCCGAATCTTTCAAAAAGCATTTATTCCTCATCCAGTCTGCTGCTGATCAACTCAATCTTGAGAGTTATGTCAATTTGGGTCCTTGGGTCTCGGCTTTGAATGACAAGATCGAGGCTGTTTTATTTGACAGGCTAGAAGAAGCGATTAGTTTTTGGGTTGATTCTTTTAACGGCGCAAATATGGACGAGCTCAATGGAGACGGCTTTGGAAAGGCCACGAACTTTACCGACCCTGATGCAGACGGACGACAACTTCCCAGGATTAGTCACCTTTATCATGAGATCTCCATGCGTAACCAGGTTATCTTTCTCGACCCCCCTCTTGAGTTCGCTCGGGCAAGCTGGCTATCCCAATTGCACGAATGGCTTGCAGTCGTGTGCGACATGCATAAGATTCAATCCTCAAGATATGACATGAGCGTGGATTTGGATAGCTCCGCCACTGCCGACACCCGCTTCACAGCTCTTCCAAGGTACTGCGCTTCGAGCTTATCTCGCGTGTACAGCATTGTGGAAGGCAAGTTTCAGCAGGTGGGTGATTATGTGGACAAGTGGTTTCAATTCCAGTCACTGTGGGACCTACAGTCCGAACAAGTCTATGATATCCTTGGTGAAGATCTCTCGAAATGGCTGCAGCTTCTCTTGGAGATCAGAAAGACTAGGGCGACCTTTGACACCACTGAAGTCAGCCGATCCTTTGGCACCATCACGATTGATTATGGGCAAGTGCAAACCAAGGTCAACGCCAAATATGATCAATGGCAACACGAGATTCTGGTCAGATTTGCTGGACGCTTGGGCAACCGCATGCGAGATAGCTACAACGAGATCGAACAAGCCCGCCGGGATCTTGAGGGTCATTCGCTCGAAGCTTCGTCTACTGCACAAGCTGTCTCGTTTATCACAATGGTTCAGCAATGCAAGCGGAAAGTTAGCATATGGGGGCCCGAAATTGAACTTTTTCATCAGGCTCAGACGACGCTGATACGCCAGCGATACCAATTCCCCAGTAGTTGGCTATCGGTAGACCAGATTGAACAGGAATGGGGTGCTTTGAATGAGATCCTCGAGCGGAAAAGCAAAGTTGTCGAAGATCAAATGGATGCACTGCGAGCTAAGATTACAGCGGAAGCTAAAGTTGTCAACGAAAAGATATCTGAGACCATCTTGCAGTGGAATGAGGAAAAGCCTGTTTCTGGAAGTATTCCACCTGAGGTAGCGTCTAGCACGCTTAATTCCTTCGAAAGCCGTTTAAGCCAGCTACGCTCCGAATCGGACATGGTTGCGAAAGCAAAGGAAGCCCTTGATCTTCCAGAAGGTCCCGAAACTGCTGTTAATCCGGCGCTTGAAGAGGTCCAGGATTTCAAGTCCGTGTGGGCAGCTTTATCGACAATCTGGAAGAGCTTGAATGAGCTTCGAGAGACACTTTGGAGCAGCATTCAGCCGCGCAAACTTCGGCAGTCGCTTGATGGCCTCACAAAAATGACTAAAGATATGCCAAGTCGCATGCGTCAGTATGCTGCGTTCGAGCATGTTCAGGGAATTCTTCGCCAACATGCCAAATCGAACTCTCTGATTGCCGACATGAAGTCCGAGGCAGTTCGAGAGAGACACTGGGTGAAAATATTCAAAGCGCTCAAGCCTGGCAAGAGATTCTCTCTGATTTCTTTGACCTTGGGAGATGTTTGGGATTTGCAACTTGCCTCAACCGAGCCGATAATACGTGATATCATCGTCCAAGCTCAGGGCGAGATGGCGCTCGAAGAATTCCTGAAGCAGGTAAAGGAAACTTGGCAAAATTATTCTCTCGATCTGGTTCATTACCAGAATAAATGTCGTCTTATCCGAGGCTGGGATGATCTCTTCGCCAAGTGTAGCGAGAACCTGAACTCCCTGCAAGCTATGCGACACTCTCCCTATTACAAAGAATTCGAAGACGATGCGTCCGCATGGGAAGATCGGCTCAATCGGGTGCACGTCCTCTTTGATGTCTGGATTGATGTGCAACGACAATGGGTCTACTTGGAAGGTGTCTTTACCGGAAATGCTGACATTAAACATTTGCTGCCTACCGAATCATCTCGCTTTCAAAATATCAACACGGAGTTTTTCACCGTCATGAAAAAGGTTTACAAGTCTCCCTTTGTTCTTGATGTCTTGAATATTTCAGGAATTCAGAAGTCACTGGAGCGCCTTGCAGACTTGCTTACCAAAATCCAAAAAGCACTTGGTGAATATCTGGAGCGAGAAAGAATGTCGTTCCCGCGATTCTACTTCGTTGGAGATGAAGATTTGCTCGAGATTATTGGCAACAGTAATGATACACTGCGCATCTCCAAGCATTTCAGAAAGATGTTCGCCGGTCTGGCCGGTCTTGTAATGGACGAGGAATCTATCATTTCTGGATTCGTATCAAAAGAAGGCGAGGAAGTCAAGCTGAAAAGCGAAATTTCGCTGATTAAGACGCCTAGAATCAATGAGTGGCTTGGCGCGCTGGAAACTAACATGAAACTCACGCTGGCAGAGCTACTAGCGGAAGCGGTAGACCAATTCGGCGCACTCTTTAGGGGAGACGAGATTGATGATGATGCTTTCCGCGAATATGTTTCAGTATTTCCAGCCCAAATTGGCGTGCTTGCAACTCAAGCTGTCTGGACGAATTCTGTCCAAGAAGCATTGGAGAACGGGGGAAGTCAGCTCTCTGGATTGCATGACCAGGTGGCTAAGCTCTTAAGATTGCTGGCCAACACTGTCTTGGGCGAACTGGACACTATTACACGGAAAAAATGCGAACATCTCATCACCGAATGTGTTCATCAACGAGATGTTATTGCCAAGCTTCTCAAATTATCGGCTACCTCTCCTACACATTATATGTGGTTGTTGCAAATGCGATATGTCTATAAACCTGAAGGTGACTTTACGCAACGACTCCAGATCAAGATGGCGAATGCAAGTCTTAGCTATGGGTTCGAGTACCTCGGCGTCACCGAACGTCTTGTCCGTACACCTTTGACAGACCGCTGCTTCCTCACTCTTACCCAAGGCCTTTGCCAACGACTCGGAGGCTCCCCTTACGGCCCAGCAGGTACAGGAAAGACAGAATCGGTCAAGGCATTGGGAACACAGCTCGGAAGATTTACACTTGTGTTCTGCTGCGACGATACATTTGATTTTCAAGCTATGGGCAGAATTTTTCTCGGTATCTGTCAGGTTGGTGCTTGGGGATGTTTTGATGAATTCAACCGGCTTGAGGAGCGAATCTTGTCAGCAGTTTCGCAACAGATCCAAAATATTCAGCTCGGCCTGAAAATAATTGCGGACGATGAGACGGCTCAAATTGAGTTAATTGGAAGACAGCTCGCGGTGAACTCAAACACTGGAATCTTTATTACCATGAATCCCGGCTATGCTGGTAGATCCAACTTGCCTGATAATCTCAAGAAGCTTTTCCGCAGTGTTGCCATGTCGCGACCTGATAAAGAACTGATCGCCGAAGTCATGCTCTATTCCCAGGGATTCAATCAAGCAAAGTCCTTAGCGAAGCAGACCGTACCATTCTTTGATCATTGTTCCAAGCGGCTGTCCAAGCAGGCGCATTATGACTTTGGTCTTCGAGCGCTCAAAAGCGTGCTCATGAGCTCCGGATCCTTAAAACGGGAAAGAATATCCAAAGGAGGAGAATCAGCTGAGCTAGAGGAAGTAGTTGAGCCTCAGATCATGGTCCAAAGCTTACGGGAGACTATTGCACCCAAATTAATTCGAGAAGACGTGGAGATTATGCAAGAAATTGAGAAGGACACGTTCCCTGGCGTGTCCTATGTCCCTGCGGCACTCGAGGATTTGCGTACAGCAATTCTGGAGCTCGCAGAGGCCAATCATCTTGTAGCCAACGACTTGTGGATGACCAAAATCTTGCAGCTTTTTCAAATTCAAAACATCCACCATGGCGTCATGATGGTCGGTGCCTCTGGTTCTGGAAAGTCTGCCGCATGGAAGGTTTTGCTACAGGCTTTGCAGAAAATTGAGGGTGTGGAGGGTGCGTGCCACATCATCGATTCCAAAGTCATGTCCAAGGAAGCATTATACGGGAGCCTCGACGGAACGACTCGAGAGTGGACCGATGGACTGTTCACGAGCATTCTCAGGAGGATAGTTGACAATCTCCGAGGCGAAGATACGAAGAGGCACTGGATTGTCTTTGATGGTGACGTCGACCCGGAGTGGGTTGAGAACTTGAACAGTGTGCTCGACGACAACAAGCTTCTCACGTTGCCAAATGGAGAGCGGCTGGCGCTGCCTCCCAATGTACGGATCATGTTTGAAGTGGAATCACTGAAATATGCAACCTTGGCCACGGTTAGTCGATGTGGAATGGTCTGGTTCAGTGATGATACTGTCACGTCCGACATGATGATTGCCAATTACCTAGACACCCTCAGAGCTGTTCCTTTCGAAGACCTCGATGACGAAACCGTGACAACTGGTCAGGCTATTGACAAGGCCTTGGCGGTGCAAAAACAGTGTGCAGATCTACTTCAGCACTATCTCACTGCAGACGGGTTTATTCAGCAGTGTCTTCAAAAGGCTCGTTCGTACAACCATATCATGGAATTTACGGAGATACGAGTACTTGGCACTCTTTTCTCCCTCCTGAACAAAAGCTGCCGAGCAATGATCGAATACAATATCCAGCACGAATTTCCTCTGGACCCCGAACAAATCGAGTCATATCTTTCGAAGAAACTTTTGCTTTCGTTGGTGTGGTCTTTCACGGGTGACTGCCCACTTGCGGATAGGCAGGCGTTTGGAGAATTCGTGGGACATTCAAGCCCCTCAGGATCGCCTCTCCTTGACGATCGATCCTCTCTCATCGACTTCGACGTGACACTGCCAAAGGCAAGTTGGACCGCATGGCAAGATCAGGTGCCGCATGTAGAGGTCAATACCCACTCCATCACTCAGACCGATGTGGTCATCCCAACTTTAGACACAATTCGGCACGAAGAGGTACTCTATTCATGGCTAGCAGAACACAAGCCATTGCTACTGTGTGGTCCTCCCGGGTCCGGAAAGACAATGACGCTCTTCAGCGCCCTCAGGAAGTTGCCTAACATGGAAGTTGTGGGACTCAACTTCTCAAGCGCAACGACCCCGGAGCTCATCATTAAGACCTTTGAACAATACTGCGAATATCGCAAGTCTCTCAATGGTGTTATACTGTCTCCCACTCAAATCGGGCGATGGCTCGTTATTTTCTGCGACGAAATCAACCTGCCAGCTCCGGATAAATATGGAACCCAGCGCGTCATCTCTTTCCTGCGACAGCTTGTCGAACAAAATGGGTATTGGAGAACTTCAGACAAGACGTGGGTCACGCTGGATCGCATCCAATTCGTCGGTGCATGCAATCCCCCTACTGATGCTGGCCGTACTCCTCTTGGTGCTCGATATCTGAGGCACGCTCCTCTAATCATGGTTGATTATCCCGGAGAGCAATCACTGCTCCAAATTTACGGGACTTTCAACAGTGCCGTTCTCAAAGTCATCCCAACACTTCGTGGGTATGCAGACGCCCTCACGAGATCCATGGTTGAGTTTTATCTAGAATCACAGAAGCGATTCACTCCCAAAATCCAGCCACACTATGTATACTCGCCTCGTGAACTTACAAGATGGGTCCGAGGCGTCTATGAGGCAATTCGCCCATTGGAGACACTTACCGTGGAGGGACTGGTCAGGATTTGGGCACATGAGGCATTGCGCCTCTTTCAAGACAGGCTTGTTGCGGAAGATGAACGCCAGTGGACAGAAGATAGCGTACGAGAGATATGCCTGAAACACTTCCCCACAATAGATGAGGATAAGGCGCTGGGTGGCCCAATACTATTTTCGAACTGGTTGTCCAAGAATTACGTACCGGTAGATCGAGAGGAACTTCGAAGCTTTGTCAAGGCTCGACTCAAAACGTTCTGCGAGGAAGAGGTTGATGTTCCGCTTATCCTATTCAACGAAGTTCTCGATCATGTGCTGCGGATTGATCGGGTTTTCCGTCAACCTCAGGGTCATCTCATCCTCATTGGAGTTAGCGGGAGCGGAAAAACGACACTTTCACGCTTTGTTGCTTGGATGAATGGCCTAAAAGTTTTCCAAATCAAAGTTCATGGCAAGTATTCAGCTGAAGATTTTGATGACGATTTGCGAGACGTCCTTCGGCGCTGCGGCTGCAAAGGAGAAAAGATATGTTTCATCATGGATGAATCAAATGTCCTAGACTCGGGCTTCCTCGAGCGGATGAATACGCTTCTTGCTAATGCCGAAATTCCCGGACTGTTCGAGGGTGACGAGTTTGCCACGTTAATGACAGCCTGTAAGGAGGGAGCCCAACGCCAGGGACTGCTTTTAGATTCACAAGAGGAGCTGTACAAATGGTTCACCCAGCAGATTGTCAAGAATCTTCACGTCGTTTTTACGATGAACCCGCCTGAGGAAGGTCTATCATCTAAGGCAGCTACCAGTCCTGCTCTCTTCAACAGATGTGTCCTCAACTGGTTTGGTGATTGGTCTGATCAAGCACTTTTCCAGGTGGGCTCAGAATTAACACAGTCCATTGACCTGGATAAGCCAAATTTTACCGCTCCGGACAGCATCCCTGTAGCCTACCGTGGCTTGCAGTTGCCTGCTTCTCACCGCGAGACTATTGTAAATTCAATGGTCTATATCCATTACTCGCTACAGAAATTCAACGCCCGTCTTCTGAAGCAACACCATAAGAAGACTTTTCTCACACCAAGACATTTCCTTGATTTCGTTGCGCAATATGTCAATCTCTACAATGAAAAGCGGGAGGACCTTGAGGAACAACAACGCCATCTCAATGTCGGTCTTGATAAGCTTAGGGATACTGTAGAGAAGGTCAGAGACTTGCGGACGAGCTTAGCTGAGAAGAAGAGCCAGCTTGAGAGAAAGGATGCTGAGGCCAACGAGAAGCTGCAACGGATGGTTGCTGATCAGCGGGAGGCCGAACAGCGCAAGGCGACTTCTCTTGAGATACAGAGCGCTTTGGAAAAGCAGGAGAAAGAAGTCGCCTCGCGGCGGGAAGTTGTGCTCAGAGATCTCGCAAATGCGGAACCCGCGGTCTTGGAGGCGCAAAAAAGTGTGAGCAATATCAAGAAGCAGCACTTGACCGAAGTGAGGTCCATGGCTAATCCGCCCGCCGGTGTTAAACTTGCTTTGGAATCCGTTTGCACCCTTCTTGGTCACAAGGTTGACAGCTGGAAGACTATTCAAGGAATTATCAGGAGAGACGATTTCATTGCCACCATTGTCAATTATGATAATGAGAGGCAAATGACTCGAAGCCATAGAATCAAGATGCGCAACGAGTTCTTGTCAAAAGAAGACTTTACTTACGAAAAGGTGAACAGAGCTAGCAAAGCTTGTGGTCCGTTGGTGCAGTGGGTGGAAGCCCAAGTGAACTATTCCGAAATATTGGATCGCGTGGGTCCTCTCAGGGAAGAAGTCGGGCTTTTGGAAGAACAGGCATTGCAGACAAAGGCTGAAGCGCAAGCTATTGAGAACACAATCAGCAGTCTGGAGACGAGCATTGCCATGTACAAGAACGAGTATGCAGCTTTGATTAGTGAGACACAGGCCATTAAATCTGAAATGTCTCGGGTGCAATTCAAGGTTGACCGGAGCGTTCGCCTGCTTGACAGCCTTTCATCAGAACGAGCTCGATGGGAGGAGGGCAGCAAGTCGTTCGAGACGCAGATTGGAACGCTCATTGGCGATGTACTGATGGCAGCTGCCTTTTTGGCATACAGCGGTCTGTACGACCAGCAGTTCCGAAAGGCAATGATGGAGGATTGGCTGCACCAGCTCTATCTCTCAGGTATTGAGCACAAGCCGCACAACCCAGTCACGGAATATCTTTCTACCGCAGACGAGAGACTTCATTGGCAAGACAACTCACTCCCGGTTGACGACCTTTGCACCGAGAACGCCATTATGCTTGAACGATTCAACCGCTATCCGTTGATTATTGATCCCTCTGGAAGAGCTACTGATTTCTTGCAAAAGAATACTGGTGGCAAAGCTCGCCTTACTGTCACCAGCTTCCTTGATGATTCTTTCACGAAACAGCTAGAAAGTTCTCTTCGATTTGGCAATCCAATCCTGATACAAGATGCAGAATACCTAGATCCTGTTTTGAATCATGTATTGAACAAGGAGTACCAAAAGACTGGAGGAAGAGTTCTTATCCAACTCGGGAAGCAGGAGATTGACTTTTCACCGTCCTTCAAGCTCTATCTTTCTACACGTGACCCCTCTGCAACATTTGCACCGGACATTTGCAGTCGGACGACCTTTGTCAATTTCACAGTCACGCAAAGCAGTCTACAAACTCAGTCCCTCAACGATGTTCTCAAATCCGAGCGTCCTGATGTCGACGAACGACGATCGAACCTCATCAAACTGCAGGGAGAGTTCAAGGTCCACCTTCGCCAGCTCGAAAAGAAGTTGCTCCAGGCGCTTAATGAATCTCGCGGAAACATTCTTGATGATGACAATGTCATTGAGACACTCGAAACCCTGAAGAAGGAGGCCGCGGAAATTTCCAACAAGATGGCCGATACAGAAGGGGTCATGACTGAGGTGGAAAACATTACTTTGCAGTATAATATCGTTGCCCGATCTTGCAGCGCCATCTTTGCTATCTTGGAACAGCTGCATCACCTCAATCACTTCTATCAATTTTCGTTGCAGTATTTCATCGACATCTTCAATACTGTCCTTCGTCACAATGAACGTTTGGCGGGCGAAAGCAATCATAATTCTCGCATTGATATCATTCTGCGAGACTTGTTTGTGACCACATTCCAGCGAACGTCGTTGTCATTGCTGCAGAAAGATCGAATTACGTTTGCGATGCTTTTGGCTCAAGCGTCTCCGTTCAAGATGGAGAAGGGATTAATCGATACCATCCTCGATCCCGGCCTGGAGGGCATTGATGTCTCAACCGAGAGTCATCGAAAGGAAGAGGCTATGTCAACTGCTTTGCGCAATAGGCTGCTCAAGGACCACCTTTCAATTGTAACTGCTGAGAGTTGGGAGAAATTCTTTACAGAAGAGCTAGCGGAAAAGTTTGTGCCACCTGCCTGGTCTAGCGACACGTCATTGCTAGATCAGTGTCTCCGATCTCTGTTTTTGATCAAAGTCTTCCGGCTTGACCGGTTTGTGCCTGCAGCGGAGCGGTTCGTCATTGCAGTATTTGGTGATAATCTGCTTAATGGAGGAGCTGGAGACCTTGAGGAAGTGCTTGGACAGGTCTCCGCTACCACACCGATTGCGTTAAGCTCCAGTCCCGGATTTGATGCAAGCTACCGAGTAGACGGCCTTGTGGAACGGAGCGACGCGACTTGCACCAATATTGCCATGGGATCCAGTGAAGGACTTACGAGTGCAGACAAGGCCATCAGCAATGCTGCTGTGACTGGATCCTGGGTCTTGATAAAGAACGTGCACCTTGCGCCGACGTGGCTGCAGAGCCTTGAGAAGCGATTAGATGCACTCAAGCCCCATCAAGACTTTAGGCTCTTCTTGTCCATGGAAATCAGTCCAAAGATTCCTGTCAATCTCTTGCGTGCCTCGAGGATCCTCATGTACGAGCAGCCAGCCGGTATCAAGGCCAACATGAAGGATTCTTTGTCGTCGGTATCTCTTCGCGCAGCCAAGCGGCCAGTCGAGCGAGCTCGTATCTATCTTCTCTTGTCATTTTTGCACGCCGTTGTGCAAGAGCGACTGCGCTACGCCCCTACGCTCGGATGGAAGAGCTTCTGGGAGTTCAATGACAGCGATGTAAGTTTACCCAGTAGCCCTGTAGCCTGTTCGTTGAGATTATCGAGTTAACATGTTGCAGTACGAATGCTCGGCTTTTATCATTGACCGATGGGTGGAGTCCGTCGCACTTGAGCGATCAAACGTGGCCCCTCAGAAATTCCCTTGGGAGATGATTCAAACGCTTGTTGGCGAAACATATGGTGGCAAGATTGACGACGAGGAAGACTTTGGGCGTCTCACCGAGCTAGTGAAGGCCATCTTGACGCCGGCTGCATTCGAACACGAGCACAAGCTTGTTCCTGACTCACCCGACTCGACGGGCGAAGAGTCTGAAGAAGGGGATGGACTGAGCGTTCCTGAAGGCACCGATATGAAGGACTTTTTGGGATGGGTGCAGCGTCTGCCCGAGCGTGAGCCACCGACATATTTGGGTCTGCCAGCCAATGCAGAGAAGCTGTTGCTCGTTGGCCACGGCAAGAATATGATTGGCAATCTCAAGGAAATCACCGATATGCTCGACGAGGGAGAGCAGTTGATGGTGGAGTCATAAGAGGAAATATTCAAATAAGTGTGTTTACAACATTAGAACATTACCGTCTTTGCTTTTTTTTATGCATTGCCTTGATTCTTTAGTTTTATATGTTTATTTTGCGAAGTATTAGCATACATGGCGAGGATGATTGCTCATTGCATTGCGGATTGATTGTTCGTTTGGTTGATATGACACTTGATTGAGCATGGCCGCAGATATTTTTCAGCATGATAGGCATTGTTGGTGACAGTCGATAGATATTTGAAGAGCTTAGAGCAGCATTGCCATGTAGATTTGTTTCGATGGGCGACTTTTAGTATTAAACTCTTATGAGCATTTTCAGCCACGGAATAATAGCGTACAACTATTTCTATTCCTCTTGCGATATTTCTCGATTTTCACTATATCGTGACATGACCTAGAATTAGACAGAAGTGTAAAGCAGTTATGAGCATTGCTTGCAAAGGGAGACTCGGGATTCAGGTAAAGAGCTACAATGAGGGTGTAACTATCACCGGAAATACCCCACATTAGCGGCCCCTCGGGTTAACGGAGACAACGGGAACAGTTGAGAAATCCCCTCGTCTTCGTCCTACCACCAAAGAGAGACCCCACACGACATCGGAACAACTACTCCCATGGAAATATCATAAATATTCCACGCCACACCTTTTTTTACTCTGGATCAGCTCGCCTTCACCTACAACGGGTATTCGCCCTGAGAATCTTGTCAATCATTTACAAAGCCGAAGTCTTCTTTGCCCCCTGCGCAGCTATCCCTTCACCTTATTCCATCTTATTGCCCGGAAGAATTATGTTTATGACGGTAAGTGAGAGAGAAAGATCTGCATTAATACTCCGACCCTGGGTTTCCCTGCGTCTAGACTCCCCAAGATTATCAAATACCCCGTTTACCTAGCCACACTTCGATCCTATTTATATACGTTATACAATCTTCTAGAAAGCCGGAGGAATGATAATAATAACGATAACTAATACGTGCGCGCCGGAGACACAGCTACCAGACCTACTTTCTTAACATATACTACAATACCTTACCTACCTAACCTACCGGCCGTTAAACTTCCGCACAACCCCTCCCCTCCCCGCCGGGACGCAGATCCACCAGCACCCAGCGCAAACCATGCACTTCATTCCTCCGCCGAACCCGCATACCTTGCTTCCGCCCTTACTCGCCTGCCTGCCTACCGCATTTGCATCGCCGCGCCCGCCGCCGGCTTTACTTCCTCTCCTCTCCCCGATCCTGCGACAGCGCGTGCAGCTACTTTCTGGGATCGCGACAAACAGTACAGACCCCTCTCAGCCAGAGTCCTGGCTCGCGCTGCTGTCATGGGACGAGCGCAAAGCGTCGAAGCTCGCGCGGGCCGTCGAGTCCGATGTGTTTGAGCTGCATCCCGTGTCCGGCACAGTCGAGTTTACAGACGTCGAAAACATACTCTACCGCCGCGTCGACGAGGAGACGCTGCATGCGAAAGTCGGGGTCCCGGAGCTCGATCTCGTCGTGATATATCTCTGGTGTACGGGCGACGAGATTGGCGGCGGAGATGGGTGGAGGGTTACGGACGTGGGTGTGTTTGAGGATTTTGAGGGGAGTACGTCTACCTCTACAGGTACAGCTACAGCTACGTCTGGATCAAGACAAGGGCAGTGGGCAGAAAGTATAGCCCAAGCAGACGAGAAAGCGGCAGAATATGCGATAAAAGAGACGCTTGCCGTGCCGAACGGCAGTACGATAGCACCGCAGGACGAAGAAAGAGAATTAGAAGGAGATGACGACGACGACGACGACGACGACGACGACGACGACGACGATTACTGGGCGCAATATGACCAGACGCCAGCGGGGGGACAATCGCCCATGAACGACGGCATATCTCCTGGCCCTGGCCCTGGTCCGGTAGCTGGTCCTGCTTCTTCAACACACGCACAAGGAACGAGTCGCGCACGGAGCGCGTCATCCGAAGCAGATTATTTCGAGAGATACAACGACGTGCAGCCCGCGCTGGACGATCACGATCCCGACGAGGAGGAGGCGGCGGAAGGCCTGAACGGGCTTGGCGGAGCCGCAGGCGGAGCCCTTGGAGAAGGAGGAAGACGAGGAGGAAGAGGGACACATGAGTCGACACTACGCGGCGGAGAAATCGAGCGTGCCCTTCGCTCGGAAAGTCAGTCTCAGCTACCCGCTGATGATGACGCTACTTCAGCGAGGCAAAGAGGAGATACAGTCACGGACGAGGATAGAGTGGGTCGAAACACTCGAATACCAGAGCTCAATCATCCCCGGCCAGCGTCCGCATCGTCGTCGTCGGCCTCGTCGTCGCGGCGGTCGAATACCGTTGCGCGGCTGGAAGACACGGCGGAGTCGCAATCGCGCGTGGAGCTGGGGGTGAAGCAGCATATCAGCACGAGTTTCAAGGCGCTGTTCAGACTTGCGGCGAGCGCGGGCATTGAGAAGCAGGAGTTTAAGCGGATCGTGCGGACGGAGTTGGATACGCTTGATTTATGGGTCGATGAGTAACTTTGGATATGAGAGGGGAGGGGGCCAGGGCCATTTGGTTGTGGGATATGACGAGGGGGAAAGGCATTTTATGATTTTTGTATACCATTTTGTGTACCAGTGGGCAAGATAAGGAGCTAGAAATGAAATGAAATCTCATCCTGATATAAACACCTGAAAAGTGTGGTGTGTGTGCGAAAGAGTAATGTGCAAAAGTATCAGGGAAGCGAAATAGATGAGACCGATTGGGAAATGTACAAATGGTATTATATAGTCTATGGATATGTATGTATGGAAGAAAAAGATCTTGTACATGAAAAGGAAGTCTTGGGTCAGGGAGAAACCCAAAAGCCCGTTAGGGATATGGGCATCCAAGAGGAACAGGGTTTAGTCAAATGTAAAGGCTGGGGCTATGGTTCAGGTGTAAATTAAAGGACCCCTGAGCCGGTTACACAAGAAATTATTCCTTCTCCTGAAGGAACTCGACGACGGCTGCGTGACGCACGATTAGCGTATGTTTATCAAGCATGCAGAAACAGAAAATGAGAGTAAATAAGGGCAAGGGTACGAAAAGCAGGGGAGGGAGTGGGCATACATACCCTGTCTAAAGGCTTCCGGGTTCTCAGAAATGACCCAGTGGCCAGACTCCACATCTCTCAATTCAAACAAGGGAAAGAATCTTCCAATCACCGGAAGGACCTCATCGGGAATATAATGACTCCTGGTGCCGCGGATGAAGAGTGCCGGTTTGTTATACCGAACCTCATCGGGATTCTTGAATGGGAAGTCACCCATGTTGTCCAAGGACGAAGCCAAGATGGACAAGGGGTTGCGGAATTTAAGCTGCGGGGAACCTGGCTCTCGGATAAGGTTGGACAGGAGGAATTGGCGAACGGGCAGAGACTATGCGGGGAACAAGTCAGCTTCAATAAGCAACCCCTTTTCTCGATTTCGAAACGAACCTCTTCAAATTCGGACATGATTTTATCGGCTTCTGATGCCTTGGTGACATTGGCGTCTTCGACCTTTTTCATTCCTCGTACGTAATTCGGAAAATCAGCTCGTAAAGCTGCATCGACAGGTGCGTTGTCCACGGCGATGACGTTTTCAACAATATCCGGGGACTGCAGGGCAACAGTCAGCGCAGTCTTGGCGCCCCTTTGATTCCGTCAGCATATTTCTCTCACACAATCTCCAAGAAATAGAAATGTTGTACGCACATTGAGTGCCCAATGAGTGAGACGCTGCCCAGTTTGTGGTCTTGAACGAATGCCTCGACATCATGCGCCATTGCAGTGTAATCGTGTTTCTCATTGTGTTCTGCATCTCCGTGGTTTCGCAAGTCCTACGTAGAGAGGTCAAATGATTAGCTTAACCTTGGAAAATGCTGCCACGTCAATTGCTTTATTTTCCGTACCACTGCATAAATGGTGCGGTTCAAGTCTCGCGCGAGCACCCTGGATATGGTCAGCGACACAAGCACACCATGAGGAAGACGCTTCGTTTCGAGGAGAAGACTGACTTACTAATGCTCCGATTGTTCCTCTTGGAGCCGAATAGTCCATGCATGAAAATGATGGGGGGTTTTGGGCCGGACGGGGATGATGTCGGAGGATCATGTCGATCGTAGGCGAGAGGTACAGTTTGGGAAGCAAAACCCCGCGAGAGCATCAATCGCGGGGAAACATTTAGTATCCGCGGCAGGGAGATTGCCGGTCGCATCAAAAGACAGGCCATTTTGTCAATGATCCTGGAATTGAATATGTGCAATTGATGTTTTGAACGTCGAATTTCCTCTTCTCAAACCAAATGCTGTTGAAATTACGCAGATCCCGTCGATGATTGCAGGGGTTACCCGATGATGGAATGATAAGACTTAGATAAGAGAAATCATGGCAAGTTCCGTAGACTAAAACTCTCCGAGACTCCTCCGTATCGGAGTACTCGGTACGCTAACGTCAGGACGTCTGCGCGTAATAGCAGCAGCCATCGTGACAGTCTCAGGTGCAGGTGAGTATCGAAATACTTGATCTATCTAGATCCAGACATGAACAACGAACAATCCTCTCTCTTCTTTCAACCCATGCTACGAATTCAATTCAGGGATTTGTTTGATGTGCACGTCACTGAAAGCAGATTGTGTCGAGCCGTTGTGCAGTTTTCCCGACGGGAAATTGAGCGATATGGATATCGGAAGGGATTTGGCCAATCAGAGAACGAAAGCATAAGCGGCACGCTGAGTGGAGAGGGAACCGGGTTTAGGCGATTGAAGCCGTACGAGGTAGAACCTGGTAGGTTGTTTTGCTAGGGAGAACCAAGGTACACGGTACTTCAACGGTCCGCCCTAACTCTACTCAGGGCTTCAAGCGATCGACTAATCCTGAAATGGCCAAGGAAAATTTGCAAAAGAAAGGGCAAAAATCTCCACGTAGAACGTAATGGCTGACCTCCTCCAGTAAGAAGAGAAGTGTGCACGAGGAGAGAAAAAAAAGAGGGTTGACACGCACACCGGATCTCATACAATCGAGATTAGTCCGAAGACGGCCCATACGACACTGGCGAGGGTTCGTCTGGGCGACACACTACCACTACAAGTATGAGACTTTTCCGCATCTCCCTCCCTCTCAGGAAAACCCAACTCCGTAGACGTCTGAGCTTCGGCCAGCATCACGGGTTCCTCAATATAACATTATGAGTCTCGTGTTTCCGTCGTGAATTCCAATCCGTTACTTTCCTTTTCAAATCCGTCCCTTCGATTCTCCGTCCGTAGATATCGCTCAGAAGTTGCTCAACACTTGAGGGCGTATATCCGACCATCATCCAATCTTTCGTGGACCATCATTTGTGCAAGACTTTGACGAAAGTCATAAAAGCCTCAAGGAAGCTTGAAACAGCTTTTACAAGAGGTTCTAGGTTTGGTAAGTTACTTTTTACGTTCGGGCGTACCGTCGTCGTTGGCGGGCTCCAACCAAATTTTGGAGCCTCGTTTTTTTCTTCTTAATATGATGTTTTCCGATTTCAATAGATGTTAGACTTCCGAGATCACTTCTGCGGATACCATTACAACGGTTCTGATTCACTTTCAACTTTTTCTTGGCATTGAATTTTTTCACTGTTGTGCCTATCGAACACATGGGCTAACCGGCTGTGTTTATCAGAGATCACCTATCGAAAAGTCGTTGTGCCCCGCCTCTTCTGTACAAGATGTGCGGTATTCTCGCCTTGATTCTCGCCGACCCGTCGTCGACGTCGGCCGCCGCCGAACTGCACGAGGCCCTGTACCTTTTGCAACACCGAGGACAGGATGCTTGCGGTATTGCCACTTGCGCCGCTGGTGGCCGCTTCTACCAGTGCAAAGGCAATGGCATGGCCTCCAAGGTCTTCCATGATGGTGCTCGTGTCGCCGATCTCCCTGGTTGGATGGGTTTGGGACACTTGCGGTATCCCACCGCCGGCACCAGTGCCAACGCAGAGGCTCAACCCTTTTACGTCAACAGCCCGTACGGTATCAGCTTTGCTCACAATGGCAATCTGGTTAATGCCGATGAGCTGAAGCGTTACCTCGACTATGAGGGTCACCGCCACATCAACACGGACAGCGACAGCGAGCTAATGCTGAACGTGTTTGCAAACGAGCTGAACGAGACCAAGAAGGCCCGTGTCAATGCCGAAGACCTCTTTGCCAGCCTGTCCAAAATGTATCAGCGATGTGTTGGTGGCTGGGCATGTACTGCCATGCTTGCCGGCTTTGGTCTGCTCGGTTTCCGCGACGCTTTCGGCATTCGTCCTTTGGTTCTCGGCTCTCGTCCCTCGGCCAGCGGCCAGGGTCTGGATTACATGATGGCCTCCGAGTCGGTTGCTCTGGACCAGCTTGGTTTCGGAGACCACCGGGATATCCTGCCCGGTGAGGCCGTCATCATCCAGAAGGGCTGCGCGCCTGTCTTCCGCCAGGTTCAGAAGCAGCTCGCCTACACGCCTGATATCTTCGAGTACGTCTACTTTGCTCGTCCTGACACCATCATGGACGGCATTAGCGTGCACCGAAGCCGTCAGAATATGGGTTACAAGCTTGCCGATACCATCCGCCGGGAGCTTGGACCTGAGATCCTCAAGACCATTGACTGCGTCATTCCTATTCCCGAAACTTCCAACACCTCGGCCCTTAGTGTCGCTCAGTATCTCAATATCCCTTACTCCCAGGCCTTTGTGAAGAACCGATACATCTTCCGTACCTTTATCATGCCCGGCCAGGAGGCGCGTAAGAAGGGTGTGCGGAGAAAGTTGAATGCTATGCGTCCCGAGTTTGAGAACCGCAACGTTTTGCTCGTGGATGACAGCATCGTCCGTGGCACGACAAGCCGAGAGATTGTCACCATGGCGCGGGAAGCTGGCGCCAAGAAGGTCTTCTTTGCCAGTTGTGCCCCTCCCATTACGTATGTGCATTAGTTCCCTCCTCCTGTGGATTGACATGAATATGAATACTAACGGTCGCCAAAGGCACGCTCACATTTACGGTATCGATTTGGCTTCGCCCTCTGAGCTCATTGCCTACCACCGGGACGCCAAGGCGGTTGCTGAGCACATTGGCGCCGACGCAGTCATCTACCAGACTCTCTCCGACCTCAAGGAGTCTTGCGCAGAGCTGTCGCCTCGAGGAAAGGAGCAGGATTTTGAAGTCGGTGTCTTCTGCGGCAAGTACGTGACACCGGTGGAACAAAGCTACTTTGACCATCTCGAGCGGGTCCGGGGTGAGAGCAAAAAGCTGAAGGTCATGGAGAGCGCACGTGAGGCAGTTATGCACGGTGTCGCCAGCCTCGAACAGCTCCAGATCACCACCAATGGTGTCGAGGTTAACGGCAAAGGGAAAGTCGTTCCTGCGACTGGTCCTCTTGCTGCCGCCAAGCTGGCGGACGGCCGGGGTCTGATCGACAGCAGCAGCGCCGGAACACCTGCCACAGAAGAGCCTCTGCAGGTCAGAGAGCGTATGGATATCAGTATCCACAACTTTGGAGATTATCATGAACGGACGTACGGGTGAAAAGTGATATACCCTAATGCTGTTCATTTTTCTTTTTTATCTCAGGTGGGCTTTCTGATTTCACAACTTGTCAATTTTTTTTTTTTCTCATCGCATAACAATTTTTGACATGATATGCATGTCGATTTACCATCCTGATAGCACGAGATGCATGGTGGCATAGTCTCCCTATCTATAGAAAAGGGATTTTATTTTGAATATTCCGCGACAGATGAAATCCTGTCATGACTACGATACGATAGAAAAAGAAATACGAAAAAGATGATGAATCACTTTCACATCCCATGTTATATCTGTGACTGCATTCACTCTCAACTCCAACCCATCATGTCTATCACAGGTTGTCCTTTCGGCAAATCCCCCAGAGCTCTTGGAAATTTTCATGAATTGAATATCCTAGAATACAGCAACTCATGTCTCCCTACCCACAAGTCCATGGCGGGAATGACCTGTCCCGTATCATCAACATGGCAGTCCCACGCCTCACGCAAGTGCACTTGTAGGTTCTTTTGCACAGCTTGACTCGCTAGCATTGTTTGTGCCTGGTAGGGCCCCATGACGCCCGCACGAACCGCTGCACTGATTACAGCCCGTACATGGCCAAACAGATAGACATATGCGGCTTGGTACGCGCTCAGGCCCATGGCGAGACTGACTGCTCCAAATACCGGCGCAAAGTGTCCGCTGGGGTAAAAGACCTCTTCTTCTTCTTCTTCATCGTCTTCTTCTTGTCCATCATTTTGACCGCGGTTTTTATTGTTGGTGTTGGTGTTGGTGTCACGCTGTGTAGAGGAACCACCGACAGAACCGACGCCCATTCCGCCAGATTTGACTTGTTTGTGAAACGTCTCTAGGATTAAGACTAGTCTGGATTTCCTTTTATCGGGTTTTATCCGCGTGGCTTCAGCATGTCCATCAGTCTCAAGGGTTCCACCGGATCCATCGGTCTCAAGGGCTCCACCGGTTTCACCGGTTCCGCCTGCCACCACGACATTGCTCTTGAATGCCTTATCCCACACACCCAGCAGTGCTCTGCCCTGTGCGATGCTTGCTCTTCGCGCAACTGTACACGGCGTGCTCGCATCGAGATTATTATCCAGCGTCACAAGGCTCGTGGGGTCGCGGTATCCGGATAACAGATAGGGCAGTGTAGCCTGGGCGACAGAGTGCAGGGACAGGTCGAGGAAGCGGTCGAAATGGGCGAGTTTAGAAATGCGCTGTCCTGGAACTAAACTAAAGCTGTGTCAGAACAGGGAAATGAGATATCGGGGTTTTTTGAGGGGTAACAAATGGGGTTTCAAAAAAGGGAACGCAGAATAAAGGTGGATGTTGGGGCGGACATGGGGGACAGGACGGGAAACAGACTCAGATCGATGATGAGCTAAATAAGATTCTAATCCGCTGGAGAATGCAAAAGAGCCCAAAGGCAGGGCGGAATCGGATAATAAGAGCAGAGCATGTTCGGACGTCGCTGGAGATAGTGACAAAGATAGAGGTGGAAGGTCGAAGCTCAGCTCCGGTGGTGTTGTCGAATTGGTGGTAATGGTGGTGGTGGTGGCATGATTGTGGTCGTTAATTTGGATGGAATTTAATTTGGATTTTGCAGCGGCAAGACTGGCTTCGAGTCGTGCAATCTCGTCCCGGATATCTTCTTCCATGGGTTGATTGAATTGTCTGGGGTATATGTATGAACCTGCGATAAACATGTGGGGTGTGAGAAGGGTGTGTAACTATAAAGTCGGAGGAGAGCGGCGATAGATCCGATATGGGAATAATCTTATCTTGCCGAGACTGGAGAAGATTTCTCCGGTCGGACAAACTTACCTGCAGCAATCACAGCAAAGTACGGAAGTACCTCGCCTTAGGTGTAGATAGGACAAGGGACAAGGGGCAAGGGGTGACTCAAAAAGCTACGACCACGGAAGAAGCCGCCAATAGGTGACTTGACTCGATTGACCATAAAATCAAAAAAGTCAAATCGCATCATTTGCCTCACCTCCCAACTTGATCCTTGAACCATTTTCTCGTCTTTTCATTTCCATTGTTGAAGGAAGGAAATCAAAAAGTGTTTTTGTTGGAAACAATTATCCATTTCGAATCCTCGTCACTTCATACATATCGTATCATATAAGATAAAAGCATCGTCATCATGCCTCATACAACATTGCATCTCCGTTCGGAAGACAAGCCATTGGAGCACCGCTCAGCTTGTACGTTCCATGCTCAAGGCTGACTTAGAATGTAATCTGGTTGCATAACACTGACAATGTTGTAGTGACCCCCTCTACGACCAAGGCGCTGCTTGACGCCGGCTATGCTGTCAACATTGAGCGCAGCCCCGAGCGTATCTTTGACGATAGCGAATTCGAAAAGGTCGGCGCAACTCTTGTACCTGAGGGCTCATGGCCCAATGCGCCCGCGGACCACATTATTGTCGGTCTCAAGGAGCTGCCTGAAGAGACTTGTACGTATATTTTCCCCCATTGCCCTCTGGGGGCCTTCTTACATCCTCGATTTCCGCTTCTTCACAATTTCCCCAGTGCCTGTGTTCCGCTAACAGCGACAAAAGTCCCCCTGAAGCACACCCACGTGCAATTCGCGCACTGCTACAAGAACCAAGGCGGCTGGGCTGAAGTTCTGTCTCGATTCCCCCGCGGCGGCGGTACCCTTCTCGACCTTGAATTCCTGACCGATGCTTCTGGCCGTCGCGTTGCGGCATTCGGCTTCCACGCTGGATTCGCCGGCGCCGCGCTCGCCATCCAGGCATGGGCGTGGCAACTGACGCACCCGGGCGAGCCGATGCCGTCTGTGAGCAGCTACGCCAACGAGGGACTGCTGATCAAGGACATCAAGGCGGCCACGGACGCTGGTGCGCAAAAGATTGGCGGCCGCAAGCCCCGCGTATTGGTCATTGGCGCCTTGGGCCGCTGCGGACGCGGCGCCGTCGATCTGTGCCGCAAGGCTGGTATCCCCGAGTCGCAGATCCTCAAGTGGGACATGGCGGAGACGGCCAAGGGCGGCCCGTTCCCGGAGATTGTCGAGAGCGACATTTTCGTCAACTGCATCTACCTGAGCCACAAGATCCCGCCCTTTATCGATGCCACCTCTCTCGCCTCGCCCAGCCGCAAGCTCTCCGTCGTCTGCGACGTCAGCTGCGATACCACCAACCCGTTCAACCCCGTCCCCATCTACTCTGTCAACACTACGTTTGATAACCCCTTGGTCCCTGTCCCCGTGAATGGGCCCCCCGCGCTCTCCGTCATCAGCATCGACCATCTCCCCTCCTTGCTGCCCCGTGAGGCCTCCGAGGCCTTTTCCACCGACCTCTTGCCCAGCTTGCTCCAGCTCAAGGACCGCAAGACCGCCCGTGTCTGGAAGGAGGCCGAGCAGCTGTTTGACGAAAAGGTCGCTTCCCTGCCAAAGGAGTATAGGTATGTGCTTTTTGTCCACTTTCTTCCTTTATCTGTCTTTTGTCCCTTGTCCTTTTTTTCATCTTATCGCCCCTCCATCCATCCATCCATCCATCATCCATTCCTACCACGAATAACAAACTAACAAACCCTCTACTGTAGAACCGCCTTCAAGGCCCGCTTGTAAACTATATTCACGTCCTATCCCTCTTTCTCTCCCTTGAGCTTAGAATATCTAGACGTTTTAGGGAAAACCCCTTTCAAGCCATGTATTAACTCATCTTAATGCCGTATTATCTTTTTATTTTTTCTATTCTTCTAGCAATATTCTCATAGCCTTTATCCCGTGTTCTTTGGGAAGGGTACAATGGTACCGCACATTTAGATTTTTTTCCGGGTTTCATATCATTTTTCTCCTTTTTTGATATTACTCTCTTTCTTAAATGAAAAGTTTCATAGTCTGGCCTGCCCAGGCTCCTGGTTACTTTGACAGTATCATGTATTATTTTCTATTTGATCATGAAATTTATCAAATTTTCAAACAGTCATATCGTCAAACCATTAATCGTTAAAAGTAGTATCTAATTTGCTATCGTCATAAACACCCATGGCCAAGTATCATACCATCATACTATGGACTTGAGATGATCTAAATGTCCTATTGCCGTTCCATATTTCCATCCAACTCCACGCTTGAAGGTAAAAAACTATCGAGAAGCAGGATTTAACAAGGCTAAGCGAGACGCTTTAAGAACTGGAGAACTGGAGAATTGGATATCCGAGCTAGTATCAAATCATGCGTAAAATGCACAATGCACATCCACATCCACATCCACATAAACTGCTATAAAGTGCTAACCACATCGACAGGACCGGAGAACAGAAAAGCCGGGGATCGAAGAACAACCGAAATCAGAGAGCCGGGAAACTGAAGAACCGGTAAATCGAGGAACCGGCATCTGAAAAATTGCAGCCATAGGAAGCTAATGACGAATGGCACGCGTGCTGGCACGGCGGGCGCGTTTGGCTGCCACACGATTGGCGTCGTCGAAGCCGTAGATGGGACGGCCCTGGCGCTTGAGCGCGAAAATGACGTCCAGGACGGTAATGGTCTTGCGGTTGGCGTGCTCGAGGAAAATGGCGCAGTCTTTGAGGATCTGTAAAGCGTTAGACGTATGGTGCAAGGGTGTGAAAGATGGTTTTGAGGCAGAAAGGCGAAGAAAAAGAGAAGTAGAAAAGGGAAACATTAAACTAAAATAAGTTAAAGAAATAAAGAATCAAAAGATAAAAGATAAGAGATAAAAACCGAGGGGGAAAAGGGAAAAGGAAAAAAGAAAAAAAGAAAGAAAGGAAAAGAAAAAGGTGCAAAGACGATAACGATACAAACGTGTCATAGAGTATTACTGCAGACACGCAAATTGATAGGAGGACATACATCTTTGAGATACTTTTTCAGAGCAGCACGGGTCTCGTCGTAAATTGCAGCAGAAATGCGCTTGACTCCGCCGCGACGAGCGAGACGACTATTGTCAATCGTCAATCATCAGTACTTAACAAACCTCACCCAAAGCGTGATCCGTGTACAGCAACACGGGGAGACCTCTAAGGTTAAGACATACCGAATATCCGGACGAGCTAGCATGACCCATGTTGTAAGCAACATAATATATGTGAGTATAAAGGAATTCACTTACTGATTCCCATAATAGTGTCCTTCAAGAGCTTGCGGCTGGAAAAGCGGATTAGCATGGCACTTTATATCCAACGGATGAAAAAATGAGAGTTAAATAAAATAACTGTGCCCTACAAAAATATAGGCGATACATGGAAAACAAGGAGTAAAAATGGATAAAGGAATAGAAGTAAAAAATGAGGTTGCAACTTACTGACGACGAAGAGGCTGCGCGAGTCCTTTACCGCCGAGGCCTTTATATCCGCTGGAATGAAGATTCGGCAGCGCCTTGGCCTTGCCGCCTCTTGCAAAGGGCATTCCCTTCAAAGGCGGCATTTTCGGACGCGAATAGCTTATATGTCAAAAATTGATATTCAGTCAGGTGTGAAGCTGCCGATTTGGAATAGTGTATGTTAGAGATAGAATAGGGCTATCGAGATATGTCAGTTGTGTGTATTTCTTTCTTCAGAGTATGTTTCTTTGGACGATAGTAAGTGCTTGTGTTATCTGGAGGGTAGAAATGATTTGATCATTTAGGTGATTGGACGATAAACAAAAGTATCCAGGCATCTAAACAGCCAAGCCTCGCAGTCACGGGTGGTGACAAGCTTGCCGAGATGTCTAACGGGCTGGAGCATGAATGGTATGTGCCTGTATTAGAACAGTGAAGAAAGAGGTAATAAATCCAGTACTTACATTGATCGAATAGCACACTCTACAATTTGAAAGCTGCAGAAGAGGTTTGGTGACTGACGATAGGTTTATCCAGTGTTGTGGTCAGGTCGAGTGTGGCTTGGATGTTTTGATGGGAGAGGGAGCGAGAGAGCGAGAGTTAAGGTGTTTGTGGGGTGTGGGGTTCGCTAGTTCCTGGTTGCTTCACTACCATGGGAACCAGCACTCTTAGTGAATATGGAAAAAGTTGTGGAGTCGAAAACAAAGAGTGAATATGGTAAAAACAAGGTACAGGGTAAGTTGAAAAGAGATTTTAAGAATGTAGGTTTGCTGCACTGTCTTAAGCTTGTTTCTATCAAAGATGAAACACCATGGCTTGGTGTTGGCACAATTGGTAACGTGAGATCCCGGCACACTGCTGCTCACTTGATGATTATTTATCTCTGTCGTGGCCTCAGTGTGTCATTCGAACATGAGAGACTCTTGCTGTGATATCCGTAAATCATTGATGCTCGTATGGAACAAATGAAAAGTTCAAAAAATTAGAACGAATGCTGCTTTTGACCATGCTGCATGCACAGTCACTTTATAATGTCTCTACAGCACACCGGGCTCATCTCATATGGATTGTGAGGTCTTTGGCGTTATACACGAACAAACTTTACGAATGTCTACGCTGAACCTTGATGATTATAACAATCAGCAACACATGGTCAAGGCATCTTTCTCATATGAAATTTCATTCACCAAGAGCGATCTGCGTGCCTTGGGTATTATTAATATGGATAATCCAAAGAATAGACAAAAGAAAGAATTCGAAAGAGGGGGGGAAGACGGAAGAGCCGAGGAGTTCTCTAAAGGTCGAATCAAGAGGTAGGTCGATACGAATGAGTTTAAGAATATTGGCCTCCGTCTTCCACCGGTTGGCGGCAGCAGATCGTTCATAATGTTCAGTCAGTCAGTCGAGACGACAATCTGCCCCATTTATGAAATGAAAGTGGCCTCGGAGATAAGGACACCCTTGTCTTCCACCTCCTCGTCGCCAATCTTGGCCTTGAGGGTCAAAGGCTCGGCAGGAGCATACTAATCATGACAATCAGTCACTTGAAGTCTATTTTATGCCACAGAGCGTAAATAAACAGCAGACGTACCTGGTAAATGTAGGGACGCGTGCCAGCAACGCTGCCTACAATCATCTTGACGAAGCCTGGCACCTCAGCCATGACGTCCACACGGTCCAGTCGCTGTCCCAGCGGTCCAGCCAGCTCGGCAGTGACTTCCTTGCCATCCTTGTTGGTGCCCTTCCAGTTGAACTTGACGGCCGAAGGCTCAGGCCAGTCGGCTTCAGCGTCGCCCTTGATTTCCGTGTGGGAAGCTGTACCGGAAGCATTGGCTAGGATAATCTCGCCGTCCTTGACGATGGCGCCAACGTTGACAACGGTGGATCCGTACGACGGGGGAGTGGTGTATTCCATCATAATCGCCGAGTATGTTGGTGCTTGGAAGTTGACGAAATTCCATCGCGCAGCTGCTTAAACTGTTAGGCACCTGTCTCCGGAAAATTTTAAATTGCAAAAAAATCGATATGCTCACCAGCATGGTGCGGCTTCATTCCCTGCAAAGCATGAACGAAAAAACCCTTGCCAGCAAGGTCAAATTCAGCAGCCTTGGTAATGATGTGTCCCTCGACCTTGCATCTGGGCCAGAACGAGTGCCTCATGGAGCCCCACGGCTCGTTGGGATCCGTGCCAAAGTTGCTGGTACCGTTCTTTCCGACCAAGAAGCCAGGCGCGGTTCGAGTCATGGTAAGGTGGACGATGCTGTCATCATTGACCGCCGACTTGATTGTGTAGGAAGTGCCATCCTCGGAGAGCGTCACCGCGAGATTGTCCGCGTAGAAGCTAAACTTCTGATCGTCCAGGCCATAGTTCTCGAGCGGGTCGGACTTCCAGATGTTCGGGGAACGGCCATCCGGGAAATAAATCTTCGAATTGAATTGACAGGTCGTTCTGATGCCTCTATTTCCCCACAAGATATTACATTAGCTTCTTCTCCGCCACATGGCCCCTCAGACTTGGTCAGGAGGTGAAAATTGTCAATCCTTACGCAAGGTTACTGTAAATGACCTGGACGAAACCGACGAGGCCGTTGTCGGCAGTGAAGTAGAAAGTCTGTGTCTCTACACATGTGTAATCAAGCGTAATCCATTTCAGGTCGTCCTTTTGCAGCTCAGTGTATGGCGTCGTCTCCGCTTGCTTTGCGACAGACTGGATCGCGTCAGGCCCGTAAATGGGTTCCTGAGTGCCCGCGACGTTGGCGAGTCTTCCACATACGAAAACAGATGGTAAGCAGGATGATCTAATTAATCTGAGCAAATTTCATCTTCACTCACTGTTGCTTCGCCCACTGGAACATTTTTGCGATTTTTGGAGGTTTGAGTTAGTGATGTGTTGGTACTTTTGCCGTGAACCCAGCGATGAACCAAAGGGAACTGTCAACTTGTGGGGCATCATTATCGGGTTTAGCTTGTCGCCGACAGGTGCCCCCCTCTGTTCAACTATTGGCGCACCCTCACGACATCCGTAGCCTGACAATATGCAAAAATGATTCCACAAGTAATGAAACTGGATTATTCTGTTCCACTATATTTGGCATGTTTACACAGAGAATGCATAGTTTGACTATTTCCACCTCTAATAAAATATACCTCCGATCACTCCCACACTGCTACAGGCCAGCGAGGTAGCTCATGAACTCAAATAGAAACATAGGCTGGACATCGGAATACTGTCAACAATGCCGACAGCAAGAGAAATCTCCGAAGACTCTTTCTGTATCACGGAAAGGCTTCTTTCCCGCAAGCCTTAATAAAAGCAACATCACTCCGAACCTGGGCAGAAACACCTGCTTTTGTAGCCCAAACAGGAAGTATGCCCTTTGGCCCTTGGCAACTCTTTGTGCCTGTTGTTGAACAGCCCAATTCTGGAAATACTTAATTCTTTTTGTTCCGTGGGTGTTTGTGTAGTAGATCTGTAGACAATCGACAGATACGAGCTTTGAACTCTCCTTTCCGCGCGCCCGTTCAACTTTTGAACGTCCCATCAAACAAGGGGGAAAAAAAAAGGGGGGGGGGGGGGAAATAATCTATGTATCAAAGAGACTCGAAGAATGAGGAAGACAGCTTTCCAGAGAAGAGATAAACATAGCTGCCTAAAACTTGATTTGCTCGTGGGCGAATGGTGCTCGAGTTCAGACGGCAAATAGCAAGGCTTCCCAGCAACAGTGAATGATCTTGGGCTTGTTCAGCCTCCGCAAAAGCAGCGTCATTCAGAACATCGTAAGGCCGTAAAATTCAAAGCAAATATAGGAAGAAGAAAAGCGCGATTCAAAACGAAAAAACAAATCTCAAGATGGAGGACGATTGGGTTTTTGCCCAGCTTCTTCTCGAAGGAGAGCTTCCTTCCATCATAAACAAGCCCAAGGTCAGCAGCCAATCCTTTAAGCTCGTCAATGTTGAATCAAACGCCGTCCCTTTTGGGCTTCCCAGCTCCTCGCCTCTGGCCTAAAGACCCGTCCCAATCGAGAGCAATATTTATCAAGCTCATCAATATGGCTTGCTATCTCTCTGTCGCGATAAAATCTTCCTTCTTCACACCTATCATTCGGCCTAGATGGGCTTGAGTCTCAGCCCATCGAAGGTTGTGCAAGCACATTATTGTTTATCATGTATGCAGAAGGTTGTAAAGACTGACAAGGAGCAGCCTGTCTACAAGTCGCCAGGTCGAGAGAAATTGCGTGGTGAGGCGGCCTCGCTTGCTGCAACCGGAGAAACTATTGCCGAAACTCCGAACGCTGGGAAATCAGTCGGGTGCGTTGTTGACTACTTTTTCGACCAGTTTAAGAGTTACAAGGCCAACAACAATATCGGCAATGGCGAAACGAGCGATTCCAAAGGACCAGATTGTGAAGCTTATTGTCGGCGCCGGCCAGGCGAGTCCCAGCCCTCCGGTGGGACCGGCGCTGGGAAGTAAAGGTGTCAAGTCAATGGACTTTTGCAAGGTTCGTCGGATCCTTTTCTTCTCAAAGCAAGCATTGCGGTTTGCGAGAACATATCACGGATGCTTCGATGCGTTATCCAATGTGGCATTGCTGATAGAGTCAATCCTTTCTAGGAGTTCAATGCGCGGACGGCCCATATGACCACCGGTGTCCCTGTGCCTGCACGAGTTACCGTTCGCCCGGACCGGTCATTCCACTTTGAGCTACGGACGCCTACTACCTCCTATCTTCTTATGAATGCTGCAGGAGTCAAGGAACGGAAGTCAAGAATGCGGGGAGCTATGAATCCTGGGACGGAGACGGTCGGCGAGGTGTCCTTGAAGCACGTCTACGAGATCGCGAAGATTAAGCATTCGGAACTGCGTCTGTCCGGGCTGAGCCTGGAAGGGTTGTGCAAGAGCATCATTGCGCAAGCCCAGTCTATTGGTATTACGGTTGTTCCTTAGAGGATTGACACTATTGCGCTTTCTCTACTCAAGAGCCATGGGCCATAGCTTGTTGCAACGGCTAAGGCGTCGATTGTCGAATTCGGGTTTCCATTCTTCCCTTTTTTAATTCTGACGGACATCAAGGCGTTTTTCACCTTTCATCATAAAGATTTGCTGCCATTCAATTGCTTGTATGCTACGGCATTTATCTTCGGTTTATTTTCATTTCTTATGTACCCTAAAGGCTCTTTGCATATAGCGAGTCTCGTTTAGATTGCATGCAATATGAGTGGCTTTGATTTCGATGTCACGTGGCCATGTAATTCTGGGAGTGCCTTTTTTACTTGCCTTTTGATACTTAACATATATGTGGTTGCACAAAGCCGTGTCGGGCGTGGCGAAAGGGGTCTCCGACATCTCCATTGCTTTCGCAGCCATCCAACAAATTTGGAAGAATCCGAGCAGCCACATGCCCGATCAGGCAGATGAGCGTGGGGGGTGTTTTCCCACGCGTGCCTGACGAAGATTCTCGGATGCAAGAGGCGCGGAGTTTAAGAGCTTTTCCATCATCCACGCTGGGCCATATCTCAAGATTTGACGAGATTTGATCATGTCTTTTGATGGCACAGCCTTTCTGTATGGTGTGTAGACGCGAGCTATATAATCCTACACTCATCTGCAGGGAACGAACACCTCAACAATAGTACAGAGGAACATGTGAAGCTCCGTTTTTCTCTAAGTTTGCGACGCACACAGCCGCCTAGGCGAATCAAGGTCGAGTAGGGAGGCTCTTTTCTTTCCTGCTCCCTTTGCATCCTCCAGCCTTTGCTCTTTTCCTTGTGTTTATGACTGGAAACCTAGATACGTCACAGTATTTACCGTAGTTTGCTTCCATTCATCCGCTCCTTGGCTTTGTCAGGCATACTCCGCAGGGTCGTAAAGATCCTTGCTACCACTGCTCAACTTTTCCCTAGGCGCTGTAGACACATGACTATCACTTGGAGTCTTGGCGGTATCAGAACTTTCGTCATTGGCTCGTATAATTTCCCCATGCCGTATAATCCTTCACCGACAGGAGTCCCCCAGCTTTGTCATAGATCTAGGTAAAAGCGCTTATATGCGTATCCGGATTGAGAGGGAGGTCATTGTTGCTCTTAACATATGGTAGTAAATGCCTTGCACTGGGTTCTTTTTTCTCCGCCCTGCTGGCTGTATTAGTTCTTTTGTTATTACAGTTACATCCATCTTTGTTTTGTTGCATTTATCACTTTCGGGCATCTCGGCGACGTATGGTCCTGACCGCCAGGCAACCGACAAAAGTCGTCACTGTAAAAAGGGCACTTTCCATTCTAGGAAGAACCATCCCACGCAACGCTCGGCTCTACCCCGCTTGATCCCGATTCAAGCTTGGCGCACTAACCGAGAAGGTCAGTTCGTCATAGGCTGAGGGCGTATCAATGTACGTCGTGCCTGAGCCGAGAACTTCAGGGCAGATTTGGACCGCCTCAGACATCCCGTGATAAAGTCATCGCTGCTTTCATGCACGGATGCCCTTGAAAAGCAAAATGTCTATGGTGCTATTTGGTTTTTCCACCTTGTTGAACAAGGTCTCGATTCTATATTTTCCTACCGTAGCTTTTGATGGGAGCGCTCTACTTGCCAAAAAGAGGTACCTCCTAAATTGCTTGAAGACCAACATCTTCTGTGCCGCACACTGCTATGCAGTACGGTATTAAGGGAATGTACTCTGTACTCTTTGACCCTTATGACGCCGTCGGCCCGGACAAGGGCTTGCAGGACAACCGCCCTAGCGAGAACCATTCCACTCTGAAGCGTTCCGATTGAATCAAATCTCATGCAGAATCAAAAGGCCATGCTCTGTAATAATTCTTCAACGGAGTAATCTTCAGTGTGAGAATCGGTCCAGCCATCTCTTCTGAGCCAGATACCTTTGATAGTATGGTCAAGAGAATTTCAGTGGCACAATGCTTCTAAATAACTGTAACTTGTAATTCTGTACTTTGAATTCATCAACAGGGACCGGGAGTGTGTCTTTGGAGGTACATGAAGCATAACTAGAGCTTTGTCGTCATCGTTTTCCTGCGACTCCGAGACAGGTTACTCTCAGCCCGCATTGCTTCGCCGACAACCGCCAACCGCGTTGATGTGGTACCAGTACTTGTCATTGATTACTATCAGCATCAACATCATTATTCTCCCTCCTCATACTTACATTTGATCAGTCTTTAATATAGCTTCTTTCGTCTATTGGGCGTCTGCATCTTGATCGGCGGATAAAGTTCGCTTCGCAATCTCTCATTTAGCGACTTTTCGGACAAGAGCTGCTCCAAGCTACGAGCAGTTAAGTTAGTCCTTCTGACCGCAGATCCACCACCGTGGTGCACCACCCTACTCTACTCTCGTCTCCCAGCGACACCAGAGAAGAGCGAGAGAATGTGGAAGAGCCGAACCCCAAATAATTAACACGAGTCGAAACTTACTCTACCTAATCCCTCCGCCGTGCCCGCCCTTTACCACTCTCACCCACACTCTTGAACCCACCCACCCCTACCCCTCTACCCGCTTTGCTACTCTTTGAAGACTTGCTGGGTCATCCGTGGAGAGTCTTCGTCAGCAGCCACCCGTTCGCCCATCCAGCTCCTACCTTCTCTACCGAAACGTTACACCTCTTATCGAATAACTGCCTGCTGCAGGTCAACAAAGAAATTACTCGCCGCCTCCTGGCTGCACATCCTTGGACTGCTTCTCTACGGCAATCATGGATTCTCCAGCGGGCTCGGCGGCACTCCCGGCCGAGGAACAGGGCTCTTCTCAAGGTAAATCGCTCACCTCCCGATTGTGCCCCGCCATGTCCCCCAGTCCTCCAGCAATTTTGAGCCCGATTTTCTGAGAACCTGGTCCATTGTTGACCTTCGTTTGTCTAACAGCTGATGCGCATTCCAATACCACCCATCAAGAGAAGAACAAGGCCGGTTCATCGGCGGCTGCACAAGGAGGATCTCGCCCACATCATGCCGTCCGATTCAGCTCGGTAAATCAAGAGATTGAACCCGACGAGAACCTACGTCCCATGGCATCATTGGTATCTCAGAATCCACGTCCTTCGCAAGACCTCGATGCCCAAGCACAGCAAGCTGTTCAAAACCTATCCTCGACGCTCCAGAGCTCCAGTTTACACGACCCCAAAGCCTCGCAATTTGGATTCGAGCCTCTTTCCCTTCCCGGATCTGCGGTAGGTCTTACTTGATTGTGCATCTGCCATTGGCGGCCGACAAAGAATGAGACAGCATTTCTACCCAATTATCTCATCCACTTGCAAAAAAATGCCCTTTCGCGGAGAAGCGTAGTGCTGCTGCCGCTGGTGGTTGTACACCGCCTCATCACTTCTAATCACTTTGATGCTCGAGGAGCTTTTGCTTTGTTTGGGAGCTGATGAATAACTTTCATAGACCACCTCGCATGAGAATAGTCCGCACCTTGCAGCTGTAGACGCGACTCGAGCGGCTGCCCGATCACCAAGGCCCTCGCCTCCCTCATCCTCGATGCATTCTCCACCTTTAACCCCGGCCGCGACCCTCTCTCGAGAAGCCAAGGCGGAGGCCGCGCGGGCATCCGGCCTGCCGCAGGGCGCGCTCGAGGCTGCTGCCATTACGCCCCAAGGCTCACCACCTCGTAGCGTGCCTCCCCCGACTTCGCTGGCGCAAGCCTACGATAGCAGCGCCTCTAGCACAGTCAATTCACGACCTTCAAGTCTCTCAGAACGCATTTCAACTCGTCCGACATCGACTTCTGATGGCCCTCCCGCCGGCATCGAAGCACATCCAAAACACACGCCTCGATTTACTGTAGGACCATCTGCTGACTCCGAATCGTCGCCGGGTTCTCGAGAGACGTCGCCGCCGGGAACACCTGGTGGCAGCTCCGGAGTGTCGACACCTTATATGTTCCCCACCGGCGAAGTCGACGATCCATATGCCCGCAGCAAGCGTCCTCCGCAGTCGAAGAAATTTGACAACATTGACGCTCGCTTTGTATTTGGAGGCAAAGATGCGAAACCCAAACGTGGCCAGCATCTTCCCCGTTCAAGTGCGAGCGCGTCTGATTTGAGAGTGTTTGAAAAGCCCCAACAACAGTCACATCACCATCACCATCATCACCCTCATCTTTTCAGCAGCAAAAAGGACAAGGACTACTTGAATGACGATGCTTCTTCGCTCAGTGGCAAACAGCACGGGTCCATGGCTGAATTGAAGCGATTCTTTCGCATTGGCCACAAGAGCAAACATGGGCCTTCCCCGTCAAGCTCCTCCATTTCAATCAAGTCTTCAGTTAAAGGCAGTCCTCAGAGGTCAAATACTACCACCATTCCCTTCGGTGAGGATCATGGTCTCTCAAGCCGCTATGGGAAGTTTGGAAAAGTGCTTGGATCAGGAGCTGGCGGTTCGGTCCGGGTTATGAAGCGAAGTCGAGATGGACGAACGTTTGCCGTCAAGCAATTCCGGGCACGCCATTCCTACGAAACCGAGCGAGAATATTCGAAAAAGGTGACTGCGGAATTCTGCATTGGATCAACTCTTCACAATGGCAATGTCATTGAAACGTTGGACATTATTCAAGAGCGAGGAGCATGGTATGAGGTCATGGAATATGCCCCCTATGACTTGTTTGCAATTGTCATGACTGGCAAAATGTCGCGGGAAGAGGTTGCATGCTCATTTAAGCAAATCCTCAATGGCGTCGCATATCTCCATAGCATGGGCTTGGCACACCGCGACTTGAAACTGGACAATGTGGTTGTCAACGAACATGGAATCATGAAGTTGATTGACTTTGGAAGCGCGACTGTTTTCAGATATCCCTTTGAAAATGATATTGTGCTGGCATCAGGTTTGTCAAACAATGAATTACGGCAAGCACCTAAAGGCTATGTTTCATTTGCTAATCTACTTATAGGCGTGGTGGGCTCTGACCCTTATCTTGCTCCAGAGGTGTATGACAACCACAAGTATGATCCGCAGCCGACGGATATCTGGTCTCTCGCCATCATCTTCTGCTGCATGTCGCTCCGTCGCTTTCCATGGAAAGCACCCCGTTTGACCGACAATTCGTACAAGCTTTTCGCTGCCCCACCGAGCCCTGGACAGCCCGGATCCACCAATAGTCGGCCCAAACCTGAAGGTCGCACAAACTCGGCCCCGGATCTCTCGGGAATGTCCGGCAAGGACAACGCCAAGACGCCTGCTCCGTCCTCTGAACCGCACCACGAGGAATCAGCGCCAAACGGGGACCACAGGAAAGTCATGGTCGGTGAAGATCGAAGGTCCTCTACCGACCGACGAGCAGACAACGGTGGCCATGGACACAAGGCCATCCCTATTGACACCAAACCCGTCCAACAGACCGTCATCAAGGGTCCGTGGCGCTTGCTTCGACTGCTTCCGCGCGAGAGCCGTTCCATAGTTGGACAAATGCTTGAAATTGATCCGAAGAAGCGAGCCACGTTAGACGATGTCAATTCCGATAACTGGATCGTCAACATACCGGCGTGTCACCAGGACGTTGGGGGCAAGGTGTACAATGCTCCGGGCCATGAACACACTCTTGAACCTGGCACGGCCATCACGCCAGTTACGAGTAAGAAATGAGCGCGAACGAAGCGGAAAGGGAGATTTGATTTCATTTTGCTTTCACATGCAATCATGGGCAGAGGCGTTTGACTATTTGTATTTGGGTGATTATCTATAAGTCGGGGCCTTTGCTTTCTTTTACTGACGATTATTTTCCCCTTTTCGACACTTTACAATTCACCTCGCTCTTGGCCACAATACTGGACGGCATTCCAGGTGTCTTACGCTTTCGCTATTGAGCAATGGCAACGGAATCAACGACGAGCCACCTCCGATGGCAGGAAGCGCACACGGTCCAGTACGGTAATGCAGCGGTGGCAATCGACGATTTATCTTTGCCTTTACTTTTTCCTCGATCATATTTCTAGATATAATATCTCGGTCTCATCTTTTCAAGTATGGGCGAGATGACTGTACTGCATTTCCTCCTCGTCACTTCATCCATACTTTCTTACCCCTCTTACCACCGACTATTTCGTACACTTATTCGCCCTTTCCGCTATCTCTTTTTTTCTTTATTCTTCTTTGCTTCTATTCTACTATTCAAGTTCATATTATTCATCTGCCCTGCAGGTATCTAAAGTGTGGAGAGGATATTTCCTGTTGCCTGGCCCAGCAGCTGAGTTCCGGAGGCTTGGGTCGTTCGGCTGACGTGGAAACCTCTAAGTGCAAAGGAGGATTTCTTTTTTCGATACTTCTGACATCAGTGTGACACCTTGATACTTACTCTTTTCGCTTTTCTGCTCTCTTTCTTCGCTTTCTCTGGACAGACACGGATGGGCTTGTCAGTCTAACGTAGTTATACTGTCCATTTGACGAAGTCTTTGTAGACTGTGAATATAATGATTTCTGAGATACATGTAAATATTGTTAATTATTACTATGCCCATTACTGAAGAAAAGAAACGAGGGTTGAAATGGATTCTTGACTTGTAGTCTATGAATATCGGAGCAAGAGTGTCGAAGGTCTCGAACTGCCTGGTTTCCCGGTGGTCTCGCTTGTCGGCTCCAGAGCTTGGGCGATTGGGTAAAAGGTCTTGGCATTCCAGATAGTTCTGTGAGCGTCTGTCCCCCCAAAACTAATCTCGTCCCCTTCTTCTCAGCGTCCTTTTTTGTTTGTTCGGCTCTTATTCTCTTTTCTCTTCCATCACCTCTATTTTCGTTTACTCGTCGCTTTCTTTTTGTGATTGACTTTTTCATCACTCAATTCACATTCAAGATGGTAAGAGGACCCTTACTCCACTGCAAACTTCCTGCTCGTCTGCATCCTGTGTCCTGTTCTGCTGGTCCGACGGGAGCTCTTCGTTCCGCTCGTCCTATGGCCATCGGGGATCTTGTCTCATTGGAGAGGTTGCGGGCCTTTCTACTTCTGACACTTCTTTGGACGTGCTCGGAACATGCTTCAATTGCTGGTTGCTGTCTGCTAGCTGCTAGTGTCGGTCGTTGGGAGTGGTGGAATTGACGCAATCGATCATGTCTGCATTCGATTGCTGAACTGGGTACTTCGAAATGCGTTCACCGAGGTTACTGCGACTTGGTCGATAACACACAAACCCTCGATGATGAAAAGCGCTGTTCGGTCGAATAGACCCAAATGATATTCGCGGACGGAAACATTGATACCGGGTTCAATTGAGCCATAAGAAATGCCGTGAATGGAATGGAATCAATCACAGCTTCCGGGTTACGCTCCTGCTTGAGTAGCGGGTTCGTGGGCACTGTATTGCGCGGCAACGCTTTGTTCATGCCCGGAGTGCTCTGCTGCAATATTTGCTCCAGCCGCCTTCGCAATGATTGCATGCGCGGGACACGCTAACCCGGCTTCACGACAACTGATTGCCAGACGTTTAAGGTCTCGCTGCGCAGTCATTAGGCGGAGCGTAATGAGATGTGATCGCGAGTATGGCCCAAGCAATTTACGCTCTTGTACCCAAGTCTAGACGGGACTTATTCCGCAGCTATCAATGGCGGCAGTGACAGCAGCAGCAGCAGCAGCAGGCGAACAAATGGGATACACAGACACAGACATTGCAGACTGATTTTACATTGCGTTAAACATGCGTTATGCACATATACTGACACTCTTATTACAGTCTACCGCTCTCAAGTCCATCAAGTCTCTTGCTCCCCTCCTGGACCGTATCCTGGTTCAGCGCATCAAGGCCGAGTCGCGCACCGCCGGTGGTATCTTTCTGCCGGAGAGCAGTGTCAAGGACCTCAACGAGGCCAAGGTCCTTGCCGTCGGCCCCGGTGCGCTCGACAGGAACGGCAACCGCATTGCCCCTAGCGTCCAGCCTGGCGACAAGGTCTTGATTCCTCAGGTATGTTTCGAATGCTGACATTGTGCGCAAATGCCAAGGATGTCCGCTAATTTGTTGTCAATGCAGTTTGGTGGTAGCCCCGTCAAGGTTGGCGAGGAGGAGTACTCCCTCTTCCGCGACCATGAGTACGTCGAATCCTAAACATCCTATGCCGTGTCATTGCTAACAAGGTCACAGTATCCTCGCCAAGATCAACGAGTAAAATGCTCCGGACTCGGCCTGTTGCCCCGCATCTAAACTCTAATGAACGACGATGCGAAGGCGCAATCTGACGCGACTGGGGAAAGTTTGAACGTTATCCGATTCCTGCTTAAAAGGAGAACGAAAAGCAAAATATCTGTATTAATATCCGACTCCAGAAATCTGGCAACGTAAATTTCGGGGACAGAATGTTGGGCGTTCGCGCCAAGGGAGTTGCGGAAATCATTTTTTCTTTATGTTTATTTATTCGTTGTATTATCATTCCATTGCCATTTAGCATTGCAGCGATATCGAGCAGCTGGTAGCGGCATCTATATCCAAGCTCCCAAGATCTTTTTTGATCATCCTGAGAGAAGTGTGTGGAATTACAGTCTCCCCTGTGTGTTTGTGTGAAATATTGTATAGTAGTTCTGTGTAGTATATGTAATAACATTCCACTCTTGCATCCATTATATCCTATTGTATGCTGGTCGATATGTTTGGATTCCAGAACATCCACTGCTGTTACCGACCAAGTCTAAATTGATACCGGCAAGTTTCAACGTGGAGTGGGCAGAGGAAGAAGGGATCTAAAAATGATGCCAAGAAACGGCCATTTTAGCTGTTTCAACACCCGAGGACATTTCAGTCCGTCCTCGTAGTCTTCAAGGATTACCCACTGTAGCTTCCCCGCTTGTTAACTTACTCCATACTGTACATCGGAGATGGAAGAGCGGCGTCCGAGGAATTTCTCAACGACTTGTTACATGGCCAGCATTCTTTTATGCGCTACATAAATGCTATATAAAAGTATAACTGCTATACACATACTAATATTCCAAGGTGATTGATCCTCTATTACCGACTATTCATTCTAATGGGCTTGCAGAAGACAGACGCAAAATTATTGAAGCTAATTATTTTGGTATCCAGCGAGAACCATAAGTCCTGGATGCTACAGCACTCCAGTGGCCAATGCTCTTAAGCCAAGCATTTGATATATCATTATTTCAACTATCTTTCAAACCAACACTGCACTCTTTATATAAGTCCCTACGACATATCATTAAACATACAACCAGTTCGAATTGCCAAAGCAAACAATAGGAGCGCTAGCAACACCTAGATACTACGATGCAGCTATCGAAGTTGCTCATCTGCGCGACAGTCATTGCGCTCGCCGTTTTTCTCGAGTTGACTGCCGCTGTCTACGAAGCGACACAGCCGAGCACACTGACCAAATACATGACGCTGCGAACACTTTCGCGCCTCTTGTCCTTTGCTGCAGTCTACTGGGCTTCAAAGAGCTGGAAAACGTGGCAGAAGCTCGGTGCGTATGCGGTGCATCCAGCTATTGCGCATTTTGTTACCAAGGCGTATGTTGAGAGCTTGATGATGGAACGGGGTTCGGGGTAGTGGTGATGGCAGGGGAACCGGCAAATGAGTAGTCAAGTGGCAGCAGAGTCTCAAAAACGACATGATTCGAGACGAACGATATTTATGAAGCGGAACTCAGAGCGGCAGCAGGAATATAAAAATGAATCCCGCAGAGGTATTCGAAAGGGTGACGCAAAGCTATTTGGGCTGGCATTGATAGCTTTACAGTGGGGGCCATATATGCTTACAAAATGCCTTTTGAGCGTTCAATGCCACATATTAGATTCGAAATTGGTTGTTTCAAAGGCTCTGCAATTGTTACTCACTTACTGGGTTCGGCTTTCAAAGACATTACAATATAATTAAGAATCATTCGATATGTACAATACATAGGTAGTATAAGAGCACTAGGAGTTTAATGATCGTCAGGGGCAGTGACCAAGTCCGGAATGGCTCCAGTCCAATCGCTTAAAGTACAAACGAAACCCCCTGAAATTTAGCCGTCTCGGCGCGCGTTTACCAAATGAAACACGGACGACATCCCAGTGCAACCTCATCTCGACAGTCCAGTAGTGCCTCAACTAACAGTCATTTGTTTCTTGCCTCCCCTTCTTGACGCCCGTGTACCTGCATACAATCTGTTGTGTGACGCATTAGTGTTTAATTACTATTTGGGCATATTATTAATCCGACCATACTCTGCAAGTTGTGCTTCACAATGTCGTGTTTTGAGGTTGCTCGTGTACCGTGTCTGATCCTGGGTGACAATAGCATAATGATAACAATCCAATGTCAGCGGCACAGATGGACCGATCGATGCATCGACTTCGAAAGTCCCGTGTACTAACCTCATATGACTGGAAACATGAAATGACTCTGGCTGTGAAATAAGCTACGATCAATTAAGGATCGTTTCGGCGACTGGTGGAGCACGCCTCGTGCAAGGAGCTGATGCATGGCAGCCATGCCCGCGATGAACTACGACATCTAGTCCTCCACCATCTGCAATGCATTACGGAGGTACAGTTCTTTTTAGCCAAGATTCGCCAAGGAAACGGCTTGATTGTTCGAGGGCCGGACACTCCTTGACAGCCTTGTCAAACAATGGATCCATGTTCTGTTGATTTACTCTCTCCACTTTCGCCTCCATCCGCGTGCTCCGTGCACCATGCTGTTTCCACTTTCCCCTCCTCTCTCTCCTTCTCTTAAATCATTCTGCTTCTCCCGTAATTGATTTCTTTTCCTTTTTCTTTCTCCTCCCGTGGTCTCTGTTCTTCACCTCTTTTCTGTTGACTTCCTTGCTCGACACTCGCCTTGTGCGGTGCACTTTTTGACACTCGAAGTGTCTTACATTCTTTTGCTTTCCAACCCCACACGCTCTTTGCGAATCACGGCCTCGTTGATCGAGACCATCTGTTGAAGTTACAAAACATATACGCTCTCTCATTTTGAGATTTTTGGCATTGCAACCAGCTCTCCGAATCAGTCTTTTGTACTACCTCCGCAATCAAATCATAGAGTCAATATGAAGCTACTCTCCGGAAAGAGCATCGCCCTGGCTGCCCTGGCTGGTCTCCAGGCGGTCCACGCGCACACCCTCTTCACCAACTTCTACGTTGATGGCGAAAACCAGGGCAATGGAGTCTGCGTCCGAGAACCCAACGACCCCTCCAAAGCCAATTTTCCCATTGAGGACCTTTCTAGCAATGATATGGCTTGTGGTAAGTTCTGCAACTCTTTGATCAATTCAATGTCACGGTATTAGTTCAGGCGGAAGGCTGAGATATGACAGGTTTCAATGGCGAGACTCCCGTGTCCCGCGTTTGTCCCATCAATGGCAGTGCAACCTTGAGCTTCGAGTTCCGTCAGTATCCTGACGGTTCCAAACCTGGCAGCATTGATCCTTCCCACAAAGGTCCTTGCGCCGTGTACATGAAAAAGGTTGAGTCTGCAATCCACGACCCCGGCTATGGCGATGGCTGGTTCAAGATCTGGGACGACGGTTACGACGAAAGCTCGAACCAGTGGTGCACCGAAAAGCTCATTGCCAACAACGGCCACTTGACCGTTCAAGTCCCTTCCGACCTTGCCGGTGGCTACTACCTTGTCCGTCCTGAGCTCTTGGCCCTGCATGCTGCCGATAAGGGCGACCCGCAATTCTACATTGGTTGCGCCCAAGTTTTCCTCCAGTCCAGCGCGACAGGCACCCGTTCTGACACCGTCTCCATCCCCGGCTACGTTCACGCCGGCGACCGTTCTGTGTCTTTCAATATCTGGCAGCAGCCCATGGACCTGCCCTACCCTATTCCCGGACCTAACGTGTCTCGGCCAGACTCTGGATCGCCAACCACCGCTGTGACCACCCAGACTGAAGGTCTCAAACCCGAAGGCTGCGTCCTGGAAAATGCCAACTGGTGCGGCATGGAAATCGCGCCCTACTCGGACATGCAAGGGTGCTGGAACGCCAGCCAAGCATGCTGGGACCAGAATTCCGCATGCTACAAAGCCGCTCCGCCATCCGGCTACGCCAACTGTGAAGTCTGGCAAAACAAGTGCAAGAACATTCAGAACCAGTGCAGCGCCAACAACTACAACGGACCTCCCGATGCCGGCAAGGACTTGACTCCGCAGCCCGCAAGCGCTAGCCTGCCTCCTCCTGCCAACGCTGGGTACCCTGATGTCGGTGGTTCTTCTTCCGCTGCTGCTGCGCCCTCTTCGTCCTCTTCCCCAGCGACCTCCTCTTCTTCTTTTTCTTCTGCCGTCGCTACCTCGTCTGCTACTCCCACTAGCGAAAGCAGCAGCTCCTCTCCTGCCTCTTCCTCGTCCTCTTCCTCCTCCGCCAATGTCCAGGCCCAGCAGACTACCCAGGCCACTGCCGCCGGCTCTTCTTCAGCCAGCACCGGCGTTCCTCCCATTGCCACCGACACCGTCTACACTTCTTCCAACGGACCCAGCAGCACCGTTTACGTGACTGACAGCCCCACAAGCACGCCCAGCGCCAACGCCGGATACGGCAATGGCGACGTCGTCACTGAGACTGAGACCGTCAATGAAACTACCATTGTCACTCAGACTGACTATGTGACTGCCACTGCCACTGCTACTCCAGGCGCCTCCAACAACAAGCGCAACGTCCATCAGGCAGTCCATGTTCCCGTTGGACCTGTCCACCGGCATTGGTAACGGTGCAGTACTGTGCATACAGTCTGTTGTCCTGCCGTTCGGTGTAGTGCTTTGGTGCTTTGGTGCTGTAGTGCAAACATGTAGCGCGGTACTACCGCTAGATACAGAACAAGCTATAGTAAAATTCAGCAGAATCGATACCGTTGGACAACTTTTACATGCGACTTGATTTGAAACTCCGTGATGATGACATTGGCGTGATTTGAACTGTGCTCTCAAAAGTTATTTCCCCGTAAAAAGCTCGTATTATACCTTGTACCATTTTTTTTTAAACTTTTACCATCTTTGACCCCATCCGTCATCTTATTTTCTCTTCTCTTCTCTTTTCTCTTTTCTCTCCTCTTTTGTTTCTTTTTCTTTTGCTTTTTTTTTCCTTCGTTCTATGTTTTATCTCCCATTCCTCTCTCTCTCTTTTACCTCTTCTATTTGAATCCTTAAGCCCTGACGAAAGGTTGTCATGGCTCTTGAGTCTTGAGTCTTGAAACCTCTTACGCGACCATGTCGTAAGTTGTAACTTGTAACTTGTAACATGTAACTTATTTTCAGTATCAATCGTCTTCGTCTATCATCTTCGTGAATCGTGACTTTGTTCTCGTCATTTCAGTGAATCAGTGGTTTCGTCGAAAGTAGGATATGCGTTACAGACACGCGTATTGTGTACAGTTGGTCAAGTATCGAGTATCGAGTTTCTTTTTCTTTTACTTTTCTTTTTTCTTTTTTCTTTTCTTTTTTTTTTTTTTTTCCCTCTTTTCCCCCCTTTTCTTTCTAATCATTCGAGTTTCTTTTTGTCTTTTGTCTTTTGTTGTCTGTTGTCTGTTGTCTCTACTTTTCTTGTTATTTTTGTCGACTTTATATTTTTTATTTTTTTTGTTGCTATTTTTATTCTGTTTTTTACTTTATTTTCCCTTTAAAAGCCTATCTTCCATTCATACATTCAGTCAAAAATCTCTACGTTATCCAATTTCAAAACATCTGATTACACCTATGTAATGTATTGTAGTCTGTAGAAATATACCCGTGTGATAGTTATATTTGATATTCGATATTAGCATGTACATGCACTGGATCACTGGACATATTTAAAAAAGATTCACATGTTTTGATTTGTTGATTTTCACATAAGGGGAAGGAGAAAAAAAGAAGGGGAAAAAAAAAAAACACGAATTGAATACGAGTTGAATATGGGGAATAGAAAGAGTCGAAGACAAAAAAATGTTTTCATTCTCAATATGCTAATAGCCTAATAGGTCGTAAATGCTTTTTTCCCTTGAGATGGGAATGTGAAATGTAGGTAGCGAGGCGTAACCACCGCCACCACCACCACTACTCTGCAACTACAAACTACCACCGAGACAAGTTTCGTAAGACTCAGACTCAAGTCCAATTGAGCAACGTAGCGTGTGTCCAGTGTTCACTGTCAATAGCCATCTCTATCAACTAGAGGAGAAAAAAATGAAGGCGTCAATGAGACAAAGCTGTCAATGAGATAAAGGTGTTATTTCGTAAAAGAGCTAAAGGTGTCAAAGCCACGAAAAAAAGCAGATATATATCAAGCAAATGTATTAACCACTACATTTGTCGAATTGGCATGAAACTCTGGCTCTTCTGTCGCTGCGCCTTCTTCTTCGAGTTGTTCTTCTTCAGAGCGGCAGCACGATTTGCTTTCGGATTTATTTCCGTTGGCGGAATTTGAGTTGGAGCTGCAGCATGTTCCTGCGCGAGGGGCGGAGTGGGAAGGTGTCTCGGGTGTGTCGGCGGATCCGCAGGTTTCCGTCTCCGCGGCGGTGTGAGTGGGAGGAGCAGAAGAAATACCAGGAAGGGCAGGAGACGAATCGACAGCATCATTGACGACAGACTCGCCGGTCTCGCCGGCCTCGCTGGCGTCCTTGCGGTTCTTGCCCTTGCGAAAGACTCTGGTGTCAGCTGGGTCGAAGCCGCCGTGTCCCCAGGTGGCCCACTCGGGGGTGGGGGGACCAATGTAGTCTTCTGGCCCAAAGGGCTTGCCTTCGGCCAAGAGGTCAAAGAAGCGGTCGTAGTCGATCAGAGTGTGCCAGCGGCCGTTGATGCGGAAGTTTGTCGAGGCGAGGAGGATACAGCAGCTATTACGGTCAGCGTTTATGCACAGCACATTAATGAACTTGATTTTTGGGGAAGAGGAAAAAAGATAGGAAAAGGAAGGAGAAAGATAAGAAAATAGAAAACAAAAAAAGGGATATATACCTATGAGCGTGTTCGGCGGCGATGCCATAACTCAAGCCACGTCTTCTCAATTCGTCATCCAGCTTAATGACAAACTCCTTGATTTCCTCGTAAAATGGAACATTCTGCATTGTGAGCCCAGCCCGACTAGAGTCCGAGGTACCGCAGTACGTGACGCCCTTGATCTCAACAAAGCAAGGAATTCCACGCTCAACGAGGTCGGCATAGCCCGTGACTTCCTCGTCAATGTTGAATCCCTTGACAAGGGTCAAGCGGAACACTGTGCGCTGCCGGGAGCGGTGTTCGCGCAAGATGTCCAAGCATCGCTGGAAACGCTCCCAGAAGTCGCGGTGCAAGGGACGGTCAATGCGGCGGAGCGCGTCCCGGTTGCTCGCGTCGATGCTGACGTACAGCTGCGTGACCTGTTCTAGGGCAGCAAGCTGGTCTGGGTGCTGGGCGTTGCAGACGAGGAAGCTGGAGATGCGCTCGTTGTGAAGCATGCGGGTGAATTCGTTAATGTGAGGGTAAAAGATGGGTTCGCCGACCAGACTCAGGGCGCAATGACGAATACGCATGGCTTCCTGGAACCGCTCGGCGCGGACTCCGGGAACGCCTTTCATCATCTTAATCTTCTTGTAATGGCCCTCTTTGACTCCATCAAAGATCATCTCTGGCGGGTCGACCTTCCACCGCCACGTGGTACCCACTGGGTTGGTGCCGTGACGCCAGCAGAAGATGCATTTGTTGCTGCAGCTGAGCGAGGGCGTGGTTTCCATGCAAAGATGCGATTTGATACCGTAGAACGAGAATTTGTAGCACGATCCACGTCCGCGCAGGGCGGATTTGGTCCATCGGCAAATCTTCACGCCAGAGTGCGAGCCGACGATGGTGTAGCCTTGTTTGGTGAGTGATGCATAGGTTGGCGATGTCTTGGGGACCATTTCCTTGGCGGTAGGTGCGGTGGCGGACGGGGAACCGGATGATTTCTTCTTGCCGTAAGTGGTAAAGTCGACGGCGAGAGGAGCATCTGACGAAGAGTCTTGTTCCGCGTTGTTGTTGTTTTCATCAGACTTGCGGAGTTTGCTGCCTAGGTCCTCAAGATCGTCGACAGCAGCTGCCTTGTTGCGTCTGCGCTTTACGCGGAGTTTGGCTTGTGCGCCGGCGTCCGAATCGCCAGGCGAGGATCCGTCTGCCTCCGCTTCCACTTCCGCATCCGCCTCCTCCTCTTCTTCCTCCTCGTCACTCTCCACTGGATCTCCGCTCCCGGAAACGCCTTCGCCAAGGCCGCCCTTCTCGACAATGTCGGCTAGAGCTTCCTGCACGCCCAGTCGCCATTCCTCAAGTCGTTCTTTGGAATCGCTCTTCACGTCACCCATGCCCAAGGGGAATGCACGCTTGCGACCAGTCAACTTGGCCATCCATTTGTCAACCTGCCGAGCCTGAGAGCAAAATCCATCCTCTTCTGTCGGCCATCCCTCCTTGTCTCCAAAACCAAATACCGAATATCCGAGCAGAGGTGATAGTGGGGCCGTGTCGATGCGGAAGTCGTGGTGAGTCTCCTGAAGATGGTCGAGGAATGGGTCGAGGGTGGTATCTATATTGTACGTAGGAAGAAGAATCATGTAAAAGTATAGCACCTCCGCCTCTTCATCTTCAACGATTTTGGGTGGCGCAATGAAAAAGTCGTCATAGTCAATGTAAGATAGATCGTGTAATTGCGGTTCCAAGAAACGCTCAGCACGCGACGAAGCAGCCAGAGCAGTCTTCATAACCTCAAAGAGACCCTCTGCAGACTTCTGGGTGCTGGCAGTAAGAGAGGCGTAGAAAACCAATGGCTGGACTTTGAACGGAGCGCGCGGAGTGTCTGCTCCATTGGACTTCGGACTCTTTGATCGTTTTGTTCCGGTCACTCTTTTAGGCGCAGCATCGGTTTTCTTCTTAATCGGCACCTCCTTTTCAGAAATTGGTTCCGCAGCTGAGGATTCCGCATTGTTGTTCTCCCGAGACACAGTTTTCTCGTCAAGTGAGTTTGGAGCAATCCATTCTTGTGGCGCTTCCTTCTTTGAGTCCAACGCTGGAGAGCTAGGCGCTGGAGAAGACGACAGTTTTTCGCGAGAGGCTCGAAGTCGTGAAACCGCACGTATGGCGACGAACGTGATCGCCACTCCTATAAAAAGGGGAATGCGAAAGATATGCCATGCGGCGAGGAGGTCTGAAGAGATCAGTAAATGCTGCTATAGGAAAAACAATGATTCTATCAAATCACGTACCACTAAAGATGCTCCCAGCCATTTTGGCCAGTCAATGGCAATGCCAAAACCGAATAGTCAAGGACAGAATGATCCTAGATATTGTAGTCTCCCGTGTTCCGCAACACCAAAAAGCAGCAGTCCCGCGTTCTGAGCATTGAAAATATATTGCTTATATAATATTGTGGGGGAGGGGCGGACGGGGATGAACGCTAAACCCAAAGGAGGTGTGGCTGAAGCTGCCCTTGACAGTTCACCGCTTGAGTTCCCTTGAAATCAACAACTTTCACAGATCACCTTCTACATCAGCTACATTCACAGCAGTCTTAAACCAATTCCTGGAAGATGCGAGCGTGGTAGTAAATCTTGCGAATAGACACAATCAGCTCCGTCTATCTTCCCTCGCCAGTATCGCCCTCGCCGCCTCCTATCAACTTCATGTGAACGCAGGGATGATATCGCGCTAGTCAAACGCAGCTCCAGTCAACATATTTCCTCCAACGTGTCTCTCGCAAATCCTACCATTGCGATCGTCTCTCTATAGCTTCGCCTAGTCTCTCAGTATCATCGACTCTATGGTGCTCAAAAAAAGTCATTGCGATGAGCTGGCATCGCCAAGCTATGTCAATCTTACACTGTCAATGTAAGCTACTCCTCAGCTCTGCAGCGGTTTCACAGCAGTATCAATTAATGTGGCAATGTTTTAGACTCATCTTACTTGGAATTTTGATCTCCTATTTGCCGCAGCATTATCGTATCATAGCACGGCGTAGCTCGGAAGGAATCTCTCCGTTTTTTGTTCTCCTCGGCACAACGTCTGGCACTTGTGGCTTTGCCAATATTCTCGTTCTACCAGCCAGTCGTGCCGATCTTGCTTGCTGTAAAGAAGTCAGCGGATTTGCTTGCTTTGCTGGTCTTCTGGGTATTGCTCAAGTGGGTGTGCAATGGCTTTGTTTCACCATAATGTATGCACAATTTCGCTCACCCCATCTAGCGGCAGCCAGTGTTTGCTGGGCTGGCTTACCACCTTTTCATAATTGCTAATTCTCACGCAACAGACTTCTTCTTTTTCTACTCTTCTTCCCTCGAACGTCACCGTTGCGACCCATCTCTAGCGATCCTGCATTACGAACCGCTCTCGGTGTTGTTGTCATCTGCTTCATTCACATCCTCGTGACATTCTTCATCAGTACCTTTATACTTTATCTCCACCCATCACTACTACAAACATGGGCGAACGTTCTAGGCATATGCTCCACACTCCTCGCCTCGATCCAATACATTCCGCAGCTCTGGATGACATGGCATCTAAAGCACGTTGGTAGCCTCAGTATCCCAATGATGTGTATCCAGACTCCAGGAAGCTTCGTCTGGGCCGGTAGTCTGGCGGCTCGTCTTGGCGCACAAGGATGGAGTACGTGGGTCGTCTATTTTGTCACTGGAGCTCTACAAGGCTGTTTACTTGTAATGGCAATCATCTTCGAAATTCGGGACCGGCGAGAACGAAAGCGCAAGGCATCTGCTGTTGGTGGATTTGACGGTGGAGCAGGAGGCCACGAAACAGACGATGAAGGCCACCACCAAGTCGAGGGCGATGGTTCAAACGAGCAGACGCCGCTTTTGCGATAGACTCCAATCAGCCCGCGAGTCCCGCGAGATTGATTACTCTACACTGCGTCAACGATTCTCGGCATGCACTCACGTCCGCCACATGTCGGCATTCTTAGGAGAAGATAACCCGCGAGGATGCCGGTATACATTCTCATTAACAGTGATGGAAGGGAAGAGAAATAAAAAAGAAATTATCATTATGGCGAATTGGAAATGGGCTGCGTTAGCGGTGTTGGAAAACCTGGCTAGACCATGGCGTTGGGACTGATGGCTGAATTGTTTTCCCTTTTAGATTAAGTTAGCGGTTTTGGAATAATTCTAGGCGCGATCTCGTAATATGAAGAGAATTCATTTTTCTTCTATTCATCAACTATTTTATACACAACTACACATGTGTCCATGTTTGCGGTCATCAATTCGTCATTGCGCATTACTGCTTCATATACTCCATATTTTCAGCGAATTATCCCGCTGAATCTCTCTACTCTTTTTCACTCTCCCCACTTTGTCCCCCATTCCCTTTTGCCCGCGGACTACATCCTCGGCCTCAGGCTCAGGCTCAGACTCAGAATCAGATTCGCTATCTGATGACTCCTCAAACAGCGCCTCTACCTTTCTCTGGCCCGAACACGTCGCAATCACCGTTCCGCACGGATGCACCGCCGTCGAGCCAACCGGATCGCCATGCGCACGCCACTCCCAGCTCGGGAACTGGATGCCTTCCTTTTGCGCTGCATTTTCCCAGACGCGCACCATGCCATCGTCCCCGCCGGCCCAGACTTCATGCGTGTCGTCTACACGCACAACGTCCATTCCAAGCCGCTGGTTCGTATGCGCGCTGCGGCCTTCGAGACGGCCTAGTTTCTGGCCTGTCACACGGATATCGTATACAATGATGCCAGAGCTTTTGCGCTCCGCGACATAGAGGTATCGTCCACAAGGGGACCAGGCGGTCTGTGTGATCCCTGCGCCGGGAGCATATTTGTAGTTTGGGGGCGGTACATTCCCCTCCCGGTCCCGGGTTCCGGCAGTGGTTTCGACAGAGGTAGATAGGTCAGACAAGTCATCTGGACGCTGCGCTAGTCCGCGCCCGTGTCGTTGGTCTTTTTCATCCACGACGGAGAAAACGGCGACGCAATCCCCTCGGCCCTGCGCGGCGTACAGGCCGATACATCGGGAGAATGTCCCCGCAGCGACAAGTCCATCGAGAGCACTCATGCTGAGCGCGCTGACGATGCCTTTCATCCCGACACCGCCGCCGACGAGCTTTTTCCGTTTTGACGGAATAGTAGGCATTCGCGTGAACGGGCCTTCGCCGGGCCGGTTGACGTCGAAGATGGAGATGAGGCTGTCCGACCCTGCGAGAAAGGAAATGCCATCTGGAGCAAAGAGGAGGGAGTGAGGCGTGATGAATTTCTCAGTGGTAGGGCACACGTGTGGGTATGAAGCTAAGAGAGTAGGTGCTAGTGCGGAGTGCAGTTGGATGGGGTGGTCCCGGATGGAACTGAGTGCCAGAGTTGTCGCGCCGTCTTGAAGGTTGAAGCCTGGGTATAGGGCGCTGGCGTAGACTGGCTCGGGACATGTGATTGTTGAGTAGGCGCTCAGATGGTGCGTGGTGGGAGTCTCGAGGAGGTCAACGGGTCTGACAAGTTCATGGTTAGTAACTTTTGGGTTGGATTTTTGGGTCTAGGAAAAGGCTGGTGAAAAAGCATGGAAATAATCCAAAAGAGGTGATTGAGGCGGGAACGTACAAGACGAATGTTCTTAGCTTATTGTCCTCGCTGTTGGTAAAGATGCATGTTCCGTCCGGTGACCTGGGAGTTCGTTAGAGCTGCACAGATGATGTAGGAAACATATAATGAGATATGTATAAATGAATGAAGTTTGCGGGAAGACAATAATAATCATACCATTGCGCGCTTTTGAAGAAATTGGATCCTTTGTATGCCTCTTGATTATCTGTGGAAGAGCTAGCATTGCTGTCTTGCGCAGTCCCAGCTTCTGGAGCATTGGAAACAGCTATTTCTCTTTGTGCAGTGTCTGCTACAGAGCAATTAAATGTCTCAAGCGTCGAGCCCACACATCTTGGGGCTGTATCTATGGATTCCTCCCCTTGGGCCATGAGCAAGACAGCATGTGAAGAAGAAAGAGCATCGTTATCGATAAAATAGAGAGAGAGACCGGGGGGAGAGTTAGGGCCGGGTCATATTTCAGCCGAGGCCGGCGGTGAGCGGATAGTTTGCCGACACGTGATTTCCTAACTATCCCCAGTTGCACTCCCTCTGCTATGTCCCTTCCCTTTTGGTCTCAATTGATCTAAAATTCGTTTGTTAATATAAAGCCTCTTGAAATATCCTGACGTTTGGCACTGCTCTGTCATTTTGCATGAGAGTATTGCATTATATCTAACGCCATCACGTCACATTCCTTTCAAAAGGCACATAGAAGGCCCCCGAGCCGGATGCGGCATTTGTCAACAAGGCAGATATCGAGGCAATAGAAAGATCAGAATTGACAATGGGGCTTCTCAATAACCCTCCTGAGCTGGGGGCATGGCGGCAACGTCTATTTGCTCTTGATGAGCCCGTGATAATACCTTATCACCAATTCGAAGTTTATTGGCCGTATGTCGACAATGTATGGGTCCGCAATAAGGCACGTGGCGTAAAAGGCACCCCTCTCACAAATGTATATTATTCATGCCGGCTGTGTAGAAAGGACAATGCCGGTAAAATGAACGATGAGGAAATCAATGGGAGCGATGGCCGCGCTCATGGAGAAACGGGAGAACCACAGCCGCCACAGTCTGCGCGAGAAGAGGAAAGGGAACGGCCCGAGCCACCAGGTCCACAAGCAGAACCAGGGCAAGAAGCCGAAGTACATCATCAGCAAGGGATTCAATTACCACAGCCTACTGCGGCCGAACCGCATAGTGAACCTTCGGATGAAAGGCCTGCAGGAGCTCCGTCAGAAGGCAATGAGCAATATCAAGCTTCCCTTGAAACAGATCAAAGCACGCCAAGAAAGAGGACCCGTGTTCGCGCAAAACGGGAAGGTGGAACATGTCAGGCGCGTCTCAAAATGGTATATGATGCCCGTACAGGCGCATACACCATAACCCGGTACTCTGAACCTCATACGCATGACTTGCGACGCTCGGATCAGGTCAAGAGACCTTCGGCACTCATGAATATCATGGCTGCTGAAGGCGCAAAGAATTATGAACCAGCCGAAATCATGCGCGTTATGCTAAAGCGAGATCCTGACGGACGCGCCAAACTTGACGAGGCAGGTGGCGCGTTCTTGACTAGGACGGACGTCAAAAACGCGGGCTACAAGGCGCGCCGAATGATGTCTGGTCCCGATAGCGCTGGAAGTCAAGCTCGACAAGAGGAAGGACCACCCGACCACCCGATAGATACTTCTATCGCTTGATCACTGGGAATGATACTCGTCAGGGGGCTCTTGGATCGTTGTTGCAGCTCTCAATTGCCGAAAGCTGTTACCGCCACTTTCTATCCAGTGTCGCGCTTACTTTCAGCAAAGCCTTCTGACCTCCAAATATGCGCTCGAACCTTTTCAGTCTTTCGAAGATTGGCATCTTAACGAAAGCTGAGAGACCAGAGTCACACTTTGCATCAAGCCCTACATTTCCCTGCTTTCGTGTTTCGCTTGGAATTTTGAGCTCAGACAAAACAATTTGGGCCGCATAAGCATTCACACCTGCTTTACGGAGAAATAACTCCCACTTTATCATGTCTAGCGTTAGCATGGGACTCTAAACCCCGAACGTCATTCTGTTTTTACATACCAGGGTTTCGTCCTGCAACAGCTTGGGTTCCTTGATAGCCCTTCCGTATTTTATCGCCAGCGCAACTATCCATTTCGCCATTTCTATCTCTCCTCCAGCCACAAAGATAAATTGCACTTCTCCTGGTCCATATTTGGAAACATGGCCAACAAGTTCGGCGAATGCTTCACAATCGTTTTCACCAAGGTTGGTGGCTCCAATTGCTTTGGCCTGTTCACCTTGCAGCACCACACCACTCTCGTAGACAAGGATAATTAGATGTTCATACCGCGCGACGACATGATCAATACGCTCCCTGAGCCCAGCGCGAGGTGCGCTACCTGGAGGTGCGCGTTGCCTGATCTTTTGTATAGTTGTGCAGATGATGCCAGTGCCCGGGGAGATGATCAGGTCAGCTTCCGATTCTATTTCCCACGTCGGGTTGCTTAAATGCTCTCTGGAAGATAGTCGCGCGTGAGCCAAAAAGTCCCTCTCAATAAAAGTTGCTTGGGGGCACAGCTTCTCAATAGCTCGGAAAAGGATTCGTTGCTTCATTAAAGCCGAGGAGATGATGAATGTTAAAGGAGGTACAACCGTACCCAGAAAAGGCGCTGGGAATGGCTTGCTCTCGCCGAGCCTGCCACATGGACCGACACATTCAGATAAAGTCTCTGAGCGATTTATCTCCCTGGGGCCCGCAGTTGAACAAAGGGCTTGTTTGGAAGCTTTGTCTACTTCCTCCGAATCACGAAGTAATATACCCTTTCCTCCCCTTGCTTTGAGAAAATTTTCTAGCGACCTTTTCGTTGAGAAGTTCTCAAGAGAGAGATGTCCATTCACCACCTCTTGGTATCTGCTCTTTGACCTGTCTGCGTGCCATTGGCACTTTTCGAGCATGAGCTTCCGCCTCTTCACCACGGCTCCCAGATCTTCACCCCCACCATTTACCAATCTTGGTCTCTTCCCATTGCCGCCGCCCTGAGTCAGCTCTTTTCTTCTATTCTCTTGCCGATTACCTTTAGTGGGTGAATCGGAATATTCATCCTCTAGTCTGCCAAGACGTAAATCTGTCGCCTTGGCAGCTGAGACGCCAGTCAATGGCGGAGAGAGAAGAGAGCAGGAGCGTTGTATCGAAGCTTCCTCACTCCTCCCCACTCGGGCTGTCCCGAGATCTGAGCCCGAAGGCGTCTTGGTAAACCAGCTGGATGTCGTGCCGGTATCCCTGAGGCCCATTTTGGGAGGAGTCACTGAATCGCAGTAATTCTGCATGTCTTGTGAATGCCCCAGTGGCTTCACTCCTGGCTTTGGAAGTCGAGGAGCAAGGTGGATTAAAGGGGAGTATTCACATGGCACAGAGAGGGAAGAGTGCTCTTAACTTGTCCGCATACTATTAAATAAAATGAGCGTCCCCCGGCTAGTGGGCTTGACACTTGGGATATCTTTCTATACCCAATCAAACGTATAAATAATATAAAACAAAGCCGCAAGAATAAATCTTTCAATGAAGTCAAGATGGGTCTAATTTTTACCATTCTCTTGCGGTGCACTAGGGTCCCGGCGACTCAAATTAACGAGAAGCTCATCTATGATCCGCAGGGTTCGCTCCTTCCATCTGAGATTGCCAGAGTTCGTCTCGTGTCTGCTAGATTCACAGCTCACCCCCGCTCTAAGCCAAATCCTTGAATTTCCTTCGACATGAACTTAATCAGAGAAGACCATCTTGGTCAAAACCTTTTACGAGAAAGCTATAGCTCGATTACAAATTAGCACTGATCATCAGATATTACTCAAAGATTATACCTATACAATACCTTCACTGAAGTGGGATTTCTACCCCGATCTGGGTAGGTCGACAGAATGCTTAGGCTTAAGTGCTGGAGACAAAAAGAAATTAACCAGTTCTATAGCTTGTAGGAAAGAAGCCAGAAAATGGAATCTTAAACCGCCGTCAGTTTTTGGTTTGCAAAGTGGAATTAACAAAACATTGAAGCTGACAGATGAGCCAGATGGCGATCAATCATCGGAAACGGAAATCTACAGAGCATTTGCGTATTCATTATTGAGCTGTGTCTGGTGGAGTTACTTTCTCAAAATTGGAGCCATTAACAGACGGGACAATCTCCAATGCCAACCCTGACCGGTACTATGGAGCACGGCCTTGGGCCATTGATGCAATTATGCAAGGGTCCGGGCGGAACTGAGGAAGAGAATAATTTCAACAAGGCAAATGCACGCCCCAGTGGCTCCAAATTCTTGCTGCGAGGTCAAAGGCTACAACGACTTCGTGGTTTCCCAAAGACAGACAACCTACAATAGAGCCCTCGGGGCCCGAGGGATGCATAGCCTGATGGGCTACGGACGGGAGGACACCGTGTATGATGAAAATGCATACATGGTATCCTCCACATGCCAAGGTTGGATGCTCAAGATGTATGCAACCCATCTTTCTGCATCTGGGAGTGGGGGGACCAGGCGAGATCAAATTGCAAAATAAATATAATTGACATTCATACCAATGGGCCCAAATGGCGCTATCACAATTAATATCCCGGAACACGGTCCCTAAAATTGTCTAAAAGGGCTCAAAGGAGGATAATTTCAGGGATATTTCAATTCCTCCATGAAATTCTTTCCTCGATATTGAAAGAGAGACATAAGAACAACATTTCATTCGCACAATACATAAGACCTGGCAGAGAACCGCTATTCAGCAACCTTTACTTCCAGGACGCATGATCAAGGCACCGAATATCTGCCATCCACCGTCGGCTGTCGCATTTTCTATTGTCATCGCTCAATGTTCAAAGACTATAAACGCAGTATCCTAATAGCACAACCATTATCTAGATATCTGCGTTGACTTGAAACTGGATTATTGGGATTTTCACCCTCTTGGGGACAGCGTACAACGGTACAAGGAGAAGCCGGTGCGTTGCATTATATGCAGAGGAATTGACGGCTCTTATGGAGGCACGAGAACTCAGATGATCCGACCGATGTAAGTTATCGAGTTGTCCAATAATATCTTAGCTCAGTTCTCATCCGTCAATTGACAATCAAAATTCGAAAAATTCTTCATTCCCTAAAACCTTTCGAGAAAAGGTGCTCTACATATGACGCGATTTTGAGGAAGCTTCAGCCGCCCACGCATGGAAGAAAGCAGAATGAGAACAATTTTTACGACTACGGACATGAACCGGTTCGTCTTTATAAGACCGCCATCAAAGGAATATCTTGGACTCCTGGACTAATGCTCTTGGGAAAGGGCAGCTTTTTGAAGTTATCTTGAATGGACGCTCTTCGCGCAGCTTAAGTGTGCTCTTGGATCGCCGTCGTCACAGATTTTTTCGACGCAAGCAGATAATTAGTTTGGGCAAAATATGACTTCCTGGATGATACCGTAACTTAGGGCGCACAGGAAAGCTAGTTGGCTCTCGTTCTTTCTATTATGGCATATAAGTTTGAAACTTCTAGTAGGCGTTGTATAAGACAGGAATTAACAAGTCTCTTACGCCGGCCAATGATTTGACTGCCCGGAAAGCAACTGATTGGATTGCCTTTGCAGTGGCATTTATCGAGCATGCAAGTACATGCTATTTTCTCGGAAAGAGTTGCTATGCTTATTATTTCCACCACTTATTGTTCTGACGCATACCAACCATGCATTTTGCGCAGCAGTGCATCTTTTTATAGAGCAGAGGGCAAGTTGTTTTTTCGAAGAAGCAGACGATCAAAAGAAGAGATAGAGCTACAGCTGGGACGAATGGATACATGGATTGACATGATGCTTTTACTTTTTCCGCTCAATTTTCCAACAATGAATCATTCAAACGTTACATCAGGAGCCAAAAGGGTCTACGCAATACAAATTGCGTTTTTCTGGAGCATTCAAAATTCAGAGAAAAAAGCCCAAGAACTAATAGAGACACGCAAGCAAAACAGCACAGGAAAATTTCAAAACAATTGCGTATCTGATTGGGCTCAAATCCCCGAACAGGTCTTCAAAGTTTGGACTCTACGCTCGAAACTGCCAAATCTGTGTACGAATAAAACTGCAAATCAGCGCTGAACAGATTAGACCTCACCAAACTACTCATCAACTCAAATGTGTGGGTCTTGGCCCCTCGGTATGAGAACCGTGTACGGTGTACGGTGTACCAAAGCGCTGTCAAGCTTACAGCGGCCGAAATCCATCTGGGTTTCACGGATTAGCGCGTGTCTGCATTTTCGGCCTTCTGAGAAGGCGGACAAAACTTGGTAGACAGTTTGATGATTACAAACTGCGATCAGGGGGAAATTGTGACCTACAAGCATATGCAATCAAATTTTTGGAGAGCTTCAGAATGCAAGGAATCAGGGAAGAAGTCAAGAAACTGCTGATAGACCAACCAATATCCGGACGGAAAACAAGACTTGTCAAATTCCTATAAAGCCATGTGAAGATCGTAATACGACATAGGGTGCTGTCCAGCAGGAAATCGGGGGATTTTCTATTAACACCTCACAGCGGAGAAACGAAAACTCCCAAACCAATCTTAACACCGCCTTGTGGCTCAACAACGCCCCTTGTATGAGGCTTCGCTGCTGTCAAAAGGGACCAGGGGCGTAGCGAAGGCTGTTACAAGGGTCGCTCGACTCGCTCAGTTAGACGCTGCAATGTCTACGAAGCCTCGTACAGGGGGCCCGTCCAAGTTCGCGCAATCCCCTCTCCCGGCCCAAAATCGACATGACAAACAAGCCATTTCTTAGCCAGCGAGCAGTCAGCAGGCAGCCGCAAAGCCGGCGTCAAGAGGCCTCGAGTCACGGTTCCCTGTTCATGTCATCTAGCCCAGTAGACGGCGAAAGCGCGTGGCAGGAAGTCCTCAGGATGTCGAATGGAAGAGATGGTGGAAGTCGGAAGAATTGGTCAAAGGGAAGGTGGGGAGGGGAATTCAGAAAGGTAGAATACCCCGGATGGTCTTGCTTGTATTTAGTACGAGAATCGTTTCATCGGAGGAGAATTTTTTCCATTTCTCTCACTGTCCCACATCTGTTCTATTGGCGTATGAAGAGGATCACTAGCTTTTCCCGAAAACCACTGAACCACTGTTCGATCATACCATTCTTCTAAACTCGTTCCTCAGTATCTAATACCACAAAGCCCACGTGGGAATGTTTGTAGCTCGCGCCTACCTCCCGAGTCGAGACATATTGGAATACAATTCTGAAGTTCAGAGGCATGAATTGGATATATAAGTGTTTCATTTAGTCACATGCAAGTCAATATCTGTAAAAAAAAATGAATAAGAAAAGTTTAAGAAAATAGGAATCAATTTCCACTATAAGTCTGATTTAGATATTCCAGGACCCGCCACTCTGAATTTGGAGAATTAAAAACCCATAAAAACGCCAGCCTCGCTAACCGCTAATGCCCCATGTTAAAGAATGATGCAAATGAAAGTAAAAAAGTTCATCTTATCGTGGAAAAAAAAAGGCCTAATGGTCCAGCCCCAAAATTTTCAACATAACCAAAGGTTTTGATGAAAGACAGTTATAAACGGTTTTAATATTAAAACCGTTTGAAGGAATTGCAACAGAAGCTGACAGGACTCCCCAGGAGTCTAATCGTTGTAGTTGGACTGACCGGTGCCGTCCTTGTTGACTTGAGGAAGGCCATACGTGGCATTGAACTCCTCTTCTTGAGACCGGCCAGCGGGATCAAAGCGAGGGCGCTCAGCATGGCACGCAACACGCACAGCGTGCCGGCGGTGAGGGCGGAAACCATATGTTGCAGAGTGGTTCTACAGAACATGAGGTTAGTATGTGATAAAATTTGGAGGGGCGGAAAACCTAAAAAAAAAAAAAAAAAGAGGTTGGACGTACGCAAATACGGTTATCCCAGATGGCGACATCGTTCTTGTTCCACTGGAAGCGGGCCTGGAGCTCGTAGGTGCTGGTGACAATCTCGGTCAGGAAGCGAATGATGAACTCGCTCTCGACCTTGGGCACGCCGACAATCTTGGTGACGAAGCCGGGGTTGAAGAAGACAGACTTCCAGCCAGTGACTGGGTGGGTCCGGACCAAGGGGTGCTCGGTCACGACGGGCTCACGGCGGACGGGGCGGCCAGATGCCCGGGATCCGTCAGCCTGCATTTGGGCGGAGTGAAGCGCAGTAAGGCCCTCTAGGTATTTCTGCATGTGGGGTGAGAGGGAGTCGTAGACGGCGTATTGAGACGACCAGAGAGTGTCGCCACCACCGCCACGGGCCGGGCCGGTGAGGACCTTGAGTGAAGTGTATGAAGGAGGCTGGATCTCATAGGTGACCTGTATATCATATGTTGTCAGCTTACTGTGAAACGTGATTGGGGTTTTATAAGCTTAGGAGATTTGGGATCCAAATCTTACATCAGAGTGCCATAGGAATGATGGGCTGAAGAGTGCTCGTTGGTCTTTGGAACCCTCGTCTGTGTAGACAACGTGGACATCGTCGATGCCATTCTTGGGCGTGGCGGTGGTGGCGTGCTTGTGCAAAACACCATAGTAGGCACCCAGCTCGCGTTGAGACTCAATATCGAGCTCCGGCTGGTCCCGGAACATAACTACGCCTCGAGTAGCAACGAGACGGGCGAGGTCGTTCTTCTGAGCTTCGGAGAGCTTGGCCAGGTTGACGCCATGAACCTCGGTGCCAATCTTGGGGGTGAAGTCAAAGACATCGGTGGCGTCTTCGAGAAGGTTGCGGAAGGTAGGGTCACCGAGAAGACCCTTGTCCGCGTAGGGGACCTCCTTCAGCTCATCCCAGTGTACGTCGGGGAACGAAGGACGCAGGTCTTCGTGTGGGTAGTCTTCGTGAGACTCAATGATTTGGCGGCCGGGCACGTAGTTGAACTTATTGTTGGATGGCTTGGAGAGCTGGACGAGCTTGGTCGTCACAGGCGTCTCAGTGACGGTCTCAGTGAGGGAAGGCGCCATGGCGGAGTAACAGAGAGCTTGAGCAGTGATATATCAAATGGCCAGCGTAAAGAAAAATATGTCTAGAAAATGCTTTGGAATTGCTATTGAATGATGAAGAGATATAGGAAGATAAATGCAAGAGCTTTCCTGAGGGAGGGCGTCATGGTAATATATACCCTAATGTCCAGTTGGAGGAGGGGGGTCCAATGATTTCCATAGAGATACGGAGTAAGTCAAACAATGGCAGGATGGCACCATCGCTCGGATCGAGCACGAGCAATTGCGGGATGAAACATATTGAGGACGGTGGACTGAACCAGTAAGTGTCCGGAGGCCGTCGCGAAATCTTAACTGCTTCAGGAAATGCTACACTGCTGGGTCAGCAACACTAGAATCAGTGACAATCAGAGTAGAAGACGTGTATCCATGGTTATGTTATCTCTCTTTCACGCTTTTGCAAATGGTGGGGGAGCTCTAGCAGTCGAACCAATTGAGCGGTAAAAGGGATACGCAATCAGCATCGGCAAAGAATGCTGCTCAATGAAAAAGAAAAGCTATTCTCAGTAATTAAGCCGGAAGAACCGTCTCCCACTAGCCTCGGAGGAGGGAGGGAGCGAGGTTCCAAAGTGGTTGATCAGCATCGTGGGTTATCCGGGGGATAGGCAACGATAGACGAAACGTCTAAACCTGAAGCCAAGCGTCAGCGTAAAAAGGCCGAATCAGACTTCAAGGCAGAGGCGCTAAAGGAGTAAAAGGGCTGAAAGAGGCATCGAAAGGGGTAAGGAGGCGGCCCTCAACGCACGGACCAAGAGCAATCACGCAAGAGCATAACTCAATGTCGAATCTCAGCATCACTCACTGTACCTCTGTACTTTTTCCGCTCACATCAAGTCTCTCAGTCTAGTATAAGTTCGTATTTGAGTCATCATTCAATCAATAGATGAAGCGGTGTCGGCTGTTACATCTTTGCTTGGCCCGAGAGGCTATGAGTGTGATGATGAAGAGAGGCAGTCACACAAGCCTCGTGTTTTCCCTCTTCGCCGCAGAAAATCAACGGGTGACGTCCCTTCGCTTGCTTATGTCATCCACCCACCACTCACACGACAACTTTTCCCCTTGTTTTCCCCACAGTCCCAATGACTAACCGATCGTCATAGTAATACCTTACTGCAACGACAGTTCTTCTCTCTTTCCACAATCATTTTTGGATTGTTGGCTGAAATCTATTGGAATAATGCAGCAATTCAATAGACAAGCACTTGGAACGACCGTGTTCAGCATTCAATGTGCATCGTCCGACTTGAACGGGCTATGATAGCTCGAAAAGGTGGAAATCGGTCCAGTCGGCATTCTGTTACCAAGAGTTGTCTAGCGTATGTGGGGCAATTCGTCCTTTGCCACGGCTGTTGCGTTTGATCATTTCAGCAACCACCCTGGACCGATAAGGTGCAAAATGGCAGAATGTTGCTCTAGTCGTCGAAGCGAAGGCGAAAAAGCAACTCACCAAACGATGTGACCCGGTCGGTTTTTTCAAAAGCACGGCATCGACTCATCTAAAATCCATACTAATTTATCTGAATTGAAAAAATCTGCTTTATGGGCTCATGTTTGCTTGGGTTGTTTAGTTCGAGGTATGTCCCAAGAGTCGAGCAATTCACCTGCCGAGAGCGCTTGAATATTAGTGTCATGGACTTAAGACAAGGCTACGATCCGCGCCTCTGCATGGGATTCACACACTCGTGGCGGTCAAACAATCTGTGTGCGTGAGCAAAAGAAATCTCTCACACCATCATTTTCAATTATCGGAATGCCTGAAAGCATTCCTGGTCAGCAGAGTTTCATATCACTTGTGGTCGTCCCGCCAGCCAATCGGAGATGCGAGATACCCAATAGCGCTTCCTCAAAAGTCGCTGAAGATCGACCCTGCCTGGTGACAATTCCAATCAGGTCTGTCAACCTCAAAATCTTCAAGTATCTGGCCAATCATGGGGTTTCAAGTGATTTGTTGCATTCTGTTCTTTCCCTCCTTTCTTTTGGCTCAGTTGGATGAGACTACCTCTGTTTAGCCCTTGTCAATTCACGGTAGACAGATTGATAGCTGCCGATTGCTTTGGCTTGCTGATCCAGTGACCTTTCCTCTCTGCTTCCCAATCTGGCGATGATGTGGTGCATGATCAAATTCATGCTTAGCATTATGCTTACAGCGCATAAAGCCTGGTCTCAAATTGATCTCCCCCAGGAATATCGCGTCGCTCCAAGGGAACGCTAATCGGTCTGCAGCAGACTCTGACAAGGAGGTGCATAGCACTAGATTGGAAGCGGCAACATGATCCCATTTCCTTGACGGCAAGGAGATTTGCAGGGCAATCAATATTTCTTGAGCCTTGGCTTCCCCTTGATAATTTCAGACCCTCGTCAGATGGACTAAATTTCCTAACGAGGAATCTTCCCCGACGCTTCATGGAAAGAAAATCACCACTGCAAAACTTGCTACAAGATGAAACGAATACGGTCTATATTACATTCATCTACTAGATCTGCTTATCGGCGTGCTGGACATAGTCTTGATTGAAACGCATCGATGCTCCCACCACATCCGATTCAAATGATTTGATGGGCAATGTGATCTGACTGAAGATCATCGGACTCACCGAAAGACACGTCATCTCTAGCTCCAAGGGAGACGTGTTTATTATCTTACACTTCGAGAAATGCACCTTGCAAAAGTACAATCTTTCGATTGGATCCAGTCAGAAAAGATAAGCGGTTTAAACTAGCATTACTAACGCCAAAATCCGTATCCTTTTTTCCAGGCATAGAAACAAATAGAGTATTTTACAGATGAACCATAAAAGAGAAACAGCGCATGAAAAGGGGTGGAAAAAGAGAATGAACGCGCTAGGTTGAAAGCAATGCCGATGCAGAACACGCAACACGTGATGCTATTCCGTCAGACACGGCGACTCAATCTATCCTGTCCTGTCTGTAGAAACCGTGTTATTTCTGACCTTGAGAGCCATGCCATTAAAATCAACAAATAAAACAGAAAAAGGCCGGGTCCATTCATAAACTAGAAACCACAAATGCAATCATTCTAATAAATTCCTCCTCGACTCGAAAAGCCCATTCCATATCCGGGAACATTCGCTGCAGACCCACCACCAACGGCATTACTACTACCGAGAATGGCTTCCTGGACATTTTCTCTTGCGCTGCCGACTTTGCCAGCGACGCCGAAGATGCCGGCCTCAAACTCCTTAAGCACAGCAGCGAGTTCGCGAATCTGGTCCTCTGCTGAGCGCTGTCCGCCATCGCGGCCCCGAGTGAATAATAACTGCTGCATCTGCTGCATCGTACTGGCCTCGACGCCGCGGAGGTGGGACTCGATTTCTTGCACTGTAGACGTATAGCTTGCGAGGGTGCGCTTCATGTCGTCTGCCTGGGCAGAGAAGTAGGACACGAGATCCGCGCTTCTGGGTCCAGTGCCGGCGATTTCGTCATCCTCAAGGGCAGCATCTTCGGCTTTCTTGCCGTCGGCGCCTGCGCCCGGTGCTGCGCCAGTACGTGAGGACGCGATGCCGGTAGTGGAATTCCACATGCCAGTGTAATGGTATTGTTGGGGGAGTTTGAGGTTATCAATGGCGCGGAAGGAGAGGCGGGCATCAGCAGCATCGCGCTTGACGAGTTTTCGAACGTGGTCTACAGCTTGTGCGTCGTTTTCAAGCGCCCGCTGTAGCGTTTCGAATCGTTGCGAAACGTAGTTTACGTCGTTGGGGATGTAGCTGAGTGCTTCTTCGTGCTTGGGCATGAGCGCGTCGCATTGGTCCTTGTATTGCATTTGTTGGAGGATGAAGTTGTCGATTTGTTCAATTTGCTTCTGCAGCTCCTCGTGCAGGTCGTTGAAGCGTGTGGTGCCGCGCAGGTTGCTGACGTCAATTTTCACGCCAGGAACGGTGCCGCCGGTTTGGGCAGAAGGTTGGCCTGGTTGAGTAGTCGTGGTGTTGCCGAAAAGAGAGGGCTTCTGGGGCTGTGCTTGCGCTGTAGAAGCTGCGCCGCCAAAGAGGCTGCTTGGTTGTTGGGGTTGTTGTGTGCTAGTCGTGGTGCTTGTGCCGCTGAAAGAAGATTAGTTTGTTGTTTGCGATTGCTGGGGGAAAAGTTACAGGACCCATAGAGAAAGGATGGGAGAAAGCATACAGAAGAGAAGGTTTGTTTTGCGTCGTCGCGGCTGATCCGCCGAATAGACCGCCCCCTGTTGATTGCTGCGGTTGGCTCTGGTTCTGAGTTTGCCCGCCTCCGAAAAGTCCGCCTCCAGTTTGCGGCTGAGAAGATGTTGTAGTTGATGATCCAAATAGTCCTCCGGGTTTCTGGGTTGCTGAGCCAAAGAGTCCTCCGCCAGTCTGGGGTTGTGATGGATTGGCTGTGGACGACCCGAAGAGGCCGCCGCTTTGTTGGGGTTGTGAGGAGCTGGTACTGGCGCCACCACCGCTAGAAACATATGGGTTAGATAAAAGGTATATAAGGTTTGAGAGGTTCAAAGAGCTTAAAGAATGCGACGAAGATATTGCAAGATTCTAGAGAAACTCAAGGACAGACTATACTTACAATAACGAGCCGCCAGTTGACCCAGTGTTGAGGCTCAAGCCTCCGGGCTTATTGAATAGTGACATGATTCAGGAAAGTCCAGCAGTATCTTCTTCCTTAGATGAATGCGGCTTGAGCTCCTTCTCGTTATCTTTGTTGATTGCTGGGACAAAAAGTTTTGGAGGTTTGGCCTGCCGGTAGAGTAAACCTTCACGCCCAGCTTGGAGTCGTCGGGTCGCAAACACCGATTCCGTATTTCCTAATTGGGGTATCCAAGCGAGCATCCCGGTCGTCCCGGCGCGTTTCCTCAACGACGCCGGTTTATACTGTGTGCTTTAGTAGCTTCAGTGTACGTCGCAGGTGGAATTGTTCCAAAGCTTTGATACGATGGAGGAAGAAGACGATGATTTCTACGCTCCTCAGGAGACTACTCCTGATATTTCCTCGTTGCAGCAGCGCCCTCAGCAGACTCAGAATGGACCGAATGGAGCTCCCGTGAGCAATCAAGTAAAGCAGGAGGATGTAGAAGAAGATGAAGACGAGGAAGAGGACGAAGAGGAGGAGGAAAGCGACTCTGTATGTCCGAAGAGATTGTAAACGGTGTCTTGGATTTTTCGCTAATCGCGCAAAGGACATCGATATCATTACGGAGCACAAAGATGGAACAATGCCTGAGCCGCCTCCGTAAGTTACTTTTCCCCACATGAATTGAAACAGCACACTGACATGCCATGTGGAAAGTCAACCATCGAGATACAGCTCCATCAAGAATATTCCCACTCGAACAGCTTCCTCCGATGCTACGGTCAAAGCACAAACACCAATTAAAAGGGAGACTACCCCGGCCAAAGGAACACCTCCAAAGTCTGGAGCAGAGTACCCTGCTGTCGCGACTTCTACTCTCGACGTCGATGCGATTCCCATATACGGCTCCTCGGAAAAGAAACTCACGGATATTGACATTGATGAAGGTACTTTGAGTCCAAGCTCTAGTTGTCCAACAAGGTGCTGACCAGCTTAGATTTGGCCGAACTTGACAAACCGTGGCGGCGCCCTGGATCTGATATTTCGGATTATTTTAACTACGGATTTGACGAATTTACTTGGGCAACGTATTGCTTGAAACAAAAGTCGTTACGCAAGGAAGTGCAAGACCAAAGGAAGCAGATGGATGACATGCAAATGATGCTCGGCATGCCTGCTGGAATGCCTGGTCTTCCCGGAATGCCGTCAATGCCTGGCGCGCCAGCAGCACCGATGCCCATGCCTCCAATGCCTGGCATGCCGGACATGCCACCTGAAATGATGCAACAAATGGCGCAATTCATGGCTGCTGGCATGGATCCCACGCAGATGGATCCCAGTATGTTCATGCAGCAACCGACGCCACAGATGCCTCAGGGCCCTCCAACCCAAGGTGGCCCTGGTGGTCAGCCACCGGGTTTTGGAGCTGGCAACCAGGGTTTTGGCCAGCCCAACCAGCAGCAGATGGGATTCGGTTTCAACCCGATGATGGGTGGAGACGCAAATGCCAATCGCGGAAACTTCAATGCCCGAAATAGGGGAGCTCCGCGTCGTAACTGGTAAAATTATTGTTGTACCTCGGATTTCTTTTAGGGTTCTTGAGCAATTTTCGGGCTTGCATATCAGTGGCGTTATTTGCTGGATTGGCGGGAATCTGTAGGGGTCAGCGGTATTTGGATGCTACCCCTTGTACGTTTATCATACAAAAAATGAACTTTTCTAATTTGACAGTATATACTTGATGCTTCATGGAATATTCTTTCAAATTTTAATGCCGTATGATGTGTTATGACTTCTCGCCTTTCCTAGCTTCATCGTTGTGCACCCTTGTGCATGGGCATCCCTGTTCGCCAGCCAAATTGCGTAGCCGGGTAAGCGAAGCCCGCACCACAACGTTCACGACTGCTCTTTCCCAACTCGTTGTTTCCTCTTTTTACATAGGTGACGTTGGTAAATAAAACGTCGTGGAAAAATTGTACTTTTTCCAGATAGTTCCAACAAAATTTTATGTGAAATTGTTTTGCAAATATTCCTTGATCCGATTTCTTGGGAGATTTTGTTTTCCAACTGAGCAAGCCATCAGAAAGATGCTGCTATACCGCGGAACGCCTTCATCTAAGCTTTCTACGATCTCTATTTCAATGTGGCATTCCTGCTCTTGTTTCCTTACTTGGTCTTCTTCTTGACGATTCAGAAGACTTTCAGATTAATCTAGGTTTCCTATATCTCTGTTCATCGGTTTTCAGTTTCTCTGAATGCACTATGGACGACCGCCTAGTTCTCTGGTCATATACGCATCATTATTCTTGTTTTAGGTTGAATCGGCAATACCACTCTTTTCTTATTTCTGGTTTGCTTGTTAAACAACCTATGTCATGAGGCTGCCATACTACTGTATGGAGCAACGTGGTTAAATGCTTTTAAGGATATCCATATTTATGTTTTGTTCGAGCTCGTATTCTTTCGCTGACACTTTGATGATCTTCTTGTTACAGCTGTTCTCCTTTTGATGAATACGAAAATGAACGTTGCTCTGGATTCGACTTTTGTACACGAAGCTCTGATATACTGCTGCGGCAATACGTGCCGGCAAATTCGAAGACGATGTTTCGTGATCTGTTTTTTTCTTTCTTTCAGTGTATTCGGATTCGATTTTGGGCTGGTGCCTTCCGAAAGCTAGTTGAGCATTCTGCTGAAACGAATGATCTTCCAGTCTACATGATCCTGGTCTGGGTTAGCCAAGGTCTGCAATAATCACGGATTATAGGGAAAATTTACAAACTTCTTGACCTGTTCTCTTTAAGGATCGAAATTGTGGTTTGCTTGATAACGAAATAGTCCTAGAGCCCCTGATCGATCGGTGAGCATGCATTCGATAGTTTCATCCTTCCGGGGCTCGGGGTTTCCTGATCTTGGTTTGTTAGAAACGCCTCTGATTTCTATTATAAAAGAAGCTTGTCGCTAACCAGATGGACAGTCAAAGCCAAGGGGTTCGATAACGCTGTATGGAACATTATCTAGAAATCATTCAATAAAGATTGCTTACCTATGGCAAAATTCGATTCTTCTCTGCTATGTGTCGGCATCCTCTATCTAAACTGCTGTCGATTGTGCTTGTTTGCAAGCTTTTCCTCCGATCAGGTTCAGGGCAGAACATTGTTCCGACTTGTGAATATGATATGCCGGAGAGCCTTGCTATGACAAAGTACACGTCATTGCACTTTTGTGTCATCGGATCTGTATGCACGGTATCACGCCTTCAGGTATATTTTGAAGGTGCATTCACAGCCTGGCTTTGCGCTCGTGACGCAGTTTCTGTGACGCTTAGCTGATACCGTTTGTGCAGATTCACGATATGACACATTCGAAATGTTGTCTGGCGCTGCATTCACAGACAGATGCAGAGGAGGCCGGGATTCAAATAGCCTGGCCCCTCGACTGCTCGTTCGCTTTGTTCCTGCCTTTAACTTTCTTTTGGTTACTTTCGATTTTGGTCTTGGAAAAAAAACAACGTCTTCATTACCGCAATCTTCGTCACTGGCTCGTAAGGAGCCATTTGGTCTTGATACAATCTGTACTTGTCGTCGTCACGGTGCCTCTTTCTGGACTCGTTGCCTCGAAAGCCAAGTCAGCTCTCATCGTATTCCGTCAGCACCCGTTCCCGATCATTGTTGTTGAAGGTTCGGAGTAATATTGGCTGCTACGGGCAGATAGGGGAGAGTGCGTTTTTGGACTGGGCAGGTAGGTTCGAAGTAATTTGAATCTCCGTTGGATCGCCTCAATCCCAGGGCATGCGATGACCTTCATGTATTTGATACATTTGTCTCGATCCAGAGTTTGCTTTTTTTTTTACTCAACTGATGTTGCAGCGCAGTCTGTGGGGTGGAAGCAAGCTCCCTGTGAGATTGCCTTTTACGTAGACCTTTCGGAAGCTTTGGGCCCAGTTGTCTTATCTGGTAAGTAATAGTGCCTTTCACTTTAGTCAGTCACTGGTCCTATTGTTTCCTCGCTCCTACTGTACTTCCCTATTTTCCAGAACGACAATCGCTCAATTGAGGTCTATTGTCCAGCCGCTAGATATTCATGCATGGCTATGTCAATAGCGAGGCATCAATAAACGGGCATAACTCAATTGAGAAAAGTCGCTTCTGTGTTCTTGCAAACTTTCAGCATCTTCCTTTCCAATCCGTTGCTTTGAATTGTTTTCTCTCAACCCGAAATTTTTATCATCAAGCAAGTCCTGGTGCCTAGTCACGTTGTGTGAAGGCGAGCTCAACTGCCTGTCTTTGCTTGTGCTGGGAGAGACCCTATTTTTACCCCTAGAAACACTCACCATCGCTTAGGTAGTTGAGTCTCGCTCGGCTCAAGTACTCTGCAGTGATGGACGATCACGAGTCTGAGTTTGACACTTCCATCGTTTTCGGAGAGTTGAATCCCAACTTTGTTTCTGACACCCAAAATCAAGACGAAAACGTGTCAGGAGACATTCTGCCGCCTCTACCTTTCGAAGGCTTGGAAAGTTCTGATCAAGCATTGGACGAGTCTCAGTTTGAGTGGTTAAATTCGAATCGTCTCCCTGGCCTCCCATCGAATTATTACAATTCGTACTTCAACTACGTCACTAACAACCAAGCAGCAAGCCAATACCCTCTTAGCCAGGCATCAGTTCCACCGCTTATGCTCACTGGAACAGAAGCGTCGGCAGACTTAACAAATCCTTTCCCGGCGGCACCCCATCCACAATACTTCTACAATACGCCTCAGGTTGAAAGTCAGTCTGCGATCATGCCAGGTCCATCCACAACCGCAAGTGGGGGAATAATGACGATGCCTGTGTCACCGACTCAACCTCGAGTCAGCATTCCTACTACTGAATCACTCACACTCCAAACCACATCTAGGACTTCGGCATCCCCTGATGGACCATTAGACATTCACCACTTTGAAGGTCAAACCCAAGCGAGACTGCCACGTGAGACGTACCTTGATCCAGTCTCAAATCCTCATCAGCCGAACATTCAAGCTCAGTTGCCGGTGGACCTTACTACTACAGAGGACCAGAATTACCCATACCTTGGCTCACTTGATTACCACCCTGAGTTTACCCAAATGGGCCGGTCATACGAAGAAAAGGAGCAGCGGTACAGCAACAGAATTAGAGATTCAGCCACTGAAATTCCAAGGGTCGCTGCCAGAGAGGAGCGCGATTATAATGGTGGCTCAAGCTCCTGGAACGTTCCTTATCCTGACATTGAAAACCCCACACCGGCGATCAATCTTCCACAGGGTCGGAAGCACAACGACGGGTATCAGGAGGAATTTGCAGATTGGCGAACAGTTCAGCGGTACAGGGTCTCTCACTTTGAGCGACGAAGGGCTGGCGGTGATCCAACCATACCGCGGACAAACAACGATTGCCAGCGCTATGTGAAGCGACTTTTTCTTGCCATGAGCAATCTAGAAAACACACGAGATAATGCACCAGGAGAATCTGGCACACCTGATAAGCCATCTCAAGCGTGGCGAAGCTTTCATACTGGAAAGTACTCAGCAAAACAAATACAGGCTGTCTGCTGGGAATTACTTGTAAGCACGTCAAAAAATTCTACTATCATTGTTCAATATATTGACGCTGTCCTCGTCCAGATGAAATGCATTGATCGACAACAGAGGGGCCCTCTTGTACCTGAATGGCAACGGACGTCTAACAAAGCTGTTGCGGACTTTCCTACTCTAAGCGATCGTGTTGAGGAAGTTTGCAAAGCTCTGACGGTAGGTGTTCATGTCATCTTTTTAGTAATGGCAGTTCTGTCTGACTTTTCCGATGCAGTTTCATAAGACGGTTTGCAAACGCTTGATGGATTCGATATATATCGATGGTCTAGTCGACAATCCAAAGGCGCACATGGATGTAAGTAGCTTGCTAGCAGGGCTCTTTACCTCCGCAACGCTAACGTTGCAATCAGAGGGCCGTTTCTAACAAGAAGGTCAACCTTCGGAAAGCCGATGTCATTCGTGCCGGCAGACGAGTCAAGCAAATGGAAGGTGCTCTGAGGCAAGGTATAAGTGATCCGAGTGTTCGTGCGGAAAACACTCCAGAGGATACTAGGTCGATAAAGCGCGAGACTTCAAGGGCATCCACGCATGGAAACTCCATATCTCCTCCAGCACAAGAAAGAGCAACCGCTGAGAATAATTCCACGTTGGACGCCGGGAGTCGGATCCAAGAGCAGCCTGCCCCAGCTCTGGTTCACCCTCGACAGCGAACGCTCGATCAAGATCTCTATCTAGATCCGTCTCTCCTCAACCAGAGCGGCCCGACGATGGCGCCGCCTCAAACTTCCACTGAATTGGTCCCGTTCCAGGGTTCCACTGTGGGCTCCAATTTTCCACGGCAAGGCAATGATTCTCAATATTACACAAACACGCCGCAGCCCCCTACTCTCGCAAACCAATTAACATTTGATAACAGTCTCGGTTCTCGCGTTTCCGCCCCGTCCGATAATGCACCGATTGCGCAAATGCGTCAGTCAAGCCAACAGATAGTTACGGAACCTCCGTTTGACGGCTCAGCTGAGCAAATCTTTCGGTACATCAACCGCCCTGACAATAAGGGGAAATTTTTGGAATTATCACGGCTATCTCCTCAGCGCTTGTATGTGAAAGACAAGCAGACAGTCACATATGGCAAGGGAATTACGACGGTTATCGACCAAAATTATTATGAAAATAGCGCTTTACGGGATCTAGAGATTTTTGAAAGACTTGAAAGCAAGGCCTTGGAAAAAACCGCGCTTCAGTCTATGCAGGCCTCTCTGCAGTCCAGCCAGGATGCTGGAATGAGCGCCAACATGGCTGGTCAATCCGCCTACCCCAATTTAACTAGTCCTTACCCAACTATGAATACTGACACTTCAATCGAATTTGGCAGCCCTCCGTACTTTACCGGAAGCGGTAGTGTCTCGCTCGATCCCCGCACTACCCCATTCTCATCTTTGGCATCTTCGAATCTTGGCGCCCTTGACGTTGACTCCACCACGGCTTCTCAAGGAACAAAGCGAAAGCGCCCGACATCCGATACCGATTCTGATTATGAGCCGATCAGAAGTACGCGTCGCCATCGGAAGAATCCAGAATCCAGACGGGACTAATCTGGTTGTTGTATCGAACAGCGCTTCTCGCTTTTGCGAATATTTACAGCAGAGATGATCTGAAATGCAGAATCCGAAGGTCATGTCGTTTTTGACTATTGAACTTGAATAATTTTTTCCTCTCAAGCATATTTCTCACTTCCTTGTTTGTCAGCTTCGTTTCACCATTCATATTGCATTTTCATGGAATTGCGGTTTACATCTTAGCCTGGGCTACTTTGGTAGACAAAGAAGGTTGGCGGAGATACTCGATTAAGAGATCACAAAAGCAACTCGGGTTCCTATTTCCATGTGGTTGGAATAGGCTCTCTCACCCAGAGATAGAAGCGGGACCTTGCGTCGCTAAAATTTCTCATCGGCATCGCTAACAGCATCGGATTGGAAAGAACCTGGGTCAATCTAGAGAGAGACAGCTGGGAGTTTCATACTCACGTCCTAACTTTTTTCTCCTCTGATAAGTTTTCTGCCCCCTTGATGTTTGTTTTGTTTTCCAGGTTTCTTTTCTCAGCTCATTCAACTCAACTCACGAAAAGAAAAAAGCACTGCCAAAAAATATCAAAAGAAAAAACAACAAGAAAAAAAAAAGAATCGGCATGAGGTATCATTTACGGTCACGGAAGACTAGACGGGGAAACGGATTTGGTGGTATCATATCCAGCCCATGAATCCACATTTGCCTTGAATCTGATTGTCAGCTTTTTACATGCTTTGTCTGTCTACCGGGTTCCATCTAATCTTTATCTCTTTTGGTTCGGGAAACACTATTTGACCGAGCCCAGTCTACGCATTCCTTCTACCTCACGGAATACGTCAGGAATACTTCACTCTCAATACTCAGTTTGCTCTCTATCACTCACCGCCTTCTCTAATCTCCGCTATCTTCAGGATCTTAAATACTATTTGGAGAGAGATGTGTCCTTCTCCTCATCTTCCAGGATAAAAGAAGCAATATCTTGTCCCAGGAACATTTTAACTGCAAACATTCCCGGGCGACCTACCCGTCATATTTGAATCATTGACGGCGAAACCATTATCACCTTTCACCTCCCTTTCACTCTCCGCTCAAATTGTCAATTTTCGCGAATCCAATGCTCGGATCGGTATGTGCTTTAATCGGCTTTTTCATGCCGGGCGTTTTGTTTTGTTCGCTTGATTGTTTCTCTTTTTTCATGGTTTCTTCGAGTTGATTTGTCTTCGTTTTTATTACATTTACATGTGGAGCGGCATGATTTGTGCCTTTTGCATGTTGAAGCGTTTATCAGGAAATCTCGCGTTCAAGCATGGCATATCCTGGCATATCATGGCGTAATATGCTTTTAATATCAGCGATACTTCGAAGGCAACGCACTATTGCCTTTATTACGGGACAAGGGACTGCGAGGCGTTTAGTTCATAGTTCATTCTAATTGCAAATAATTATTTTACTCTCTCATCAGGCTCCGCAGGTGCTGATTTACAGCTCCGTGTTTGTGCGTGACGTGACGTCGAGTTTTGTAAGGATCAGGTCTTTGATTTATTGCAGCTGGAATATGTACAACGCAGTGCAATGCCATTCTATTTCTTAGTTTGTATCGTTGCATAACCCAAAAATTGTATTTGAACGTGACATCTAGGTTTAGATCCAATCGATTCGTTCAACCCCATACAACTGCGACCAAATTTCAGGAGATGATACGGCGAGCCCAAATCATCCTTTTGGCTGGAGAAGGTTTTGTACACTCCCCCCGGGTATAGTTTGAACTTTTCTGTATAATAAGGGGGAGTACTTATGCTGATGCCGATGCTGTTGATAATAATGACCAGAGAAATGGCGGTGGTACAATGCTGCCGCAGAATCCAAATCTGCCAATTCGAATATGTTGAAGAATCATCCAAAGAAAGGGAAGCGTGGTATAGATATCTGAGCTCAACCGCTTCTCTCTACCCCATCAAGTTGACTTCTTCTGGACATGAATGCCGTACTTCTCATACGGGAAATTCACCAATGTCTCCAACAACTCTCCCCAGCCATCATCAACTTCGCCAGGCGTGCCGTGGACACTGGAACTCTTGATTCCGGAGCGCTCGGCTTGGGCCGGGTTTCCAGACAGGAGGTCGTCACTGGTATTGCCATTGACACCCAGAGCAGCGGGCGCGCTCTGTGTCGCGTCATCCTCTTTATACTCTCCCGTTAAGCCCGCCAGGACCTGTCCTTCTCTGCCACGGTACTCGTTCAGGAGTCCCGGATGAGGGCACCAGATCACCCTCATACCTGCCCGGCGACCCGCTTCGACGCCTGGCACTGAGTCTTCAAACACGAGACACTCTTCCGGAGTGATTTCCGGCTCGGGCTCGCCTACACGGCCATTCTCCTCCCACGTGCGACGGATGCTTTCGTTAAGTAGGCGTAAAGCCATGAGATAAATGTCGGGCGCTGGCTTGCCGCGGCCCTTGGGGATGCGCGGGTCGTCGCCGAGAATACGTCGGTCGTTGGGGAAATGTCTGTCAAAGAGATCGCTTATGTGGGTCGTTTTCAGCGTAAAGTTGCTTTGCTTCGATGACGTGGCGAGCGCAATGTGCGTCGGCCGTCGCGGGCTGCTTTTCTGCGTGCTGTCGAGATTGGCGAGCAGTTCGGGCACGCCGGGAAGAGGACGGGCTTTGGGGAAATGTTCCTCTTGAAGCACGGTTTGTTGATCCATGAATTCATCGGAAGTAATGGGCAATTGGGCCCACGCGCGGAAAATGCGGCCGGCCTAGAGAGGAGTTAGGCTCGAGAGTCGGCTTGCAGCGGGAAAGTAGCACAAAAGCTAAGAGGGGAAAATGCTGGTAGTGCGAGAGGTAGACGAAGGAAGCGACGGGTAAAAGATGCAGGTATCATGAAGGCAAATAGAAATGCACGACGTACTTCCGGGCCAGGCCGTCCCTGTAGCTGCGCCTTTATGCTCCATGGCAAATCGGGCTTGCCATATTTTCTCAACACGGCATTGGTGCAGAGAGTATACAGATCCTCAGAGTCGATGAGGAGCCCATCCATGTCGAACAGGCATGCCCGTACGGGAGGAAATCTATGATCATTGGTCGATAATCAGCATTTGTTGCGCTAAGACATTGGAGATATCCCCGCGGAGGGGTACTATTTGCAGCGGGGAGATTGGCTGTGACAAAAGGACGTACTCTGATGTAGCAGCCGACATGGTTGCTTGTGCTTGGCTCAGAATAATAAGACGATAATCAAATGCGAAGGAAACGGGCTGTTTGAGGCCAACGCAAGGTATGGAAATGTAAAATAACGCAGGTTGTTCGCGGGAGAAAGGGTCCAGGACGGAGTGACACATGGAAATCCGATTATCAGTTGATTTTTCTTATCGTTATCCCAATCTTATCAGTTGAATCTAATCTGATAATTTTGATCTGCCTGATCCGAGCGCTTGCACATGCGGAAGACGTAACGACGTTGCCTTTAGCTTCAACTGTCATTACTTGCAACCGACCGCAGTTCCAGGAGCTCCCAGGTTTTTGCCCAGATACGATTCGCAATGGCTGAAACTCCATCAACACAACCTAGCCGGGGCTCTGAAACCTCCGCGCCTGAGGTCCCAGAAGCAACTGAGATTCCGCGCTTTAGCCCGGAAGAAGAAGCGGTAACGTCACCCTGTCCATAATTACACTTTCTGGTCGTACTGGATTGTCCCTTTGATGTTCCTCTGCGCTCTTGTTCTTATCTGTTTTAGCACTCTAAACGCATGCGCAGAAGATACCTCTAGTCCAAAACTAATACTACTCCCTTTCTAGGCCCTCCTCAAAGAGTCCAACTCGCAAAAGCTCCAAGCCAATGCACTATTCGGGTCGTCTCGCTTCACCGAAGCTATACAAGAATACGACAAGGCTCTTTCCTCTTGCCCAAACTATCTGGAATATGAAATCGCAGTGTTGCGCAGTAACATCTCTGCATGCCATTTGAAACTTGAAGACTGGAAAGAAGCCGTCACCGCCGCCACGAAAGCCCTTGACGCACTGGAACGCTTGGATCCAAGGCCACCGAAAAACAAGAACAACTCCGAGGGCGAAAGTACCAAGGATGGCAAGGAAAGACAGAAACAAAAAAAAAAGTCAAAACTGGATCCGAATACATCGGGAGTAGTCGAGGAGCTTAGCGACGACGATGAGGATGATGGACAAGGAACCGCGGAAACTCCTCCGGCAAAGGAGTCAAGTACCAGTACCAATGCCAAAACCTCCGAGCCTACTGCTTTGGAACGAAGTGGCAAGACCCACGACGATGTAGACAGAATACGTGCCAAGGCGTTAATGCGTCGCGCAAGAGGAAGAAGCGAGGAAGGGGGCTGGGGAAATCTTGCCGGTGCCGAAGAAGGTATTTATTATCCTGTCGACTTTCTTCCACCTTTTGAAATAGTCTTTTGAAAGGCAGTAAAAGCACTCAAAATAGAGTAAGGCTGACATGTTGAAATGCATAGATTATAAAGAACTGGCATCAATGCCAAGCCTCCCGACAGCAGATAAGAAGATTGTGCGACAAGCACTTGGCACATTGCCCGCGCGTATTGAAGAAGCTAAGAGCAAAGAGATGGGAGAGATGTTTTCCAAATTGAAGCAGGTTTGTTTTCTCCTCTTTCGCTCCTCCTTTCCTCTTCCCTCCTCTTCCTTCATACTTTTCATTCTTTTCCGCATTCTTTTCATAGTACTGCTCTATGTTCTTTTGCCTGTTCGAACCTACACTCATTTTCCTCGAAACATTCTATAATATGACCGCTGACTCGAATCTAGCTCGGCAACGGTATCCTCAAACCGTTTGGTCTCTCAACTGACAACTTCAAAATGGTCAAAGACGAAGCCACAGGGGGATACAACATGCAATTTGAGCAGAATAGATGAAATTGGTCTCGAGCAGTGTCCTCCACTTTTGTAGAACGTACTGTATACCCTTTGGTCTATCGTCGTCTATCATACATTCGATTCATGCGTTTCTCTTTTTTTTCCCCAATAACCACGCACAGCCCTACGTATGATACTATTAAACCACATCTTTGTTCTCCGAGCATATATCAATGCATTTATACATTCGCGCAGCATGTTATTTTAATAGTTTTATCTTTTATTTTATTTTATGATTGAATTAGCCTTCAATATGAAAAGATCTTCTGGTTTTGCTCCACTACACTTTAACGTCCATGCTCTTAGGAGAACGTAACGTAATCTCATAAACGGCCAGAGCCAAAGTACGATGACTTCATCTAGCTAAATCGCAAAGGACAAGATATCGTCTGTTCTAGGATCTGCAATAGAACTCGTGATCAATTCTTACAATTAATGACGTCGATTGTGTCATGACCTCAAAAGGGTCCTTCACGGCCCCGGCAGAAACCTTATCCTCGTCTTTGTCCCTGGGTCATGCTGCCTCCATACCAAGTGACCTGGGTTCTCTACGAGAGACAAAACGCTAGAGCAAAAGAGGATATCGAAGCGAAGGCGGTGAATACAAAAGGCTACAGCAATAACCCAGTTGCTCTATCGGAGCGCATGAAGAATAAAGAACGAAGTAAATGGCTGAAGAAGTTCCTTCATGGCTGCTCAGTTGAATAACATACCGGACTTACTACGGTACACGAGCTACTTCGAAAACATATTTGATTTAGGTACTTGTTTAGCCCTGCAACCGTTCACTTACGCAAAGAAAACACGCATCAAGCATATAGCTTAGGCACCAACCTAGACTTTCGAATCCCGAGTTCCTCGACCAGTGGCCCAATACGGAGTACTCTGCAGAAACCTTGTCAAAGGTCCCAGCAAAGCAGCGTAAAGAAGTACCTGTCCAGTAGCCGACCCATCGACAATTCTCGGGCTAATCAGGCCTGGGTACAGTGAAACTTGCTTGAGACATTGGGCCTGAAACTTATCCAAAGAGGGACAGAATCTTAACTAAAAGCGGTAAAAGGGAAAAAGCCAATGGGAAAAACCTTAACTGTGTCTTATCGGACCGGCAGAAAGTCAGACGGGCGATCGGCCCATCAGACACTTGATCAGATCACATGGGAGGCATCATTGGTTCGCTCGTTGAAGGACCGGGCGAACGAAGCGGAAGGAACACAAAATAATTAGGAATGGACCGAATCCGATGAGATCACATTTTTTTTGCAACTCGTACGTTCGGCGCGCGCCCACGAGGGGACATAAACCCATAATAAACCCGCCCCTTTCTTTGACCCCACATACCCCTCTATCCTTTTGCATTGCAGCTTGTCTGTTGTCAACACACGGGACAACACATCCCGCTTTTCCCGAATAATACCAAAACACATTCAACAGTGTCATTATTGTTGTCCAACTCATTCATTCTATTTTGAAACGAATCCACTTTTATCAACGAATTTGATTGCATAACTTCCAGCGTTCCAGCGACTAGCATTCATTGCATTTTACTCATCCGGCATCTATTCAAATCGTCACTCAATCAACGGCGACTTCGGTTGAGCATTATATCCCACGTCGGGGCAATATCCTTGGACGTGCGCTTAAATCGATAACAACGACGATCACTACCTGAAGAATAAAAATAGCCTTGATTTTGAAATTGTCCGATTTATCAAGTATCGGTAGACACTGAGCTTGACCTTCAACAGCTCAAGTCTCTAGTTAGTCCTTTAGGTGAAACGCACGTGGCACTCTGATTGGCGTTTGGTGAAGCGGGGTTAGATCAGGGTCCCGGAAGTCGAAGCCGTCCTTTATCAAAGTTATCGAGAGAGGGGAAATCAATATTCAGTGGCGGCAGCCACGGCGAGAAAGAAGGCCTAAACGATTTAAATATTCTTTGCTGCTTCATCGCCGACCGGCTTTGAACAAGATGCAGCAACAGTCCTCGGTCAAGATGCAAACTCAGACGCAGGCGCAGGCAGCCGCACAGGCACAGGCACAGGCACAGGCACAGGCTCATGCCTCATCTCAGGCAATGTTGTCTTCGTTATGCTCCTCCAGCAGTTTGACATCGTTGCTCGTGGCTTCGTCGCTGGTGTCTCATTCCATTGCTCGTTTGATGGTCACGGTGACCACGACCTTTTTCCACCTCTTCTCGCTCTTCATCGCCACAACCCTGTCGACTGTGCACAAATTGTGGAAGCGCTCAGAGCGCTTCCGCGATGCATGCTTTTATCATTTTATGCTCTGGCTCCTCTCGCCGTCTCCAATGCTTCTCTTCGTGCTTTGGCCAGGCTGGCTCGTCATCTTTGCTTCTTGGGCATGTTGGACCTGGGCACCCTGGTGAACATCGTACAGCATTATGTGGCTCGAGACCGTAAGAGTCAAGACAATGGGGCGAAGAGATGGGGAGCTCGGGATTTAGAAGCCAGAGCTGACTGCGTTGGTCGTGATGGTCGACGGCTCATTGTCTGAGCTCGATCATGACCCATGCAAACTGTTGTTATCATCATCTTCTCATTAAAAGAAGAATGCATTTCCCTCGGTGTCCTTTCGAATCGTCGAGGTATAGTCCTTGGTCGGATCAAACTCTTCCCAGGTGCTGGCAGGGAAGATGTGTTTATTACGTTCATACCACCGTCGATCGACAACCTTGGTCAGGGTCGGGTCATTATCATACCCCTCCAATCGCGGATCAAGCGGCGTGCGAGAGCTCTCTTTTTGCTTTGGTGGTTTCGAAAGAGGATTGAAGTCCGGCTCATCTTCAGGCCGGGAGGAAGATGGCGTGGTAGAGGTCGGCTGGGACGAAAAGGGAAATAAAGGAACTTGATCCCGTCCCTTGGTCTTATTGACAATAAAATAGTAGAAATCATAATGCTAGTAACAAGTTAGAATATTGTCATATCCCTGTTGAGCTGGCTCTCGATGCGACTTACATGTGGGATGATGAGATCGCCCTTGACGAGCATTAGATCATCGACCCCAACTCGAGCCCATTCTCGACGATTGGCCTTTTCTCCGCCGCCACCAACGGCAAGTTCAGCGCCGACTTTACGTGCCTTATCAAGGAACAACCATACGTGATCGCCCTTCCTGACTTTGCAGACGCCGCCAGGAATATGTGTGCCATCGTAGAATGTAAATGGCATGAGGATCTCCGTAGCTTTGACAGCCTCCTGCATCACTAAAAATTCTTTTCGCAATTGTTCTCTCGTTTGCGCTTCGCGAAGAAGCGCAGATTTGGTCATTGCCTTGGGCGCGACGGTAACATTGGCATTGGGGCCAAGCCGCTTCTTCTTCACACCAGCTCCATCTTCAGGGTTGGGTGAAGTTGATTCAGACCTTTGCACGTCTGGCGTGCCCGGCTTTGGTGAGGCAGTAGTAGAGGTACTTGAGTCTTCTTCTTCGTCATCCAGGCCAAAGGATAGTTTGCCCTTGGCCACCGTCTTCTTCTTCTTTTTGGGCGGCTGAGGTGTTGATCCACTATACCTTGATGATTAAATTTCGCATCGCTGATTTACGGAGCTTGACATTACCGTTCAGAGGGCGTAGCCGCGCCCGATGCTGAGGATGGAGTAGCAATTCCCAATGTTCTATCTTGCGCTTCCCGTTCCTTTTGTTCCAGTACTTCAACCCTTCGTTTCTTGAAATCCGAAAGGTGAACCAATCCAACAGTTTGAGATTTGAGGAGGTCTTCTGCAGTTGTACTCTGTGAAGTAAACCGGGAATTCGCAGGATTTGGAGTAGAGCTTCGCGAGGAAGGATTAGACGGAGGTCGAGATGAGCTCATGGCGGCTTGAGCTGCGAAATGACTGAACAACTAGACAGAGTGCTTGAGCTGGTCTTATCGAAAAATTATACAGAAAACAAATCTGCCGTCCGCCGATTATCCAAATTCAGCCAAAAAGGAAAAGTATTTGCATGCACAATCAGAAGAGGATGACGACGGAGTTTAAGTCGGACATGTAGAGATCGACATCGGGAGTTGATCCCGTTCAACCTCCGACATCTGTCCCTGACGCTAAGCCACTTTAGGGCCAGCCTTCCTCGGGCATTATCAGGATAAACAGTCACATTCAGTTGCTGCGCTGACAGCAAGACGGAGGATAGATCAATATCTTTTTATGGATTTAACATTTCTTTATTCTAATACAACTCGTGTGAAACTGTAGGCAAATGCTCACTGACATTGAAGGTAATTTTTTTATTCGCAGCCCCGACTTCAAGCAGACTTCGGACGTATTTGCATTACACCAAAGCTTATAGGAGAGGGTTCCTTTCAACCTATATGAACGTACCATTAAAAATCGGCCTATCTTTACTCTAATTTGAACGGAAGTCTCATAAGTTTATGAATAGAATACTTGCCATATGGACTGTCACATCTCACGTGGCACCTTATATTGCAAAACCATCTACCCTCGCTTCCATTCAATTCCAAATATTCTATGACCTACCTGTTCTTGCGACTCGGTATATTACATCTTCTAGCAGAACCCCTTTTTTCTAAGCATTTGATTCTTCTCTCTATTTGACAACTTTGCTCTTTTCCCTCCTGCTATCAAGGTTGCTTTGCAGACGAGCAACTTACCTCACATACACCATAAATTCCATAATGGATTTCCAGCTTAGATGCAATTCTCTCAAGTGCCGCAAAGAGCTTCAAGATCAAGCTGTAATCACGACTTGCAGGTCGGAAGAAACTAAGTCTTCACCGGTGATCTCAATTGAAGCTGACGATTATCTCCTCCAGTCATATCTTCTGTGTTCGTTGCATAGAAGCACACAGTCTCTCAAAGCATGCAGATGCCAACCGTATATGCCCTGCCTGTGAATCAGCATTGGCAAGCCCAGATGATGTTATTTTCACCCGACTCAATCCCACGGAGGAATTCAAGACTTGCATTTTGGAAGGACTGAACCCTACGATTATAATGGAGTGTGCAAGCAGAGGGCTTGCGTTTTGGACTTACCAGGCTACGCAGGAGATGTGCATATATCTCCGCGGTTTTCTGAGCTTAAGCTAATCCAGGCAGAGTATATCAGGAATATCTCTCAAAAAGCTTAACCGAAAAGTACACAGTTCTAAGCAATCAAATGGATAAGCTAATCCATGATGCAAATTCGGAGATTTCGAATATGCAACATAGATTTTCAGGTAAGCTTTATGCTCATACCCTCAAATTTAGCGTACAGCTGGCTTATATAACGAAGCACTCTCGGTTGAGCAAGATGACCTCCAACGCAAGCATCACGAAGTCATCGAGGCACTACGTGAAAAGAGCCGCAAGTGTATCCAATTGCAGGAGCTGTATGACAAACTCAAGCGCCGTACGCTCTTATCATCAGTTCAGACTGCAGCTTTCAATTCCGCCGACCAGACACTGCTGGCCGCCTCCGAACGCAACCAACCCCTGCGTTCAATAGAAAATGAGAGCAATACTAGCTTTCAAGCTCCAGCAACAGCTTATGCCCGATACTCACCCAGCGTAGGAGAGACCACGTCACGTATAAATCAGTTTCATCATAGCCCAAAGCGACATATGGATGGAAACCATGGCGTTGGAACACCTGGAATGGCAAACCGACAACATGGGATAAGGAATATTAACCAAGAACCTGGTCAGTCAAACTGGAGTGAAGTCATTTCGCCCCAGTTGAGAATGCTAAACAATATTATTGCAGGAAATAGAGAGAGGACCATACCTTCGCATATCCGGCAGTCAAGGCTATACTCTCAACCTCAGGCTACTCGTCCAAGAGCGGTTGATAACAGAATGTTTTCGGAGGCGTTTGAAAGTCAGAGTGACATGAGAGGTTCTCCTATTGGTCGTCGCCCTATCGGTACGCTAAATACCGCGAACATTAATGCAGCTTCGAGGAATGTACACGGTCAGGTTGATGACAACTCCCGCTTTGGGAAGCAACGGAAGTTTGGTGAGATGATCCCAGGGTAAGTCAACGAATCCACGGACTTTGATTTGCACGAGAAAGGGTTCAGAGACTTATCGCCGCTCAGTATCTGAATCAGCGAAGTACAGGTGGCCTTTCGGTTGCCCAAAGCCTCCCACTATAATTGTTTGTGTAAGAAGGGACCTTCAGCATGATTCTGAGCGAAATCTCCCAAATCCGAAAACGGACGTTGGCAGAATCTGATAGTATGGTTACTTAGGCCCTCTGTCGACGAATTGGGGCCACCAAAAGATTCTGTCACGAGCCTAAGATCGTTCCTTCCGATCCAAGAGCGACAACCTCGTTTTCATCTCTCGTCGCGCCAGTTGTCAGTGATCAAGGTGGTCGTTTCATAAAATTAAAACATTCTTGGACGTTACGAATGCCTAACATGAAAATAAGTCCCATAAAATAACAAAAAGTCAAGCCATCTTTCTATAAAAATTGGCTTTTTATAAGCTCCTTGGTTACCCAGAAAGAGCAAAGCGCGCTCAAGGTATAGGGCGCTTGAAGCGTGCCCGATGGCGCAGGGTGTCTCCATCATTCTGTCCAGTCCCTTGTGCATGCGGCTCATGTAGAATGAACAACACTCGATTTCTCCCAATACTCTGAGTTCGTAAATCAGGTACTCAGGAGCATCGAGACTGGTTCATCATTAGCATGTCTTCCAAAATCGCACTTTCGCCAAATCATCTTCACGTGGAATTTCTAACATCGTTGGACCATTTGGGAAAGAGCATACCTGTCATGAAGCACCAAATTGCGCTACTGCTTTCAAATCCATCCGAATGCGACACGGGACTTCACGATTTAGACCAACGGAGGGAAAATATTGCTTTAGGGGCCCCATCGGTGGGATACTTTTTTCCTTTCAGCCAGAACGATGCCGTCCTTAATGTTAACCAGCATATAAAACCGTTCTTCTTTCCCAACAGCATTCCATCAAACCAGTTTGAAAGTTTGTACCCTTCGACAGTTCAAATAGCTTTGCTTGCTTCACATTTTTCCACTTCAGTCATTGTGAATGAACATCATGGCTACCGATCAGAGGGCTCCATCAGTTTTCGATTCCTCTCCGGGACAATTGCCGCCGCCTTCTGCAATGCAGCTGGCTAATGAGATCGAGGAACTTCGCAAGGACTTATACCTCTTGACTGGAGAGACAGACAATAGGAACTTTCTTGATATACTCGGCGCAATTTATGGAAAGTGTGACCGTCGACGAATCCACCTTGTCTCAAATCTCTTCATCTCTGCTGCCGATGGTGCATTCAGACTAGGCAGAGAGGATGTGGAAGACGACGTTCAGGGACTTTCGCTGTCTACAGAGATTCCCGGCCCAGACGTATCATCATCTGCTGGCAAAATCGAGCTCTCCAGCGCAATAGTTTGTCAGATAGACAAGCTCCGAAGTGACATTGTGCGTATTTATGGCGGCGAGAGCAAAGGCGATCAGAACTTGGAGAAGCTTCGTTATTTCCTCGCGCAGTTTGAGGAGAGCCATCGGCTCCCACTCCTTGAGGTTTTCGAGTCCTTTATTCTGGGAGTGACTAGGATTCGGATCAGAGTATTTGGCAACAGTACATTGATTGCTCCTCCGCTCACGAATGGCGAGACAAATGGTGTTGAAAACAGAAATTGGGGGCGCTGGTTGGAACAAACTCGATTGCTCGGGACTTTCCAGAAATTGTACTGGATGTTAATGGCCAACCGGATAACTGTCATTGGCTTGCAGAGAAAAGAAGCACATCGAGCACAAACTGAACAACGCCTTCGTGAATCGAACCATCAGGCAATGCAGAGGCTTAGAGCGGTGGAAAATGCCCTTGGGACAGCGAACAGGAATATCCAGATTCACCAAGAAAGGGAAAGGCTGCTGTGGGGACACATCGACAAGTGGGATGACGAATTTGATCGCGTGGATACTGAGAGAAATCTGAAACCTTTTCCGCAAAACGTCAATGATTGGCTTAGTGAACACAGCCTTCCGAAGACGGCTGAGGTTTCGCAAATGCATGAGGAATCCGAATTGCTCGACCGCAGAACCAGGGATATTATGCATCGAGGCAGACAACTTGATGAGAAGTACGACCGGCACATGGCTCATCTCGATGCGCATATTGAAAGACTTCGGAGTGATCTCGCAGAGAGTCCTTCAGAAAGCGTTGCCAGAAATGGAAATCGCTGGTCGAATAGATTTACAACGGCAGCTTTTGGCTTGACAAATGGGCGTTCATCTGCTTCTAACGGCCATTCCGGATCTCGCTTTGCTACCTTGATCCCATCAACTGGCAATCCATCGAGCAACCCCGGGAATGGGAACGGGGCTTCTCCTCGAAACCGCCTCCCTTTCCCCCAGAATATCCGATCAAGCTCAAGCTACTCTAGTCCGTATAACCGTAACGGTCAATCTAACTTGCAAAGTAGCCAGTCAAACCCGCAGAATGGTCGATCTAGCTCACAAAATGGTCAATCCAGCGAGCAGAATCGACTGGGCAGCTCTCCTCAAAACGGCCATTCTTCTTGATTCTTTCTCAGAAAAAAAATCTTGTCGATCGACAATTTTGCATTGACCACACATTGAGGTGCATTGGTGGCTTTCATGAAGTGAGCGGCTCTGGGGCCGATCATTCTTCAGGGATTCAATCTGATATTGAACATAAATTCTGCTGTTTTCGCGTCGACATAAGTGACGTCAACTTGCATTATTCTATTTGAAAGTGCTTGATTGATGGAGGTTACGGTTATCCAGTGCACTTTGAATCAGTATCACAAATAATAAATGGTTCAATTCAAATAAAGGTGATTCCATTTTGTCCTGTAGGATTGGTTTGTCATTATCAAATTCCACTGTGACAATGCTCGCCATGGAACAGTCGATGTCGACAGCCTTAATAAACTCGCCTACCCCTTGACCCCTGCGGTCTGTTGTGTGGAGAAGCGTCATCGGCAACGGAGATTACTACGGTAGGCTAGTACAGCCACTAATGCTATGACCATGAAATGGATGAATGAGTGAATGGGAAAGTCTGCTGGAGACAAGAACAACGAAATGGCACTTTCCGGTTAGTGAATACATCGATTTGGACGACCCTGCTCTTTATGTTTTGATCGTGATAAGAAAATATATTTCTGGCGTTCGCGTTTCAGCACTTCCGTGATATGCCGTTCCACAGTCGCTGAGAGCGTCTCAATAGGCGGCCACTACTGTTGCTCCGTCTGATTGTCAAGAGATCACGCAGAGGACGGCTTCACGCCGGGAGCGAAATTCATAATGTCCCTCACCGAGAGCGCGGGTTCAGGGGCCGTATTCTCAGCTGGCCTTCCAGTCGAGCAGACTGCCGTGCCCGGTTTAACCTCTACATTTCAGCAACTAACGGCCTCCGCCGCGAATGCAACATATAATCTTACGCCATCGCCCAAGGACCTGTTGATGGTCGTTCCCCGGATTATCCGCCGTGTGGGATCTTTGGCCTTTGCCAACACTGTCGATCAGATAGATAACGTTATTGGAGGGGGTTATGGAGGAAGCGTCATTGCGGAGGCCACCGCTCAAGGTGGGGCCCTTGCTGGCGCTGCAGCTGCTGAACCAGCGGCTGCTTTTGCTCAAGGCTCAGCTACAGTCGGAATGAATGCTGCTGCTGCTGAAGGTGCGGCTTCCGTCAACGCTTCCCATTTGTTCGGATTCCAGAATGTCCGCAATATTGGAGGTCTTGTTGCCTACATGACGAGTAAATGGGCACTTGCGTGTATTACCATGGTATGTGTCTAATCAGGCTTCTTGTTTTTTTTGGCGAATGTGGCACACTGACAGAGTTTGCAGGCAATCATTCTCAACCGTACCCAAATATATGCAGCAGCTCGGCGACGTATCAGATTACATTGGCATCTCCGTCTGGCGCTCCGAATCATACCTATAACCCTGTTTGCATTGCAAACCCTGAGGATGCTCCAAGCCCTGCGCTGTCAGACTTCGCCCGAATTCCCATCGCTGCGATTTGCCACTGGTATTAAGAAGCCACTGCTAGACTTCGGGCCCCCAGGAGGTCTGTTCTATCGGCTCAGTTCTAGCATACTATTTTGGCAAGATGATACCGAGAGCTGCGTTGCCGCAGACATGATACAGCCAAGGCGCCTCTTTCCGCTTCTACATGGCTCGCTTTCACGATTATGGCCTCTCTTTCAAACACTATTTCTAAGCCAGTTTATCGAGACACTGTCCTGCGCGCTTCAAGGTCGACAGCCTATGGCTGAGACCGGAATGACTCTATTCGAGCATTCCCTTGCGTTTTCTGAGGCAGAGACGATGGTACATTCGCAGTTGGACTGGGGTCTGAGCAAGGCCGGTGGCGAGATAGCGTCGAATATGACAACAACACTCTCTGCTGCTGCCTCGGCGGCGGCTGCCGCCGCAGCCGCAGACGACGAGGGCACAATTACAGTCCCCCGCTCAATAATCATTGATGCATTGAACGCTCCGCCTGAAATGTTATTTATCGCTATTGTGTCGAGCATGAACCATTTGACCAGCCATATTCTTGCGGTATTTGGCCTACAAAGTCGATTTCGACTTATCAATACTGCCACATGGGGATTCTGTTTCATGGCCTCATTTCTCTGGAGCTTTTTCACCTTCTCTCCGCGGCCTGGAGGCGACCTTGGCATTCTCAGATTTCCGAGTGTTTGTGTTATTGGGTTTATCCCACATATCCTTATCCTCGCTGGTATCCTTATCTGCGGCGCTATCTATATGTTAGCCCTCATTCTCACTACTCTTGCACTGCCTCCTGGCCATGTTCCCACGCGTTCATGGAAAGAGAGGTTTATAATTGCACACGAGACCCTGCTCGCAAATCATCAACTCTCTTCCATTCGTATCAGCATGTCGGAAGATTTCTATACAACTCTCCTCAAAATTGGCTTTGCTGCTCTGACAGCAGCCAGCGAGGCGGTCTTCTTGAATGAAGGAAGACGAGTCGCGGTGCGCAGGTGGACATGGTTAGAAGAAGAGAGAATGAAGGAACTTGACCGTGCACGATTCATAGGTCTCAACGTCCCCAGCGAGCTGGCAGAAACCTTGGGGAATTACTCGGTCCTCGACGGCGTCGGGATGACGGATAATTCTGCCATCTCACAAGATTCCCGTCTCGTGCATTCAACCAGCGGCTATGCCCGAGAGCGGAGTGCCAAAGGCCAAAAGGACAAGTCCAAGACTGGTAGAGCAGCTTTGAGGAATGATGGCGTAGGGGCTCTACAAAGAGGTGCTCGGTGGATTATGGCCTGGGAGTATCTACGGGGTATATTTCAACTACTGAGTAGCTGGAGTGCTGTTTTCCTCCTCACTATGCTTGCCAAGCTCGGAGTTACACGCCGCCCTCGTTGGCTTCAGATTCTTGCAGTGCGTCGGCATGGATCCGGTAAAGACCGTCGCAGGAGAAGTGGACGGAACTCGCCTCAATCTCTCGAGTTTTGGATCCTCTCCGCTAACGGCGAACTCTCTCTACCCACCAACCGCGACGTGGATGTTGAGACTGAGATGCGACGAATGCGCCAGTTTGGCTCAGAGTATTGGACAGATGCCGATGAGGAGCGGCTCGACTCGAGCCTCTACGGGTGGTGGGCGCACGGAGGCTGGTGGGGAGACCGCGACGAAAGCGGTGAGTATCAAGCCGACGACGATGAGGACGACACTACCAGTGTCATTTCCATGGCCACAACTCACGATGATCATCATGACCGAGACGAACACGCGTGGGAAACTGACGATGGCTCGGACTCTGGCCGTCGCACCCCGACTCAGTCCGACCCTTTTCCTGACGCTGATGAATACACCCATTCCCGCTCACTCACACATACTCGCGAATCTTCTCCCATGGTCGACACCACTCTTGACCCAGCCTACCTTGCACGGCTCCTTGACCCCAGCAACCCCGAACAGCGCCAAGAAGCCCGTCTCTTATCCCACCATCTCGCCAGCCCCGGCATACTCACACGTTCGCAGTACCGCCGTGCACAGGAAGCCCAAAGGACACAGATCCTCACATCCACGCGCTATCGGCCTGTTGGCTCCACAGTGCCCGTCAACAGGACGCTGACTCCCGAAGAAGAAGCCGAATTGCTCGAACAAATCATCCTCGCGCGTCGGTCGCACCTCCGGAGTCGAAATACTGCGCAAGAATGGGAACAGGCATGGCAAAACACCGACAGTGGTAATGATGCATCTGCCCAGGACCCCCTGACCTGGAAACAAGGCGGCGAAGGACTCGGATCTGGCGGTCCCCAATGCGTCGTCTGCCAGTGCAGTCCCCGTACTATTCTCATCTGGCCCTGTCGCTGTCTCAGCCTCTGCGAGGACTGTCGAATCAGTCTCGCCATGAACAATTTCGCAACCTGCGTCTGTTGTCGTCGGGAAGTTGTGGGCTTTTCAAGAATTTATGTTCCGTAGTTTTCCACTCCTGCACTCGATGGTCCATATTCCCCGTTACTTATGTTCCCTTCCATTTTTTTCTTTGAAATTTTTACTATTATCTTCTCCACATTGATATTTACTAAGTAATTCTTTTCATTCTTTTCATTCATTCTTTCTTTTTTTTAAATCAATTATTCTAACGCCTCCGAGCAGGCCTTTTCTTTTTCATCTTTTTTTCTTTTTTATGTACTTTCTTCGGGTCACTCCCTTTATTCATCTCCTGTCATATATCGGAAGCGGAATCAGAATAGGAAACAGGGAGGCCCTTTGTTCATTTAACAGTATTCATCTCAAATAGCAGTATGTGAATCAGATATTCCGAATTAAAAACGTTGAGTGACTCGTGCTCCGTATGCTGCTGTGCCAATTTTCGTGAGCAATGGTGAAGTTATTTTCCCCCGCCTTTTCAATTAATTTTTTTATTAACAATAATAAAAAATACTTTGAACCGTGCTAGAGGTGGACATTGCCTGATCGGTCGATGATATATGCCTCTCTGCAAGGCATCGCCACTTCTATGCGAGGGTTCTGTAGCCTGCTGCAAGGTGTAAATTATGAAAGTAGGCCTGGATGCATGCATCATGTCATGAAACAGTCCCCTGTGGCTACCCTCCTTCCCCCCCCCCCTTTGGGTGCGGGGACCCAAAATCCAAAACCCCTGAGGTTTGATACAGGTGGTAGTCTGCCATTCCTCCAGAGCTGAAGAATGAAACTCACTAAATTACAGTTAAAGCTTTTAGTATTGTAGTTAAGAATTGTGGTTAAGAATCTATATTTTAACCTATCTAGCTCAATTTTCATGCTATATGCTTCGGGGTTGATACATTTCCAACATAGAATACATAGGTTTATTGTAAAAATCATCTTTATGTTAGTCAAATTTAGGGAGGGAAGGAGGGAGAAGCAAAGCTTCAACGGACTGAATTTTAATTCTTATACTATCTATACTATACATACCATACCATACGTACCATACCATACCATACCATACGTACCATACCATACCAGTAACCCTATACCCTATACCCTTAATATACAAAATAGTTCAAAGTCCACCTCCGAGTGAAACATAGCGTGAAACAAAGAGAGGGCCTTGCATCAATTAATTGACCCTTGCATAGGTAATGAAGCCCTTGCATGCAGCTCAATTATATAAGGAGTCAAGATGGCCCCGGAATCTCAATTCTTTCAACATCACCGTGCTATGACTACTATGCTATGACTACTATGCTATGACTACTATGCTATGACTACTATGCTATGACTACTATGCTATGACTACTATGTTATGAAAACAAGCTTCCCCGGCGAGGCCGTGGAGAATGCTAAGAGTCCAGACTAACCCTTCAGACTAACCTCTCAATAGGGACCATCCGATCGCCGGACTAGAAGCTCCCTGCGGCCAGCGGCCAGCGCCCAGGAATCGCCCGTTCAACTTGTTTTATTTTATTTTATTTTATTTTTATTTTTTTATAACACAGACGTTGACCCTATTGTCCTCCAATTTTCAATGATGAGTTTTTTCGGTCTTTCATTCTCCAATATTTCTCCGTCGTTGATTTTCTTGCGGGGCCTGTAATTTAATCTTTGCCCTCACTTTTCCCTTTATTATTCTTTTCCTTTCAAGTCTAATCAAGCCGTGGAATGCAGCCACAAGGAACGAAAGATTTTATATGGCAGATACTGGGAATGAAAATGTTAGATAACTTGCTCAATTGGTCGGTGCAACACTTTGATTCATTCATCATAGATTCATAGGGCTTTAATTGATCAGAGTTACGAAAAGAAGTATGTATATACTAAGTATTTTTGAGCCCATTCTTCCATTCTAGCAGAAACTACATCCGCCGACCGCCAGCATACTCCCCTACTTTTCATTCGAAGTCAACGCATGAGGAGATTCTAAAGCCGACTGGAGTAATAGGTCTGAGAGCAACAAATCTTGATATTGATGTAGTCCTGGTCGGGACGAAGGTGGAAAGTCGAATGAAAAATAGGAGAAAAGCCATGAATGAAAAAAATAGCGAATTAAAAAAAATTACAGTCGCAGGACTGAGCTGCGACTGCCGATGCCGTCGAACAAGCATGTGTTGTCGATAGGAATGTACTGTCGTGTAATCACCTTGATGACTTCTTGTGCGATCATGCCGCCTGCGAGCGCGGAAATGTTGTGGAGCTCGGCGCCGTCGTGGCGGATCCTGGTGGATTGAGGGTAAGTGGATTAGCTGGCTGTTATTACAGAGACAGATGAAGATGCAGTCGGTCCTGTCTTAAAGTCGGGCTAAGGTGCTTTTCTGTGAAAGGGGCAAGTGTGTGGGTAAGATGGTAATGCCTGAGAGGCGAAAAACAGGGACGAGGAAGAGGGAAATGACAGAAAGATAGGGGAAGGGGAAAAAGAAGATGGAAACATAAAACAGAGAAGATGCAATTTGTAAAAGAAAACTTACAGTTCTTGCACGACTTGCGACACTTGAGTCTTTGCTTCGGTAAGGTCGACATCCTGAGTCGAAGAACCTGCGGCTGCGGCTTCGCGTTCGAGGTTGTCCACCAAAGATGAGGTATATGAGAGTAAACTCGATTCGTCAAGTGGTTTATCAACTGATTCGGCGTGATATGTGTCTACAGCCAGGAGACCCAGGTACATTGGTAGGAGGGATGAAGGGTCCTGTAGAGCTTGGTCTATTGGGAACCATTAGAATTAAATCAGCTCCATTGGAACGGAAATATAAAATGAAACCAAGAAGGAAGAGAGATAAATGATTTAAGGAAGTGTAACGTACAGGCAAACTTTGCGCGGTGCCCCCAGTTGATACCGGCTTTACTGCCAGCAATGTGAAATGGTCGACCACGGATTAATTTCACAAATGCCGCGCCCTTGCAAAAGGCTTCGACTTCCTTCTCGTCGACGGATGTAGTCCGTCCCAGGTTCTTCTCAATCGTCCGTACTGTCTGAAGTACTTCATGAAAGTCGGCACGTGCTCGTGTCTTGTATACGTTTTGTAACTTGATGTAATCTGCCGATTGCGCTTTCATGTCGGGAACTGCTCCCGGGAGCGGGGTGGCTTTGTGGTCAAGGTAGAATTTGCGAATCGCAGCAGCTATGACCCAAAAAGTTTGGGACTGAGGAGTATATCGGCCTTACGTTAATAGAAAAGTTTACAGTGTGAATTGGGGAGGCTGTGGGGCAACGTACGTCTTTGGTAATGTTTTGACACTCTTCCGCTTCAAACACTTCCATAGCTGCACTACTGAGCTTGGAGGGATGTAAGCTCTTCAGCACTGCGCCGATTGCTTCATCAAAATTCTCCTCGCCGCCCTCGGGGTTGTTTGTACGGGCTCCTTTGCGGACTAGTTCCCGAAACTCGCTCTTTTGCTTGTAGTTTTGGGGCACTTGGCCGTTGTGCTCTTTTTTCCATCGCTCCAGGTAGTACAGTAGCAGTAGGACATATGGTACATGTCCATGTTCGTAGTCGCTCAAGTTGTCCAAGTTGCGTGCCTTTTCCTCCACCAGCGCGCTTAGCTCCGGCCAAGGTTCCAGTAATCTGAGATCCGTCGTGGACGCCGGGTCCGGATGTGTATCGACTATTGGAAATGCTGAGGGAAGTAAGAGCGAGAAATGAGCATAGAATCCGACCGAGTGAATGTAAAATACGGGAGTGCCAGTCTGATGGGCGGTCCGACATATGATGTCAATAAGCCGTGCGGGGATGGGGGCAACCAAGAGGATGAGGGTGTAGGGCGAGAGAAAGTCCGGCTTTTCGAGAAGGTTTTCGATAGACTAAACACTTAGGTGTCAGCTCGATATGAAATCCATATGCGCTTGAATACCACCGACCTCTGCGATATAGTGCCCTTCTACATCAGGATTAAGCTCCTCCAAAAGTTCGTAGCAACGCTTTGCTCTTGACTGGCCCAAGCTCTCCTCATCAAGGAAAAAGTTCACTCCGAGATCGTCCTCACTGACAGTCGCTGGATCAACAATCGTAAAGTGGCCGATGCCCGGGAGGACAAGGTTCTTTAACGTCTCGACACCGACGACACCGGGGCCGGCGGAATTAACAAGTAAGACATGGGAATCTTCGAGAGCCTGCTGTCCACTTGCCGCCCAAAGACGAAGCTGACGATCATACTTCTTTTCCTTGGACGAAGGTCCGTGCAGAGGAGGTGGCGTTGAGTCGGCCATTTTTCTGTGCAAGGTCTTTGGGGTCGTAGAGTGGGTGAGGTAGGAGCTTCGGGCATTGACGTCAAGGAGAGCCGTGATTCAGCATGGGCGAGTAAACAACGCAGTTGGTCATAGTTATTTTCTCCAAAAACCAATTACTGATTCATCACTCCATCAAAATTGGCTATTATCATATGCAGTAATTATAAACTTTATACATTACAGAGCGAGGTGACTTCCTCTCAAATGTATGATCAAAACACTGGTCATATAATGGTTTGGGGGTATGTGCTCTTAGCTTTATCTGGAGAATATTCAATAGAAAGCCTTTTTAGAACGTCCACTGAGATCAAACAAGCTCGCTATTAAAATGCCTGCAGCATTTTAATGAAAGCTCTAACATCTCCTGGCTCGAAGCTCTGAGCTTCCCCGATCCTAGAGAGTAAGATAGTGCTGCTGACAAAACGTCCTCAACTGAATCAATAGCAAAATTCCCAGCCCAAAAAGGCAGTTCAACGAACCAAAAGGGCCCTCATAATACATATGATATTTCCTATGATTTCAATTCTCAACATTTACACTTCATAGCTGACGGTCATCATGATCATCATCATTATTATTGTCGTCACTCAGATATCAGGAAGAGACGGTCACATGATCTTATCGAATCGTACCTGAAGCGAGCCCAAAATAGGCAATTATGAGCTTAATCTCTGCAACTAATTTGCAACTAATTCAGTAACTTATTTCTCAATGGAGCAAATATTCGGACGATAAGATGAGAGTTGATCGAAACAGCAAATGCAGCAACATCAGCGAACAACAAAGTTTGCGAATAGAATAGTTGACCATTTTCCTCATAGTTTTTGCGGTTGGTTTACTGAATTGTTACAATCTGGGTTCAGAGCAGTCAGACTGTTTATGTGATGATCCTACAGCACCATTCATAAATACTTGGTCAAGCACACAGATATCGAGACCGATCATGTACCTTTGGGTTCGCGGGTCCCAGTCTGCTCTGATTTCAACGGCATTTCCTCAGACGTCAAGGCAACCAATGCCTGCATGATGATGCTGAGGCATCTCAACATTCTACTCGCTTTTGCAAATATTTACAAGTGTATGGTGAACGCCGGCAGACACGGCATTAGGCGGAATTGGCTGACCGATCTAGGACGGGGGAGTCTAAAATGTTAGTTGAAAGGGGAAGCCCCTCCAAAAACCCCCACCATGACGTTGAATCCAATACGCCGCCAGAATTTATCGTCGCTTCTCGACCCTTTTGGCGCATCAATCTACATATTCTCGTCGCACTCATTGGAGCTTTACTCTATTTGAAACCCGGCTTTTTACTTACAACCTTTCAACCATTTGTATTCGTATTCGCCCATCCGCTTGAGCGAGTATATGCTTCGCTCCGTGTACCGTCTAACACCTCCGCTCCGCCTTCACACTCTGAATCACGTTGGACCCGAGTGTGCGGCAACCGCCTTGACGATCCACCGCCGAACCATTGATCCTCTGAATGTACGTTATCGAACCCAATCTCCAATCAACCTTTGATATATAGCAATTTAATCTACCAATTCCTCCCACACTACAACTCCCTAGCAGCTTTGCCAAATCAACCACTAATCAACGAGGCCGCGACCGCCTCCACCGTAGCAGACCCGAAACTCTCACGCAATTCGCACGCTCAAACCTCGCGCATACCACACAACCACAGTCTTCATGGCCGACGCAATGGCAGGAAAGCAAAAGCAGGCCGCTGAAGCTCTTTCGACCATTGAAGGTGCCAAGAAGCAAGCGGCTATCCGCGCCGTCGAGGAGCATTTTGACCCCGCTTCCCACAAGATCGTTGGTATAGGCTCCGGCACCACAATCATCTATGTCGTCGAGGCAATTAAGGAGCGCGGCGGGAGTGAACACATCCGCTTTGTGCCCACTGGTTTCCAGTCACGGCAGGCCATCGTCAAAGCTGGCCTGACTCCCATGCCTTTTGACTCGCTCGCTGAGGGCCAGCTGCTAGATGTGTGCTTTGATGGCGCAGACGAGGTCGACGACGAGCTCAACTGTATCAAGGGTGGCGGCGCATGCCTCTTTCAAGAGAAGCTCGTCGCAACAAAGTCCAAAAAATTCGTTTGCGTTGCAGGTGAGTGATTTCAATCTCTACCTGTCTCTCGTCACACCCAAAAAAAAAAAAAAAAAGAAATTTGACCATAATCCTTTAGACTACCGCAAGCTTCAGCCCCGCCTTTTAACCAACTGGCCTTCAATCCCCGTCGAGATTGCCCCTATTGCGATGACCTCTGTGCTGCACGCGCTCAAGCGTTTGGGCTCAATCGACCCCATTGTGCGTGAGGGCCATATCGCCAAGGCTGGCCCGCTCAAGACGGACCAGGACTTCTTCATCATCGATGCCCCGTTCAAGCCGCTTCTTACTGAAGCCGATGTTGCCGCTGGCAAGCAAGGCAACGGCAAAGACGGCATCTGGGAAGTGAGCGCTCTTGCCCACAGAATCAAGCTCATCCAGGGTGTTTTGGATGTTGGACTTTTTGAAGGAGCCAACGGCTTTGAAGTTGCCGCTCGCGGCGAACATGCTGGCGGCCAGAAACCCGTTGCTGCTTACTTTGGCATGGAGAACGGCGAGGTCCTTAAGCGCACTGCCAAGTCCTCCAAGTTAGGCGACAAGCCTGCTCCACCTCAGTAGAGGGCATTACGGCCTGATCTTGAACATTATCATCCGGTATACTTAGAAGAAAGCGACTACGGGAAATCAGGTGTTGAGCATTACTAAAGCGTTTGATGGTTTGCTATCATAATATATCTTGTACAAAGACCTCTTGATTGACTGATTCTTGGGGAAAAAAAAAAAAAAAAACTCAAGAGACTTGATTGATCGAGACTGGGAAACCCTAGTCATGTAGGTGTTGAGCGTTAAATATCTCTAGCAGAACTTTTGTATTGATTCCAGATTTGATCAATTTGCTCATGTCTTTTGAGTGCCCAATCAAAATCAGGATACCAATGATTTTTACGACAAGCGTCGTATAGATCAGCGATATTTTGAGCCGGCAGTGGCAGAGAATTCCAGTCATTTATCTCGGGCACTAGTTCTTTCACTTCTCCAGATTCCATATCGTAAAGCTCCAATTTTGTTTCAGGATATCCCACATTGATATAGGGACCGCTAGAAGTGACCCTCAACCAGGCGTTTTCTCCCTGGATTCTCCAGTCTACTTGAGGTGTGTTTGGTGGTCCAAGACATCCGTGGAGCCTAACTGTCACGAATGCGTTCGAGTCTGTAAATCCATGCAAGAGGATTTGGTCCGGGACCGTATTTGGCACTGCTTGTTCGATTATTTTGTTGTCGTCATCCGGGTCAGTGATATCTTTGACAGGCCAGCTTATGGCGCAAGTACTGGACACAGATTTCCACTCTCCAAGGACTAATGAGACAAGAATCAGTGTACGGTTCTCCTTCGTGTTCATGAGCAGAAACGGACAGACCGGAACTCATATATTCCAACAAGTGCCCACCCAGGATACTAAGCATATTTCCTCCAATTTGGTGATCAAGAAAATACCGGATACGTTTGCTTTGGGTTGCGCCACCATAACCAGCTGCACCGACGAGGGTACTTGACAGGACTCGTCCTATCGAACCACTGCCAATAACTTCTCTCATCTTTCGAATAACGGGTGCATATGAGCCCTGCAGGCCCACAATTGTCTTCGCGTTATGTTTTCTCGCCAGCCAGGCCATCTCTTGTGCAACGGCGAAATTGCGATCCAGGGGCCATTCCACATAGAGTGTTTTCCCAGCTTCAATGCTGGGCCGAAGAGTGGAAAGATGACGGTCGACTCTGACGCAGCACACGACCAGATCCACTGCGGGGTCATTGGCAAATTCTAAAAACCGCCGATTATTTTCGTACTCAACAATCCGAATTATGGATGAAACTGTAGACACGGTCTCTGCAGGGTCTCACGAACCTTGGGGGTCACCATATGCTCGCGTCTCCGGTGACAGACCGTAATGTGTAATGGCCTTCTTCGCACGATCAAGAGAGCTATTCAACAAGGCAACAATCTCGAAGTGCGGGGACGCTTTGAGGAATGGAAGATGAGCATTAGCAGCCCAGGACGCACCCTCCTCTGGGTTTTCAGCACCACTGCTGGACAGGCCAATCAGGCCGACACGAATCAAGGACATGATGATAGCACAGAGCTCTTATTGGCATGCACAGGAGATCTCTCTCGGTCCTTATATATTATTATAGTATGTGACGTACTTTATTTGCTCCGTAATACTAGCAGTAGAATGCAATAATTCCCTTTCCACGGTTTACGCGTACTCGTGGAAAGTTCATGCAAGAAAAGCATTCACTATCACCTGGCATGCTTAGTTTTACTCTACAAAGGCGTGGGTCCCAGCAAGAAAGGATATCTTTCAATGCCTGCTTGGATGTCCAATCTCCACTAATCGTTGCGTTGGGAAATTATAAATCCAAGAGTGTACACAGTACGTAGTTCGGACCGGCGGTTGTCGGTTTGGCTCCGTCGAGCAGTAGACCCTTGGTTCAACATAAGCATCTTGCATTAGTGGCATTTTAGAGACTAAGAGCCTGGTATCAGAATGAAAATCAGGTGAATGGGATGACTTAATCCCGTGTACTTTATTCCAGTCGCATCTCACCTCAAGCAATGAAAAGGAACTTATATCAAATAAATTCCCCCAACAATGGGAGTCCCTGATATTTATAATATATCATTGTTTTCGACCGATTAATGCCAACATCAATAGTTTCGGTCGTACCATAATCTCTACATCGTCCTCCAAGAAAAAAGTAATCATAGCAGCTCGAGCATCGAATAACACGTGCGAATAATTTCTTGACAATGCAAAGCTACAAGCATGCCGGTCCTGTTGACTGCACTGTGGACTTTGATCCCAGCCACTTAAAAGGGAAGACTGCGATCGTAACCGGAGGTAAGAAGACTCTTGAATGCCCTTCCACTCGGCTCTGGTATAAAAAACAGCTAATGACCTTCTATGTAGGTGCCAATGGTCTAGGCGAAGCTTATGTTCGTTCCCTCGTGGCGATTGGGTAAAAGACATTCTTTTTTCCGTGGCGCTTTTTTGATACATGAAGCGGCTAAATCACGATCAGAGTAAAGGTTTGCTTCGGCGACCTTGATATTGAGGGTGGGATGAAATTAGAAGAAGAACTTCAAGGGTAGGTCTTAGTTAAGACAAAGCCCTACTACACCATTTGGCGGTCGTAATTTTTAACGTCGCAAAGCACAAAATTCATCCGATGCGATACATCCAATTGGGATGATCAGGTCCAGCTCTTCAAAGAAGCGGCATCCTTTTCTCAGACAGGAAAGATTGCCTATGTCATCGCAAATGCTGGCATCCACCGTCCCGATGAAGTCTACTTGTATTCTAGCAACGACCAGGAGCCACAAAAGCCCGAATTGAGCGTCATCGACGTCAATATTTGTGGAAGCTTGTATACGACCAAGCTGGCCTTACACTACTTCATGAAGCAAAACGGACAGAACCCGTCATCCGTCCAGGAGGATACATGTCTAATCTTGATTGGTTCCGGTGCAGCATTTCTGGACGTTCCTCGGGCTCCGCAGTACTGTGCCAGCAAATGGGCTATGCGAGGTGTCATGCATTCATTAAGGAGGACGGCTTTTTACTACGGCAGTCGGGTGAATGTGATTTCTCCATGGCAAGTGCAACCCAAGTCGGCCATAGACTCTGATTCCTGACATGCTGATTGAGATATACCCTAATCAGGTACGTAAAAACCAAAATTCTGTCCGAGGAGGCCTTTGCGCATGTCTCAAATGCTGGAGTACAATTCGCCGAAGCAGAAGATGCAGGCCAGTGTCTGCTGCGGATCCTCAGCGATAAAAACATCAACGGGCATTCAATCTTTGTGTCTGGAAGGAAATGGGCTTCACGGGGATATATGGATTTGGATCTGGAAGACTTTTCCGGCAATGCACTCATCCAAGAGATGCAAGAGGACCAGATGAGACCGGCACCTGTTTCCAAAGGGCTCTTTATTTAAGGTTCTATTCCTCGACCTAATATCGGATATTGACTTTATTTTCTCAGTAATGCCACGGGTTCTTACTGACATATGTCCATGTTCATGACAAATATATCAACTGGAAATATTGTATTATACCGAGATAAGGGTTATTCGGAAGTTATGAATGGTCTTAAACACAATGATATCAGTACGTGACTTACAACTTGAACAATTTAAATGTACCAGATTCAGTTATTCGTTGTCGATTTTATCAAAGCCGTGAGCCTATGCTATATTACCTCAACACACCGATGCTACAAGTCGTCCGTCTCAAGTCTCATGTGTCACCAAAAAAAGTTCCACCTTGGATTTTCAGCCTCAACCCAGGAATTATTCCTACATTACCATAATGAATAGCCTCACTTTTCAAAGACGACTTTGGGCCTTAGTGCATTGCCGCCAAGGGAGAGAGAGAAGAAGAAGAAAAGGCCGTGGTCTCTTGGCAAATGATAATTGAGTTGCCATTAGCCTAGAAATATAGGTAACAAAGAGTGATTATTTATGTCTTCGAGGATATATTCACCAGGGAAAAGGGAGAGGGGGCCAGGTGCGACTTGCTACTAAAAACAAAAAGCATGGGCTGCACGCCCAGAGGGTTTTATAAAGCAACTCCTGTAATGTAACCCCCATTATACTTGTAGATTTATCAGCAACTTGTGTCGAAAAGACCATGGGACTAGAGGCTGTGTCTAGGCTGCGGAAAGGGTAGGGTTGGGTAGGGTTTTGGCAATCATGGCCCACTTATAGGGCTACCCTACAGCAGGGTAGGGTCGAAGCTTTGAAGCCTACTAGATGGGTAGGGTAGGGCTGGGTTTTTGCCAACAACCCTAAAGCATATCCAGCTTTGGAAATAATATGATACGGTTGGTATATATTGGCATAGTATATATAAATCACATATAATCAACAGTTGAAGCTTTCATGATGTATAAGAAAATGTTCTTGAATTCAGCAGTAGAGATATAATTTATTTAGTTTTCTCGTAAGGATACTGTATGAAATTAATGCCTCTTTGCGGGCTTGGTTGTGGAGATTCCCTCTGCTCAAGGAGTTTTCTCATCTTCCCTCTATTCATGCTATCTATATACTCCCTCTCCTCATCCAATTGCTCTGTCTGTGTATAAGGCCTTTGAGTCCCTTTCGAAAGCGGAGCAAGGATTGCATTGACTTAAAATCAACTCCAGGATGGCAAGATATTCCACTTTAACATTGTGCCGCCTGCCAAAGTTCCTTGATGTACAGCCGGCTGAACCTCTGGTCGCATGAGCAAGGGGATGAGACCATGTTCTGTGATTATTCTCCAAGTCGTATGTGGCCCAGGTGGATGCTACATCTGTGAGAGGCTGGACCTTTCTTAAGCTCTCCTCTGAGCTCAAGATACCCAAGGGATTAAATAGATCTTGCTTTTTCTCCTTCTTTCTGAAGGTAGACCCCGGTCTCCAGTTTTGGAGGCATTAGTCTTCTTGCTTGAAGGAATTAGTATAAGTTCTTTAAATTGATGAGTATAACACTTACCTCCATGGAAGTCTCCCATCGTCCATTGCAAAGTCTTCTTAAAAATTGGACCAAAAATAGGACAGCCCCTCGTTCAATGAT